TAGAGTTTGACAGTAAACGCTCTGTGATGTTGGAAATCAAGCGTGGGATTAGCAAAGCAGAAAATATTTAAAGCATGGCAGCCCTGGTTCCTTCTCCCCCACATACAGACGTAGAAAACTTACATAGTTTATATGAAGCACATCTATTCATATTGTGAAGAAGAAACTCTGGCCTGCCAACAGTCCCATAGTAGTTAGGACATTCAGTGTTTGGTTCACATTGATTTGATCTTATATCAGATCTGATCGAGCCAGAAGCCCACTATGCACCAATCACATCAACCAGGTGAACCCTGTCATCCAATCACAGCCGCTCTTAAGTGCATCAGACAGACCTGCATCCAAACCACTTAATGCCCAAAAATGTGCATGAAAAAGCACAAAGTGGGTGTAAATCCACCAGTTAGCTATGATGGAATAAGTTCAATTAATGAAATGATACAACTTTAGAGTTTAGATAGCATCAATCTATCACAATATCATTCTGTATATGGTAACACTGTAAGAGAAACTCAGTATCATAAATCTGGTTTCACTGGGCTAGCTGTCTAAAACCTAGTGCAAAACTTAGAACAAAGATGTAGAGTTGGGTTTCACTGTTTTCCCAATGTGAATGTTACATTAAGTCTAAAGGTTCATTTATGCTCGCCATACGTAACGATGGTTCTGTCACTGCCCACATACTTACATGCGTCCTTTACATTGACATGGATGTTAACCATTACATCCACCAGAGGGCAGGCTTTAGTCAAAAGTTTCTGACAACAACAAACAAAAAGAAACATGGCAACCGTGGAGGAGCTAGTGATAATGTATATTTTGCATAGGAGACAGAAACAAAGGCAGCATTGGGGGAGGCAGTGGTCGGTCAGGCTACTAAATGCCTTGTGGTTGGAGGACGGAGAATTCTTTACTCTAGTTTTCACACAACCTTTCCTTAAAAAGCCCCGTCATTGTCTGCTGCCCCCATGGTTTTCCAGTGGTACTGCTCCGTCTGCCCCGTATCTGTAAACTTCAAGGATACATGCTGAAATGCAGGCCAAAAAATTGCAAAAAACGGACAGAGAGCTCCATCCGTATCCAGATCCGTATGTAACGTTGATCACAAATGAGTCTTAACAGTGCTACGTTAACCATGTGAACTTAATCTACCTGCAGCTCCTCTTCACCTGTAAAACCTGCCCATCCCTGTAACGGATACTTGCAAACTAACAAGCCTAAAAAGCGAACAAATTTGTCTCTGATCCTCGTCACCGGCAGCATTTTTCAGAGGAAATGGAAACCAACCAATGTTTCAAAAATATGAGTGCCAACAGCTCATTTCCTAAGAGTTACAGAAACAAATTGTGACAAATCACTGCTCCCAGGGAGTCATAAGTCGAGGTTTGAAATGATAAGAGCACGGAGGCAAAGCAGGAGTAATTCTGAAAAGTAGAGTGAGCTGCAGATTCCTGGCATGGCCTCCTCAACTTTCACATCCCCTCTGAACTTTGAGTGAACTTCTTTCTTTTTCCTCTCCTCCTCATGGCTTGATGTTAAGTCATTATTCTTTCAGAAACTATTGATCTTTTTTTTCCCTTGGTGCAGCTATGAATAAATCACTAGAAAGTGACAGATAGGCTGCTGTGGCTGGCAGACAATGAAGGACTGAGGAGGAGGAAGAAGAAGAGGAGGAGGCTCTCTGCTGACTTTCAACTGAAAGCGTCTGCTCGCCATCACAGCTTATTGAACAAGAGACATATTTTTGTCACACAATAGCTGTGCCAGGATGTCGATTTATTCTCTATTTTTCCAAGAAAGAATAAAGTTAACCCGAGTCTTCTAGTGACACGGCATCAACGGTACACTTTAGCTGACTCCTGTCTGACATCTGACTCAGTGTAATACAAACAGTAAAATACCTGCAAATCAGAGTTTGAACATTTGCAACAAAACCAATCTAAAGCACTCAAAACTATCAAAATACATAATGTTTTTTACTCAAGCTACAACGAATGGAAAAAGTTTGAAGACGTTTATATTTGTTTTTGTGTTCAGGTGATTTTCATGGTTTCAACTGAGACGTCTAACAGTTTAAGAAAAACAAAATGCTCCCAAATTTACAAACCAGACCAGTGGTAGTTCATGGGACAGTGAAAAAAAACATCCTTTGTGTACCTTGATACAACTTTGCCCCATTAAACTACTATTAAAAATACTACCAGAAAAATTCTGGTTGCTGCAAAATGTGCGATTAAACTCCCTGTGGCTGTAAAGTCAGGGGGCATTTCTGAAAGGGACCAGGAGTTATGCCTGAAATAGCGACAAATTTAGGAATTTCTTCAGGTATAATAATAAAATTCTATTGTGAGATTCAGAAAGTCTTGGAAAAAAATCAAAAGGGACAAGCTTGTAAATGAATACAGGTGGCGCTGCATCAATAAAGGCATGAGTCCGTAGTGTAAATTGTTGCATTGGCTTACAGTCACTTATAGAACCATCATCTATGCACACAGTGTGTCACTACATCCATAAATTTAGGTTAAAACTATTGCTGTGGTAATGTATGTTAACATCATATACTGTATACGGACAACTTGGTTCCGCCTTCCGCCAGTATATGGATTTGAAGCCGAAAAGCTCTCTGTATTTCCGCGATTTTTCTTCACTTCCTGAAACCAACATTGCGCAGTAGCGTTGTATGCACTCCACCACTTGCGCAGCATTCGACGGGAGAGTCACTGAGAGTCACTGAGAGTCGCTGTCATGACACCCAGCTCAAACAGCGTATCCCCCCGGATGAGCTACGCAATCTTCGTACACCCATAGGCTGCATGAAGTGTCAATCATAGAAAACATGAACCCCTTATAACTTTTAAAAATGGAGCTTCACAGAAAAAAGAGGACTTGAGCACAAACCAGTCTTGCAACGACTACATATCAACATCGCACCCAGGGGGGAGAAAAATTTATATTCTGTGTAATATATTTCTAAAGTTTGTCCACGGATCCATAGGAATTGCTTGAGGGGGTGGGATTTATGACCTATACAGCAGCCCGTCACCAGGGTGTGCTGTTTTCGGGGTGTCTTCACCCAACAAGGAGGCAGACGGCATCCATCCTATATACAGTCTATGGTTAACATATATAGTGTTGGAGGAAAAGTTAATGTAACAATATGGTAACTATGGTAACAAATGCTCCTGTCCTAACTTTTTTTAAAACAAGTTGCAGCTGTCAAATTTTAAATGAGCAGAGGGAACTGAACAAAAACCCTGTCCTCAGAAAAAGTACACAAAAGAACAAATGGAATAAGCGTCAAAACTAACTCAAATAGCTTTTTGATATAGTAAAATAAATAAAACAGATTTGACACGACACGTAGGGCATTGTCCCAAGAACTAGTAAAAGTCCTTGAAATGTCAATTTGTGTTGATTCCTTAAACCCCTGTCAAAATATCTCATATTTTCTAAAGGAAAATGGAGTAACTAAGCAGAATTTGCATTTGTGTGTTTAGCAGCTGAGTTCCTGCTCTGCTGTCAGGGTCAGCGGTATATTTCATCACCCTGCTCCCTCCATCACAGAGGTGGATTTACACTGGTGCTGAGTAAGCGTTCCTCCAGCCACGCCCTGCCAAATCAAATGTCACACCATCTCTAGGGGTATTAATCACACCCAGACACACACACACACACACACACACACACACTCAAACAGGCACAGAAGTAAACACACACACACACACGCACACACACACACACACACACACACACACACACACACACACACACACACAAACATAAATAATAGGAAATAAAGGTCAGTTGATAGAAAGTTTGTCATTCAGGATCAGCATATAACTGTAAATGTGCTCCCTGCAGAGGAGTGTCTTTAGTTTCAGAAACATGTTTTATGGCCCTGACAGCAGCTCATTTGAGTGAGACAGGCAGGGTGCATATTTGATGGAAAGTAGTTATTTATTATTAAAAAGTGCATTTCTTTTGGTGAAACTTTTGAGTCAGTCCTAATAAACCCATCTCACTTTACTGACAGCCAGTGGAAAGAATATTGATTCAAACTGACCAAAAAAGTCAAAGGTTAACAAATTAACATTTCTGAATATTTACAAAGTTTTTATAGTCTTTGCTTAAAACATGTTACTCAGCTAAAACAAGTTAATGATACACAGTATATGATACTAATAACCAATATGGTAACCTAGAAACCACCTGGCTTTCTCATCTATCATCCAGCAGTGTGAAATACTCATAAATGATCGATCAAAACCCAATGACAGCTGTGATTCCTTTACCTGTAACACTGTGGCAAAAGCTAAGGTTTCCATCTCAGGCTCTGATTCGCTTTCTGCTCACCTCGTCTGGTTTCTAATTTGCATAACCACCTGTTCACTGTACATGAACCTTCATGTGTTTGAAGGCTACTACCTCGCTACCAGTTTGAAATAATGGCGGGAAAAGATTGAGGGTTTCAGACCTTCATCAGCTAGCAAACACCAAAACCTATAAGGTTTAACAGCTGAAGTAATATTGGGTGTAAACCTCGCTACATGCCTCACAAAAGCTTGAAGAAGTAGTTTCAGTTAAAGATTATGAGAGTGTCACCCTGTCAGAGTCTAATTGGTGGTGCGGTTTCATGGATTATGAATCGACTGATGGTTCTGCCACATAGTTGAGATACAGATTCATAACTTTATTATTGCACAAGTCATTAAAACTAGACTTGCTGCCTTTCAGAGTCTTTGAGATGTTAATTTTTATGTCTGGCATATAGAGTTTTGTGTTAGTCTGAGTTATTTTGAGTTCTGGGTCTATCAAACTGTTTCTTTAAAACTAAGAAGGACCGAAGCTGCTCCAGGAACACTGAAATGATCAGAAAAACGAAGCTATAGCAGTAACAGCAGAGACATGAGATAAGAAATGAACTAGTACTGATCATTTTAGGTGGAGAACAAGGAGAGTCTGAGGAGAGTCAGTGGTAAAAATGTTAAAACGACCAAGTATAAATCCTGACATCATAGCAGCCATTTAATTCAGCCAATCAGACGAGAACAAGACCAAAAGAAAATGTTTCAAAACAATTATAATTTCACTAAAAGCAACGCACAGTGGTATCGATGCTCATAATACACATTAGAAGTAGACCAACATCATAAATGCAATGCAAAAACTGGCCTGAGAAGGTTTAAGGACCACTTGAGTTAAAGGACAAGTTTCTGAAAAGTTTCACCGTAATCACAAAAGTACATGCAGTGACATTAAAGTACAACAGCACTAAAGCTTGAACAGTTTTCAGTGAGTAATTTCCACTTACGAAAACAAATACAGAAGGACTGTTTGTGGTTAATCAGTCAAATATTACAGTGTTCAGGTGGAGGTTTCAACACAGGCATGGAGATGGACAGCAAATAAATTGAGTCGATAACAGAAAATCTGTGATCTATGGAGTTTATACTGAACAGAATTTAAGAGTCTCAAAAGTTCTGGGGAAGATTTTGGTGGAGACATTCAGTGAGTTGAAGATCATCCACCAAACGTAGAAGTGAAGCACCATCTGTTTAAATCAGATGAATTCTTTATGAATATGAGGTACATGAAGGTTCACCTCAGTCACTGTTATCCAGAGTTAGCACTAAATACCAGTATTAAATCAGCTTTACTGAAAACCCAGCACTTATTGGATACACTTGGCTTGTAAAAGCTGTTTTCTAACTCAGAGTAAGCAAAGAAAACAACACAATCCATCACCTGCTCCTTGTGCAAAGACTTGCAACTGCTCAAACACTGTGGGGAAAAAAGCAGATTTTCAGTAAAGTCACTGGAGCCCAAATATGGGAATTTGTCAAAATGTTATTCCACTATGAAGCACTACAGAGAAGAGATGTTTGAAGTGGTTGAAGTTTTGACTTGAGCAGAAAGGGTTTGTTTTGGCCTGCAACACGTGGATGTCAGTAGATTAAAGCCCGGTTTATGCCACACACCATCAAGACTTTGATCACCAGAGTCAGAGGGCTGTTAAAATCTGTATTCAGTCAACGATTATTCATAATGTATCGATTGAAATAACTCAGACCAAAACAGTGGACATAAAAACACACATAAAAAAATGCCATCCTGTAGGTGAAGCTCCAAATAATCCACCATAGACACCGAACAAAGACAGAGACTAATGGACAGCAGGGATCAGAAAAAGACGCCCAGACAAAAACTAATCTCATCCGCCTGTAGCGATCACATTTCACACAGGAAATAGGTTTCTTTCTCGTCTTTCCTCATTGATTCTTCTGTCTCTTCACCTTCTCTTGTTATTTCCATCCTTCTTATGGACGAATGGATGGATGGGAAATAAGAAAAGTGTGTCGCATTTCTTCTGTAGATATCTATTTCCTGTTATGGAGAAAAACACTCTGGGGAGAGGAGAGAAGAAATGAAATATATGTGAGCTGCTAGTTTCTTTGAATGGACACAAATTATTCTGTGCATGGATAAGAACATTAATCTTGAGGGCTGCCTTTGTTTGGAGACTTAGATATATTTAATATTGATTACAAATAAAATATGATGAAACCAGACCAAAGTACTTCTGCTGATATTTTAACATATTTTAAATGCAGTGTTAGAGAAAGCAGCGATTTTCTACTTCTCTGAATAAGTTTTCTTGCACTTCGCTGCACCCTGAAGATGATGTCATTTTGCATGCTCACCCGAGCAGATGTCATTGAGATCATCAATTTCTTCTTGTACTCTGAGGAGGAGGAGGTCCTGCAAGATCTCTTGCTGGTGCTCCTCTGCCTCCACGCCGAGAACCTCCAGGTGATAATCCTTCAGTCTGAGCAGCGCACGGCCTGGAGACAGTCGACAGGAGTTACAGTTATTCAAAAGTGTAAACCAGTTTATCAAATCTTAATAAGCTGAGATTCATCACTTCACATTTGTGCCTGATAAGTAAGCTGCACCTGAGATTGCATGTTTCATGATGGCTTTCTGAAGTGTGCCCATGTGGGCTGGATGCTGATCCTGCAACCACTCCAGCACCTCCTCGACAGACCACAGCGACACTCTCTTTGACAGCACCATCACTGAAGAGGACCTGAAGCAAAAAATAAATAAAAAATTTAAAAAATAAAAATATTTTTAATTTTTATTAATTGATTTGCACAATTATACACGCAGGAAAAAACAGCATAAATACAACAAACCAGGTGTGCAGGTGAGATTAAAGAAACCTGGAGGGGTTTATAAAGGAAATTTCACTTCGTGCAAACAAGATATAAAAGACCACAACAGTAGACAAGACAAACAAAGCGTAGAAGTATAACTGAAAACTAAGTATCACTCAAAAGATTAACAATTTGTGTATCATCATTTTTACGCCTAAAACAGGTGCAAGAAAACAATAAATATTCCTGTGTGCCGAGGAGATTTCTTTTGCAAAATGACACACGTAAGCAGGGCCCGTTTTGTCCACAGGGGGGCGCCAAAGCTGGCAAAAAACAAAAGTTCCTTACGGCAGCTTCAAGTAAGTTTCCTACCACAAGTTCATATTGCTATGATCACAAATAAAGCTAAATAAGTCATTCTTTTACTAATGATTATGTGTTTGGGTTTTGTGTTGCTCATTTTTAAACATTAATTTGTTGTTAAATTTTTGGTGATGTTTTTCAGTCAAAAGCCAAAATGAGTTGCTAGATCTCCTTAATGAGGACACAGTTGGGTGACCACCAGTATATTTGTGACAGTAGAGCTGTCCTCCTGCTCAGTCCGCCTCAGGCACATCAGCAGAGATCTCTGTTGTTGAATCTCAAAAATCAAAATAAATGTCCTTTTCTCTTGATTTTTGGCACTTTTGAATTGAATTTCCTCTCATGTGGCGTCCCTGTCTAACTGACTTGTTTTCCAGCGATTAATCCAACAACCTGAACATTATGACAAATAGCTGAGCACGGCTGACAGACTCCTCAGCGTTGAACTTTTTCAACTTTTTCAATAAATAGGTGAAATCAACCGACTCTGAAAAAGTAAAAGTTCAGGAAAAAAGTCGCTTCTTCGTCTTTTCGGTTCATTTGGCTCTTTTTTCAGCTGTATCCTCCTGGGCCGCGCTGCTATAGGGCAAAAATTGCTAAACTGTTGATGTGACCTTTTCAGCAGGCCAGTCTAGTTATTGGGTTATAAATACAGGAATGTAATATCCTGTGTTAATTAAGGGGGGCTGGTGATTGACGGGGGAAGTAACGAGGTCCCGGTGGAGTAATTGACATACAGAAAGTGAGGACCTTTACGCCGGGGTGAAGACACAGAGGAGAGCGAGCAGAGGAGGGTAAAGAAAACCTCACTCTGCTTTATAATGTTTGTTTTATGCCTCAATACAGCATTCTCTAACTATATAGCTCCCATACTGCGTCTATATCTGCAGGGGAATAAAGTGACTGTATACACCGCTCCTTTGATTAGCTCTGAAGCATTCTGTTTATGTTCACTCTACCCTGTTACAACCAGAGCTGGACTTGTAAACTGAAGTAATATGGAGTTACAAGCAGGCTGGAAAATTGGCTTTTTGCACCACCTCATTAAAATGTAACCGCATGTTGTTAACTAACGTAAATCGGTTCTTTTTTGAATCTGTAATAAACAATAAACAGATAAACCTCATCCACAAAGTTCCTTGTTTTTCACTCACCACAGCCTCTCATATTTTCTGCTTCTCTGCAAACTTCAGCCTCAAGTATGACAGTTTGATTCAGCTTCAGGGAAGCCAAGTTGAAGTGTATGTGTGGGCAATTTAGTCGGTGTTCTTGGCAACTTGGTTTCACAAACAGCTGGAAGGATGCTCAGAGAGTGCAGCCCTCCACTGAGGTCAAGAGTTCAGTTTTCTATGACATGAATATCTTAAGAAAACTGAGAAAATATGATGAAAATGTCAAGATATGTCTGAAGCAATATCCTCAAGGTTTAATAAAGTTAAAGCACTTCACACTTGATATATTTGACATATTGTGAAATGATTTTTAAAGACAGGAAACAAAGATATGCTCATAGCCACAAGTACACACATGTACGCAAAGGCATCATATGTGTCTATTTGTGTTTTTTTATCAATCGAGCCAAACTTTTTGAACATTAAAGCTCCTGTGAGTAGTTTTTTGCAGTTTCTGAAATTGACTGATATTCATATTGATTCCTTTTTAGAGGGAACAAAAACTAACTAGTACATCAGAAATAAAATAAATGTATTACATTTAGTAATTTTTAAAGCCTAAAATCTGTGTGGGAGGGTAGGTGTCAGCCAAGCAGCTGGAGAAACACTTTCACAGTTTTCACAAGGGCAAAAGATAAGCCAAGATTGCATTTTCCACAGTGGGCATCAAAATTGACATGAATCTGAAGTTCCTCACTGGAGCTTTAAATGTTATCTAAACACAAACAGCCATACAGACCCAAGGCTTGGGATCTGCACCTAATATTGTGATATTTTTGACATTTTTTTTCTACCGGGAATTAGCTGGATGCTGAAATTTTCATCTCTACAGAGGATTTTAATATATATAATACTGATAAATATCTTTGAATACAGCAACCCATCAGATACTATGTAAAGTTAATATGATTTAAAAAAACTGACTACAGTTCCTGCCTGCTTAAGTAGTAGTTTGATTCAGTCCTTCGTGCATCCCAAAGTATAATCCTACCATCTTGTGGTGCATTGCAGAATTACTAAATCTCTTATGCAACCCTTGATATATTCCTTTGAATAGAAGTTACTGTGCAATGGTTTAGGATTTAGCTCAGATCTCTAATCTGCAGCTTTCCTGTGTTTAATATGATGTAATCCAGGCTAACTGCACTCTCTCTGCCATGACGCCAATAACTGTTCAAATTTCAAAATTACTTATGAAACATAACTTTCAATGTCTGATTTACAAGATACAATTTCCCATAAACCCTCTCATCACTGTGCTTTGTTGTACTGGTTGTATGACCTTAAAATACTCTCCAAAAAAGGTTGCAAATGGTGAAGTTTGTACGTAATTTGGTGCAATTTTAAAGATATGTTATTGCCGAATTGTGGACCAACAATAAAACATTGAGTACTCTTTACAAAAAGTGTCTGCATTTTACGGTTGATGATTCTCAGATGAAATGTCAATAGTTTAAACGGCATTTGGCGTGTCCTGGGAACACCAAGAGAGTCGACCCGCCCAGAGCTTTACAGTAAAACCCATCAACAGCTGCCGTGAAAAACTTCTTTAAACTATAACAAACTCTTGGTTTTACAAAACACTGACATACTTAACCCTACAGAAAGTTTTGGTCGAGTTTTAAGTTTCTATTTACCTGCGTCCGGTCCGTTTCAGACTGATAAGATGTTAATGGCGACCCTTGTCTGTACCTGTTCACGCCATGAAGGTGTTACACGAAGAACATTCCTTTTTCCCGGCTCCGCCCATTCAGCAGGCGCGCGCTCCAGAGATCCCTATTCCATCGGCTCACGTTACACAGCTGTTTGCGTTGCCTTCAGGTTCCGTCAGAAAATAATTATTCATCTGCCACTTAGTGGAATCATCCCTCTTGGTAGTTTACCCAGTTTCGACGATAGAGGACGCCAGCGTACAGCATGTGGAGCCACATTTCCTTCACCTCTCCTCTTCTTCCCGTCCACCAGCTGCTCAAACTTCAGCTGGGAGTTTGGTGATGGTCACATGACGATGTTGTGAGTATATTACTCCAAATGTGTGAGTGTGCAGTCCTGCACAGAGCTGCTGCTGACAGTCTTTGCATCGCAAACAGTGAGAGTGAAGGTGTGCATGTTGCAGCGTTTCTACCTGCCAGAGTGACAGCTGACAGACTGACCGGAGGAAACGTGGAGATAAGAGTGTTACAGGCGCAACTTTTGGGGGGAATTATGAGAAACGGGGAGCTGTGACTTTACATCTGATTGACAACTGTTAAGGTAAAAGATAAAATCCTTTTTATCATTATTTTGGCTGAATTTGGCGTTTAGTATTTTACTGAAAGTCTTAAAACGTGTGTCTTTGAATGCAACACACCTGTCCCAAACTAAAGACCAAAAAACACCTGTTTATCTTTTTAGAGCGATATTTGTAAAATACATAGCATAGTTTTAATCTGAAAGTGTCAATTATGAATATTGGTAATGCTTATTTTAACGACCCAAGTGTCAAAAAACTACAATCACCTGCTGTTTTATTATTAGGCTCACTGCAGGTCGCACTTTGACCTTTTTTAAAGCTACAGCCTGGTTGACATCTGTTAAATATTCAATTGCATTACTTGATTGGCAGCTGTTTAGAAAGGCTGAATTGCTGCATGCTATTTATCATAATGCTGCATTATAACAGGCCGGAAAATACTCATTTTATGCAACAAGTTGCAAGGAATTGTTGCTTTGTGTTTCAGCGCTCATGGGTGAAGTATCCCTGCCTTTAATTAACCGAGAGAAAATGGGTTAGTGTTGCACACGGATGGTTGAGCGATTTGCCTGTTGTAATTATGCTGCAACGAAACCCAAAATTTGTATTTAATGACTTAATTCAACAAAAAAAAAAAAAAAAAAATAGTCTTCATCCGATCTTTTTAAGTATTCAAACTCCAGTGCATGCATATTCCAGCTTCACGCTCTGCAAATCGTTCAGACCGTCCCAGTTTTATTGCACGCATATTTTCAATACCAAGTGCAGGGACCACACGCGCTGCTTCCCTCTGACCTCGCACACAATCGGATGCTCAGTTGGAGGCAAATCTCGCGACGCGACGACGCATGACAAGATAATTATTTCCTCTCGTGCAAAGTGAATCTCCTCTCTGTCTCTCTCACTTCACCAAACTGGGTCTCTGTACCTCCCTGAGCTTTTTATAGAGGTTACTGAACCCAGACCTGTTTGCAGCCGCTGCAAGGATGGAGGGTGACCAAGTGCATCTGAACTCAACTGAGTGCAATTTTGAAGTTTTCCAATTTTGTTGCACTGTGTACCTCTACTCATGCATTTCAGATGCATAATTGTACTTTTTCACATTTATTTGGCTGTCTCATAGCTGTGGTTTCTTATCAGATTGTGACTTTAAAATGAATTTGAAAACTAAAGATGAGTATTCTGTACAGAGTTTGGAACAAGTGGTTCATGACCCCTTTTGTCTTGTGACCTCTTGTGACAAACATGCCGTGTCTGGTTGGGGCTCCTTGACACGATACAGATGTCTTTGAGCTGTCAGCACTTCCACCTAAGAGACATTTCCCTCTTAACCTTTCACATAGTTTCATTTTAGGCAAGAGTATTGGGGTCAAACAGGGAAATGATCCAAAATTTCAGACAATAGTGAAGATATGATTTTGATTTTGTTTTAATTTTCTGTAGTTTTTGTCCTCTAGATGACAAACCTGAGAATCTCTTCAATCACTGATCATTTACAAGGAAAGCTTAAGCTGCAAATCTCAGCTCATAATCTCAATTTTTAACCTCAGACTAAGTGATATATGACTGACTGGTTTTAAATGCAGTTTCCACGGTGAGCAAAACCAGGAATATTAATGTTTAGTTGACTAAACAATTAAATGTCACCCTTTCTACTTGGTGCCTGACTTGCAAGTTATTCAAACAAACTATAATATTTTATTACCTTTACATAAGTTATATGATACAATGCAATCTAATGATGGTAATTCTTTGCAAAGACACAAGAGGTACTGTTTTGTTCACAGGGGGAGCCAAATCAACACTTACACAGGAGCTTCAGAGAGCACATACTAGCTTTAACTCAGCATCTATCTGCTGTTGTTCATGATACATGTTTGCAACAGGTCCCGTCTGAATTAAAAGTAATCTAAGAAGCAGCTTTTTACTGTCAAATAGGCACTAATAAATCAGATGTTAATGTTATTTCCTGCAATATGTTTAGTCTTTGCAAATACCCACAATGCCATATTGGTGGAGCTGTAATTTATCGTGTTACACTGAGTCCAGTCCCTCTGTAGTTCCTCTTACGATATTTTTCAGGTTTTGTTTGGTCTTTGTGTTGCTTTGTCCACCATTATAGACAGGAGAGGGCAAACAGAGGCTCAGGCTTTACTTTCCCATCCTCCCCTGTTGGCACAGACTCACAAAGCCCAGCTGAGTGTGTGATAAAGTGTGATATCCCTCCAAACTCAGTGTGATTTAAAGATAAGTCACTTCATGCTACAAACACACACTCAGTGGGCACACAAACACTCATAGACATAGATTTTAGTGGGATCTCCTAGCAGCCCTAATGGTTCCTGCCTCGCTTCAGTCTAAATGTCAACCTGACCCCCCACCCACAACCTCCATCCTTCCTTGATGAGAAAGTCCAGACTGAGCGCCTTTTAACGACTTGGTCAAACACTCTCAGATCCGACGCCGGGGCTTGTGGGAGTTCAACACCCGTTGACTCCAGGGAACCGCAGATTTAATTTGATCCCTTAGAGTTACCCATGTCTGACACCACCTACTGTCATGAGTCCTATCTGTTTGTCCTGTGTCGACCATATTTGGTTTACATCATGTGCAGCGTGGGAAACTCTTGAGTAAATGTGCTCAGCTCAGAGTAAACAGTCCTGTGTGTTCCTGTGAGGGAGTGTGACTTGACCATCTTAATCCAAAGAAGGCTGGAACTAACTGGGATTCTAGTCTGTTTAGTTCTTGACGTTAAAAATGTGACTTTCAGTCTGCTTTTGATTAAGCACTGAAGCATTTTGTCATAGATTTTGGACAAGTACTTCATCATGTTTTCACCTGCTGATGACATGATGAACTGTAGGTTTAATATGTATTTATGTCTCCTAAAAAGTGGCTTCAGAGACAATCCCTCTCCAAGGGAATGCCTCACTCAGATTAATGTGCCCATTTTCACTCCTGGCTTTGACACGAGGATGTGTTGGAAAGCTGCCATAACTATATCTGTCAAAGCGCTCTTCATTTTTCACATTTTGGAAATCCCATGTGGTGAAAGACTTGAAATGGAAACACCGCAGCAGCTGGAGTCACAGTAAAACTTCAGGAGCTGCTTTTAAAAAGTATCTCTTATGAGTTTACTAGACAATTCTATCAAATTACATGATGGAGACTGAAATATTTGACAAAACATCAATACAGTAATATATCACAGTCATGTCATAAAATTACCTCCCCTCTGTGCATAATTTCACTAATTTAATAAAAAAATAACACAATGCTCTAAACATATTGTCCTGCCAACTTGACTGATCAAGTCACTCCTTAAGAAATCCTTCCTGTACTTAACCTTTTAGAGGTATCTGGTATTCTTCGAGGGATTGAATGTAAGAATGAATCAATATATGATTATACTGCAATTTATCTGGTATCTTAGGATCGCTATGTCCTGACATGATCAATATTGTGGGCTATGATTGGATATCATATGGTATTGTACCGTATGGTATTGTAATGTGTTGCGACATATTTTGTCATATTGCATAATTTGTTGTGTAATGTATCATATACTGTGTATTTTTACCATTTTGTTTGTTATTGTATTGGCTCATACCATATGGTGTTATACCGGCTTATATCGTATTATATCCTAGTGTATTGTACAACATATTTACGTATTGTATCATATTGTATCCCCTTGTATCATCGTATTCTATTGTATCTTATCATATATCATACAGTATTGTACTGTCTTGTAGCTTACCATATTATTTTCTATCATATCACATCACATTGTACTGCCACATATTGTGTCATATTCCATTGAATCCTGTAGTATTCTGTCGTATCTTTTCCAGAGATAATATATTTATAATGACCACATTTTTAGAGATTTTAATCTCTGTATTTACTTACTATTTTTGCTTTCTTTATGATCTCAGATAACGGGACAGAGACCCAAAAATCTCTTGTGGCAGAATGTTTTATTTTGTCACATGCTGAAAAAAAGCCCACCAATCATGATATGAGCTTAAATCATGAACCATCGGCCAACCTGTTTTCATTATCATATTGTCATTCCTTGAATCGTACTGTATAAAATGGATTTGTCTTTTCAGAGGGAAGGAGATGGAGAACAAGGCCATGTATCTGAGCACATACGAGGAGAGAGAGAACGGCTCTATGTACGAGGACGCCTACGAGGGACGCAACCTGTCCAAACTCAACCTGTGTGATGAAGGTAAGTAGGAGACAAGAGAGTTTGACTGGGTTAAAGGTCCTGAGGAACTTTCTGATTGGTTCCCCCTGTGGACAAAGTGGTAACTGCAACGTTACAGATTACATGTCGTCCTTATGAAAATGGTGTTCATCGACAAAAGATGAAATTTTTGACTCACTATGAATGTTTGTTGTAGGAAAAGAAACTCAGATTGTTCTTTAGATGTACGCATGCCCCCACATCAGTAAACAGCCTTTAGTAATTACAACATAGATGTTGTCAGTTTGGCCATTATTGTTCTTATTAGCTTTGGTACATCATAGAGACACATAAGCTTTTTACTTCAGTATATTTTATAACCTTCAAAAACCCCCTTACTGGAGCTTTAAGGTAACAATTTTAAGATGAAAACACACGGATGCCCCATTAAATCTGTTTGTTATATCATTAAGCTGAGACAGAGAGGGCCGCCGCACCGTCTTTAAAAGGTTTTGATCCTTCAAGCACAGGAATGAGACCGCCGAAAAGTTTCTAAAAAAAGTCCCAGAAAGGTTCAATTTGTAAATTAGTTTTTTAACAATATTAAACAGTTTATAGACTCTCAAAATTGTTAGTTAAAAAATGGACAAACGAAGAGAGATGGAAAGAAAGGGAAATTCCACTGAATCGTTTATTCATATAAACAAAAACGCCCACACACACACATTAATAACCAACACAGACTCAGCTGAGTACACACACACACACACACACACACACACAGAAGCAATGCTGTCACCACTTGGCATTCGCTCCCCTCTTGCTATGGTCATCTATGAACGCCAGGAATGTCCAGGAGCAACATCTGCTGGAGTGTGTGTTTCTGTACATTTGCGTGTGTGTGTGTGTGTGTGCGCAGGTGCAGCTGCAGCAAATCCACAGCTGACCCACTGGTGTTCTCAGGTTTCGGCCGAGAGCTCTTCGAGTTTGGTGGGAAAGTCTTAACTGGAGAATTTTGTTGACATTTTAATGGAGAGTGGACAAAGGCCGCACACATCAGATCGACCATCTCCGCCCAACTTTTCTAATCCAGGAACATTTTCACACCTCGTTCAATTAGAGCGGATATTCACGGACATGGCACTGCTGGTTTCTTTGGGGTGCAGTAGAAAGAGAGCAAAACAAAGCAGTTAAGAGGCGTCTATGAGAGTGTGATTCAAACCTGATTCTCACAACCGGAGCCTGTGTTTATTATGAGTCAATACACTATGAATTGTGGGTAGAAACAGGAAGGAAAGTCATGGTTTATGGGGTAAAATGTTGTGACTTCTGGCAGTTATGTCGCCATCTTTGTTGTCAAATCTCTCCACCCAAATCTCACAGGAGCACATTCTGATTAAATTGACAGTGACATGTTGATGTTTGAGTGCACACACCTAGATCAGCACATACAGAGCAGCTCTTTTAGGGTGACATACACGAAATGTCAACATGACCGCAAGTCACAGTCAGTGCCAGACCTTTATACAGCACCTCCATTCCCTCCTATTGTTAAACGCTGCTTCAGTAGGTGCTGACACATTGCGCTAGTGAAGCGGAGGCATGTACAGAAGTGATTGGGCTGGTGGAGCCGAGTAAATAACGTCACGCTCGTACTGCTAGCCAAAACATTCAGTGTCAAAGATCCCTCAGGTCTGCACAGCTGTTAAAGGAAAGTTTTCAAAACTGTTTTTAAGTCATATTAAGGATGAACGTTCAGGGTATTTTAAGTAACTGATTTTAGGAAATTTTAACATTTAATCAAAGATTATTCATTAAAAAATTTACTCAGATTTTTTCCAATTCCAAATGCGTTTTTTCTAAATCATGTGTTTTTTACCCAGAATACCAAAAAGGTGGGTGAAATGCAGGGTTGCCAGGTGTACGATAATCATCGTATTTGTACGATATATTTGCCTTCTGTACGATGTAAGATCAGTAACCCAGAAAAAAAGGCTAAAGGTATGATAATTTGACAGTTTTGTGAACGTGTGGTGCAATTGGATGGTCTCAGTCTACCAGACACTTTGTTTTTCCGTTTTATTTGTGAACACTAAAGGCATCGTTTGCCATGTAATGTTTCCATCCAATCATAGTTTGAGTGACATTAGTCGCCAAACAATGAGCATGATTTGCTGTCAATGAGCACCGCTGAAGAGAACGGTCATGAACGGGAGCCAATTCCTCATGTGAGGACAAGTTGATTTGTGTCTAAAATAAATTTCACTAAGTGGAGTCAAATATCTTTTTTTTTTTTCTTGTCAGTTTCTATTAATATTGGTTCAAAAAGGCAGGTGGCCTCAAGGTCTCATGATTTGGCTCATTAGTCATTTGTCATTTGTTTAAAGGGGACGCATTAGCATAACACTGATGTGGGACGAGTCAGTAAATGACCACAAAATCGTGAGTGCCTAGGACACTAAAGAGAGTGATGATATGTGACTATCATGCAACGGTGAGATTGTTATTTCGATTATAACTGGAGTATGATAATTTTCCAAAAATATGATAATTTTGAGTCTCTGGTGCAATAATTCTATATTTCCCATCTGGCAACACTGGTGAAATGTGTCCATGCTTTATTGCAGCTGTGTAGGGCCGTACTGCTAGTTAATAGCAACAAAATAATATGATGCTGTATAACCAAGATGTAAACAAGCACAGATGATCTGAGGTCAGATGTCAGTATTTTAGTCCAGAAAATGGAAATAAAGTTGTGCGGAGGTTCTGTCTGGTTAACCTGAGCACTCGAGTAGAAACAGAAAGTTGCCACTTCATGAGTTCATACCAAGTTGATGACCTCCCTACTCACCTCCAAACTCTTAAGAAAGTATCACCATGGTCATGAATTAATCTAGCACAGCTTCGATAATGCCCTAAAATAATGAGCAGTTTATATTCCTCAAACTCTCATGTGTGTTGCATTAAGGCTAGAAAAGCACAGACAACGATGTGATAATTTCCCCATTAAGCTCCAGACAGCTGATTTAATTTCCTTGTCTGTTTTTTATGATGTTTTTATGATGTGTTGTGTTTTGTTTGTTCTATAAAGTTTGTCTTATGGAGTCCATCATGTCTCCAACTGTGTCAGACGAGCTTCAAGTCCATTTTCTGGTCCTATACATTCCTTCTTTGTGACACACATCAGAGCCAGCTGTGTTTGTCTAATGCTGGACAAGTGTGTGTGTGATTCTTTCATCGTCACAGGGGAAGTGTGCGCCTCTGAGTGTGTAAATATGTGTGTGCATATTGCAGCAGGCCACCAGTGTTCACTGACAGATTGTCATGGTCCAAATGAAAGCATGATGTTGGGAGGCCGCGGGAGAATCAGTGTTTATATTTTAAAGTCAGACCGAAGTCATGAGGAGTAGAGACTCTCATTAAAACCTAATATACATTAGACTCTCATTATAACACAATATTGTTCCAGGGGGTATAATATACTTGATAATTCACATGTCATATGGACCACAGGGATTTCACAAAGCTCATTTATGCTCCTTATCCTCTGCTGGACCTGTTGACCTTAAGGGCTTTATTTTGGTTCAGACCCTCTTTTATCAACCACGAGCATCAAAACACAAACATCTGGTCAGGAGTGGAAACTGACCTCTGGCGTTATGCTAATAACCCAGTTTCATTTTGAAGGGTTTATTCATTTATTTACTTATTGCTTTAAAAAAAACAAAAAAAAAAACTTCAAGATAACCACTTTTTTTTTCTTCCAAAGCCAGAGAGAGATAAGAAGAAATGCAAATATTGGACACAACATGCTGCTTCTTCCAGAACAGTCTGTTATACTTTATTTCCAGTGTGTTCAGCTTTCTTCCCTATTTTTGCCACTATTTTTCTTCTCAAACAAAAAAACAAAACAAAACATGAGAATGACGGAATTTATTTGAGTTCATCATTATACCGACACTGAATCCACCAGATTCTATAACTAGACCTGTTTCCATAGCAACAATATGCAGCTGTGAGATAACAGACCCTTGCTGTGCAGTATTGACCAATCAGAATCAGGAGTTTAATACAACCTTATGATAAGGCGAGAATAAAGTATATTTTAAGGTTATTTTATTCACATTTTGTTTCTATTCATATTTTCACCATCGTAGGACCTACCTAGGACTGCACATCCCCAAATGCTATTCACAGTGTCTGCAGGGGATACAAAGACTTTCCATATTTTTATAAAAGTATTCTCACCCTGATTTTGATTATCACACCATTTCTAATCTGGTTTATTTGGTCTTTTTCAGGCTCTGCCAAACGTCGCAGAAAGCAGGATCAGTGCTGCGGTCATCTCAACTCCCTCTCAGCTATCAAATATGCCATCGTCTCCCTCTACATCCTAGTACTGCTCACCATCTTTGGACTCTGCCTGGCAGGTACGTGTTTGTGGGTGCACTTAAAATGTTGTTCTGGTGATCACATCCTAGGCTGTTGGTGGATGTAGCTGGAACCTTTGCAGTAGAAATCAGGCCCAGTATTGACCTTTTCTTTATGATTCCTCCCCTAGTCTGCTAATCCAGTGCACACACCACAGCAGGAGCCACATTTGTCAACATAGCTGTCAGTCATGGCGTTTTATCCATTTTATTGCATCTAATTATTACTTAAAATCTCTGAAATAGTCGAAATTATAAAAACCAACTTTAATAATGGAGACAATGTCTGAGAAAAATGTTTTGACATAATCTGATTTTTAACTGTGACACATAACCCATCTGTTATGTTGGAGGCGGGCTTTTAAAACCTATACTGCAGCTAGTCAACAGGGGGAGCTCTAAATGTCAGTTTCACTGTTTAGGAGTCTTTACATCATCTAAATTTTATGGAGTATGGTTGGTACAAACCATATAGGTTTTTGTTAGCAGCCCCTCAAAAATGTGAAAATGTAGCAAAAATAAAACAAAAAAACGAACTTTTTTTTTCTTTCCTTGGCGATCTACAGATGTCTTAGTCCAAAGGAAAAGAAAATAAAGATCAAAAGAGACTTGAGAGTGAGTGCTGTAGTTTTCTACACAGCTCACACTGAAATAAAGAGCACATTGTCTGTTTATTGTCCTCAGAGCCCTGTTATGTAGATGACATCACCATCCCTCAAGGTCGAAGTGTAATGGACACACACATAGACCACAAGACCCACTTAGTCTGAAGTAACACTCTGGGATGTGGTCTGAAACCTGACTCCCATTTTAAACTGTCTGTTCTGGTTTAGCATTGAGAACATACAAACACACATACAGCGACTACAGTCATGTTAAATACAGCCTAAACTCCAGTAATGTGAAGCTCTGCTGGTGATTTTATGAACTTTATGACTCTTATTTGGTGGTTTTGCTGCCAAATCGGTTGAAATGTTTGACATGTCATGTCAGGAAGCACAGATCTCTGTGTCTCTTAGAGGCAGCCAACATCTGTCCATGAAGTTTTCCTGATCTGAAAAGGATTATGGGTAATTGTCTTCTTTTTGTTCATCTCAGACTGATGAAGGAATTTAGCCTGATTCAAAAACTGGCACCACATCAGATTTTCCAGAAGATTCAGACCACGATAATGTTGTTTATACAGCCTGAGAAGGGTCAGGTTTCAACACTCAGCATCTCTTGATTGTAGATAAAGTCAAAAGCAGTTCTATGTTAGAAAAAAATTCAGGAAGCATGGCTTGATTTTTAGTGATTTGATCCATCAGTACCAGTCTGAACATGCCACTTGAACAGCTTATTCTAACTCCAGTCTGATAGCTCCTCAGTCACTTTGTGTTAAATTATGACCCTCTGATGATTTGCCTGAGAGTTTTACTCAACATGATGTTATAAAAAATCAATTAGTTGCATTAATTTAACTAAAACTAGTCTGACTGACACTGCACAAAGCTGAATATCTTGTAGTCAAGACCATAACACGTCTTGATACTGCAGTAAGGAATCCGTTTTCCCTTGCATTTTAGACGCACACCAGCATAGATGCTCTGCATGCACATGCTTTCTCAAGAGAGTCAAACTATACATAGAAAGAAGCTATAGCAGTAAAATGAAGACAATGATATTGGAGCACAAACATGCCTGTAAAGTTTTGCATCTTTGTGCAGTTTGCTCTTGTGTTGTTTCTGACTGCTGAGAGGAGCTGTCAGCATCTGCACTGTTTGCCGTTCAGAGTCTGCTGTGCAGTTTCATTCTTAAAGGGCTCACATGCTGGTACTGCTCACAGCTGTTTGTGAGTAAGAGATTTTGTTGCAACACTGTCTTTCAGTTTAGGTGAGCAATCTATTTGTGAAAACTGGTCCCCCAGCAGAAGGAAGATGCAAAGTTCTATGCAGAAGAAGCTCTAGTAAATGCATTTTCAGTATGTTTAAATGCAATGATTGTAGCTTGATTGAGCAATTTAACTGGACTACTCTCTGTCCCAGTTTACAAGCACTAGGCGATAATCAAATTATTGACAGATGCACATACCCCTCAGCTACAGCTGGTGGCCACATGCCTGTTTTAGCTTAGCATAGCAGACATGTTAGCAAGAATGAAAACACTGTCACTTTTACTGCTCTGATATAACAGCCCCATCTTTTTTCACAGCCTTTCTCCATGTGTTGAGGTTTTATTTACCACTCAGCTTCCTAGCAATGTATTCATGCTGTTTATGCTATCCAAACTTTTGGGCCTGTGCAGAACACCCAGGCCAGTTTCCGTCCAAGTAAGAGTATTTATGGAAAAGAAAACTGATCCCTAAATTCATTATTCTGAAATGTTGGTTTGACCACGAATATTTGATTTAGTGTAATTTTGGGTGGACTAACGTGTTGACTAGGGATGGAATCACCAGTGGCCCCACAATACGAAATTATCACAATACTTGGGCCATGATACGATATTCTTGCAATTTTTAACATTTTTCAATATAGTGAGTAATGCAACACTACATGTTGCGATCTATACAATTTTTTCAACTGTTTAGCTAATTTAGCATTTGTCTTTCCTTTGTGTTTTTCTTATTTATGCTGTATTTTATTTTCATGTAGCACATCTTGAAAACCTTATCTTTCTCTCTCTCTCTCTCTCTCTCTATATATATATATATATATATATATATATATATATATATATATATATTTACACTAACTTTCTCCTGCTCTATGATGTCACCTCTGCCAACCTCACTGGACAAACAGTTGATTTTATTTTTCCATTATCATAGATTTGACTTCATATTAACAATTAATTTAAAAAAAATCAATACTTGGTAAATGAGACGATACGATATATCACCAGACAAAATATTACGCTGAATCAATTTTTAAACATCAGTTTCAGTCAGACTGTTGCAGTAGGTCTTTTTTCTGCTGATACTGTCTTACGTCATATCAAATGAGAACATCAGATCAAAACAGACTCACATCCCAAAAATATGGTGTTAAATAAAAGGCAAAACGTCCAGATTTCTGCTCTAAAGTTGTCAGGGACTTGTGTCTTACTGAAGGATTACGTTATGTAATAAAGGATGGAGAGTAGTCATTACCACCAAAACACTTCCCCAGCTGTAAAAAAGTGGAAACTACCCGGTACCAAATCATTCACAGTGCTTTCCTGAGCAGTTGTAGGTACAAACAGAGTGTCGTCCAAACACCACATGTTGCAGTGATTGGAACAAATAATAGAGACCATAATGTGGAAATGTGGGCCCATGAGTTTTGGAAAATTAGCATTAGCTTTTGTTTTTTGTATCACTGGGTTAGTAACATGGTGCTGTAATATATTCCATCATCTTCAGAGCTGCTGCAGACCTTTCTCTGTATCCTGGTTCATTTGGAAAAACCCTGGCCTGCTGCCCCAGTAGCCTCATGGCCAACTCACTCCTGTGTGTGTGTGTGTGTGTGTGTAAATGAGAGAGCTCTGGAGGTGTGTAAGACTTTATAGCTATTACCTTCTGCGAATCCTGCTGAGGCCTCCTTGTAAATGTCAGCTCTGTTATTAGAGGAAGGGAGGACAAAGAGAGGCTGATAGAGACAGAGAGAGAAGGGGAGAGAGGAGGAGAAATTAAGGCAGATGGAGTTAGAAAGACAAGTGACAGACCCAGAAACAGGTTTATAAAGCTGTCTGGCTCAGTACCAGCAGTAGATCCTGGAGGACTCTGCGCCCTTACTAAACCTAATTTCATTTCAAGACCTCCCTTCCCCCAAGCTGCCGTAACCACAGGGCTGGTGCCACTAAATTCCCAGGCTTGGAGATGTAGTTTGGAGCTGCTCGGCTGTCGTCACAGAGCGATCTGGTTGTTTAAGGCTTTTAGATGAGGTTGTTTTAGAAAAGCAATCAAACTGGGCTTTTCAAACGACCTCTCTTCAAACTAAATGCCAGCCATCCAAAAGTCAGTCCACTTTAGCTGTACAGGAGGCCCTTCAAACACACTCAAAGTCGCTGCCAGCTCTCCAACATGAACACAGACTTAACTTATCCACATTTGCTTTTTGTTTGAAATCTTGACTTTGACTTCTTGTTTTTTTTCTTTCTTCTGAGTGGCCTCCTTGGCTTTCTCCCAACTTTAAGGCCCTTTAAGCATCTTCTGTGCATTCAAACACAACCATACTTCATTGCTGGAAGGATCACTGAGCCTCATCTTTCATTAGAAACATCTGCATTCCTGGCATGGTTGGTGAAATATAGCATTTTCAATGTCAGGGCTTCTGATCCTAAATCTTAGCTCTGGATAAGCAGAAGGGAGGAGGGGGGAAAAAAGCAGAAACAGGGCAGATGAATTCTAAATGACAGGATGAATCCTCCCCCATTCATCATGAGGGTCAGGACAGCTTTATCAGGCTGCTATCTCCAAGTAGAGTGGACTTCAGATAGCTTCAGTCAAAAGAAGAGGCTTTGGTCACATGTTAAAAGCCAGCTTTTAAGCCTGAGCTTTAACATCCTCGAGCCAGGAGCCAGACTTTTATCATCTCCGAGGCGCCTGCTGGAGAAACGTCTATCTTTGGAGTTACTTGTTGTGGCTGAAGAAGAGGAGGACCATTACTCAGGAGATGTGCTTTGTCTTCTGTAGCATTAAAGTGACACTGGACCACTGTACATGTTGGCAAGCGATTGGTGGCATGATGTAACATTTGAAGATTTGACTTCCCAGAAACCCTGTGGGCAGATCCAAGTCAGAACAACTGAACTCTGTCCTCCCTGTGAACACCTACACATGGGAAGTGCCAGATTCTTCTTTTGGCGCTTGCCCTGCAATGCATACATTACATTAAGGGTTTTAAAAGGTAATTATTTACACCAGGGCACTGTGAACTTCCAGTATTTCTTCAAGTCCTAGTGACTTGTCAGTTTGAGCCACAGACATCCTTGGTCAGGTTCCTTCTTGATGCCATACACTTAGTTCTGCGCGCTTTGCAAAACAATGACGTGATGCATCCTAAGAGGCAAGGGCACTCCATAAAAGTAGAGTCATAAATAGAGTCAAGGATTCTGGCACCTTCTTTCGATGTGCAAGGGGAGGGTAAAAAGTAGGGATGGGCGATATGGGCAAAAAAAATTTATCACGATAAGATTTGCCATTCTGGCGATAACGATAAAAGTCCAGATAAAAATATTACAATTACAATTTATATTTTTGACTCATTTTGTCTTGAGAACACCAGTTGGCATAGTCAAATAAGATACTTAACCACAAGTTTGAGTGGAAGGTTAGGGAGAAAACTAATGACATCAAAGAAGTCTCCAATGTGAAAACATTTTCAACATTTGTTGAAAACTCTAATTGAACAGAGTGAACAGCAGCAGATCCACTGTCCGATGTCAGGCATACCTGATTGCACTTGTCCAAACCTCAATCTTGAAGGCAATCCATCATGTGGAGCCTGGTTCAGTAACAAGCTGCTGAGAAACGTGTTTCTCATGTTTGTTTGCTATTCTGCTATGTGTGGGCTACGGCTGCGAGTCCATTGCTCGCGCTTACATTATCAACCTGCATCTATCGTATTCATCATGAGATGGCAAATATTTATCATGAAAGATTTTTCTGATGACAAATCATGAATGATAATTTATCGCCCATCCCTAGTAGAAAGGTCTAAAAAGATTGAAACTCTGGTAACACTTGCAGGTAATGAATTACTGTATTCAAAAATTAATGCTTTTCAGCTCGGAGCTTTTACCAGGGCCATTATAAAACATACAACATGATTTGAATAAGGTCAATTTTCACATCTAATCAAATGCAGCTACATGGATGTTAGCCAATGGGGTCGCTGCATGATAGACTGGGCATGTAGTCAGGTAGATTCAGGCCAGATACTCATCTGGTCAAGTGTCCAATGAGGGACACTGGTGATGATAAGTCCATGAATGGTTATGCAAATTGCTAAACCATTTGGCATTCTCTGCAGCTGTAAACTTGTGTGAAGTTCTTGGGTTAAAATTTGGTAATTCATCCTCTTATTATTTAATTTTTTATGGGCTATCAAGGTTTAACCAATAATTGTATTGCAGGAAACCACACCTTCCTACTTGATTAGGGCCAATTTGTTTAAATCTTGAGTGAGACTCTGAAAACTTTCCTGACCTTCTTAAAAAGAAAGCAGATGCAGTTTCTGTCTAAAGCTGCTCTGTTTATGTTGTCTCACCACGAGCATTCATGCCGAATGTTATACCAACAGCTGAAAGGTGTTAACTCCTTTTTTATGTTGCATAACTTTGTTCAGATGTGCATCCAAGCTATTGCCATAAACTTTGGAGATCTGACCATCCTAAAGATGACTTCATACTCAAGTCTTTATTGTCATTTTTGATGGAAAGTAACCATGGCAACAGTTGTGGTTCTCCTTGCACTTGTAGCAGGACTGAAACCAAAAACAGATTTAATTTAGAAACATATAAGCACAATGCTCCATCTTATCTCTGGATTTGATTAAATAATCCAGAAAAGACCAAAATGTTTTAATATCCTGTGTTTCTTCACTTCACTGTTCAAACCCCAAACAACATCTCTGATTTCTTGAAAATCCATCTCTTTTCTGTGGAGAATTAGGATGTTTTTGTTTGCTTTGAGGCCAGACTTTACTGCGAATACCTCCTGCAACATCTGGAGCGAGTTCCCTGAAAAACAGGTTGTGTAAAACACCAAACATACACATGTAACAGCAAGAGATTAGCCCATATATGGGCTTACAGGCAGAGCTAGGACTGAAAAGGGCCTGGGTGTTCAGAGCAGTAGGATTAGATGGTCTTTGCACAATTTGTGCTTTTATGAGCTGGATGGAGATCACAGGCATTTGAAAGTATCTGTGTTCTTTGGTCTGGACCCACCTGCTATTTTTACTCCAGGTTTAACTGGCACCTGAATGATTGGTGACAAGAGCCCCACGTTGTGTTTCCAGGTTTATTTTCCACCAGTGTGTGTTGCAGATCTCCAAACAGAGCCGACATGCTTCTCTGCAGCTTGCTGTGTAGGTGCAGCTGAGTCATGTTTTCCAGTCAGAGCAAACATGCAGCTCTCAGGTTTGGCGAGGTTCTGCTCTTTTCCTCAGCCATTTAATTGCTGGAAAACATGATGTTGAGTTTGTTATTCTCCTTATAAGCCATGAAATCTTTGAGCTTGAGTTTGTATCCTTCACTGATAGCTAACAGGCATGTTATTGCCAGGCAGAAGTAAGCAATGGACCCCCGGCACGGAAACAGCTCAGGGTTATTTTGCCCTCAGTAGAAAATGATTTGACCGTGCGTTTGTTATCATCATTACATTTACGCTTTACATCAAAATTTCCTGCAACAGAGCGATGATAAATTGGCTCGAGGACAGCAGGATATTCATAGTTTGATATTTTGACAGTGTTTTGTTCTGTTGCTATAGACTGATTCATAGAGACTTGTCCACCACATCAACAGACACTTCAGTAAATAAGAGGTGGGGCTAAGCATGGACTTACATAACAGGTTATACTTTGACAAATCAGAGTAGTTTGTCTCTTTTGTCATCTCAGCTCTTGCTGGTAAGTTTCAAGATTTATATCAAAAGTTTAAAATGTGAAACATTGCGATCTAATACTGTCAAACTAGCTGTGTTGTTTTTCTTGACTGTGTTGCTCTGGTAACCGTATATCTGTTCCTGTTACATGATGCTCAAGTCAAGTAGTTTTATGGCAGTTTAACCAGACACAGCCTTGATTTTCTAGATTGAAATACTAATAAACCTGGGGCGCTACTGGCTTTGCGGTCTAATCCCCTTATATGGAGGTTATGCCCATGTTTTGGCTTCTTGTGAACATGCCACTTCTCATTCTCCCTCCTCATTTCCTGCTCTACCTGCTGTCCTATCATCTCAATTAAATGGACTTCAAGCCAAAAGATATACCATGCTGAACCACTATTTGCCATCTTTGCATTTAAGTATTACGACACTTCGACTAGTGGCAGCTGGATACACAACAGCTTAGATATGACCAGCATTTGATCAACATTTAGGATCAACAGTAATGAAAACATGGATAATCCTTTTAACTGATCCAGGACACTGATACTGACTAGAGAGGTTTAATGCTTTAATCAACTTAACACAGATCCCTACCAGCTCAAGAGAAGCACTCTGAAAGTGGGGTAGTGTGCATTGCTACTGCAGAAAATGCTGTTAGTGGACACAGGCCCTAACTCACCTCTTCTCTGCCAGCTTTTCTTCGGCTTCATGTTTCACAGGCAAAAATCTTGAGACCTGAACTCCTTATAAATACAAATATATACCATCCATATAAATGAACGACGTCGCTTTAATGCCATTTCCGCTGTGTTATGTCTTTTAGCTACATAATGCAGGAGTTTTATGCACATATGTCAGGAATGTTAATATGCATACTTTTAATACACAGAATTCTACAGGGATTACAGGTACAGCTGCAAACATGCCAGATCCAGCCTTTAACTAGATTTGACTTACTCTTTACTTTGGTCCTGCACTGGAAATTATTATGTCTGAAGAGGAAAGCCCACCTTCTCTGCTCGAAAAACTCACACTATTTTGAGACACTACTGAGGTGAAGGACGCTAAGATACCTCACGATTTGAAAAACAAACTCAGGCTCGGTTTACCCTGCCTCCAGTCTTTGGATTATGTTAGCTTCTTATGGGAGCAAACACTTTTTCACAACATGATACGAGATAAAACCTGTCCTGAATGTAAACCATATGTGTTTGTGTAAAGATTTTCTGTGGAGAAACTTTAAGAAATTGAATCTGACACCACAAAGTGCCACTTCTAACAACTTTAAAGCGGAACGTTAAAGGTCTGAAAGCACCCCTCTGTAAAAACAATCAGAAATTAGACTGCTGGAGATGACGTGTGTCTTATCCTCTGATCTTGGCCTGTTTATGTTCAACTCGGGTGTGAAATTCTTTTCTCAAACATACATCGCCCGCAGGAGAGTAAATCCTCCATCACAGACATGCAGACACGAGCATAAAGAGACACACATGTTCAGGCACACATGCTTCCTTTTTGATGTCTCTATACATGAAAGTGCACTGAAACACACATCCAATGCAAAACCATATCACTGCTGCAGAAATTGTCGTAAGGCACAAAAACACACCAAGGATAAACTTGTGCACAGATCACGTCCACTCAATCATTGAAACCCGCTTGTAAATAGTACAAACAGGTTTGCATTTGTGCAAAAAAAAACATGCTTTTGTAGTGTGTCAAATCTCCAGTGTTAGAAAAAGCATGTGCATACTGTCAAAAAGGACCAGAAGACATATATTCATGAGCATACTTTGGACATACTTGTGCAAACATATACTGAGATATTCAGAGACATGCACAGCCTCAATCCAAATACATGACTCCATGCATCCAAAGGCACACACACACACACACACACACACACACACACACACACACACACACACACACACACACACAAAGACATATACTGTATGTCAAAGGCAGAGACAGTGCCAGGGCCCCTAAATCGACTTTGAGAACATAAAGCCTCTTCTAATGAGTTTCTGTGCCGCGGTCATGCTCGTCTCTGTAGAAAAGAGTCTGGAGACCGGCCAGCGTTCGCAGTAGGAGTTCTTCAAGAGAGGAGCACACACACACACACACACATGAAAAGAAAAACACACTTACACACAGAAACATGCAGAGAAACGTCAGTCCTTCAGTCTTGGACCAGAGAGGTCCCAGAAGTCAATGGACAGCCTCATTCAGGCAGTCAGAGTCAAACACAGGTCATTAACATGTCAAGACTAATTGGACCAGACCTTCTCTCTCTCTCTCTCTCTCTCTCTCTCTCTCTCTCTCTCTCTCTCTCTCTCTCTCTCTTTCTCTTCCTCTCTCAATCTCTCCCCCTCTTACTCCTCAGGACTGCATACAGCTTTTCAAAGTCGTCTCCTGGCAGTAAATTTGCACAGAAATGTTGCAGAAGTCTGAGCAGGCGTTGTCATCATGGTTGTGTGGTTGCACACTTGAATTTCAGTCAAACTTTCTCACCAATAACAGGGTTTTTGCTTGTTTATTGGTGTCATCTTCAGCATGAAAAATGGCCAGCATAAGTCACAGTAAATGGCAACAACAAGTTGCACCACATCCTCATAAATCTTTGTAGTACTTTTATTTATGAAGTTGTGGAGCTTTGAATTCATCCAGTTGCTTACTTTGCTCTTAAGAAATCAGAAATTTGGACTGTAAAAATGTTTCAAAGTGGTTTTAAAACCTCATATTGCCACTAAACATACTTGATAAACATACGTCATACCAGTGCCATCAGAAACACCATCTTCATGGCTGTGCGGGCAGCTTGTTCAGTGACTTTGGTTAAAGCTGTAAAATGACAGTCATGTAAGATCACATTACTGATGAGAGAAGATGTTTTCCCAGAGATAAAATGGTAACTTTGGTGATTCCTCAAAGCCACAGAGGATCCTCACTGACGCCACTGTCCCACAAAGTCAAAAAGTACAAGTCAGATAGGGCGGCAAAACATCCTGCAACATGGCAGCCTTTGTAGAAACAGTAAGATCTGGTGTGAAAAGAGGGAATGTCATCTTGGCTTAATGCTGCGTTCCAGTTACCTCAAAAGTCAGACATCAAAGCTGGGAATGACATTACACCCGAGTTGATGGCGTTCTAGTTCACAAGTCGGAAAACCAAGATGGATGCCTACAGTTAGTTGTTGTTAGCTGTTGTATACAATTGTAAGCTGTCATTAGTCATTGTCAGTTGTTGTTAGCTTTTGTCAGCTGCTGTCAGCTGTTGTTAGTTGTTGTCAGCTATCCAGTTGTGAACAAAGCATGACACAGTATTTTACTCTTACAAACACCATAGCACCGTGTTCACAGTTAGACGTTGGGCAGTATAACTTATATCACTTATTTAATTTCACAAAAACAAAACAAAATTGCTCATAAATAATGCATTAAGAGAGCTTTCACTATTACTCTTTACTGTTGATGTACTGTGCTGCCATCTTGGATTATGACATTGTCGTCAAGTCAGGGTTGGTGAGGCTCGTCCAACTTTCAGAGTTGGAAATCCGACTTCTGGGGTGCGTTCCAGATGAATTTCCGACTCGGAGCTCGGAAATTCCGACTTCGGAGTACAACTGGAACGCAGCATAAGGACTCTTGGACTTAATAGTTGGGTTGCTGGATTGTGGCAGTTACCAAGTACAGATATTCATATATGAAACCTGCACCACAGACATTTACACAACTTTAAAAACTCCCCTAAACTTCTATAGTCCAAACTTTTAATCTGTTGTGCATACTCATGTAAAACATTTTTTTTTTGTTTTAAGTCGCATAAATCATTTTGAAGTCAACAAAATCCCAATTACATCAAAGCTAAGTGTCAACTTGTTTATCTTGAGTTGGTAGCTGAATAACAAGCTGGATAATGTCCCTCAAAGAATTCTTAACTAAGGATTCTTAACAAAGATAGTAAAAACAGTGGCTGTTGTACTTGCTGAGAGTCAATATGCCAGAAGTTTTGAAATTTGAGATGCTATCAGAGCTAAGTTTCTAGAAACAAAGAATAATCCAATAAAAATGACTTGAAAATGCATCATATCTCTGGTATGTTTTTCTACCTAATTTAAAGCTCGATGTTTTTCAGAAAGCCGTAGAGGTTCTAGCTCAGTGTTTTGCAGTTTTAATTGTTCTGTAGTGCAACAACATACTTTATCTTGCCAAGCTGACACACTTTCTTCAAAAGACGAGCTGTTAAAGTTCACACACTCAGTCCAGTTTTCAGCCAGAGAAGATTATGAGTTACAATAAAGCTCAGTGCTGCGGCATGAAAATAACTAAGTTAACACAGCAGGCGTCGCTGACATCAGCTCTCCTTTTTTTAAAAAAAAAAAACAGGGGAGTAAAGCTCCAGAGATTTACAGAGTGATACAGCAGGCGCCTAAATTAGTCCTCTAAAGGCCTTTTTTACTGTTTTACAAGACGACTAATTAAGCAACAACAGATTTTAAAGATTCTGGCAAGCTGAACACAAGGCTGACACACACACACACACACACACACACACACACACACACACACACACACACACACACACACACACACACACACACACACACACAGCAGGGAGTTCCATTCAGCAGATTTTGGAGTTGGAGCAAACTATGAGGGAGGAAGCTGATTTCAAAGCGACGCCTTCAAAATAAAACTCAAAATGTTCAAAACTCAAATGTCGAAAAATGTTTAAACTGCAAAGTCAAGTCTATTGAGTCTAAGTTTATATTAGGATTTAGGATAGAACAGCTGAAAAAAAGAGAGATAGTGAAGAGTAGCGAGTAGAGGAAGACATGCAGCAAAGAGCCAATGCTGGAAGTCGAACCAGCGACCCCTGAGACCAAGAGTGTAGCCTCAGTACATGGGGTACAACTTGTAACCTCTCAGTCTAACAGGTGGCTGCAGCATACTCTTAAAAAACTGAATAATAACAAATAATGTGCAATATTCAGTGTATATCTACTGATGCTGAAAAAAAAAACTAATGTTACAAATGTAAGAGACTCTGCAGTGTAAAAAAAAGGGGCCAAACATCTGCAAGCTTTGTGAGACACTCAGATTTTCCTGAAGAAAAAACTATTCAGTTCACAAAATCGTGCGGTTAATTTCAGGAAAAGAAAATGACAAACAGTAAACAGGTTATATGAGTTCATTACATACAGCCACAGTTGAACTGTTTAGTTCTATTTCTGGTGAGAATCATCTCCAAAACTCTTGGAAGCCTTCCTCTCTGCATTAAATATTTATGAAGCCATTTTAAAAATGATTCGACCTTCAGTGTGAACAGTCTTCTAGCTCTGCTGCTTGTTGCTCTTTTGATTGGTCGAGTAGTGCTAAACATTGGCAGGAAGGTTTATTATTCTTTCCAGCATTATGTCTCCGCCTGCAATTTCCTGAGTCTCCATTTTGAGGTATTAACCCCAAGCTGTTGTTTCTCAGTGCACGCAAAAGGATGTTTAAATTTCATGACTGAAATGGCCCATGAAATTAAACATTTTTCCTGCTTTGTTTTCATACATTAAACAGTACAGCCCTGTTTACATGGTTTCTGTAAAAACACTGGAGTAAGGTGATAAAACTTGTCAGCCGCAACGCATTCAGCCAAAACATCCTACATGTGTCGAGCACTTTAAGATGTTTGTAGGCAAAAGTGGGAAGAAGTCCTGGCATGAGTTCATCAAAAAGGAGTTTATTCATGCGTTTAGTGCTTTAAGTATTAACTGGACTATTTTAGGGTATGAATGTTTCATTGTCCTCTTCATCATGATGCTTCTCAGTGTGGGGCTGATGTAGGGATGGTAGAAGATGAGAAAAAGGTGACCACTATATCCTCACACAGCTGTTCACCTCAAAAACTGCAGCCCGAAACCAGCACTAAGCTCTCCATCATGCAGACTCTCTTTCATGAGCACTCTCTTAGATACATGCAGAAGTAGACACACACTGAAACACACACAATAATAATTAAAAAAAAAAATACTAGATGTAAGATTATTTTCAGGCCTTGGTTTTGTTTGGAGAGGGTAGGACAGCAGCTGGAGCAGGAAATGTGGCAAAAGAGCAAAGGAGCGGCATGTGGAAAATGAGCCACAGAAGCAAATCTGGGTTGGCTATCTGAGGCATAACATCTGTATATGGGGTTCAAGTAGACCACTAGACCAGTGGTGTCCCACAACTAGTTTTGTTCACAGCTCACAAATATAAGATAAGAGAAGATGTTCCTTTAATAGTCTCACAGGGGGAAATTCCAAATTTACAGCAGCATAGTACGGACACAAAAAGAGAAATTAAAGGATAAGGAAACTTAGAGTTAAGAAAAAGATATGTACATGAGTCATATTTACATGAGTACAGAATATACAACTATATAACTCACAATGCTACTGATCATGATGTCCCCATATATTCATAAAGACTGAACTACCCATTATGTCCACACTACAAAATCCAGTCAGCAAGAATAAACAAATACAGCCAACTTATGTAAAGTGAGACAATGGTCATCATTAGGTTACCGTCGGTTAAATGTTTCGTCTTGTGCATACATGATCATAAGTATGTCAATTTCAAAAGTCCATTTTCATTGTCATCAACATAACTCATACAGTGACCTGTGTTGAAAGTTGGCCATTAAATGTGCTCAGCCTGAAATCCACAGAGTCAATAGTAATTCACCACCTTGTAGCTGCACCTGGTTCTTAAAGGGAGTGTTGATATTTGCATCTATCCTTGACGTCACTCCTGACAAAAAAAAGGCCACACGAGGAGAACCTGGTCTTTCTATTGTACATACAGAAACAGATGAATCCAAACACAGGCATGAACACAACTATTAAGTCATTTAGCTCCCACAGCACAGCCTCACTTTGAAGCCCACCACATCAGACACACTAAGAAATCAAACAAACCCCACCACCATGACTGCTGCTGCTGCTGCTGCTGTCACTTCATCTGGACATCCCTGCAGCTGAGCTACAGCTGGCTGAACTCCACTCACTCACTCACATATATTCTACAAACATGTCTGCAGAGAATGAACAACATAAATAATTTAATTATGACATGAAACAAACAGTCAAGCCTCACTCCTGATCAGCACCTGCCATGTTAAATTCCCAGATATTTTTTTAGCGTAGCCTGTTTTAATACACAGAAAGTTCAAGTTTCTGTTTGAATAACATATTTTCATTTCTTTAAGGGGAGTTCTGCTGTGGTTCAGCAGTGGTTTGTATGAAGCCACAGCTGAAGAAACAGGCTTTGTGTAACTATTTACAACCAGTCATTAATCAATTATGTTCTATACAAGCAGGCTGCACACACTTTTAAAAGCATGGGTTTGAGACCTCATGCCAAACATGTGGTTTGTGTAGCTATAGTCCCTTTCCAGTAAAACACCTTAAAGTAGCTTTGGTGAGGTTCGATTCATATGGAGCCATCAGCAGAAAATAACTCTAAACATAAATCTATCTTTGTCAAACTAAATGTGATGTGTTTGTATTAGCCCCAAACAAAAAAAAGGTTTCTAAATTATTGTGCAATTGTTTGTGACACTGTTTGGTTAACCCAAATTATGGACAATTATTGGTTTCGAACCTGTTTTCTTTCCAGGACCTCAGCTATTAGTTTTTGACTTTTGTTTTGAAGCTGACAAATGGAGCTAGTGGACTTGAGGTGGATCTGGTTAGAGGGGCTGTAGGACTGTCATGACAGACCTGCAGATAGAACTTCAGAGATCTCTCAGGTTGAAACAGATCTCAGTCAAACAGACTCTTGACTTAGGCCACGTTTATACATAACCAGTTATTTTTAAAAACAGAGATATTAACCATCGTTTGTACCCTTTGTTTAGACGCAAACAGGGAATTCACCTCTGAAAACAATGCTTTTTAAAGACTGTGGCCAGAGTGGACTTTTTGGAAAACTGCTGCACATTTGCATAAACAGAGAAAAACAGACATTTGGGTAGCCAACGGCAGATTGTAGGCTGGACACTGCAAAGTTGTTTCCAATCTACAGTCCATTTGTACAATCTATTTGTCATGGATGCATGCAGAATAGCAGTTGCATTTATGTTGGTGCAATCCCTTTGTATTTGTTTGCATTTGCAAATACAAGTGCTGTACTATGTGGAGGAGCAGAGATGACTGAGTGCTCAAAGGTCAGCAATGTTGCAGCAACTTCTCTCTCCGACATGAAGCGTGCCCCAGCGTTTGGGTGTGACCTGGGCGCACTGCTGTCTGGTAGGAGACCCTTGAAAATGAAATGGTTCTGCCAGGGGAGCCGCGTAAAAATTTCTGGATGTCACGGGCATCACTGCTGTCACTCTTCGAGTTGCTGCGCCTACAGGTTTGGCATGCTCTTGACAGTACAAGGGTTGGTTTAATCGAAAACTTTTCTGAAGACGTAGTGGTGTGCACTCAGTTTTTTGTTTTTTTGTTTTTTGCAAATGGAGAGGGTGAAATGTTCGTCGTTTATGAAAATAGCCGGGCATGTGTAAACGTCATCTTAATCAGATGCTGATACCCACAGGTATGTAAAGTTCAATGTGTTAGTGTTTGTCACGTTATCTCCTCCATTCTGCTAATCGAACTAGAATCGTAGGCGCCACATTTGACGAGAGTCATGCTGGTTTTTACACTGAATTTCCTGCTGTTGTCACTCCATCCATCAGCTTCATATCACTCTGTCTCAAAGATAAGTATGTCTGACAGCTTTTCCTCAGAAACCTTCAAAGAGATAGTTGTATACGTGTGATTTTCCACATTCAGACATGCCTGAAGCCAAATAAGATCATGAGACAACAACAGGAGGAGGTTTGTTTTTTTTCATGTCATCATTCCTGGTTTTATAAATGTATCTCGTCTCCCTCCAGTTCCCAGAAAAGTCATTTAATGAAAACAAACACTCACGTCTAAACAATCACAGTGTGTTCTGTCTGTGCTGGTGGACAGCTGGAGCTCGCCTGTGTGCGTTGTTGTGTCTGTGGCTTGTTTGTGTATTGAACTATCCAGTGTGGGGTGTGATTGTTTAACCGAGCTAATCGAGCGTGATTAATTGTAAAGCTGTTTCCATTAGAGCGGTTTTAGATCCAACACAGACACGGCTGTGAGCAGGAAGAACAAACACAATCGCTGACAACTTTATCTGATGCCATCTATCTCTAAAACAGGCCAGCACCAACTCCCTCAAATAAATAGACTGTGCTTCTACTCTGTTAGAAAGTGTTTTGGGTAGGGTACATCACTTATCCTTAATATAAAGGGTATTATTTAACTTTTAAGTCTTCTAAACACTGGTAAAGTTTGGACCCTGCTGGCCTCTTTATGAAAGCACATGAGAGACAAGGGGATTTGTCTGTAAGATTGATTTGCTGCTGCTCTTCCTCCCACCACCGGTGCTGCCGTGTAAGCTCATGAAAGTTGGGGAAGGTTTGCCTGATGTGGTCATTTTGAGAGTTATCTTGCCGATGCTGCTCTGCCTGCCTTTGCTTTTCATGCATAGCCGTAAAACATGGGAGGTGTGCTTTCCCTGCTGCAAGCTTTGGTGTTCCACGCAAACACAAAGAGCTAAGCTCTCAGTTTTGAGAATTGCTGCAGCTTCCTAATTTAATTTTCACATCTCACACATTTTAATTCATACCCAGTTGCTTGTAATTGACCCTGACTCCAGCTATGAATCTATCCTTTTGTATTCTTTCATTTTAATCCACCTATTATTTCTTTCCGCCTTATGATGAAGGTGAAAGAAAACAAGCTGCTTGAGAATCCTGTAATTTCATTCTTATTCACCACTGGAAGACTTTCAGGTTCACAGAAAGGCCCTTTCTTCTTTGTTTCCTTCCCTCCTTCCTGCCGCTGGCATCCCCTCAAAGTCAAGTGGGATGTTGGTTGAGTTCTGTCTGGATGGAGGTGACTGATATCCCTCTGTTTCTCTCACTTACACTTCAAAACATGAAAGCTGTTGTGACAGATGTGGAGTCCATATTACCCTTTATTGTTGCTAATAATGTGATTAGAGAGACAATAATTAAAAATAGATTTCCTCAAAATGTGACAGAGGTGATATGTTTCCATAATAAGTAAAATGTAGGTCGAGTTTTCACACACAGATGTTGAGGACACATGTGGTAAACTGACTGTTTATACACGAGAGGACCAGCTGTTTTAATATTTGTCCAGGTTGCTATTTTTCTCATCCTCCCACTAAAGTCTGATCACTTTCACCTCTGGCTATTCGGTTATGAACTTGTCTGAATTTGATTTGTATTTCAGAGCTACATTACATGATTTAAAGGGTCGTTCAAAATATTTTACACAGACAAGTCAAGTTGTTTTGTCGAGTGTGTCCTGGAGTTACATTCATACCTGGAGAATCTGCAGTTTACAATTTCTCTGCAGACATTCAACGCTAATACAAGATGTATGTAATTGATACACAACAGCCAAAAGTAGAGCCTTTGTTGAGGATCTGCAGCCTCTCAGTTTCTTATCTCATCATCCATGCTGTGATCTGACTGGGGAAGAGAGCTCTGATAATAAGGCTTTATGTCTGTGGATGCCCAAATGTTGTCTGTGGAGGATGCAAACTGGTGCAGCATGCAGCAAAATCGATGAGTGCTCTAGAAGAACCCATGCCAGAACAAGCTAAATGTATTTTATAATTAACTGTAAATATAATCCAATCTTGATAGCACATCTGATGTTTTTGGATCACTTACTTGTTGGCAAGGATCTTTAAATGACGTTCAATTTCGAAGCAAACCATATCTTGTACTTACATCAGTCATGAAACACCACCATAACCAAAACCATCTCCTGTCAGGGGTTCTCCTGACACACCATCTTAAGTTTTGTAGATTTCATTGTACACGTCTTTAGTTAGTCCTCCAGGTTTTGTGACTACAGTCACATCCCTCCAACTTAGTGTATATGGTGTAAAGTCAGTGCTGAATGAATAAGAAAAACAGTAAGAATGACAGACATGCTTAAAATGTCTCGACTCAACCGCATTCCCAGTCTGTCTGAGTCCCTGAAAGTGCCTCTGTCCTGTCCTCTATCGCAGTTTTGATACCTGATTCCCCTTTACCTCAAAAGGGTTATTCAAGGTATTTACAGATCACTCTCAACATCCAAGAACTGTTTGCTCTGGCCTTTAAGAGTTTGGGTTGGACATCTGGAAGGTAGAGACATGCTTCCAGAAGCTCAATTTCATCAAGATATTCTGGTAAGAGTCAAGTCAAAACCACCTCCACGCCCGTCGCTTATCAGAGACTCCTATTAAGATTAATGTCTGCGTGGAGGTGGAGAGGTCAGGAGAGGCTCTGAACTTTGTCCCAACACTGTCAGACAAGTCTGATGCCTTCACGGAGGTCTGCTGATGAAAGAGCTGTGAGAAAACAATGTCCTCGGCTCAATTATCCTTCTCCAGTGAGGTGTTTTCAGTGGTTTGACCAAAACCTGACCACTGTTAGGGTTACTGGCTGATAGATAAATGGATGAAGTAGTTATATTTACATTCTTTCTTTCATTTGGGGAGAAACACAGTCATAGTTGTGGTGAGATGAGGGTTGAAAACCTCTTTTATGGATCACAAAAACAAAAGATCAGCTTTTTAAACAGTTTGTCTTTTCATAAAAGTCAGCAAACACTACCACACACAGTTAGCTCAAACTGGACCATCAGAGTCACAAAATCCACTTTATCTTGGTCACGTGTTTGAGGTGTATATACCCTGAAAGAACCATTTACAATACAGTTTCAAAGGAAGTGTACCCAGCACTCTGAATAAATGAGAACTGTGTATTCTATGTACAGTAATGAGCTGTATGCCAAATAGAAAATGGGAAATAAGATCCTTAAGTAATCAACCAAATGGCTTATAACCAATTATGCGGTTATGGGATTTAACTTCACAGTCATGATCAGCTGATTATAACCAACCCTTGCAAAAATGATATGAAACCTCAGCTTGTCTTCACAGTTTCAAATTCAGCAATTTTTTTCTTTTTGTTTTGTTTTTTAATTTTTATTTTAAATTAGGACCTTTTAAAGTATGTCATTTTTCTACCTCATCCTTTTATTCATTATGTTTTTTTTTTCAATTAGGACCTTTTAAAGTTAGTAATGTTTCTACCTTATTCTTTTTGTTTGTTTTTTTTTTTTTCATTTTTTAAAATTATTTTTATTTTTTAATTTTTATTTTTTACTTGTTTTTTAATTTATTTATTTATTTATTTTGGGTCTCCATCTATCTTTTTCAGAGTCCACACATTTGTACATTTTCACTCTCAGAGCCCTGGTCTTGTCTCTGCCTCTTGTACTGGCGGAGATGTTTCGGGGTCAGGGATTTTTTAAACCTCCTCCATGCAGAGATTTTCTCCATCTCAGGTGTTGTCGAGTTAATCTCTGATGTCTCCTGGACCGTATTGGGACATCTTCTTTGCTGTCCGCCAGAGTGCTGTCCAGCGCAAGGGTGGTCTCTGTGTTGTCCTTGCTCATCTGGCTGTCCTTCTCCTTTCTGAGCTCCTCCAGCTCCACTCACAGGGCCTGACTGACCTCTCTCTGATCTTTGAGTTTAGAGGTCAGCTCAAGTAAGCTGCTGGTTCTTTCTTCCAGTTGATTTTTGAAGTTCTCCTGCTCCTCTGTGTCAGAAGTCTCTCTGTTTAAGGCCTCTGTCTGCAGGTTGTTCATCTTCTGCTCCAGTGATTCCTTTTCTTTTGTCAGCTGAAGCTCTTTGTTTTATTGTCTGGAAAAGCTGGTCCCTGACTTCCTCCAGCTGTGTCTGGAGGTTGCTATTCCTCAGCATCCCTGCCTGCAGCTGACAGTTGTGAGACACAACAAGATTTGGGACCTCTTGCATCTTGTCTGAATGATTTGATTCATTCTTGGCTGTCCTCAGGACCTCTGTCCGGGGGGGTTCAGCTCTCACACATTTAGCCTGCAGCTGGCTGTTCAAAGAAGTAATGAGCTCTGATATCTTCTGCTTGTTATCAAAGTTTTCTGTTGCTCTGCTGTGCACATTTTCAAGCAGGGTCTTCACTTCCTGTTCCAGAGCAAGTTTCTCAGTCTTCAACTGAGGAACTTGCCTTAAGATCTTGCTGTGTTGCTCTAGAACTGTACACCTCAGCTTCGCCTGTTGTTATTGGAGGGTGTTGGCTCTCAGTCTTTCAGCCGGAGGCTCCTCCTTGAGAGACGCAACATGGTCTTTGAGGGCCTGCATCTCAGCACTGTTATCAGCCCTCTCAGCTGGAGCTCTGGTGGGTAGAGTTGAATTTTTTGCCCCCCTTTAACTTTCTTTAATCTTCTTCTAGTGTCATCTTCGTCATGACACTCCTTCCATCTCCAGACTGAAAGGCGCTGCTGTTGGTTCCCAGATGTAGAGCTCTAAGTTCTTCTTGAGCTCCCCCATTTCCTTCTCCGTGGCCTGTTTGGCTGACTCGTGTCCCCTGAGCTCAGTCATTGAAGCCTCCATCTGGAGGGCAGAGTTGAAGTTTGTGCCGAAGAAGAAGATGATGGCCTCATCCTGCTGGGTGATTTCCGGCTTCTTTTCACCTAAGGCCTTTGCGAGGAGCTTTTTGTTCTGGGCAGGAATGATGCCCATGAGCTTCTCCTTGGTACTCAGTGAATAATAAAACATGTTGTGTGGTGCTGCATAGGACGGGTTCAGGTGTTTTACCTCCTCTTTGAGCTGCAGAATGACTCTTTCACAGCCCTCACACCTCTCTACCGTCACCCTTTCCTTCAGTTCTGCCACTTTGGGGTCATATTTTTGCTGCAGCACATCCCTTGGCCACTCTCTCCTGTTTCAGAAGCAAGCTCAGTTCCTGTATTTGGTTCCTGAGATCTGCTTCTACCTGCCATCGGGGAGGACGTCCCCGGAACCCTGGGTTGTAGGGGGCCTAGTGGTTGTGGCCTTCCTGGGGGTGGTTAACCTTGACACCTCCTTGTTGTCTATGGCTAGGGGCTTGCTGGTTAACCTCTGGGCCTCCTTGTGACCTTTGTTGTGGGGCCTGATGATAATGGTTAACCTTTGGGCCTCCTTGTGGTTTTTGGTTTTCAGCCCTCCTCATGGATTGCGGTTTGTTGTTGTTAAGCATTGTTGTCAGTAGCTGGATCAGTGTCTTGAACGTAGACTGGTATACAAGAACAATACAAAAAAATACAAGAGTATACAACACACAGTGCTCAACATAGACTGTATATAGAATGGACACTGTCTGCATTCTCGCTGGGTTGAGGCCACTCTGAGAACAGCACAGGAGCCTTTGCCTCCATCATTATGGGGCTGTAGACAAACTTTGGAAATTTATTACACAGAACATAATTTTTCCTCAAGTGGTGGAGTGTGTACAACGCTACTGCGCAATGTTGGTTTCAGGAAGTGGAGAAAAAATGTGGAATTACCAAGAGTTTTTGGCTTCAAAACCGTATACTGGCCGAAGGCGGAACCAAGTTGTCCATAGTATATACAGTCTATGGTCTCCACCTATAGTTTCCACCTGGTCTTAACGCATACACAGATGTGCCCATACTTTTTGTTTGTACTTTTAAAAATTTTGGAATTCTTTTTTTATTTTACTTAATTAATTAGTTTTTTTGAATTTTATTTTATTGTTTTCAATTGGATTTCCACAAATCTGTATGCTGCCTATACTAAATTTGAACAAAATGGCCACTCATTGCTTACATACTGCCCAATCCAACACTAAAATGAAGCCACTCTTAAATAAAATAAGGGCAAGTGATGTTTTCTCATAGTGTAACTTGGTGTTGAATTATGCTGTTTAATTCACCCTGGCAATTTAGTCTGATCTGTAATGGTCCCATACTTACACAAAGTACATCATGAAGTGATTGTGCAGACCTACAACCAATCTTAACAGCAGTCTTGTTCTCATGAAAATACATCATCTGGTTTCTAAATCCACCACCATTGTGGATTTAATGAATTGTCCTGAAGTGGGAGCTGACAGTGGAGACAACCAGATGACATAGGTCTAAAACACATGAAATATATCCTAAAGTGATCGTTGACAATTACTGTTTAGTTCCTTGATTGACATTCATGGTTTAAATCATGTGTGATGGAATGACGGGGTCCTTTTAAAGCTAGAAGATTTCTGTGGACATACACAATTACTATTACACACACATGCTTACACAGATGTGCCTAAACTTTATTAAAAACCCTGTGAGGGAGCTAAACTTAGGGATTAGTCACCATGGGTGCAAGGTCAGAAGTCAGAGAACTGCTGGGCATTCAACCTGTATGACATGTCCATACCAATGTAAGAGACATTAAATGCAAGTTCTTATTATCAGAGTTGCTAAGTGGAGAATGTGGACTTTTTATACAGTATGCTGCAAACATTCAAAGACCGGGTCCCATCTTTTTCAGTGGACAGTAAAGAAGGAAAAATGCACCTTTAAATAAAACATTCATCACAATGGATGATGACATCCTGTTAAGGGTCCATTTATGCCCCCTAAAAATACATATGTAAGATTTAAACAGTAAAACCACCAGGATGGATGTTAAAACACTGCACCTGCAAGAGGGCGCCACTTAAAGTCAAAAGTGAAACCAGATAGGAATTAACATGACAACTAGCATGGTCATGGTAGATAAGGTTTTGATTTGTCCTTGTGAACATTTCAAGTACACTGGCTTAAAAAACTTTCGTGGGACACTACCCTCTAAGCAGCCTCCTAAGCATAGAACAATCACTTCCTCCCTCTCTGGTACACCCTCACACACACACACACACACACACACACACACACAGATTCACAGGCTGCAGATAAAGAGATTTACTAAAGGCACCATGTTGTTTTTGGCTTTGCTCTCAGAGGAATGCGGCTCTGATAGACCTCCCTCTGTCTTCTCTGTCTGCCCTGATCATGACACTGTCCAGCCATCCTGTCTCTCTCACTGGCAAGCCATGTGTGTGTAGTCGATATTACTGGGATGCTGTGCACACATTTATATCTGCTTAACGCTCTGTATGGGGACCAAAGGATATAATATTAGTGTTAATTATTTACCGTTAATGTTTAAAGTTCAAAGTTAAAATCAGTTCATATAGAGTCTAGACCAAAGGAATTCCTCCTATGGCATATAATGATCTAAGTCCAACCCTGTGTGTGAGAACTGAAAAGATAATGCAGAATCCATTACACACTGAAGTCCAGCTGTTGTACTGGCCTTCTTTCCCAGCATTTGATACAATTGTGTAAAGTGTCTTTCCTTCACAGACAGATTCAAAAACCATGAACATATGAATTTGCAACTAATCTGTGTTGGATTTTGCTGCCAGTTTTTTTCTGTGATTGTGCTTTGTACACATTATTGAAAAATGTGGAACAATAAGATGTGACTGAAAAAGACACAAATGGATTTCTCAGGACTGCAGAGCTAGATAGGAAAATAGATCTGAAATGGATTTTTCAGGCATGTGTCTCATCTTGCAGTCCATTTCTCACCGTTGTCACATATATGAACTCAGACTCATCTCTTATGTCATAATGTAATCACAGTCTGACACCGGAGAAGTGCAAATGCAGCCAGTTAGACTATGTACCTCTTTCCTAGAGTGTTAAATGTTTTTAATTCACATTTCTTTTTCTTCTAGTGAGGAGTTGCTCGAGCTAGAGCTATAAATTCCGAACCCCTGCTGTTTGATTTACAGCAAAGTACACATAGCAAGCCTCTTTATTGCCAGTTAATGTCCATTTTCATAATTTAAGGTTGACTTGGTAAAACAATCCTGTACTGTTGTCAAAAAATCAACCATTTAAAAATCTATCCATCCAGACTGACTTTGAAGGGTGCCAAGCACAAGAGGCAAGCAGGTGAGGTAATAAAATGGACATTTAAGTTCACATCATAGAGATGGTTTGGGTTGATGGATCAGTCAAACAAACACAGACTGAGGTGCAAACTTGAGTAACTGTTTAAACTATTTTGTCATTATTATTGGACTTTATATTTATGACTCTAAGTGTCCCTCAGCGCATCATTAAAGTCGTGTAAAACTTTCTGTTACTAACATAACAGTATCTACCATTGACTGACTGCACCCTCTGGCCTGCTGGCTTAAGCATTACAATAGTAGTGATAATAACTGATAATGGCCGTTTAATGGTTCATTTAATGAACCGTTAAAGTGCATAGTGTGTGCCTTGTCTGCAGGCAGCTGTTTGGATGCGCAATTAGGTAACAATTTTGGCAAATTCACACTGCAGTGTGATAATTTGTCGGTGTTGTGTTTACAGTCGTATCCATGGCGCAGAAGTGGCCAAAAAAAAGCAACTTTAGCATTAGCTTAACAGAAAAACCTCTAAAATCTCTGCAGTTAGCTGATAGCGACGTTTTTGGTTTGTTGATTTTATAGGCAGAGTACTTCATATTAAAAGAACACATAAATCAATAGAGTCCTTTTTTTTTTTGCATTCATTGGATCCCCATCAAGTGGTCAGAACGCTTTGGAAAATTAGTCCAAATGTATCCTGGGATCAATATGTGATCAGGAGCTTTTGAATATCACACAGTTATCCTGCCCAGTTAGGTCCCACAACAAATACAAAGCTGTCTTTTATATCTTTTCCCTGCAAGTTTTATCTTTATTCTTCTGTCTCTTTACTTGCTGTACTTTAGAGAAGTCATGTCATGATAACAAAACAAAATTTAAGCATTTATTTTTTATCCAGGACGTTTTTTATTCAGTGTTTAAGAAAAAAGGGTGAACATATTGCAAATTAAAGCAAGTCAAAATACTGTGCCATGGAACCGTAGATGGGATGATGGTGATTCGGTGCATGCTTCCTTGTGGCACAAGAAAAGGAGGCCCTGAGGAAAAAAACAGAAGTGCTGGTTTAAATCAGTCATCAAGGACTGAAATCTTGTGAAAAAATTATTGCTATGAAAATATTGCAAACATATACTTAAGTGGCAGAAAATATACAGGGTCGGTCCGCCCATGTATTGCCCTGGTGTAAGAAACAAAACAGTAAGACATAGCTGAGCTTTTAACAAGCAACTTGTACAAAGAGCAAGAACAGTTAAATGTGTAAAAAAATAAAAATAAAAAAATGGTAAAATTTAACAATAAAACAGAGACAGAATGGTGTACTGTTAAAGGCATTGAGTAAAATTGGCATGTTCCTGCTTTTTTGACATACTTCAGGTGAGCTGCCTCAGTGTCCAAGCGTCCCATTTGTGCTCCAAGCTGATGGGAGTTTTTCTTGCTTGATTAATTCGGTTATTCTACTCACACTTTTTTTTCCTCCCCTCTCATCTGAATCTCTATCAGCTCCTTGGTCTTGTTTCTCCTCCTCCTTTTAAAGGGAAATTACAGCTGAGAGCTCCTTCCTATCAGGCGCTGGTTGAAGTTAAATTTATGTCTGTGTGTGTTCCTGTGAAAAAACACAGCTGCTGACAGACCATCATTTAGCAATTAGGCGCTCTGTGTAGTGGATAGATTTTGGCTTATTTAGTTTTTCAGGTCATTAGGAATGAAGCTAACACACATAATGAGCGGGAATTTGGAGGGTTTGTTTGCAGCCATGTGGCTTTGCAGCTCTTGTCCTGCTCTGAGGTCATACAGATGTGTCCTCGCTTTGATGCTAGCTCAAACAGTGTCGCTTTCTTGGATACATGGAAACAGAGATAGTGTTTGCAGAGTCATGCTGAAAGGGGGCATCACAGTGCCAAAGAGCATGTGTGGAGGGAGATATCCACTTCCTCCTGTTTTCCAAATTGTCCCTTTTTACTCCATCTGAGGTTTTTCACAGGCGCTGGTCCCCGCTTAGAGTATTTCATCATGGCGAACTCTGAGGATCCAGTTTCAAAACATCTCCCAGGCTATCAAACCGTAACCATGCGACATGCTCCCAACATAACATGAAACCAAGGAGCTTTTTCTCATTAGGCCCAGTGGAGCTCAGAGGACAGGCAAAAGAATAAGTGGTCTTTATGCCACAGCCAAAAGAAAGACGAGAAAGGTTCATTGGTAATATGTTAACTGCTAACAAATGTGATGTTACAGCTAAATAAACATGCTGTAATGCAGATCATGTTCTCCCAGTACCCTCCACAAACCCCTGAAAGAGAACATGTTGACCCTGCTCCTTTTTAAATCTGTTTGTTTCTGATTTTCTGCTTTGAATTTAACAATCAAAAAGTCCCTGGTGAACTTTTGAGATTAAACTTATTTATCACACACTGTCACAAGTAGAGGTTTTCTGCATTAAAAGCCATACCAAATTTAATAATATATGGCGTGGAACAAAAAAACTCATGTCTTTACTTAACCTAGACAGTTTTTGATCTGGATAAATAGGATGGAGGCTGTGTATGTAACTATTCTTTGAGGGTGAGGAAGCCTTTATTTCCTACACATCCCCAATATTGATGAATTAGTGACATGACCTACTGTAGTTTTGATCATGACACAGTCCAACCAGCTTGTTAATCTAAAGTTTAGACTAACAAGCTGGTTGGACAGTGTTTAGACTCTAAACAGAGCTTGTGTCTGTACATCTGTTGACCAAAATTTCAATTTGCATAATGGGGCTACACCTTTATTCCTTTATTGATTATTTTTTGTAAAGACTTCGGTAAATCTGTCTTGGAAGCCAGTGTTACTGGGGGGTAGTGTGTATACATTTGTCCTTGTTGTTCTATCTTAATGGGGACCATAAGACACTACACATATTGTGGGGACACGTTCAGATTGCTTAAAAAGGGGGTATAGTGCTTATTTTTTTCATGCTTATGTCTTAATAATAGTTTTTAATAGCTTTTACAGTTTAGCTACTGTCTCTTTTAGGGCCCCCTACCACCCCAGAAGCCTCTTCCACTGTTGCCGTTAAACAAATACATGTTTCTCTATTTTAGGAGGGAAAAAAAGGATTTTTTTATGGAGAGTCTCTAACTGGTGATGTCACAATTTGAGCTAATCTCATGTTGATCTCATTGGTCTCTGTGACTTTCTGAACAAGCTGCAGGCTCACTTGAGGATTACTCCAACAAACATTTACCTCACAATCTGAAGTTTTGCCCACATTCAGCATTGGCATCTAAAATGCATCTTACATGTAAAAAAGCATAACACAGCCCTTAATTGTTTAGTTTGTGGTAAGACGAGTTATTTTTAGGCTTATGACATGTTTGTGAAAACTTCAACATGGAAAAATAACTCGTAACGACAGATGTCAGATCACTGTAAAAACTGAGTAAGCCTATGGATGCAGGTTTATGAAATCCATATCATTCCATTAGAATGTCAAATCCTTGAATAAAAACACTTTAGATTAATGTTTTCTCTCCAGCAAATATTGGAAGTATACCATCATGTAGAGGCCAACTTCAACATCAGTCAAAATAAAGGCAGAATTTCCATATTATGTTTTCTGTACAGATTTGGAAACCTCACACAGAGCCAACTCCAGAAAACAGGTTTTAAGTCATAACAGTATTTAGGTTTTGTTTTGATGTAACAATACAAGCAGCAAGAAGAGAGAATCAGGATTAGTTCAAGGGTCTAAATCAACATCTGCTCTGTATTAACAGGCTGTGTCTGTGATTGATTGTAAACGATACTTGATTTGAGGACTGCAGGGGAATTGAGGAATCAACACCCTGGACAAATGTATAACTCTCTCCATCTTTCTCCCTCTCTCTCTCTCTCTCTCTCTCTCCCCAGTCTCTCGCTCCCAGGTGTCTTCACAGCGCCAGGAGGTGCTTATGGAGAACGTGACCCGGATGTCAGAACGTTCTCGGCAGCCCCAGCCAGGCCTGGGCGAGGCTTCCACTCAGGCTGACCTGCTGGAGAACATCTGGAAACTGGAGAACCTCTTCCAGAACCACAGTGACTGGCTGCAGAGGCTGGAGATCCTTATCAAGGCATGACACAAGACTAGAGAGAGGACCTGGAAGTTATTAACGGGAGTGTGAAAAACATGACCCCGGCGAGGATTGCAAACAAAGTTGACGCTGTTTTCTTTCACATACAGGGTCTGGAGGTGGATCTGAGGAGCATCCAGGCACACTCCCTTCAGTCTGAGGGTTACTTAGTGCAGCTGGACGACAGGCTGTCTACTCTGAGCAGCTCCGCCAGCAGGAACCTGACGGGCCTCAACACAGAGGTGTCCCGAGCCTCCATCTGGCTCCGTGACCAGGACGTCCTGCTCAGGTATAGATTAGCCTTGGTCCTCATTTCATGAGCATGAAGAATAATTTTGATTAGATCAAGAACATCTGTCTCCATCCTCCGTCAGGGACACCTCACGTCAGGTGAGCAAGCTGAGAGAGAAAATGGACGAAGTTAATTGGACAGTGGGAGCTGTCAATCACACCTTCACCAATGACATCAGTATTCACCACCTGAAGATACAAGACCTGCAGGTTCATAATCATATCATTAAAGACCCTCAAAGTCCATGATATAAAGATTTTGTTCACCAGGATACTACAAGCAGACTCATGATCTAGACTGACGGTTTCTTTTGCTGATCAGATCCAGATCAGCAACATCACAGAGGACACCAGCAGTTTATGGGTGACCCACGTCCACACAGAGGCCCAGCTGAGGAACGAGATGGAGATCCTCAACACCATCACAGAGGACCTCCGCCTGAAGGACTGGGAACACTCCATGGCCTTGAAGAACCTTACCATTTTTGAAGGTCAGCAAATGCTTCTTCAGATTTCTCTCCAAAGTGCTAAATAATCTGCTTTTTTTATGCTTGTCCCCTTCTCACAGGGGACATTTCTGTGCTTCATTACCGTCCAAGTCCAACACCAAAGGGACACTCAAGGGACCAAAGCGCCCCTCTTGTTGGCCGAAATGCTCCCTTAAGCACTCTTGAGATTAGCTTTAGTACTGCAGCCCAGTTCACATTGACTTGGTAATTTGCAGGTCTTCAATTTGCTGTTGGAGAAAAATTACAAATCGTGTAAATTCAATGTCATGTTGGATATTTTTTTTCGACCAATATTTCAAAAAAAAGTTTGCACCATGTGAAAAATGTTGATAAAGTCAGGTTTAATGCTTCACATTTTTCTGCCGGGGAACATTATTCTGAGATCATTGAAACTTTTGCTCTCACAGTCTATCACTGATGATGACACTCTTTCCATCCTTCCCTCTGAAAGACTTGGCCTCTCTTGGATCCCCTTTTCACACCGACTCATGTTACTAACTTGTTGTAAAATTGACCTTATTAGTTAAGAGATATTCTTCCTGTTACTGTTTTTAGCATTTCACAACTTTTTCAGTTTTTGTCTATATCCCAACAGTTTTGTAACATATCACAGGCATCAAATTTAAAATATGATAGATTTTCAATTGAACAGGGGGTTTAAATTATTCGCAAACCACCAAATTATGTTGCTGTCAACATTTTACAGAGCTGCCCAACTTCTCTGGAATTGAGCTTGTACTTTCGGTGTGACAACTTAAGTTTTTAATGGTTTGAAATGTTCATTTCAGCAGCAAAATACTATTTGTATTTGGTGTCCAGGCTTCCATCTCATGCAGAAATTTGAGAGGATTTTAGATAATATCCTAAATCCTTCAGCCAAAATCTGTGGGGGCTAAAGGGGCTGAAAGTCTAATCCAAGACAGCAGTGTCACAGACAGAGCAGACTTGAAACCTTGTTGCTTAAGTAGATCACCATATCATGGGGATATGTTAGGGTGACATTTAGAGTGTGAAATAAGCCCAGCTTGACTGGCCTGCCTGAAATAGCTCCCAAGGGTAGATGATTTCATTAACCAACTCCAGAACAGTCATCTCATGGTGGAATCAATTCAAGTCGGTTTCTTATTTGTCTTTGCTTCATCATAGTTGGTGTGTGAACACAAAATGTGACTTCTCCTCTATGCTATACCCAAACTCGCCCCCTAATCTCAGCCCAAAATAAGTTCTGATGGCACATCTGACACTAACAATCTCCTGCTATGAGGTGTCAAATGTTTTGACCTGAAATTCCTGTAATTATCGACAAACGATAGAAGGGGTTCCTGAAACAGCCTCCTCTTCTGCGCTTCACTGGGACTGATTGTTTGCTTTTCAGCATGTGGTTGTATTTCATATCACAGATAGATACAAGTATTGTGCACAAGTCATTTCTCCTAGACATGCAATTCTCATGTTTTTTTCGAGTTATTAATGACAACAGAAAATACCAAGAGCCTAACAGGAGCTCATGAACTCTGAGGATTTTAAAAGGGCATCAAGCTGAAATAAAGAAGAGCAACTGTTGGGTCTTGGTATCGAGCAGCCAAATCCAAATTGATGGAGGCAAATTTGGTCAAACTGTTTTCCCACGATCTGAGTTTAATAGAGCCAAGTTGAGGACATGATTCCCCTGAGTCTTCTCCACAGCAGGTGGTAACTTTCCCGTGCTGTTGTTGAAGAGCTTGGTAGCAGGGCCAACCTGTGATGGTATTCCCCCTCTAACCTCAGCCCTGCCTCTTATTAATCTGACTCATCACATGTGTGTTCGTGCTGCTCATTAAATAGAAAGCCCCTTTTGTTTGTTTTATTCTCTCAGAACTTTTGTGACTTCAATCTGGATCTCTGTAGTTTGATTTCCATTCCCATATACAGGGGGTATTTTCAATCATCAGCCATTTTCTAGCTGTGTTAGATTTTGATTGTGAAATACCACAAGTAATGGTTATTTTTCCGACCTGTCAACGAACCTTAAATCCAAGTAGAGTCTCAGTTCCCAAACTGAGTTTTGCATCTTTTGTACAGTCCCTGTTATAGTTTTTGTAATCGCCACATGATTTACAGCTCAAAAATGTCGTAACTCATCCCAGCTGCTGCCTCTTAGAGGGCCCTCAGCACTTGAGAGGCGTCTCCCACTGTTACCATACAACAAAGTCATGTTTTTCTACAAATTAGCCCTTTTAAGGAGAGTGTTATTCACATAATAAAATACAAGACTTTTAATAAATACGTAGTCCATCTGAAATCGCACTAAGTTGAATTTCCTAATAGTTGGACTAGAATATGTAAATAATCTTCTCTTGTGTATATATACATCTCTACTGGCCCCTCACCAGCGCGGAGGTCTGCACAAGCTGAGGCCAAGCTCAGACCTAGAAGTCAAACAGCATGGATGCACTGTAAGAAGTAGGTTAATGGGCATTATCAAACTTTAGGGACCACTATGAGCCTGAGACATATCGTGCATTTTGTTTGTACCAAAAGTTAAGTGTGGAGTATGAAAGAAAGGCACAAAGATGTGAAGTTGTCCATGTTTCAGTGCAGGTTTTGTTCATTAGGTGGATTCTGCAAGAAAGCATGCTTGCACAAATTAGGGCTGATTTTGCCCCAAGTGACTGCATAATGGCTCATTCAAATGCATGCAAACAACACCTGCACCGGTGACGCTATTCCCTCTGCAGCACAGTTTGTGGGGCGTTTAACCTTTTGCATGTGCATTGTGAATTAGACATCTTTTTTTGCTCATTTGCACAGGTTTAAAAACCACACACTTGTGTAAATCAGACTGATTTCTTGCACACAATGATGCAGTTGAACAACAGTTTGATTGCACATAGAAACCAGAAAAACTTGTGGTTAGTGGACCTAATGGGTTCCTTGTACCCAGATTTTGAAGTTAACAACTTAAAAGAGTAGAGGTCACGGTTAAAGATTTAAGTTGTAACAAATCTTTCAGTTAAACTGTGTAACTGTTTCACAGAAGAGAGTTCAGAGCTGCCGAAAAGAGAAATTAAACATGTCAAAAGACATGAAAACAGCTGATGAAGAAGGGACTTTCTCCTGTTCCTGTGCAGATTTACAGAAGATCACACTGGACAGGGAGAATCAATTTCATGGGAGTACAAAGTGACATCGGCCGAATCAGGCAGCAACAACAAATATAAAAAAGATTTGCACTGTACGACTAACAAGAGGATTACACAAGAAACACATGAGCGAGAATGGGAACGTGAGAACTCTAAGTCTCAGCACACTAAACCCTTTTGGGTGGAACTGTGTGTTCAGAGAAGATCATTTACCAAAACCCGTCTGCGTCAATAGATGTTGTTAATGTGATCGAATCCAAGTGACCCAAGCATGCAAACATGATTTTACACTGTGGGATTACTCCGAGCAATGCTCAATGTTCTTCCTCCGATCTGCTGGGATGTGATTAGTCCCGACATGGTACGACTCTCTCTGCCAGAGCTCTAAATGACTCCTCTGGCTCGTTCAAATCAGTAATGGTATGCTATGATGTAATGCTGGCAGGGGGACGCGGCCCGAGCTGATTGATGGCAGCTTGAAACGAATGCGACCCCTGATCTGGAGTCTGCTTCACATGTGGGTGGGACGCTGTTACTGCAGAGCCTGGAAACAATTGTGGGTTAAATTTAGATGCTACATCTCCAACCAAAACTCAACCACTCAGCTCTTTCATTAGTCGGAGCTGCGCGGCCCATTTGTTTGTTGTTAGGTCACAGTCACCTTCGCCAGGAAAAGTTTTACATCTCTATCCATGTTTATCCTCCTCTGTTCTCTTCCACTCTCATGCCCCTTTGTTTCCCTTTGCCCACTTTACTCTATTTTCTTATTCGGGTCAGTGGTCTTTGACTCCAGAGTGAGTCACACAGTGATGTTCATGACACACATGGTACTTGTTGTGTTGGAGATGAAGACACATGAGAAGCTGTTTAAAGTTGTGCCTGGAGTCTTTGTAACCCTACAGTCGGTAGATTATTGTCGGACAGGATATTATTATTTATTGTAACATGTGCCCTCTGGAGTCAAATCATCAGATAAATCCGGCTACTTCTTGAATATCAAAGAGTTGAGATTGTTATCATTTTTTCACCCATCAAAGACTAGACTTTGGGTTTTCAGATGTCAGTGCAAATATTTCAAGGATCAAGAAGTACCTCCTTGACTGTGTCTTAGCAGCATGCATGTGAGTGAGAATTAGTGACAGAATCAGCTTGATTTGATTATTTGCTACCAGTGTCTCTACTGGCTGTAAGCAATGCAGTAAGTGGTTCCCCCTCTATTCTGCTAGAACAACATTGTTAACATTGTTAATCACGGTAAGAATAATAACTAACGATAATATTTCAGAAAAATTATTTGTCATGTATTATTACTTTATAGTTTGGCTCATGCTCCATCTGTTTACTCTGAAGAGGGCTGGAGCTATGAGCTGTACTGCAGCCAGTCAGCAGGAGGAGCTCTAAACTTTTTGGCTTCACAGTCATTGAACACCCATGAAGTCTATTGAAATCTGCTGTTTCTTGTGGTAATAAGCAGAGAAAAACAGCACTGACATGAAAAGGCAGTGAAGACTAAGCTTAATGATGCATTAATTAGAAAACAAAAGATTTTAAATCCTAAAAAAAGCGTCTTTCTTATTTTTTAAAGAGGAGAAAACATGGTCAATATACACACCGGAACTTAAGTATGCACACTATGTATAATGATGAGGAACAATAAAGATAAACACACTATTAATTTGTCTACTTTATAGTGAAAGTTAACTCATTACATTTGATATATGCCACACTGACCTAGTAAGTCCAGAAATAAATCTTATTTCAGAGAAGTATGAGCCAAATTCTGAAGGACTTTCTTGGACCAATATGCACTGCTTATTTGAAACACTGGGTCCATATCTTGAACTAAGATTTATAACTGGACTTGTCAGTGTATTCTCATATTTAATGTAACAACATGTTTGGACCAGAAATGACTCAAATACACTCTGTCAGGTTCTGCTAATGACTCAGCAAAGTTTCTCAAGGCTTTACCTTCATACTCAACAAGTTTATGACAACCGACTCAAAAAAGAAAATATATTTCAGTAGCTTTTTGAGTCTGGACCACTAAAAAACATGTCTTTATTCCCCCTTGGCCGAATAAATTAATTTCCCCAAGGTTTTATTTGCTTTTGCAGTCCAGGTCTTACTTCACCAACACTGACGTCACGGGGTTTTGGTGTGACAATGGCGACATGTCACAGATTTGGATGGATGATCTGTTGTTGCTGAAAGCTGCTGAATTAGTCATATGTGAAGATCTGGACTGAGCAGGTCTGGAATCATTTACAGGCTTTGTGTCAGCTGATGACCATTAATGGACATTTTGAGTGGCGTGTTTGTTTAACTGCTGAAGAGTCCCTGAGCTCAGTTGAGTCTGGCTTTTATTATCACTGAAGTTCCTCCAGTTAGACACGTACATTAACTCACTTTTTAGTCATGGCGAATCAAGTGTGTCAGACTACACAGGGGTAAACAAAGTGGACCAAAGGGAGAAAAACGGAAGGAACAAGTAAAGGATGCAACTCTTAATCAGCTGAATTAAAACATATAAAAAAATTGATATTTAGTGTAAATGTGTTTGATGAATGTAGCGTGAATGATTTAAAAATACTCACTTTTACCTATCAGGAGTTTTTCCTTCTTTGGAAATAAAACATGCAACACAGGCCTGAAGAACCTTCTGTAAACAAACATACTTCATCAAACTACAAATTCACAATATAAGGATAAAAAAGATAATAAAAGTCATGTATCTTTTCATAGCATCTAACAGTCTTTTGATTCTGACTTAAGCCTGCTATTCAGAAGCTTATGCTGCGTTCCAGTTACCTCGGAAGTCAGAGCTGGCGTTACAACCGAGTTGACCGCATTCCAGTTAACAAGTCGGAAAACCAAGATGGACACCTACTATTAGCCTTTGTTCGCTGTTGTTTACAATTGTCCCCTGTCGTTAGCCGTAGTCAGTTGTTAGCAGTTGTCAGCTGTTTTTAGCTGTTGTCAGTTTGTTAGTTGTTGTTAGCTATATAAGTTGTAAACAACGCATAAAACAGTATTTTAATCTTACAAACACCATAGCATCATGTTCACAGTTGGACTTGGGCAGTACAACATCTACCACTTATTTAATTTTACAAAAAGAAAATAAAAGTGTTAATAAATAATACATTACGAGAGCTTTCACTGTTACTCTTTACTGTTGATGCAGTGTGCTGCCATCTTCGATTATGACGTTGTTGTCAAGTCGGGGTTGTTGAGGATCATCCGACTTTCCGAGTTGGAAATCCGACTTCAGGGGGGCGTTCCAGATGAATTTCCATCTCGGAGCTCAGAAATTCCACCTTCCGAGTGCATTAGTTCCATTTAGAGGGTGGATATTAAGGCCCTGCTACTAACCAGAGCTGATGATAGTTACTGGCTACTATCATGATGATGCTCCACTACCTGGATGCAAACAACCTGAGATTAGAAATGGTGTCATCATGCCGTTTGACAGTATTTTGATCTAGAAAGTGCGGCTAAAGTTGGATGTAGGCTGTATCTGGTTGAAGCGGCACTCAACTGGATCAGTGTGTAACCAACACAGGACTGGTGGTGCTAGCCCTGCTGATGTTAGCCTTGTGAACCAATGTAACATAAATCACAGCAGAGTCTTAGGGCCCGCGTGAAGTAGACTGTGTGTTGTTATGACCTTCTGAGTGTCCTCTTGGCTTCAAAACTGCAGGTTGAATTGAAAGAAAAAAGCCGCTTGGTAACAACCGTAAATAAAACAGTCCAGCTTAACCAAAACACAAAACGTCTCTATGGAACAGCATCCCTCCGTTAGACCGAGATCCAAATCTTCCATCAAAACAAATCACTTTTCAACACCAGCCTGTCCCTTTGAATTAGGGACACATTGAACGTTTTAGTCTTCTTCTGAGTGCACGTTCATCCATCTGGTCCTGGTTAAAATGTCTGTATCCTCAAATAACATACAGCCTGATAACCCTTTCGCCATCGATCAGAGTGATGAATTTCACAACCCACTGCTGCTGCTTATCTCTTCTTAAGTTTAGCATACATGTTTTCACTGTGTTTTAGAGATTGTATCTAACATACCTTTTTAAAGAAAAGAAAGCACAAGCTCTGTTGCGCCACTTTTCTGAGGATCTGTATCACAGGCTGGATGTTGGATGGAGGCGCCTGAGCTCCACACTTGTGTTGTGTTCTTGGACTCTGTTGCCGTCAGATGCTTCCAGGCTGATCCTGGACAGAATGTTTGGTTTGTTGTTTTTGAATCAGCGTCAGCTAAATGAACAAATACGACACTGAGCGCCAAGAGATTCATAATTTAAAGCTTTGTGTAAATAAACAATTAACAGGGATGCGGTTCATTCTAACCACCGGAGCGTCTCCTCCAAAGCTGAGGCATGCAGACGCACACAGATGTAGAGCAGTACTTGTGAGGATCTTGCAAGTTTGGTTTCCAAACTGTAATTTTAAACAGATGATCTACTGTGTTGATAACTCTGAATAATCAGCATTAAAAAGTTTTTTTCACACACATCACAACAAACAAATATAAAATAGACTGTTTTGAACTTTATTTGAGTTGGCTAAAACCAGCAGGAATATAAACACCAATAACAGGAAACGCAGGCCAAAAAAAAAAAAAATAAGAAACTGTTTTGACCAAAGCAGCTGAGTTATTCTGCTTTGTTTGTTGTTCATGTGAGACTGTTGGCTGCCAATCATCTATGTGTTACTGGAGTTCAGTCAAAACCTCCATCAGAACCAAACATGAGAAGAAACCGTGAACTACACCCAGGTCAGGTGAGGTCTTTGAAAGTTGGAGTCCAACTCTTGAAATAAGCCTCCAGTAAAAACTGCACTTTGTAAATAAACTTATTATTGTTCACATTTACATTTGGCAGATTGAATCCTTACCCTAATGTCGACTTTAAGCTCTCATGTGGAGTTTCTGGCTGGTTATAGGTTGAATACAATGTTTTTTTTTTAATTCGCAAGAAAGAAAACAAGATTGTTAGTATCATGATTAATAACTTAATGCATTTTACTTCAATGCTTGAAACAACAGTAACAGAGTTGGTCTGAGTGCTGCTGAAAAAGTCATTTATAGATTTTTTACTGCAGAATCTTGAAATAGAAAAGCCAAATCTTAAGTGTAGTAGAGACAGTTAAACACACATCGAGTAGTTATCAAAAGTTGCCAGGGGAGCAACCATTAGTCAGTGCTGTTAAAGGTACCATATGGAGTTTTTTTTATGTTTATGAGATAGACTGAAATTTGTGTTGACTGCTTTGTCCACAGGGCACACCAACGTTGACACAAACCAAAAATCTCTCACCAGAGCCTTGACAAAATAGAGAATTGAAAATGATGACAAAATCATCTGCTGACAATTTTATTGCGATTATTAGACAAGTAACATTCTGAAGCTGGGTTCCTCTGCCAAGATCTCTCAACGCCATGAAACTTAAGATAGATGAAGAAGTTGCAGGCTGCCAGCAATTTAGTGGTAGCACTCCCCTGAGAGATGAATCAGCACCTTCCCATCAACCGATGTGCAAGATTCATTTTGAATCCAGAAACAATGTTAGAGCTTTTGTTGTGCCTCTTCGAGGTACTCATCAGCTCAACATTAACGCTTTCATATATTGTCACGGCCTTATACATTAAACATGAAGAAAATTGATCCTTAACCCCATTTTCCAGTTATGTTACTCCAACTATAAAATGTCCATTTAGTGTGGCTTAAGTTGGACTTTTGTGATGACACGTATTTCAAAAGTCCAGTTGCAGTTAGACTGAGATAAGCTCAATCATCACCTGCAGAGTGAACTCAAATGAAAAACAGCCTGCAGCACAGAGAGTGAGAAACAGAAAACAACAGCAGCACGGATAAACAGAGATGTAAGAGTAAGGAAGAGTGAAAGCTGTGGAAGTGAAAAGTTTTGGTATCAATTCTACCCACATATCAACCATATTCAAGTAACCAGCTGATTATTATCCTGACTTATCATTAATCATTCTTGTAATTTTGGTCTATAAAATGTGGGAAAAGCAAAAACTTGCCCAAAAGTTTTGTCTAACAAACACTTAAAACACATCAATGTTTTTTTTTTAATACATAACGTTATTACTTATAAGAGAAGAAGTTTTTTTTTTTTTCCACTAATTTCAACCTTGAACTAAAGTCCATGAGAGTCCTCACTCAGAAAAGTTTATTTAGGTTGTTTTCTTGGCCTTCAAGGGATAGAAATGAACACACACATGCTCTCACCCAGCCTCCCCTCTAGATGTGACCTTTTCACGGTCACATGATCTGCCTTTTCCCGTTAAGTGTGTGCTCTTTAACAGCAGCAGATCTGCATCATAAAGCTGGCCAGCATCACAAACGTGTGAATGGAGAACATCAGAGCTGTGACCGATCAGATCCTCTGGACATGTGCTGGACAAAAACAAGCTCTGAATTTTGAAGCATTCCCACAAGCTGTGTTGTGGTCCATCTTGTTAAACATGTGGTTCCCATTGTGGCCACGGCTCTCTCTCAGTATTTGGACCTTTTTTTTCTAAGTCTCTCCAAGCACAACAAGCTTTTTGGACTGGATCTTTACACCAGTTGTACCGACCAACTTTGGCCCTCAGTTTGGCAAACATGTTGCTGTTAGTGTGTGTGGACTGTAATAAATGAAAAATATGACTAGAAATCTTGACGCTGATAAAAATCATAATATCCAAGAATTAAAGGCTCATTTCTTGCTCGCCAAAACAAATTTCAGTCCCCTGTGTACACTTTTGAAGTGCTAATCTACACAACTCTTTCCTGCCTTGGCTTAAGCAGGAAAAGAGGAACATGCTGCTGTGATGGAGACATGCTAATGAGTTCATGACCCATGGTTTTAAGTGTATGAGTACATTTAAGGCATGTCTAAGTGTCCTATTGCTGGTTTTAAGCACTTAAGATTGGATTAAAGTCGAGTTTACAGAGCATTCCTTATTGTTGTGTTTGGAGCACAGCCTGGATCCCACCAACTTGAGGTGTTATCTCTGCACCTGTAAAAGTCTTTTTGCATCTGGAATATTTGGAAAATATCTGGAAAAGACATGTATCTGTTCATGCATGAAGTGAAAGTTAAATGCAATTATAACCTGTTCTATCCACAGAACTGCATGATTATAGCAGCTGTGTGGGTTGGAAACTGATTGCTCTGCATGGGGGTCACTTTGTTTAACAAGGCCTTCAGTGCCTGCAGAGTGTATTCCCAACTATATAAGACTATAAATATGATTCAAAACAATCTCCTGCTGCAGCTTTTATTTTACTCAAAGAAACTATTTGGACAGTATTTTTTTTACATGTGTATAAAGTCAATTAAATAAAGAAAAATAGGTGGAAAAATAAAACTACTGAAGCCTGTAAAACTGCACAATGACACAGCTTAAGCTTCAATTAGGAGAAGCGAGTTTAAGAATAAAAGGTTATTCACATAGACAGGATATACTATGGACAACTTTGCTTCGCATTCCGTCATTATATGAATTTGAAGCAAAATTGCTCTCATATTTCTGGGATATTCTCCGCTTCCTGGAACCACCACTTGTGCAGTAGCATTGTACCCATTCGGCAGGAGAGTTACTGATGACGCTTTGCTCAAACAGCGTATCCCCTGGGTGAGCTACGCAATCTTTGTACACCCATAGAAAAATATAAACCCTCTAATAACTTTGAAAAATGGAGCTGCACTGAAAAAAGAGGACTTGAGCACAAACCAGTCTTACAGTAACTACATGTCAACACCACAAGCAGGGGGGAGAAAAATGTATATTCTGAGTAGTTGATTTTTTAAAGTTTGTCCACAACTCCATAGGGATTGCTGGAGAAGACAGGATTTATGACCTATCCTGCAGTCTGTCACCAGGGGGTGCTGCTCTCGCGGTGGCTTCACCCAAAGAGGAGGCAGGCGGTGTCCACTCTAAAAGTCTATGATTATTCATCACAATGATTACTGAATTAATGCTGCTTGACAGAAGTCTGCAGTCTTTGGACTCTATAGGGAAATTTTTACTATCAAACGGTGAGCAGTCAGCAGGAAAATCCCACCATGGAGTTCTCAACTGGTGGTGGCATTGAATGTTGGATGATGATGATAGAAACTGATGATTCTGCAGAGATGAGGTAGAGATAGAGAGGTGTAGAGCATGCATGTACTATCAGCATGAATGAACTAGTGGCATGGGGGGAAAAAAACATATCTACAATTGAATAAAAAGGCTACAGATAAAACAGCTGATTAACCAATGAGGGCGGGAGAAGTGAGTGAGCGTGAGAGAGGAAAAGGACAATGAAGCAACATTAAGTGCAAAAATAGCCTCTCTGACTGAACTTACTCTGGAGCTCCATTTGATTCTCAGTAAACCTCCGTCCACTTTTCAGTTGGCAAGAATTACATGCTGCATTAACGAAAGCTGGATTGTATTGTACTCCAGTCAGGCCAACACATGGTCTAAACTTTCTTTCCAAGATCACAAAATGTTCTCTCTCCATATTCAAGGTTGAAGTTCACAAAGCACTTGCGTAATGTTTCTTATACTCTACAATCTTTACAAATGTTGGACTGACTGAGACCAAAGTCCTGTCTTGATGATGGTGGCTGCGTACATATAAATGAATGACCATATTGGTAGAACAGGACCTACAAAAAGCTCCTGTTGTTGTTGTTTACTTTGACATTGTGTTTTACGCGGCTAATTCTGATTTGGTTGTCTTTTTGCAGGACCTCCTGGGCCAAAGGGAGAGAAAGGCGATACTGGACCACTGGGACCTGCTGGGGCTCCAGGGTTGACAGGCTTGAGAGGTGAGCACAACCAGACTACCATTCATTAGTGAGTGAAATATGTTCAAGTTGAAGCATTGTGCAAATTAGAAATGGAAAGACGAGAGGGTCTAAACCGTTTGAGTCCTGGTGGCCTGATCGAATCACCAGCTCGTCCTGCTGCTGATGAAAAGGGAAAACCCTAAAACTGGAGCTAGAATATGGTTAGCCTCTTCAGCATCGAGGCAGATTGGGTCTGTCCAAGAAGAGGAACAAAAACTCAGCATTTTTTGGCTGATTAAAACTTGGAAGCACAAATAATTGTTTACTGTACCATATCGTACCAAATCTGGACCACTTGGTGGAACCGCAGCTTTGCTGGACACTTTCCTGGTTGACAGCCCTCACCACAGTGACGACATGACAGTACAGGAGGTCATTTCTCCAAGCCAAGATAAAAATCAGGCCTGTAATCCCCCATGAAACCACAACTTGACGTTTTTACAGTCAGATATTCTCTGGATTAAACGCATAAGATGAAAAGTGCAAAAGGAGCCAGGAGGCAGTTTCCACTACATTAAAGTCTGACTGCTGAGTTTAACTAACCATCTCCTGGCTCCTGCCTCAAATATGACTGACAGAAACAAAAGTGGAGTCTCTTATCTCATCTTACACTCACAATAGAGTTGCATGGGTATACGGCCAAAATGTTGAGCAATACCTTGGACAAATGACGGTAGAAATGAGGTCAAGAGCCTCCTATTGATCTCAGTATAACAATCATGGATACTGTGAGGAGTTTTCAACAAGATCCTGCATGAAGACTGTCATTATTTCAGACCTTTCCACTGGAATTAGAATATCAGAGACAAGACAGAGTATTTCTTTGTTCTGAATCAGATTTTCGATATTCAGCTCTCACCCTGGGCTGTCCTTGTTTGAAACTCAGTTGGGCTAGTAGCTACACATTTTGTACAAATTTAGCAACACCAGATTTGGCGTGAGGCTGTCTCTGCTCTGAATTTTTTTTTTTTTAACTATTATTGTGACTGTCAGCACCTGAACTCCGTTGCTCAGAGCTGCTCTTCGTGAACTCTATTCCTAAAGACACCAAAGAGTGTATGATGAGCAGAGTCACTTCTTTTAACACAGTTTTTTGTACTTGTGGCTGACACTGGAGCAAAATTAGCAAAAAGAAGTGTTATTTACGACAGAAAAACTTCACAACCAGGGCTTTGGAAAGTAAAACAGCATGATGGCAATAATCAGGATTTTGTTTTTATGTCGGCGTATGACCACTTAACTGTTCTCCAAGTTCAACTGTGCGCATTTTGACATTATTTTACATTGACATGGACACCAGAGCACGCAGGGACAACACTTAATGTCCCTACAAATAATGTAAAACATATAAAACACTGTTCAGCTCAGGAGTTGGCAAAAGATGTCCTTAAATACCAATCTATTATATCATGGTCATTTGTTGCGTCCAGTAAGTTCTCTCAGGTGTTTTTCAGTGATCAATTACGGTGTTTCATAATCACAATATAATACCTGAGTGAAGGCTTGGAGCGTTTTAAGTACATGGACTTGTTTGACTTCATTACCAAGAAAATTGCTCATTCTGACGACTCAAAAAGCCTCAAATTTTTGTGTCTGCCACTCAAAACAAACCTCAACCTGCAGGGAGCTGTGCCCCGTTTCTGCTGAACAACCTTAAATCTTTGCAAATCTTCAAAGTAAGAAAATAAAGTCATGAAAACATCAGATCTTTACAGCGTACTGCTGGGTGCTCAAACTATTTCTCGGTTGAATTAATCTGAAGCCAAAGACGCAAAGACTCAGGCTCGCATGATGTCCGATTGTCTGATTTACTTGTTTGATTTTTTTGCCCTGGTGTGGTTTTTGGATGAATTTTACAAGCCCATGGGTCATGAAATTTACCTGCCCTATAAACGTCCAATGTAAACATCCCATTTTGAGTTACAAGCTGCTTTATATGCTCGAGGATTTAGGTTTGAGTGGCGAGAAAGGTGAAAATCTAGCTGCATTTTATACAGAACAGACTGTAGCTGCTTTTCTGCTTTTGTGATTACGTTACATGGCATTAATAATGAGGCGTGCACAGAGAATAGAAATAGTCACATAAATCCGCTTGTGAAAACAAGGCTCCAGACTTTGGATGAGGTTTTATTTTCAGGCAGGGTGTGGACAGGTCCGGAGGGACGGGTCGTCTATCTTTGTCTTGCCGGTCATTCCCCCAAAAACCACAATATGAACCTCCATCTGGGCAGAATTGGCACCAACATGAGCATTTTTCATAAACACTGTAAGATAGGAAGAGCTACAGTCTCGATCCAGATGTTCTTAGGACCCTTTCCAGCTTGGTACCTCTTGAATCTTCACCCTCTCTGCTCCTCCCTGTCATCATACCTCCTGTACACCCAGACTGAAGCACTGCAGCGCTCACATGACATTTCCAAGAAGTATTATCTTACAGCGGAGAGGAAATCCCCCCACTGCTGCAATAACTCCAAAAAATATGGAGAAAGGAAATTCTTTCTGTCCAACACAAAACCTTTGAAAAATTGATATTAATGCATATCAAAAACGTTACCATAGAAACAATTTGACTGTTACGGAAAAATCACCCGTGCCATTAACAGCTGTACATTTTGTGATGCTACCCTTCTGCTCCATATGCGCTGAGGCCAAAAAAAATCCATCATCGCATTACAGCCCTGAAAATCCTCTTGGACTTGTAGAACGATCTTCTCGGATTGTCCTGTGAAAACATGTCTTCACTCCCTCCAAAGTATGATTAATACCATTTTTCCCAACAGGCTTTTGAGGCGTGAGTTATCGACCCTTCACAGCTCAGAGACAGAAAACCACCAAAAACATGACATCATCCATCATCGCTTTATTTTCTGTCCCTAAATGTAAACTCAGCCTGTCTAATCGTTTCATTCAGGTCGCCAGTAACAACGGTGTAATCAGAGCATTTCAGGACACCGGGATGGGTGACAAAAGTGCTATAAATAAGTAATTACCTCGTTAAAGTCGAGATTTGGGAGTGTGCGGACTGTAAACAAATGTTCTCATTGTGTGGCGCAGGGCTGGAGTCTGCAGGACATCTGAGAGTTTGGTTAATGAAACAAAACGAGTTATAAAGCTGTTCTTTTAGAGTCAGGAAGCGTTCAGGAGGGAAATGTTGGCAGGTGGTAGAACAAGAAAAAGACCAGCGGTAACATTTTGGACATTGTGTTATCAGGCAATTAAGAAAACCAAAACACATCAGAGCTCATTAGAAATGGGATCATGAAGTCCTCATTGTTATTGTGAAAGAAATTTGGTTATTGTTGTTGATAGGGCTGTCAAACAACCCATTTTTCCAATTGCCAGTAATCGCTGAATTTTCAAACATCATCTTGATTAACTGAATTTTGATCGGTCAGACAGTTTCCCACTTAGAGACGCTGGCAGCATCTCTGCATCATGTCATGCAGTCAGATGATACAGTTTTAACCTGCTTATGAGGATACAACTCTGTTTACTGACACTGTTTTTTTGGGGGGGTTGATTATGAGCCCATGCAGTGAGTTTCACTACAGAGTCAGCCCAAAGATGATGTCCATTCACCTTTGTTTTTGTTTTTTTGGTCGTCCTTTTTAGAGATTTTCCAGACCATCACAAACATTAGATGAGATTGTGTTTTACAGATAATAAAAGAAAAGTTAATGCTTCAGAACATCATTCTGAAATTGTTGAATTATTAACTCGTTTCAGTTTCTCACAGGGTGGTGAATCTCTTTCTGTCTTTACCTCGGGTGACTCTGCCCCTTTGAGTGCTTTTTTTGCACCCTGTGTGTTACTAACATGTTAAAAATTGACCAAATTTGTTCATACAGGTGTTACTTAGCATGATACAACTTTCTCAGTTTCCTTCCCTAACTTTTTCAAACATGTTGCTGGTATCAAATTTTAAATAAGTACATACTTTCCAGTAACCTTTTTTTTTTCATTTTCAACATTTGAAATGTTGTCTTTGCAATAAATTAATAAAACATATGAATTAAACTGTTTGCAAACCAACAACACCTGTTTTTATTAGTGTTGTGCAAAACCATTCAACATTTTTGGACTCAGCGTTGTGATTTGATTTGAGGTTTTCAACTTTACGACTAAAAAGAAAGAAGCCTGAAAAGTTTTATTTAGTGGAACCAACAGGAACCAGCTTCAACTGCAAGTGATTTAATAAAGTTTTTTTTGACTGCCAGGAAACAGCATTGGATTTAAAAATATGATAATAATGCAGAAAATGTCTAAACAGAATAAGATTCACCCTTAAAGTGGATAAAAACCTAAAACTAAAGGTATTTTGATGAAGTCAAAGCTGCTTTAACTGAAAGTGTGATGATTATTTACTGAACTGAAGCCTTTGAATGTCTGTGTTTGTGTTTCAGGGTTCACAGGAGAAAAAGGCATCCAGGGCCCTCGAGGAATGAAAGGGTCCATAGGGGTTGATGGTATTCAGGGAGAAAAAGGAGAAGTTGGACCTGTTGGTCCAAGAGGTACGTAGCTATAATGTTTTTTACATTAAATGCTTAGCTGTGCTTCAAATGGAAATAACTGTTGGTTTTGGCTCATTTCTGGCCCTGAGCCGGAATCTAAAATAACCGAAAGAAATAAAAAACAAACAGTGTAGGTTACATTACCGTTTAAACACAGCGAAGACAGTGAACTTTATTGGGAAACCATGTCACCATATAAAAGTGTGTCGGTTCCTCACTCACCAAACAGCTCATAATTCACAAGCCTGTAGAAATAGTCTGTTATTTCCTCACAAAACCCACAGTTCAGTCTTGTCAACACTTTCACCGCACAAATCTTTTCAAACCGACAAACTCTTTTCTTAAACGTCCCTTTGCACGTTCACTTTTTTAACCAAAACTCCTACCAAGGAAGCACAAACAGTTCTCTCCCCACACATCTTCCATCAGTAACAGGTGGGACTGTTTTCTTTCTGCTTGTCTCCAAAGAGGCTGTAACTGCTGTACTTAACATGCTCTTCTAAACTCAGTCCAAAACAAACAGCTGGCTGAGCTGATCAAGTCAGTTTTCAGCTGTCCCATATGAGTCAATCTGAGAAATTACTTTATCACAACAAAACAAAACACCAAAACAGAGGACAAAGACACCATCAGTGCTATCTCCTCAGTTTACCTTCTGTTTGTAAGATACAACTGTTTTGTCTTTTTTACGTCTTTTCTCTGACTGTCGAGGTTTTATTTGTTACTGCTCACCTCCTTGTAAGATTTATGTGATTTAACTTTCTGCCTGAAGCTTAGCCTGTGAACTCCTGAGCATGTGCAGAATGCCTCGGCCAGTTTCAGTCCAATTGAGTTTGTCTTTAGGTAGACGGGTTTGAATCCACCATGTAAAATAAGCATGTATAAATGGCTCTGGAGGGAAATAAAAGCAGACACTGATTGGTTTGATTCATGTTCATGCCTCTGAATAATCAAAGGACCTTATCAAACCTCTTTCAACTCCGTGCCTCCCTTAGCATCTAGATTGTGCGCCGTCCAACTTGCAACATGCAAACACACCCCATGCTTTTTAATTGGGGCTCATAAAGTCCAGCAAAGATGCAAGTGCAAGGATTCAGCTGATCTATCCAGAGATGGACCCCAATGTGCACCCACATGAGCAAGCTCTCCATTTATCCATATAGTTGGATTTGATAAAGAGGTCTGTCTCTTTTGGCTCTCCAGCAGTTGCTTCTGTCACTAGTCCACTTAGTCCTCTTTCTCTTCATTTAAACCGCTGTAGCGTTTTTCATGAATCTAGAAAAGGTGCTTTACATGAATAGGAAATCAATCAAAACAGTCAGATTCATCACCTCCCAACTCATGCACAAGGATAGAATAAAGAGGCACCGAAGCACTATCATGAATAACTTGTAATGAAATTGACAATTATATATCAAGACAAAACTAAGATTTAATATAAAAATTAATATATGGATAAGTTGAGTTACTTAAAATAATGTCAAATTCATTAAAGGCTAAACTTGAAGGTAGGTTGTGAGTTTGTGTTTAAAGACAAGAAGCAGTCCTTAAATTACCTCAGATGGATAGATTAATCATAGTCAGCGGTGTGGAGGGATTGGTCTTTATTTTCCCAACACTTTGAAAGGTATGCGGTGGCACAGAGCAAAACCACAGAAACCAATCATCTAATCATGACGTGTAATGTATGCTGTTGTAGAGAGTCCAGTGCCTCTAAATATGCCAAAATTCTTATATGGTGTAAAACCCATTAAAGCGTTGAGTAGTGACAAGCAGCTGCATATACCATTAAGCACAGTAGAAGAACTATGACCATTATATTTTCATTAAACTCTATAAATATATTTCTCTATGACTTCAGCCTTCGAGTTTGAGGTATATGAAGTTTGATAAATCTGATAACTTCATGACAAAGTACTGCACATCAGTGATCAGTCCAGCAAACTTTATCTCCATAAACCCTTTGGGGAAGGTTGTTGATGTTTCCACTTTGGCATCACCATCCAGTCAGTGCCAACGATAACAAACACAAACTGAGGGCCTTTGTGAAAAATATACCCATGACTAATACGATAAGACGCTGCAGTCCTTTTAGGTCAGCATGTCAGTGTGTGTTTGTGTGTACAAATTGTGTGTTTAGCCAACAGCTGTTCCCAATCAGAGTTTGGTTTGGCTGAAAATGTCCAATGTCAGAGTCCCACAGTCCCCATGTTGGCCAGTAGTGCTTAAAAACCTTGGAGCAGACTGATCTGTTGTCCTCTGTGCCTATGCTTGTGCTTGGGATTGGTTCAGCACTCTTCAGCAGCCTCAATTTGGTTCGTTTCTTTTAAACATTGATACACCCAACGCTATTGGAGCGTAGCTTAGCTATTGTCCGTAAACATAATGGATAGTAAATGAAATGAACTAAGAACAGTTGGTATTAAGTTTAAATAAATTGCCTGTTGAAGTGGTGACAGTTCCACTGAGGCTGGGAAAATATCATCAGTCTCTTTGGTTGTAATGAGAGGCAGATTTATCCAGAATATCTTGTATTGGCGTTGTCTCATAAGGGCTGTTGGTAAACTCTTGGTTGTTGGACTTTTACTATCACCCGGTTTTCACATACTTTACTGAAAGCTACAAAAGTTCACTTTTACCAACAAACTTTCAATCAAGTTGCTTGTTTGTTAATAATCTTTTTGGCTCATTCACTACATTCATGTTAAGGCTCATTTGTTCTCGCCATACGTATGAAAATGTACGCATCCATTTCAAACGATGGTTTTGTCTCTGCCCACGTACTTCCCTGCATCCTTTACGTTGGCATGGATGTTAACCATTACATCCACCAGGAGGCAGGCCGGAGTCAGAAGTTTCACACAACAACAGACTAATAGAAACACGGCGACTGTGGTGGAGCTAGTAATAATGTATATTTTGCATAGGAGACAGAAACGGAGGCAGCGGTGGAGGAGGCAGTGGTTGGTCAGGCCATTAAATGCCTCACGGTTGGAGGACAAAGAATTCTTTTCTCTAGTAGTTCCGATGAGAGAAATTGATGACAATCCTCAAAAATCCCTGCCATTGTCTTCTTCATTTCTCTCTAGTGATGCGTATTAGTTTGTAACAGCAGCAACACTGCCTCCACGGTTTTTGGCGGTACTACTCTGTCTGCCCCGTATCAGTAAACTCTAAGGATACGTGCAGAAATACGGAGAAAAAGAATGCGAAGCTCGGACGAATAGCTCCAGGTATCCGGATCTGTATGTAACATTGAGCATAAATAAGCCTTAACACGCAGATTCTGCATGCTCAGGGGTCAGTTCCCTGTTAGTTTAAGTGAGGGGCTACAGGATAGTGATAAGACGTGGTCTTTTATTGTAGATTGATCATGTTTTAGGTCATGCAACTTGCATTGCTCATTCTCTGACATAACTGTTGCTCGTGCATAATTGTAACTGGGCTATTCAAAGGATATATCGTTCGGCCCTAGTATCAGGGCTCCCTATACCCTAAGCATGGTGACAGGGGGAAATAACCGTCATGGGAACATCTGGTCTTGGTGGAAGTCATCTGTTAAACAACCACATTTTATGTGTCAGGGTCTTTTATCAATATTTTGCGAGAATAGACGAAATCTCTCATGGTAATCGCCTTATTTTGAAAATGACTTGTGGTGTTTCCACAAATCAGTGTGTTAAAAACCAGCCTTAGGAAATAATATTGTGTTTCAGACAGTTTTGTCCATGTTTTTATTTGTGTCACAGGCCTCAGATTTGTTTTGAGCGAAGGAAACACTGACAATTATCAGTGGCAGCGATGGCCACCATGACCGAACAGAAACAAAAAGGATCATTGCGGATGTTTGGTCATCTACACTCAAGCAGTTTACAACAATGCGTGACTGTGCTCTCGCCCATCTGAGGTCTGGCTGTGGTTTGAACAAACCAGCGAAGGGTGAAGAGTTTGTAGATCTTCTGCTGTGAACGGGGTCTCGGCGGAAAGCAGATGCTGGGCTGTGGAGGGAAGAGGGAGACTGGAAGCTTGTTAAAATAGCACTGGGAAGCTTCATGGTTTCTTTTTATAGATGGATGGTGAGATGAGCAGAGAAAGAGTGTACAAAGTTGATCTTGTCTTTGGTCAGCATGGAGTCTAACAAGGTCCACGTTCTGTCTTCTATAGATGTTTAAAGACACTCTCAGGAGCTTCAAATCAGTGTAATTGTAAGTCCTGTTGATGGCACAGCTGGGAAAATCTTTAACATTCATCATCTGGGATTCAGGAACGTCTGCAGAAAGATTTAACAGCGATGTCTCCAAAGTTGTTGAGATCTTTCTGTCTGAACAAACACCAGTTCCTGCTATGAGGGGCCACCAGCAGAGGAAAATAATGGAGCCGTTTAAATCAGATTCATCTGTTGTCTCTCGAGGCACAGCAGTAGCTCCGCGGTTTGTTTGTGTTTTCCTAGCTGCATTGTGTAGTTGTTAAGGATGTGGTTGAGATGGAGGTGATGCCGACAGCTTAGAGTCGTCACAGGCTGGGTGTGGCGTTAGCTAAGACACTCAGGCATGAACACAATCATATAGTAACACACAGTAGGTGGGACTGAGTGCCACCTCTGCTGGCAGCCATGCTGTGGTTTTTGGATGTGAAAAAGAGTCAAATTAAAGGTGGGATAAGTGCAGACTCCAGCCTGATCCCCTTATAGCTTCATGGCTAAAGCAGACTTGTGGTTTTTCCAAACATGAGCAAAGAACAGTGCTGAAAGAGATTCTGTCAGGCTTTGGAGTGTTTTCTTGTGCGTAAGAAGTATAATCATTTTCTAAAATGAAAACAAATGAGGAGCAGGCGTTTCCAAGAATTTGATATAAGGGTTTGGTGCATAACTGACCATAATTTTGCAGAAACCACAAATGAACAGAGCTGATTGAGGTATTCTGCATCATATCACCTTTTCCACTCTGCAAGCATCTACATTTTAATGATACTCCAGGTACCCTAGTTTCAGCTCCAACAATCTATCCTCTCACGTTTCCTCCCTTTTACTCTTTATTCACCTCGACTCCAACCGAGAAAAAGAACATTCAACCGCGACTTTTAAAGGTAAATTAAGCAGCAGAAACAGGGCGGGGATCCTCTAATTTGACTTTTTATGCCCCTATCACACAGCAAGATTACAGGGCTGAGTGTTCGGAGGCTTATTTTGGACACATACAAAGGAAGTTTTAAAAAAGGAGAGGAAATGGGTGTGAAGTAGAGGAAAGGTTATAAAATTTTAACCTTTAGATAGTTGAGCTGCCGCTGCGTGTCATTTCATTTGCACACAAATTTCTACCCTCTGGAACAGTGGTTCACACTTTAGTACATGTGATTATAAGTTTAGGTTATGAGTGTTTGACTAAAGTAAAGGACAGGTCTGCCACTGTGTACCTTAAATGAAACACAAGATACTTCTGCATAATATCAGTGTTTTCTACTTTTAATAGGACCGAGTTACCTTTGTTGTTTTCGGGTAAAACCTCAACCACAATCTTAGTGCTGTTTTGTCATAAATGTCACAGATGAAATTAAACTTCTGAACATAAACATAGATGTTAGTTGAGTTTCTGCTTCTACTAATTCTTCGATTTTCAAGTTTGTTCATATGTTTTTTTCTTTTTTCAAGGTGACAAAGGAGAGAGAGGATTGAAGGGGGAGAAGGGGGCAAGAGGAGAGAAAACAGGTAAGAACTCCTTCACTTAATGAGCTGAAGAGGTGCTATCGTGTTTTCTCATGTTTTACACTCAAATACTGAGTTAAAATGTTGGATGTCCAAACTAAATGTGGGCAAACTCTCAGACTGTGCAGTTGACTTGTGTAGGAATAAAAGCAGGATGAGGCTGTAGGCAGCTTTGTAAGGCATGTCCAGAAAGTCGCGTAACAATTACACCAAAGAGCTGAGAGATGGGCTTCAAGACGTCACTGATTGGTGGATCTCCTTATAAGAGCAGAATGAACAGAACACTTACCCGACCAAAACCTCTTGCTTTGTTCTTTGTTGCTAGGAGTTTATTTTTTGATCCTTTTTCAAACTTTCTGGGTCAGTTTCAGAGTCGCAAATGTGGCCATATTTTATTTGGAATGAAGGAACACTAGTAAACTCAGTGACCACAACTTTGTTGGATGGCAACAGTGGAAGAAGCCCCCCGAGAGCTGGCCCATCAGTAAAAATGGGCTAACAAGAATTGACATGAATGAAGTCATGAGAAAAATTCACAGAGCAATAAATTTATGGGGAAAAAGTTGTAAAAATTTACCCAAAAAAAGAGTTCTAAGAGAGAATACTTTAAATGACTTTCAAATTTAAGAAAACACGATCAACATTACTGGAAAAAATATGTAAATCTACAAGTAGTAAGTTCTGGGAGAAAAATCATGTGGAAAAAGTTGTCAATTTGTAAAAAAAAATATACAAATATTGAGTTTTGGGAGGGAAAAAAAGGGAAAATTCCAAAAAGAAATGTTGTAAATTTCCAAGATTTAAAGCTCCTGTCGGTTTTTTTTTTTTTTACATTTATGAAATAGACTGAAATTCACATGAATGTCACCTTATGATGAATGGAAAGCAAGTAAGATCAATGACAAGATTGATGGTTTTTATGTTGTAATTTTTAATACCTGAAACTGGTGTGAGCTGGTCAGTGTCAGCTGAATAAACAGCTTTGTTGGTACAGTTTCCACATTATGTTAGAAAAGAGGCCTGTATCATAAAAATAAAAATAAAATGTTTAACAAAGACAAACTACGTGAAAATCGTAAAAGAAAACTGTGCAAAGTTATAAAATCAGTAAGTTCTTAAAAACGTATACTTCCATAAAATGTTCCCAAGCTGCAGAGTCACTATGAAAATAACTGTATAGGGCACCTCTGCTCCAGTATCAGCACATATATCAGAGCATATGATCCAAAGCCAACAGTTTAAAATGCAGGAATGAAAATTTACGAGCTGAAGACTTTATGAGCCTTGTGCATCGCTGCTTCACCTGACATCCTGAGCAAAGTGCTGTGAGAAGTTTGAAGGATCAGCAGATCTGCTCCTCTTTTAGCCTGATCTTACGGTTTCCGACTTGAGATGAAGAACCACATGGTTTGGTTTACATCAAAAGGCTCTAAAAGCCATTATATGTATGCACATGTCCTGTGGTGGTAAACTGAAGCCTCGTACAGAAACCATTAAACTCAAATCAGGCAGAAGAAAAATATGATTAACCTCAAACCCTCAGACGTTTTGCCTGAAATGTTGGTCTTTCTCTGTTACATCATCACGGTGATGAGAGATGGAGTGGCATTCACGTCAAATGGACTTGATCCTTGGACCATCTGAATGTGTTTTCTGCTCATTAGAGAGCCGTCAAAGACCGGTGCTCTCCTCACGTCATTAACAAGACACGGATGTTTGAGGCTTTGGAGACTTGAGGCCGGACTGGGACCACATGCTGGTGGCTGTCAGAAATATTGTATCTCCGCGCTGCGCTCTTTTCCGTCACAAACCTCATGTGGCTGACTTATCATCTGATGCATGACTCGGGTCGTCTTACACTTCAAAGCGTTGGATGCATACCTGTATGATCACCAGAACCAGACCAAGAGTAACCCAAAACCATGGCAGTTTTGTCTGGGAGAAAAACACACATTCCTCCACACATGTTAGGTGTTAACACAAAAGAGAACCTGCCACACTGGGTGTTGTCACCAAGAGGATCAAAAATCTTTACCTCTTTTGAAAGGCTGGACGCTACAAAAAATAGCCAAGAGAAGCAAATGGACACCAGACTTTAGTCCAAAAGGGAAAAAAAAGGGAAAAGTTGTGTTGATTATGAGGCAAAAAAAGAAAAGAGGGAACCAGACAAAATATTGATCAGCAACTCTAGAAGAGGTAATTGTATTTTTACAACTGAGGTCCAAAGTAAAGAAAGTAACACTTTCCATGTGTTACTTCAGGATTTTTCACCTTAGTAGGATGGTTAAGTTTAGACTCTCCCAGAATGCAATGCTGCTGTGCTGTCCCTGCTGATTACCGAGGCAATAAAGAGGAGTGATCCTCACTTAAAGTCAAACTGTCTTTCTGTTACCTGCACATATATATTATCTATTTTACAGGGCGTCAGGGGTCCAGCTTCAACCCCTCATGACCTTAGGCCCCAGAAACAGCCCTGTACAGACGGTTCTCTGCTTTCTCAAATACTTCCCTTTCCTCAGAGATTTATTTTTCATTGCTACAAAACGTCTTGTTAAATTTGTCTCCAAACAAGGATCAAATGAGGTTTGGACCTGGAGCTGTTAACAGTTAAAGCAGCAAAAAACATCAGACTCTAAACTGATGCATGGCCCCAGGAGATGCATGCATCTTTGTCAACCTGCAGCTGGAGAAGTTTATGAGAAAGATTCAAGGAGGCAGAGAGGATTACAGCTCACCTGTTGCAGATCAGGAACAAAATGAACACTGTACCTCTCAGCTGACTCAGCCTGTTACAGATGTGCTTGTGCTTTTGGTAGAATTAGATCCACAGTGGGGCAAATATGGTGACTCTTGGATGACCAACGCCCCACATAAAATAGTTTAGTCTCACCATTGTCTCGTTAAAAAAATAAAATCGATATTTGTCTGAGTTTTTCATGACGTATTTAAGCTCATCTAGGTCAAAGAAATAAACCAAACTATCTCTTGTGCTCCTATTATCATCATTAAAGTCCCACCCCAATCATTTTGTTACTATTTAAAGTGTTCTCAGTGGGATTTATATTGTGATTAGGAAGTTTTAGCTAAAATCACATTACCTGTGTCATTTTCAAAGGCTTTTCTTCTGCAGAGCTTCAGTAGCTAATAGCAATTCACCTCTGGTTTGTGGGTGGGGACAGCGCTGCTCTGCAAACTCCTCTTCACATTAGCTTGCAGCCTAACATTGCTGGTGTAGTAGAAGTAGCAGGTAACATAGGAGCTATTCAGCTCTCAGACACTAATGTCTTTTGGGACATGCTGAAAGTTAGTACTAAAATTAGCTTTCTTACAAACATTGCAATCCGCTAACGCACATGCTTGTTCCACGATCATCCTCTCTACTTTCTCAATATGGCCTGCATAGCGGGGCTTTGGGGATGAAGCTTGGATTTGCTACCTAGGAAATCTTACTGTGTCTGATCCTGCCGTTTGGGTCTGCCAGAGATTCACAGATTTGAATGCAAGAATACTCAGAAATGCAATTTCACACATAGTTTTCTCATGATATGTCCTGTAGCATCAGAAAAATGCCATATGAACGTGTAGACAACAAGAAAAACATGATTTTCATCGGAGTGGGTCTTTAAAGTGTCATTAAAGTGTCATCATTTTTTACATAAACTGTAATCCCATAAAGTAATATTGCTATCTTACATACTCTGTACTTGAAAGTACTCATAGTCTAAGCTGGTGAGCTGTCATAGTCTCTGTGTCTGAGTAGTTAAACAGTTTAGACTCCACTCAAAATAATGTGAATTTCTGTAAAAACCTGTTTTTTTCTTCCTGAATACGACTGAAACAGACCATAAAATTATAAACTGTATCACTTTGCTTTGATAGGATAATATGCGTGAAGCATATCCAACTATCAAATTCCCCCATTACCATCTTAACAGACATTTTCTCTCATGGGAATATATCTCTGACAAAGCACGTAATTTAATCCTCATTTTTGGGGGGCATTGCAACATTTGGTGTAATTTTCATTCGGCAGCTGGCACATTACAGAGAAATTGGAAGTGATGCTTGAGCACATATAACCCCACACAAACATGCAGCTCTTGAGGTGGTTTGATCCCATGAGATCCTCCTAAGTGTTCGGGTCTAATGTTTGACAGACTGAGTTTACGATGAATCTGTGCAGCCATGATGATCAAACAGAAATGATTGAAGTTTCAGACCTCCATGTGAATTATATTTTCACTCTGGAGCTTTAGTGCATGGGAACATGTGATTATTTTTAAGTGTACTCACCTGAAGCCAGACCCAGAACATTAATACTTGAGAACAGATCTTGTCTTGTGTTGAAATCCCCCCTGCAAAGTTTGGTTTTTATTACTCATGTTCACTTTTTTATTTGTGAAATCCAATTATCTGTGCCTGAAACAGAACAGCTCAGCCCCCCTGCAGTTTTTAGATTAATCCAATTCATTTATTCCTAATATCACTCACACACACAGTTAACAAGCCACACATGCAGAAAAAGCTCATACTGAGAACAGTTTAGAGCAATAAGGTGAGTCAGTCTTGTACTTTATGATTTAATCCTCAGAATAATAGCCGTCATGATGCTTTTATGGCAAGTTTTCTCTGTGGCTGCTGGCTCTGCGGTGGCGCCTTCAGTTGTGTTTTTAAAAAGCCTTGTCTTTAATGTCCACGGGTTCAAACTCAGCGGGTCAGTCTCTCAGAACATGGTCTGATTTGTCACAAATAGGGCAAGTCAGCCTTTCACATCCAGACTTCTTTTGAGTGGCACTGTAGTTGTGAACACTTTCAGTTTTTGTTCACCACATGTCCATGCTTTAGTGACTCTTCAGCCACAGAGAGACTAGGATTCAAGTTCCTCTCACACTATACAGAGTGTGAATCTGGTCTGGTTACTCCTGCTTCCTGAAAGGACGGCATATTGTATCCAAGTGGGAACTTCCAGTCTTGAGAATTAAATCGATGCTGAAAAGTTCAGTGCTGCAGTTCCCTGAGTGCCCTCTTGAGGCTGACTGTAGAAGCACTAGAAATCCGATACACACACCAAGCCAAAGAAGTCTGTTGTTAGAGTGAAAATAAGTATGTTCACAGCCTGGACCAAAAACTAGTTTTGGTCTAAGTAGTTCAGGGCTCCCACAGCACCAACAAAACTAGAGTGTTTGATTTTAAGTTATTAAGGTTCAAGATCGGCTAATCAGAGACACAGCAGATCTGACTGACCTGCAGTTTGGTTGAGTCAGAAATACAAATGTGGAGACTGCTGCTGATACACTTCAAAACTCAGCTTCACAAACAAATGGGTGATATCACTGACACTCTGTCCAGTTATTATACATTCTGTGATTGTATCTCATACCTAGATTCAATCATTTAGACAAATGTGCCTCAGACCATTTCCATATGTGGCTGTACGTGATTGGATCATCCTCAACACATCTGAGGTGTTTTTAAACCTCTGGTTTAGACTGGTTTCTTGTGATCTAATCACTAAGACCATCCATCCTCCTTGAGTAAATAGGGTTTATATTTGTGCTCTAGATGTATGTTGATAATGTTATCCATGCATGGACAAAGCCAAATCTTTTGTTGTTCTAAGAAGTGATAGATTTTCTACTTTGACCTTTACTGTCTGTGTAACTTTGATTTTATAATAATGTCGGTCACCTGTGGAGTTAAAGCTTCTTGATCAGTCGTGACAAATTTTGCTAACTTTTAGGGCTGGGTGATAAAACGATAACAATATATATCAAAAATTTATTTCCCGCAATATCAATATAAACATGGTCAATATCCTTTTCAATAGTCAGCATTCTGCCATGTTGTGGTAGACTATAAAAATAGCCAATGAAAAGGGGGAGTTGCTCCAGGTCCACTTCACACTGAACCAATCATGTGGTGAAGAAGAACCAAGTAGCAAACAGCTGCATAGTAGCAGACTGCAGCTACAACCATAGCATTTTAACATGTGAAGCCGACAGTCGGTGAGAAAAAAAGAAAATTAGTGCTACCACCAGCAGAAATGCAGATGAAGGCTCAACAGATGACGACATCGTTGACAACACTGGCACGAAAACATTGGTGGTGGAGGTATTTTGGTATTTTTGAGGTCGGACATAAAGCAAAGTGCACTGCAAATTATGTTGCGTACATGTTCTTGCAAAGTCGGGAATACCTCAAATCTTTTTCACCACCTGAAGCAGTGCCATGCAGCAGAGCACTCACAATGTGAAAGATAAAAAAGCCAGAGCGGAGCAAGGAGCCCATGGCGCCTGTGCAGCCGAAACAGCTGACCATTCAGTCCACTTTCTCTAGCGCAACACCTTACAATAAAACGTCAAAGAGACACAAAGACCACAGATGCAGTAGCTTATTGTATTGCAAAAGACATGCTACTAATAAGCACTGTTAAATTTCATTTTTTTATATCGTGATATATATCGATATCGACTGATATGATAAAAATATATTGTGATAAACTTTTTCCCATATCACCCAGCCCAACTAACTTTGCACAAAACACCTGCCTTAAATTCATGGAGAGTCTGTCTGTATGAGAGCTACATTTCACAGAGACTCAGCAGCCACACAGAGGACTGAGATCATCTGCAGAAAAGGATCAAGAATATTAAAATGATTGGTTTGGTTACTGCTGCATTTTTTCATTCATAAAGTTCATAAAATGATCACGTAAATAAAGTTTCTCTCCTAGCAAGCATGCAAGCCAAGAAAAGCTGCATGTATTTCTTAAAGTCAATCATTTGTATCGTCAGTTTCTGCCATATGTGCTGGACAAACACGAGAACTGAAAAGAACATTTTTCTGTGCAAAATCGTACAGAGAGAATCATGGCCTCATTTTAGTGTGCATGTCCACCGCTCAAGAAAAGTCCATTAGAAGCAAATAAAAAATGTAAAGAAATATTAGTATAGAAGTAAAAGGATGAAGGCATTAAAAAGACTATAAGGTTATACTCAATGAAGGACAATAACTGCAGAGCTTTAAGGAGAAGATTTCATAAACAGATGGAGCTTGTTAACATTTGCCCTGCAGCTCTTCGCTCCTGTCCAGTCCAGACTCTTCCTGCCTGCCAGAAAAACATTAGTAATACAAAATCACTCCATGTTCTGGCTGTTTCCTCAAGTATCGACAGTCTGCTCCTGCTGCTGGAGCCTCTCAGGCCTCAAGTTTGAACCATCTGAACCACCACAAACTCTCAGAGCTCAATTATTCTCGTTTTTCTGACACAAAACTCTCACTATGAGTTTTGCAGCTCACTTAAATTCATAAAAGTGGAGCAAAAACTTCAATGAAGTGTTGAGGTTTTCATCCAAATAGCTCGTGTTTCTGTGTCATGGTTGTTCAGCGCAATAATCACGGCTGTCAAACTGTGGAGAGACAGGATGAGTTAAAGGCAGGATCATTGATTTTTTTCTAATTACTTAAGGGAGTGTTTACTTTTGTTTGACGTCTTCTCTTTCCAGACTGTATCATTGTGCTAAAGGGTTTTGATTCAGGAAAAGTCATTACAGATTCGACATAAGATCTGAGTAATCTGTTGAAATCAGCTTTCTGAGACTTAGTTTCCACTGCAGGAAAAACAGCTTTATTCGTTTTTGTCTTGTTTGGGTCCAAAAACGAAATCTGTGGTTTTGAAAGGTTAATATTGAATTATATTATAACACTTTTTAGGAACAAGAGTGAAGGACACCAGATAAGTGTTTTCAAAAACAGTGTGCTGCTGTTAGCTACCGTTGCTACGTCTGTTACTCTTTCTTTTCTCACATAGTGAACGGGTGGTTAACAGTGACAGATTTACCGCTCCGAGGGCTGGATTTAGTCAAAGTTTGCGTGTGCAGAAATGTGTGAAAACCTCATAAACCTGCAAAAAAATGGGCGAACTGATCTACTAATGGTGCGCACTGAGGACTGTATTTTTCGCATTGTCCATTTAGTACATGTGCCTTGACAACTGTGATATATGGGGCTTGTAGTGGAGATACAGGAACAGGGAACTCTGGATCAAAGTTTTCACTAGATTCACTCAGGGGTGTCAACCAGAACATCACTTAAGGGCCCAGTTATCCAGACTAGTCAATAATAAGAAATAAGAGTTGGTTCAGTGGTCCTGTAATACAGCTAAGCTAAATCTTTCAACTCAAATCTCAAACAAAAAAGACTTCAGAAAGAATGTAGATGTAAATCAAACTTTGATTATTATGGAGAAAATGTCAAAAACTTTAAAAGTTTTAAAAAATTCTTGCTTATCCCTAAATTTCTGTAAGACAGGACAGAAGAGATTGAAGTTTACTGGGGTCATGTGAAAAGACAGATATATAAAGTTGGGCGTCATCAGCAAAAAAATGATCATTGATGTGGAAGTGTGAAATAATATTTCCACATGGAAGCATGTACAGTGAAAATAAAAGAGGCCCGAGAATACTTCCCTGAGGAACACCAACGCATTAGCATAAAGTAGCCTATCACAGATTTCTCTCATATTTTCAGATCAGTTCTACCTTCTTGAATATCACAACACTAAATTTGACAGAGCATACGGTACATTTTCAAATACTCTGGACATAAATCAGAAGGATAAAAGCTAAGTGACTTAGCCAACTGACAAACAAATACATTGTGAGGTGTTCCAGGTCTGGTCAGTAAGATAATCGTACAAAGTCGTGATGTGTTTAAATGTCTCATCTAGATAAAAAGGGGAATAAAGGGTTTTGGTGACAGCCTCTATAAATACAATTGTTTGCCATCAGAGAGCCGTTTTGTTTTGCACTGTTGCAATAAGTCCATGAAGAGTTTTCAGCCAAATCCAAGAAGCAAATTGTTTCTATTGTTTAGAAGTCAGTTTCATCTAGCAAATCATTTTAAAAGACATTTATTGATTTAACTTTAAATTCCCATTAAACAAGGATTGATTTTTTACCAAAATTTACTCCCTCTGGGTTACATAATCCAGAAATATTCCAGCTCAGCTCAACATGGCAGACATGAATGACTGAGAGGTCTTCTTGTATGGTTCTCATTATCCATGAAGACTGCAGGTCTACATGTTCTGCCTTCATCCACAACCTTTTCCCCACGGTGGGGAGTCTCTGTAGTGGGAGACGAGGAATGAAGAAAGGATGAATAGATTAAGAGAGATGTGAGAAAGGTCGCGAGGGCGTACTCACATGTGAAAACTGATATAAAAGTGATGTATGAGACAATGTAGAAGTTGAACATACAAGGCGAGTCATTTATATAACCGATATGTGATTTTTTTTTGATTATCTTTATCTCAATTAAGCCTCATACTAACCAGGTTTTGTTTATGATGTTTGTTTGTAGATGCTTACATCCAAGGCCAGCTCTCTTTCTGCTGGACTTGAGCAGATTTTGGTTTGTAGGCTCGAAAAGTTCATTTCACAATATCCAGTTGACAAAGAAGCCGTCCAGTATTGTAAGCGCTATAAATCACAGTGATCCCTTATGAAGTGGCAGCAGGTTCTCTCTCCCTTTACTCAACTTTAAAACATTAAAACTAGCCAGATCATTTGATACTTGATGAGCAGACAAATAGTTTCGCCATCTGTTTCAGGTAATTGAGAATAAAATGACTCATCCTATCAGTTCGGTATTTGCTGTTCTTGCGCTCCGCTTTCCTCTCTCTTTGTTTTCTCGAAGTTCATGAAAAGAGCAGCAGGAGGTTGAAAGTGTATCTTGTTTCTGGCTTTAATTTGCAGGAATATGATACAAATACATGCAGCAGATATGATGGTTTAATATTATGTTAGATATTATATTATGATGGGCTAGTAAGTGCAGAGTTCTTGACTTTATAATGAGAGTTAAATGGTACACAGTTAAAATTTATGATGGTCCGATGAGGTTAATATCCTGTCTACATCGTGTGTCTGGTTTTACTCTCCAGCACTTTTTGTCAACAGTCTCAGCCGGCGAGTAGATCTTAACACCATAGAGCCTTTTGCATCTGCGTCTCCATGTGCGTGTTTACCTCCCTTTGTCATTTTTTCTGTCTTCGTAGTGAAAAGCGATAAATCATGTCAATTATATGAGCACAGCTGCTCTGTGGTTTCAGGGATACCAGATGTTTGGTGGATCCATGAAGCTCCTATTAACCCAAATACACACTCAGCGGGAAATACCCCATGAGCATGACTTCAATTAATGATGATTCAGAGTTCTTTTCATGCAAGTGTATCCCAGAGCAATATGCTACCAAACAACAGTGAGAGTTTACACATCCAATACTGTAACAGTTTTAATTCTTAAAGTCTTTGTAAACCAGCCATATATATCAAACTGTGAGAAATAAACCACAACTCCAACTCGCAAAAGTGGCTGATGTGTAAAATGTTTGGAAATTTGAGATTTTGATGGTGTGAATATAATTTTAACATTATGTTTAATCAAAAATAGTGCAAAAACAACATGTCAGATGTTAGAACTGAAAAAACTATATGAAATGTATATGCTCAATTTAAGAATGATACTAGCAACACATTTATAAAAGTTAGAGCAGCACTGAAAAAGTTGTGAAATGCAAAGCAAACCCTGAAAAACACCAGTTTGAGCAGCTTGACTAGGTATTGAAAGGAATTCTAGAGAGGCTAAAGCTATAGATGAGAACAGGTTCACTGCTCTGTGAGAGACTGAGTGAGTAAATAGTTCCTTGATTTACAAAAAATGTTCCTCAGAGCAAAATTACAAAGAATTTGGGGCTATTTGATCATATCGAAATATCACTGAAAAATTCAGTTAATCTGAAGAAATATTGACATGAAAGGGGCTAAACTGTGGATCTTTATGACCTAAGTAGTGCTGCATTTAAGGCAGACATGTCTCTGTAGTGGAAATCCCAGCATGGGCTCAAAATCACTCTCAGTGATTGTATGTGGACACAAGTTTGTTGCTGCATCCACTAATGCAGTTTGAAACTAATGGAAAACTACTTGTAAATGTGGTGCATACACACCAGCAGCTTCTCTGGGCTAAGTTCTTTGAATGATCCTGTGATGAGTTTTTGATCGATTTCAAAACAGTCCGATATGAAAAGTGATAAACCTCCATGATGTAAAAATGAAAATGAAACCATCTATGACAAGGCTGTTAATCCCTAACTGTTATTTAAATGCCTGTTATTGCAGTGAAGGGTGAAGTTCACTGAAGGAGCAGCATATGTTAATTGCCCCACAGTAAACCTTCACAACAAGTGATTTATCATTCTGCAATAAGATGATCAAGTGAGATTTTGTGTGGATTAACAACACTTTATGAAAATAAGATAAAATCAGCAACAGAATAAGGGTTAGAATTTTGTTCACAGGACAACAACACAAGACAACACAAAGTTCCTCACTAGAGCTTTAAAGTAGACTGAACTGAAGTGGAGAAATGTGGTGTGGTCTTGGGATTCAAAATGAGATATTCTTTGTGTAACTCTTTAACGGCACATCCTCCGCTCTTAAGAGAAGAGGGACCACCTAGCTTGTTCTCAGCACGCAGTTCAAAGAGCTAGCTTACACACATAAGAGGGCACCAATAATAAAGAACAATAAATGTAGGTTTTGGAGCAACATGTGCCGCTACCCAGATAAGGCTTTTTTCAAAGACAACCTCTTGTAATTCAAGACAATGCCAAATCACATTCTGTATGTATCACAACAGCAGGCTCTGTAGTAGAAGAGTCCAGATGCTTAAAGCCCAGCTGGTCACCCACTGAAATGAAAAATCTAAAAAACATAAAACAGTTGTCATGAAGCTAAACTGCTTTTGATGCTGACGCGATGAGACGATAGAAGCAGCTCTTGTGTTTGACTGCTCAGTATGAAGCTAAAGTCAATAGCCAGTTAGCTTAGCCCAAAGACTGTAAACGAGTAAACATTAAAATGAAAAAGGAGAACTCCAACCATGAGGACCTCTACATTACCTCCAAGACATTGTATCTTGAACCTCCACAAGACAAGTTGCGGTTTTATGAGGGGTTACGTGCTGGACTTGTTCTGTCCTGGGATGGATTCTTGTCCAGCAAAATGACAAACTAACTGCTTACAGATGCATGAAGGGAGTTAAATATTTTAAAATCTCTGAGACCTCACTGTGCTGTTAAGTTCACAAGATTGCTCACAGACAACAACTCATGATGTTCAAATGAGGGTCAGCAATCAATGGACAAACTTCGATGCCAAATGTTTTTAACCCCACCACCCTTTTATGAGGGGAAACGTCCCATCTCCCTAAATACTTATTTTTTATTCTTCTTGTCGAATCAAAGGAGATATTTTGTGGTTTGGATCCAATTCTGCTGCAGCATGTGGAAAACAACCTCTCGGTCTGTGTTTGTTTTCATCTTGATTTGATTTACGATGCTTCATTAAACTCATAAACACTCACAATGAAAATAATCTGTGCTGTGTGAGTTCAAACATGCAGGCTAAAAGTTGGCATAAATAATGAGGAATCTGTATTTCTGCACACTAAAGAACATGGAGGCTTATGGAGCTGTGAGAGACGGCGTTTTATTACATGGAGAGAAAAAACTGTCTGCACACACATCAAAACAATTGTAAATGCATTTGCTGATTCATTTGTATTTACTTCAGTTTGTTTGTTTGTGTTTTCTGCAGTGGAGGAGACGTTGGTGCGGCTGGTAAATGGGTCAGGTGTTCATGAAGGTCGTGTCGAGGTTTTCCATGAGCGCCGATGGGGGACGGTGTGCGATGACGTCTGGGACAAAAAGGACGGAGACGTGGTGTGTAGGATGCTGGGATACAGCGCAGCCATCGAGGTGCATAAGATGGGCCGATTCGGACAAGGTAAGATCCTAATTACACCTGGACAATACAACTAGCTATATTATTTAACAGAACTGTGTCAAAAGAAGAGATGCTTAACTGTTGAGTAAAACAACCTCATGGTGAGCCAATTTTAAAGACTCCTCAATCAAAGAAAACAAGTGAGACAGACCTGAGATGAGACAAAGCGGTTAAATGCTTCTCAAACTGCAGTTCCCTGAGTGGCCACTTGAGGCTGGTTGAAACCGCATCTTAACCCTTCCCTCTGAAGAGCAAAATAAATATGTTTATAGCCCTGTTCAAAAACTAGTTTTGGCTTAACTAGCTCATTTTTCTTTCATTACGCACTAAATGTAGAGTTAATTTGGGTAGTTGAACGGCATAAAAGTTATGAGTCAATTCTTCACATAACATTCATCAAGTTAAACACCAGATTTCATTTTAAATAAAGTTTTTTTGCACTGTGTCATAAAAAATAGAGGGATTTTAGCACTCTAGTAAATCATCCAGCTTTTTTGAGCTTTCATACATCATCCTTATAACATCAAAATTTTGACTTGTATTTTTTAATGATTTGGAACAATCCCTTTCACTTTTAGTGCTCGGGATCACTATAGCTTCTCCCTCTATCTTGTCATGCTCATTCTGTCCATAGACACACACCAGCCTCCTCTTGCTCTTCTCCCCACTCTCCTCTCTCCATCTGTGGCTGATAGTTTGTACCTCTGTTAAACTTAACGTTAATCTCCTTGAGCTTCCAAACTTTGTCTCACATTGATCTGAGCTGCTGCTGATGAAGTGAAGGTGTCTGTCTTATTCAGAATGTAATAGTCATGATTGACTGATACTGGCTGCCTGATACAACTGAGCAACAGGAGTATCTGCTCTTATTTTTTCCACTTAAAAGGCTCCCTGGTTGGTGAGGAGTGACTCCACAGCTGTAAAGTTTCATCTATATTGAAAACATACACTCTGCAGAGATCACTTGCGTTTCAATCTGGGCAATATGACAATGAATGGATGATATACTCATAGTAATTTTATATCTGCTCTCTTTATAAGCTCCTTCCTTATGAGTCTGTGGTTGTGAAGTTTTATCCACCCTCAGCACATCCCCTAAAGGAAGTATTCCTGTTTTTTTACCAACTCTGTCGTTTTTCAGAGCATCCGAAATGCTACGGGGATTAATATTTAAAGTTTTATAGGGAAAGTCGTGAGCGCCAGATGTCATCAAAACAAAGTCTCAGAGGACAAATCCATCCCTGGCTTTCTCTCTATTTTATTTCATTCACACAGTCAGCCTTACATCATTCAGAGTCCGTGTCCAGGCCTCAATGAGTTGTTAGAAATAAGTCTGGAAATTTGGGGAAAAACAGCTTTTGTTCCATAGGACGACCTCCAGGCAACAGCGGGGACTGAGAACACAGCTGGATTCAATTTCAACACAATCTGGTATTCAAATACATCTTTTCAGATCAGTCACATACTTTTAGGATTGTTTACTCTCACTTTTTTTTTTAATTCATATAATTTTTTCAAGTTTTCCAGGCATTTCTCAGAATTTAGGTTTTATTCTCATTATGGAGCTCATGAAATATTCTCTTCAGCATGCATGACTTCATCTGAAATACTTGCACTTTTATAGCAACTCTGGAGTTTTGTCCAACACATACATTTGTAGCACGTTGGTATTTTAGACACTAGTGCTCAGGGTTTAACTGAATTTGAATTTCTATGATGTCTTTGGCTTTCCATGATTATGAGACTAGATAACTGAGATTGAACAATCGCTGCTGCCTGCACTCGCTTCCCTCAAACAGTTTTCACTCCAACTTTTGGGAGCTACAGCCAGGGTTGGACTGGTAATTTGGCACACAGGCCAATACATCCAAGGGCTGGCAAGCTTTGACTATAACATGCCATCATTAGAAGAGGAGAGAGGAGAGCTGGGTGAGGAGGAAGTGTGTGTGTGTGTGTTAGTAAAGCAGAGGGAAAGAGGGAGCACCAGAGGAGGGAAAGTTGGAGCATTAACAAGCTGACTGCCAAGCTTAACAGAGAGCGACATCAGTTTGGTTCAATCAATACACACCTATGCCAGAGGCTAAAATAAGAGATACAAAAATCACTTCAGGGAAAAAGAAGCAGTTTTCAGATAATTACAGTCAATAAAGAGCATAAATTAAGAGTTTCAGCAGCTTTTTTACCCTTTTAGTAGTAAATGGTTCCAATTTACTGCCAAGTTTGCTTTTCAAAAGCTATGAGTAAAGGTCTGAAGTGTCTAAATTTGGCTTTGTGAAAATGAAAGTATCCTTTAAAATGTTTTTCAAGAGTCTCCAGATAATCTAGCACCACCGAACGTAATAAAAAATACAGATATTTGACTCCAAAATAGAGCATTTCTTGTTAAGTATTTCTGGTGGTCAGATTGGCTCAGGTCCTGCTCCTGCCAGTACGGCAACTCTACCAGGACAAACTGCATCTAAGGGTTAAAACTCCACTCATAAACTCTGAGATGGGTTTGAAGAGTTTTTAGGTTCAATGGACATTTATTTCATCAAATCAGTGTGCAATTGAGCTAAATATTAATTAAAGAATCATGACCCTAACAGAACATGGCAAGTAAAGATAAGATAAGATATTTCTTTATTGGTCCCTCAGGGGAAAATTCCAAACACAGGGAAAATCCAAGTAGTGACGAGAAGAAGTTGGAGAAACTGAACCATCAACCTTGATCATAACAGCAATTGCTTTGCTATAAAAATAAAGTTAAAGTTTCTGTGTGAGATCAAGATAAAAAAAACAGTCGCTTAAATTATAGTAATGCAGTTATTTTAATTTAATTTGAAGGAGCTCCTTCAGCGCTGATCCAAAACACAACAGAATCCAAGACAAAGTTTGCTGCAGACAGAAACTGTAACCAATCAAATCCATCTGCACAGCTTAGTCAACCTGAAAGAAGTCTGTACTTCAGTGCATTTATCTATGATTAGTTAAATATTAAAAGCAGACATTTACTCTTGCTGTGAGTTCAGCGCAGGCTTATTTCACTGATGGTTGCTTATTAAATGGACTGCTAAAGTAGATCAAAATCCAATACTTAAAAATAATCAGTGCAGTAAGATAATATTCCAAGCATGCAAATGTAGATACCTCTGAATCTGAGTGATTAGGTTAATGTAGGGCTTGCCTGAGTAAATATTTGTCTCCAGTGATACTGAGGATTTCCAGTAAATGAAAAAGAAGCTCTCTCTGCCTAGGTGAATGATGATTTCTATCTCCCATGACAAGAAACAGGAGAGCTGAGTTTGTTTGACCTTGTGATCAGTGAGAAGAAGCAGAGATAGACCCTGGAGGAGAATCACTCACAGAGGTTGGAGAACATGGGCTTAAACAAAATCCAGGACTGCATGATTCTCTGCAGAACGGGGTGTTTTATGTCTGCATGAGTGTAAATTTGCATTGTTTTGTCCTTGAAACGAGCCGTTACTTCCGAGAATTATCACAAAAAATGTGGTCAAGAGCGCCTCGTCTGTCTGTCTGCAGACACTGTTGGCTGTGAAAGTGTGTTAAAGTCCAGAGTAAACAGCTTAAAGGTCCGTGTCCACTAAAGCAAACCCTGAGAAGTCCCAGCAGAGGAACAGCTGGTGCTGATGTATCCCCCTGTGCACACCTCATTTCCATCCTGTGCAGCGCTGCATGGAGCCACGTGCTCCTGCTGTTACAGGCTGCTTTGAAGACGTCAGATCTGCAGCTTGTTCCTCTTTGTTATGTTACATTGTGGAGGAAAGCAAGAATTCAGGAAGCATATGGTTCTTCTGTGGTGTTGGTTTGTTGATTTTTGTGGTTGCGGTCCAGATATCAGCTTTTATATGCAAAGTTTGATCAGATTTATAGATAAAAGTCTGTTTATGGAAAATAAATATTTTACATTTCCTTGCTTTGGACAGAAGACTTCCTTCATTGTTGATTTTTCCAACATTTCTCTCTTTTAAGCTCCCAAAAAGTTTTATTTACTCAGGTTCTCTAATCTTAGCAGCGTGATAGATAGCCCCATATGTCGTGCAGGCTTTGAAGCACATTTTTGGCTCAGGATAGTGAGCTGTGTAAATAAAATGATCCTTTCTCTCTCAGTTATTTTTGTGCAGATTTCAGTGAGGAGTTCACATACGATTTAACATATGTAAAGCTTTAAACAGTTTTCCAGCTTTCACTCTAAAACTAATGCTCTAACTCTTAAGACTAGCCTTAGTTGAGAACTAACTTTTTCTACCACATTGTCAACAGGCAGAGGGCAGATGTGTTGGACCCCGTCACACTGTCCAGTTTATGTGTTGTGTCTTTGGTGACACTTTTGCTGTTTTTGTGTGGTTTTGACCATAGGCTGTATATGCTACCCATGTGCAATAGAAGGCTATTAGACGTCTTTTCTTTTTTTAGACCTAATTTCAACTGTCTAGATTCTGTATATCTTTAGACAGAATTTAGACGTTGCACTTTAACCCTTTACTCAAAAACTATTTATTTCAAAAAGCAACTGTGAGTTGCATAAATGATCTCCAAGTACTTAAAGCTATGGTCTACGATCTGAAAACCAGTTTGGCTGTTGAGACAGATTTGAAAAACGCAGCCTGCCCCCCCTTCAGTTTGGATTGGTTGATTATTCTGCCTTTTTGCAGCAGATATACTGAATGTTTTTTTTTTTTGTTCTTTTTGATCTTTATATTGTTAGATTGGACCATAACGGCCTTATAAACGGTGTTATTAATAAGTCCCAAGCTTCCAAGTGGTAGATCATAGCTGTAGCCAAAATAATTATGATTGCCCTTGAGCAATACACAGACCTCTGTAAGCCGGCTAGTCTAAACTTGCTCAAAATTTGGACGTCTAAAAAACTTTCACTTTTAGACCTGTGGTGACCTGATTTTAGACCAATCGTCTAGGCTACATTTAGACGTCTATTAGACCTCTTTTAGACCAAAAAATGCTCAGTGGGCTATGAACAAATATGCTCCACCTTCTGTCAGTATAGGAACTTGAAGCCAACTTGCTCTTGGTATATCTAGGATTTTCTCCACTTCCTGGAACCACCACTTGCGCAGTAGTGTTGTATGCACTCGGCGGGAGAGTCACTGTGATGATGCTCGTCTCAAACAGCATATCCCCCAGATGATCTATGCAATCTTCCTATGCCCATAGGCTGTATCAAGTTTCAATCATAAACCCCCTAATGACTTTTAAAAGTGGAGCTGCACAGAAAAAAGAGGACTTGAGCACAAACCAGTCTTACAGTAACTACATGTCAATGTTGTAAGGGGAGAAAAAAATTGTATTCTGTGTAGTACATTTCCAAAGTTTGTCCACAACTCCATTAAGATTGCTGGAGGAGGTGGGATTTATCACCTATACTGCAGCCGGTCATCAGGGGGGGCTGATCCATCAGAAGTTCCTGCATAGAAAAGCCCAGCAATAGTAGGGTGTATTTATGGTGGATTGTTGAGTCAAACAAACATGGAGCCCAGAGTGGAGGAGACCTGTAGTCAAATTTAAAAGATTTCAGTCAACATAAGTCACACCAAGGATGTCACTGGACTTCATATCCTGAATTTCCAGTCGTATATTGAGCTGAATTTAACCCACAACCACTGTATTTTACAGTACTTGAACTAAAAATGTCTACGCCTCAACAAACTGAAGCATACAACATATGTTTGACATTACAGCTATGACAAAGAAGTTCCCTTTGTTTCTCCCCGTCATTACAGACATACTGAGAATGATAAATGATTATCCATCAGATCGCTGCAGTTTGTCTCATCTGACGTGTTCAAACGCTGGTGATGACAACTGAAAATGGGCGAGTTAACAGCGTGATGACAACTGAAGTTGGTGTCTGGTTTTATTTCAGCAAAGTGAGGAGGAAACTTTCACCCTCTGAGTGACTCGACTCCTGTGTAAAGACCTGCTGTCCTGCAGCCCCACTGAACACTCAGGAACATGTCTCATGATCCAGCTCTGTTTGTCTGTCCTTATTTACACAAAGTCACAAATGTGCTTCTAGCTGAAAAATTGTCGTTTAATTTGTTCAGTAAATTTATTAACTCACTCAGTCTGGAGACAGTTTTTATTAAACATTGAGAGTTTTTCCAAAGCTCAATTTAGAGGTTGTTATTGTAGTGATAGGATGGCGTGTCTCTTGCCAGTTATTTGACTTACAGTTTGAACTTAAAAGAATAAATCAATAAAGAGCTAAACAGGACTGAAAGGTTTTATTTGATTTGATATGGCATATCGAACTTTATGGCAGGGAGCTTGATGTTAATGTTGTGTTTGGGTATCATGTTGCTGTTACAGAGCACTGTGCAAATATTTAGACTAATTGTGTTTTCATGCTTTGGCGATGTCGTTCAGTCTTCAAACTTTCATGTCAGTGAAGCTATTTGAGTGGAAATGAAATGAAAATCATCTGAGGACTAACCAAACATCATTTATATTTATGTTTGATGAATATTTTCCACAAAGAAAAAGTTTCCACTCAATAAACCTGAAGAAAATTTCTCTGAACGCAACGGGAATGAGGGCAAATGAGCATTAAAATGTAAAGTCTAAGGCAGGTAATGATGCTTGCAGCTTAAATCAGCACTTGAACTGGCTGGTGTTGTGCGTTCAAAGGTTAAAAGACTAAGTAATTCCTAAAATTTTGTTTTATATTGACACAATATTTCAACTTTAGCTACAACACAATTTACGTGATTGTCTACAATGAGCAAGATGATGAAGGTCAAAGTTTAAAATCACTTTGACATCCTTATGTCACGGTAAGACGCCCTGTTTCAGTGAAAAAGGATTTATCAACACCAGCATTGTTTCTCTCAACCACCAGATTTGTCCATGAACTTCACCACCTCTTGGCCTGTCTCGTGTTTATCCTGCTAAGTTGGGCAAATGAAAAACAAAGGCTCTAAAATTAGGCTTGAAACGCAGTTCAACAAATCACAACACCATCATTTGTCAGATGGTCTTAATGGGCCGATAGTTCTTGATTGTGACAGCGCCTTGAACTTTGTGCCAGTTTGAGGATGAAATGAGGAGAAAGATTAAAAGTTTGGGTTTAGACTTTTTCCATTTGGCCTGAAGCTGATGAAGTGCTTTTGATTAAACTTCCCCGCTGTATGTGAAATTGGCCTTTTATTCTTCCTCATCAGGATTTTTCTGTATCATGTATGTTTGACATATTATTATCTGATGTTTCTTATCAGTACAATGTGTTTGAATTCTCCTTTGACAGCTGAACACCTGAATGATAAACAGTTATGGTTCAGAGTAAAGCAGCAGAGGTTACACAAGTCCAGATGTTGCTTTTAAGGGGCAGCTCTGATGAGTCAGCCTCTGCTCAGGCCTGTGGTAAATTAACCCTTCCATTAACAAGATTTAGTACTATAAGAAACAAAGCAATGCTGCATGACAGGATACAAAGAGGCAAAACAGGATAGTCTACACCTAGATACTGTACAGTACTAGACTGATGTGAAACCACAAAGTTACCACACGGTACCATATGATTCAACAAGATACCATGTGATGTGTACTGTCATACACACAGAGAAATAGGAGTACATAAGATACAATACCTTACAATCCTATACCTTATAATATGTATGATATGATACAGTATCCCATAATACCATCCCTCATTGCTGCTGTTGGGCAGAAACCTTTTATATCCAGAAGGTAAGCACTGCTTGAGTTTCATCCATATGTTTTTTTGGGGGGCTTTCACACCTACCTTGTTTGGTCCGGACTTTAGGACTTCTCTGTTTAGTCTGTTTAAACCTCCCTAGGACCTTGGTCCAGACCAAACAGCTGGGCCTTGGTCCGACCATAAGAGGTGGTCTTGATCCGGACCAAACTGAACCATGGTCTGGTTCATGTCCAGTGTGAAAGCATTATTTTGAAAGGTTTACGCCTTCATACCAAAGACAGGAAATGACACGAGGAGTACAAGTGTCCGTTATTGTGAGTAATGGAGACTGTTCACAAACGGGAGATTTTAAAATACTGTAGATACCTCACTATCTTTTCAAGAGTTTTACAACGCATACTTTCTCTCCAGAGTCGGTGTTGCAGTAGCTAGCAGGATTGTATACTTCTTCTCTTTTCCTGTCAACAACATTCAAGTTGTCGTCTAATGATAAAATTCTTAAGACGAATTCAAAGTAGCCTCCTGTACAGCTCTTTAAATTATTGCTGTCGGTAGTTAAAAATCAACAATAATATATGGGGGGAATGACGATTTTATTAATGTTTTACAATATTCAAGACCCGTGTCACTTAATGTGTTGATGTCAGAAGCCGCTGGCCAAATGACCAATCAATGTAAACTACAGACATGCAAAGCAAGTAGTTGATGACGATATCGTGTAGGTTCGTCATGTAAAGTTTGTTAGTCTGTTTGCTATAATGACAGTGTGAAACCTAAACAGACTGAACCAAATGTATATAATGTAACAAAAATATGGACCCTCAGGTGTGAAAACACCCTTGGACACTTTTCATCTGTAAAATGTCAAAAAACCTACTGACAAGCATGAAGGGAGATCAATCGTATTGATTCATGAAAATAATAATAATGATAATGATATTAAAATGAAGTCAGTGGGTAAGGGTGTGTTTTCTGTGCTGGTTTTTATGTAACCCAAACTACAATGTGCAAACAGCTATCGCTCTTGTTCCCTCACAGCTGACTATGATCTGCTGCAGCCAGCTACGAATGTTGCAAAAGCGGGACTTTCTGAAACACTCCTGTGATTGCTGTTTTACAAACAGGAACTGAGGTTTATAGCAAAACAACACTGCCAAAAGCTCTGCTTACCAGCTGGGGCTGTTTATTTTATTCCCGGATATGATATTATCTGATCAGCAGTCCTCAGAGGAGACGCTCTGAGTACTAGCTGTCTCAATCAGGAGACTCATTTACACAATTTCATTGGTGACTGATTCTTGGACTGAAACTTTGATTTATGTAAAAGTGCAGCGGGATCATTTTACTTTACTGAGGCTCTTAACCTTTTGTTGACTTTTAAACATTTTGGCAACAAGCAGAATAACAATTTAAGAATAAGTCGACCACCTGGGACACCGATACAACATTCAAGAAGCTCAAAAATATTCAACAAGTTCATCCAACTAAAGGCAGTACAGACTGTCCTTGAAAAATGTGGCTCCCAAATAAGATCAAATCAGAAACTCAGCTTCAAATTTTGCCAAACTCTACCAGTGCATAAACCTAAAGATCCCTCATAATTTGCCTCATATCTTTGTTGTATTGTAAGTACAGTTTTGAGTTCAGCTTCAAAAGAAAATCACAAATTCAGCCTCTGCAGAGGACCTGCAGCCTCTTAGTTCCCAATCCCATTAGCCATGCAGTGATGTAACTGGGCAGGGATGCTTCAGGGATGAGGCACTGCTCTAGATGGCTGCCTGAATGTTGTTTGAGGAGGTAGAGTATAGACAGGTGCAGGCGTATGCAGAGGCAGAACACTAACACAAATATAGCGAGTGCTCCAGGAGAACCTGGAACACCCCACCTATGACCTAAAATATGACCCTGCATACGAGATAGCAGCTGTTGAAGTGTTGTTTATAACGGCATGTCTTTGAGAGGTTCATTAAAGTGGGAGTATTATTCGTGTCAACTTTTATGCCTTTAGTATGCCTTTAACAGTTCTGGTCTCTTTTGTCCTCTGGCCCTGGGACAGATTATAGACATTTGTGTTGGTTTTTGCAGCCAATTACAGAGCAGCTGGGGTTTTAGGCTCCTATACTTAACATATTTGACAAAACCATTTTTGTATAGTAGGTAGAAGAGGGGGAGTGGTCTTGATTATGCAAATCACTCCTGTTATTACATCATCACAGGAGCATGTTCAAATCACCCTGTAGGAAGTATATTTTTCCTCGTAAGTAAGCTACAAAAACAATGCAGAAGCTTTTTTGCCTCCTCCCTTGGTTCGAGAACGTCTAAAGTAGGTTTGATACAACAAAAATTCTGTTTTTATTATGTGACCTGCACAGATTATGATAAACTCAAGTAAAGAACATCCACATTTGAAACCAAATCATGAACTTTTTCTAAACCTTACCCAAATCTGATATTTTCTCTGAGTTTGCCTCATATCTACAGTTCATTTTTTTGCAGTTCAGTTGTTGCAGATGCACTCTAGAGCTCTTGTTTGCCATTTTGCTGTAGGTATGAGAGCGTGTTAGAAAAGAAACAAAACAAAAGCTGCCTACAGCTGCAGAAGTGTCCTCCACTTAACCTCACATGACAAAAGGCTTTATTTACAGAAGTTTGGCTTCAGTAACAACAGTGAAAAATCTCTGTTTTCCGCTCGCTACAACTCAAAGAAATAAAAGGTCAGATTTATTCAATAGGCTCGGGGTGCTTTTGTGTCAAGTTTGTGCATATGGTTTCCATAGTTTATGACCTGTGTATACGTGACACCCACATATTCCAGCCTGTGATTAAGCTACAAGCAGTCTTAGCCAACAAGTTTACTCTTTCTGGCTGCAGTTGCATCAGATCGACTGAAGTCAAGAGGAACGTGATGCATGAATGAGCCATAAAGGGAAACACTGAACGTGGACTGCTGCTGTTTAAGTCCAGATGTTATTCAACCCCCCCAGCCCTTCAGAAGACATTGGTTGCACTATTGATCATCATGAACACTGATGAAGAAAACTTCTGAAGCTGCGTTTCTATCCCACATTTTTAACAACAGTCTTTACCGTAGATGGGGGTTCTCTTTGAGCAGACTGCCAAAAGGAATTTCCTCAATTATAACTGGGGATCATTTTTCAGAATCCTGTTTTCGTCCCACTCACTTTTGTTGTTTCAGGTTGATTTTCTTAATGAAGTCTGTCTGAACATGAAAATGTTGATCCACACTCATCTGAGTGCCTCAAGTTATTACCTCGATGCTGCAGCAGCAGCAGCTGAGTGTGATGACTAGAGTCCGAGCAGCTGTGTTTTGATTCCCTGAATCTGCCATGTCTCACCAGACCTCATACAGTCAGCTCTTTATTGTTTAACTACTGAGGACCAGAAGCTTATTGCCATGTAGGTTTTTTGTTTAATGAAATGGCCTCCTCTGAGTATATTGTTCTCTAACATTCAAATATGGAACAAGTCTGTCAAATCTGATAGATCATGAGCATGAAGTGAACTGGGTCACCTGCTACAAACCACCTGACTGTTTGTTTGACTATCCTGAATCTTGAAGAGAAATCATGACAATATTGATCCCACAAAAATAAAGCTTCAACATGTTTTTCTCCCATTTTTACAGGTACTGGTCTGATCTGGATGGATGATGTTGCGTGCACAGGAGCCGAAGACACCATCCACCAGTGCTCGTTTCCAGGTTGGGGCAAAACAAACTGTGGCCATGTGGAGGACGCTGGAGTGACCTGTGCTGTTTAAACCTCTTACTGACCTGATGGAGTGCCTGCTTTAACAGTGCCTTATATAAAGCAGCTACAAGATGCACAACAGCCAATGATAGCTGAGGGTTAACTACAGCAGAATGGTTTCCATTAACCTGCTAAAGGAAGAGCAGCCTTTTTTTTTAGCAACAACCTCCATGATGGGCATGAAGGAAATCTACAGCTTTTTCTGAGACATTGACTAAATGTTGTTTTTTTTCTACAAGGCTGATTAATGGAGCAGAGAGAATGCACATATCTTCAAACTTTGCCCTTTTTATCATGAGCTGTTACATGGAGATAATCCAGGACAGGACTCTGCATCAGGGCGGCTTCTTCAGACTGGAGAATGAAGGTCAAAGGTCAGCTTTGAGGGGCTAATCCAAGGTCAGGTTTGCTGTTTTGACCTCCAGCATGAGAAGGAAGCAAATCTAGTGACTTACTCCTCAAAGAGCCGTCTGTCATTGCCCGACCTTCAAGCTGGACATTAACAGATAAGACTGTATGAAAGAAAATATATTTTTCACTTAGAGGCAGCTGCTCTTCACAGTATTATCTAGGAATGGCTTTTAAGAGATGCTGAATATACACAGTACTGCTTTATCATATCAGCTATAGCATTACATAGGAAGCAATCTTTTGGTGATTTGCAGGTCAAAAGAAGTCAGCGTGGAGTTTCAGCTTCACTACAGTGAGTGTAAAAGGTGAAAAAATAAAGGTGCACTGAGGAACTTTATGTCAACAATAGAGGTTTTGCATGAATTTTCCCAAAATACATTAATTAGACAAAATATACGGTTATATTTAGACAGTATTCTTGCCATCATCTTTTCCAGCTAAGAATTAAGTTCTCGGTTCATCAAGTGTAAAAACAAAACCTGCCTCAGCTTCGTGGAGGAGTTTTAATTTGAACAACTTTTCACTTGCGAATCACCAAACGAGCTTTAACTTTGTGCCTTTAATTTTCTTAATGAAGATGAAGAAAAATCTGCCACTAACACAGATTTCATAGAGGGTTATTATCTTTCACTGCCTTTGACAGATGAAGCAATCATGGAGGAGAACAGATGAGTATAAACAGATGGATGCATGGACGCCTGCCCTGCCTTGTTCGATTTACAGCGGCGGGTCTGTCAGTGTTTTCTGCCAAAAGTTGGGTTGTTCTGGCATTAATGTGGAAGTGTATGCACACACACACAAACACACTCTAATCCAACCATAACAGACTGGAGGTTTATGCCTCTCTCAGTGGGGTTTAATCTTTATGGGCTGCCCTCAACTACAAAAGAGCTGGTGCCTCCCAAGTGTTTGCTTCTTCCTCCGAGCCAAGAGACCAGACCAGAGCTGCAGGTTGGACCAGAACCTGTCTTTTTACCCAGTCGTGTTTTATATCTGAAGAGGGGAAACATTTTAGTGCACCTTAAAATCTGCCAAACATACAAACCTCACACTGTCCCCCCTGAGGAGCTGGAGTTGATTTTTTATACTCAGCAGTTAAATCTGTCTGAGTGAGCTGTCCTAGTTAAAAGAAGTCATCAGCAGTTTGGCCCACTTTCCCCTTTTCATGAAATTAATCTGCACATGATGTCCATTCATGTGTCTCTGCAAGGGAGAAGAATAAATGTTGGATATGAATTAAACTTTACAAGGCATCAGAGCCGCAATTTACTTTCTCTACCTCATGTTCAAGTGTCTCAGTGTTTGCAATGGTTTCTCTTCGAAGCCACAACTCAACCACAAAAGATGACAAATTAAAGAAAGGAAAAGGGAAACTTTGAAGAGGGAAAATGAGGTGAGAAACCAGACTCCGTAGACTTATGTGACTCAGATGCAGAAGGGTGAAATATTCCCCAGAAAGTTCTGTGGATAAATCACTCAGCAACTTCTGCAAAATCAGGAATGATGTTGGAGAAATCTGAGGCTGCATCTGAAATTATTAAAGGATCCGCCATTGTAGAGCGCTTTATGAATTAAGAGTGAGAGTTTTGTTACCCTACATAGTGGACTCATTGTAGTGCACAACCAATATTCATCATGCACTGCAGTGCAAAAGAGAAACAGACAGAAATGAAGAGCATGGCCAGGGAGGTTGGTATTTGATGCCATTTTGGGGGAAAATTATGCAACACTTAAACAAAGTGCACTTCTACCCTCTGCAATGTGCCTTTTTTAGCAGTATAGATAATTAAAGTGACATTTTTTTTAAAGCATACCTGGTTGTACAAAGACCTTACAGTGCTTTGCATTTGTGTATTTGCATTTGATTTATTACATTGTGCTGGTCATGAACATAGACTGTATATACTATGGACAACTTGGTTCCGCCTAGTATATGGATTTGAAGCCAAAAAGCTCTCAGTAATTCCAGGTTTTTTCCACTTCCTGAAACCAACATTGCACAGTAACATTATACGCTCTCCACCACTTGCGCAGCAGCATTTTACACAATAGGCAGGAGAGTCACCGAAAGTCGCTGTGATGACGCTCGGTTGAGCTACGCAATCCTTGTACACCCATAGGCTGTATCAAGTGTCAATCATAGAAAGCATGAACCCCCTAATAACTTTTAAAAAATGGAGCTGTACAGAAAAAAGAGGACTTCAGCACAAACCAGTCTTACAGATAGATAGATAGATAGATAGATAGATAGATAGATAGATAGATAGATAGATAGATAGATAGATAGATAGATAGATAGATAGATAGATAGATAGATAGACAGATAGATAGATAGATAGACTTTATTGATCCCAAACTGGGAAACTCTCTCCAAACTGGGAAATTCTCTACAGTAACTACATGTCAACATCACAACCAGGGGGGAGAAAATTTTATATTCTATGTAATAAATTTCTAAAGTTTGTCCACAGCTCCATAGGGATTGATGGAGGAGGCGGGATTTATGACCTATACTGCAGCCTGTCACCAGAGGGTGCTGTTCTCGTGGTGGCTTCACCCAGCGAGGAGGCAGACGGCATCCATACTAAATACAGTCTACAGTCATGATACATATAAGGGCTCCAGAGTTAACAACATAAATCAAACGTTAATAAAGATACTTGATACACTGCTTTACTTCTGCTTAAAGAAAAAAAAAAACACTTTTTACCCTCTGTTCAGTTGATTTGTACCACTAAATGCTGTATATGCACTGCTGGAATAATAAAATGTAGGTTTGTTTAAACAGGTGAAAGTGTTTTTTCTGATGACACTGAAACTGAAACTAAAGATGCCCACAGGTGAGGAGAGATGGAGTAAGTGGACTCAGACAGAGAGAGTTACACACATGATCAAAAGTAACCGAGCATGTGGATGTGCTCGCTGACTGACAGCTCTGAACATAATTACAAGTATGACTGTTTCCACATGTGAAGCGGATGTAGAAAAATGATTGGTTGAAAAGTCACCTGTTCTCGCTCACACATGGCTGACAGTCAGAACAAAGACTGAGAGGCCGGTTTGACCCGGGTCAACGTGGTTTTACTTTCCCACCAGGATAGGTTTATGGCTTTTTATTTGATACAGTAAAATGTTAAAATACTGTATGTGAGTTAAACTACTTCTCTACATATGTGGATGTTTAGCTGGATGGACGTTTCTTTTCTAGGAACAGAAACATAACATCCTGGTTTGATAAAATCTTGTTTTACAGACATGTTTTAAATTTTAGTTTAGTCAGATATTGAAAGCAGCTCTGTGGGTTTTAACCACACGATTTAGTCCTGTTAACAATTATAAACTATCCTGTCAATAGGAAGGTTCAAAAGAGTTCAGAAAAATGTTTTGTGGATGATCTTCAGTATCAGGTATACATGTGAAATGATCTAAAGTTGCAAAATAAACAGAATGCACCATATGGTGAGACTGTATCCTGACTACAATGACATTTCTATGGTAAGTGTATAGTGAAACTGCATGCATTTCTTAAAAGTACAGTGTGTAGAAAATGCTCCCTTGGTCACCCCTTTCATCAGTGCCACCCTGCTGGTGAGGGTGACAGTAAGGTGTCTGTGTAGTAGTAGATGTACAGTGTAGGAATGGAAATACTAAGCAGTATCTAGTTGTTTGATTCTAGATTGAAATGTCCTCTTCCTCACCTTCTTGTTAGTGAAGCTACATTAATCTTCAAGGACAAGAAGCTCCTGTGATCCTCCATGCCAAGTTTTTACCTTAACTGAAGGATCATACATATCCTACATCACAGCAGCTTTTTTTCTCTGAGGCCACCATCGTTTTACCGGGGGGGTGAGCAAGGGAGCGTTTCAATCTAGAGTCTGACAGCAACATACTGCTGAATATTTATATTTCTTCACACTTGTTGGAGTAAAGAATGAAGACAAAGAGTGTAAATGGGCAGCAGTAGCTCAGGAGGTAGCACGGTTGTCCAATAACTGGAGGGTTGGCGGTTTGATTCCCCCCTATCCCTAGTCTGTCCGTTGTGTCCTTTGGCAAGACACTTATCCCACCTTGCTCCCAGTGTGTGTCCTCCACTGGTGTATGATTGTGTTGTGTGTCGGGGGCCATAGGCGCAAACTGGCAGCCATGCTTCCGTAAGTCTTCCCAGGGCAGCTGTGACTACTAAGGTAGTTTACCACCACCAAGGTGTGACTGTGTGAGTGAATGAATGTTGTATCCAATGTAAAGCGCTTTGAGGGTCTCTGATAAAGTGCTATAAAATCTGATGCATTATTATTATTTATTTTATTAAATGCTATCAACTAGTAACATATCTAGTGTGGCCACCCCTGCCTACTTCAGGCCACCTCAGTCAAAAAACCTGGACATGCCCCTGGCTATTTAGCACCTTGACCAAGGTAAAGCACTGCTGTGATAAAATAGGTGAACAGCAGCATCACAAGTGCGCTACATGAGGATTTAATTCTTCACTCCTCTCCACAGAGCCCTAAGGAACCACATTCAGGGATCAGAAGAAGGACAATCAGCCAAAACATCAGCCCAGTTTTTGCTCAGAACACAACAAAGAAGTAAAAGAAAAACAACACATGATGTAACTTCCCTTAAAAATCAGCTCCATATGAAGGAGGCGGCCACCTCTCCATTTTCCTCATGCCATTGCTTATATTTTTGATTTATGGAAAAATTTAAGTTGATTTTGGTTTCTAGGAAAGATCCATCAGAGAAGAGGTTTTTGTTTTCAGTGTCTGGCAAACAAAAACAGGAAGAAAATGTCAGATTTAATGACTGATGCTACATGTTTGCACCACAGAGGAATGTCTTTTTGGCTGCAGTTCTTAAGGATTTGAGATATAAAGGAAAAAAACACTCTCTTTGTCCAGTAAAAACAACCACAGAGAGAAAGAGGTTGAATTTGTCTGTGAACTTGACTCATCAGTCCTGGGTGGTCTGCACAAGTGCTTTTCAAATGTGTTGATGTTCCCTAATACGTCTGAATGGAAAAGTGTGTCTTCTTTGTAGAATTATTGTTTTATATTGCAAACATTTTAATGAGAGGAATTAGTTCCTCACAGAGGAGATGAAGCTGTTGTGACAGTCAGAAGACAGGCTGTTGAAATGAGATGTTCAACAACCACATGTAACATTTGGTAACCTGGTGAAGATGAATCCCAGCCAATTAAATCTTTTTTAACATGACATTTTGGTTCAGAAACTCTTGAAAGAAGACAACTTCATGTGCTTTTTGGTTGTTTGCATGTTTATCATAAATGCATCATCCATCCCATGTGTGCACAAACATCTGGTTGTGTCTGAATACGGCTTAGGGAGCTATAAAACTTTGCTTTTTACACTAAATTTTGTTTGTCTGACAACTAAAGCTGTAAACTGATTTTTTATGACTTCAAGTGCCAATTTACAACAAGTGTTATATCAAGACTCCTACCAAATAGAGTCACACAGGCGCAACATCAAGATGGGATAAGATTGAGTCCTACTTTTTAAGATCAGACCCACTCCCTACCCATCTTCATCTACATGACTAAAACACTTTGTAAGTTACAGTGGAAAGGAATAACTTATTTAACGGGTAGAAACCTCAAGCAGAACCAGACTCATGTAAGATCTGCTGCTACTGGGTTTCAAGAGGGGATAGAATGAGATGCTGAAAGAGGGAGATGGACACAGACAAACACCAACAATAGTACATACAGATGTAAGGTTACAGTGCAAGAGATAATGAAACATATTTACTATTTACAAGAATAGCATACTAGAAAGCAGGCAAGTCCACAACAGCAAAACATCGAGATCGAAAAGGAGAGAAAGGGGGGCGCTGCTTTAGATAGTCAAAAAGGATATTCTCCTGAAGACACTTGTTTTAAATGTAATTTTGAAATAAAAAAGAAGTAATGTCTTTCCATATTTTAACAGTATTAACTTGCTACTGTTACAGGGATGATAACACGTATCTTAATTTAAATGTCATTGCAGTCATGTCCGCATAATCATCATGACAGCAGGCCTCCTCCTTGCTGTCCTCCAGGCTGTTTCTCTGTGGTCTGACCAGAGAGTAACCCATCCTTATTCTATAAAACGTACCACAACATGTGGCAGCAGAGCCCTCGAACATGAGCTCATTTCCCCTCAGAGGGACAAAACGGGGTGAAAGAAAGAGGGAGGGGAGAGGGAGCAAGAGTCCTAGTCCTCACTTCTCCATCCATTTGTCATCAAACCACATTCCTCGCTCTTTTTCTCATAATGAAACAGTTATCCCTCCACACAATGAGGAGACCAGGCCGGGAACATCTGTAGTATGTGAAGGAGAGGAGACAAAAAATGGGATCATGAGAGAGGAGGTCAGGGTCAGATTCAGCATCTGAGAGAGTGAATTCTTTCAGATAAGTCCCAACATTAAAGGGAAGACAAATAAATCCTTATCTGGCTCCAATCGCCCACATGTGCCCAGGCATTTTAAAAGTTTATGCAGTGTCTTTGAAATCTTAATGCACAAGTCCAGACAAGTCTTTGGAGTGAACTGAATGACAGTGGGGAAGCTGCAGTTTTCCTCTCATAAGACTTTTATATATGCAGGAATTTAATGCAAAAGGCTGCTTCTTGATAAGCTGAGTAGTAAATGTTCTATCTATCTATCTATCTATCTATCTATCTATCTATCTATCTATCTATCTATCTATCTATCTATCTATCTATCTATCTATCTATGTTTGTCACTACAATATATTTGAAACAAATTTAGAGGTACTATCTTGCATCCGTCCTACACACAGACCACTATTTTGATAGCTGACTGCCCTCAACTGGTGAAAAAGTGTAACAGAAACGTCATAAACACAGAACTTAACTAAAAATATTACCTGAATGTGTAAAAAAATATGTGCAATCCCATTCAGTCATTAAAATTCCCTGAAAGTTTATGAAACAGGGTTAAACTAAACAAGAAATCCGCATTGTTTATAATTGTTTTGACGTATCGTCTGCAAACGACTTTCGCTCAGTTTGTCCCTGACAGGCACCCGTCCCGTACAGCCACAGAGGCGTTTGAAAGTTGAGCGCGGTTTCATTGAAGCAGTCAGTGTTGTCGAGACGGAAAACGAAGGTAATGTCATGATTTTTTCACTGTATTGTGGAATTTTCGAGCTTAAAGTACAACTTAGTAAACCTAAATCAGTCTGTGGCTCTGTTATCAGCGTTGACGTCCTGAAAAGTTTTGCGTCAATACTACAGGGTGGTTGACGCCATTGTGTCTCTGCCAGCGGATAAATGTGTATTAAATTAATCATTATTTTGAATAATTTACCGGCTATATAGATAAAGTTCGACGGTGTCAATAATTTTGGTTACCACCTTCCTACCATACTTTTTTATAACACTCGACAACAGTTCTCTCTTTGAATACTGGCTTAAAACGCCCTTATTAAATACTATTGGGCCAGACCTAATTCAAAATGTAGCATATTGTATACGTTTTACGTAGTCTTACACGATCGTGACTTCAGGCACACTCAGAAAAACTTAAAATGTATTATCTTGTAATTCGGCTTAAGTCACAAATATATAATATGGTTATGAAGTTGCTTTAAGGGGTTTTTAGTTGCTATAGACACTAGCTATTGCTTATTTTACCTTATTAAAACAGATTGATCATGGTGTTTGGTAAAGTTAAAGTTGTAAGTCTTAAAATACTCGTTTTCTTACCCATTTGTTATGTACCATCCATGTCTAGAATGGCCTCCTCTGTTTCAAGTCCTGAGGAGGGTACGTTCAAGACCCCTAAAGCTGTCCGAGTGATGAGCTATGGAAGCAATGGAGGGACCCCCATCACCATCCCAGCTTCACCCTTCATGAAGAAGCTGGGCTGTGGGACTGGAGTCAATGTTTACCTCATGAACAGGTATTCCTGTCAGTCAACTGTGTTATTCTTCAGAGGAAAAAGCAGAGTGACATTTCAGAGTCTGCAGCACTTTCATTGTTTATTTATCGTGGGGTTTGCATGGAGTTTTACGCTAAAAAAGAGAAATAAGTCTTAACTGATGTTCCTTGAGCTACTGGAAAACTTGTCATGAATGTGTGTATATGCGGTAAAAACAAATTGTGTACTTTCTGTGTTGTTGATCAACCAGGACAGGGAAGTTGAATGCATCTCCCTGGGCTGTGAAGAAGATCAACAGTAAGTGTGCAAGCAAACAGCTGGCAGATTTTAAGCATCGTCTGAAGGAAGAGGCAAAGATCCTGAAGGAAATCGACCACCCAAACATTGTTGGTAAGAAATGAGAGCTGTTTTGCAGTGCAATTCAAAGCATCAAATCATACAAAAAGGAGGATTGCCCTGCACAGCACAGATCTTAATGTTGGTGCTGGTGGTGTCAGGAAAAAAGTTCATGAAAAGAAAAGTTCACCTCACAGGCTTCAAGCCTGATGAAGCCTGTAAGGTGAAACGTGTTTTTCTTTTAACCAATAAATAAGTTTACATTCTGACCACTTTATGTGCGGTGGAACTCTTTTCTTTCAAAGCATCAAATGTTTATGCTCACATAACAAAACACAACAAATTAGTCCCTCTCAGTTTGAGGTCACAAACGTCTTATACTTCTGCATCATCTGTTTAAAACTGTAATAAATTCCAAGCAGTTGTTTTGCTAAAGATTGAGTTGGTGTGGACTAACGTGGCTACAAAACGTAGAATTTTCAGTCTTATCTTTTATTTATTTTTGTTCCTGAGGCAGTTTAGTTTGTGCTTTCACTAACAAAAGTATTGAATTCATGACAAATTTCTAAGATCACTTGATAATGTGTCGTACTTCGGGGAACGTTCCCCAAAAGATTTTTAAAAAAGCTGTATCCAATCTAATCTACTCAGTGTCTTTCCTCCAACATTAAATTAAGGGTTTCGAGCCTTCACCAAGGCCAAAGATGGGTCCGAGTGTCTGGCCATGGAGTACGGAGGAGAGCAGTCGCTCAATGACCTGATAGAGAGGAGGAGAAAGGACGGAGTGAAACCTTTTCCCGTTGCCATCATTGAGAAAGTAGCTCTGCATGTTGCCCGGGGCCTTCAGGTAACTCATCTACTCTCTTTTTCCAGCACATGTACACAAAGTCATGCTTGATCCCATTTTTCAAACTTCTTAAATCTTAAATGACTGTTTGCTCAGGTCTGAAGTGGAGGAACAAGTATGCTGAAAAAACAGCATGACTGGGATTTGTTAGAAATTAATACAAACTTTTTTGAGTTTATTTATAGGAGAGGGGAGGGAAAAAAACAGCTTTGAAAAAGTTGGATAGAGTGGAGATCTGATCAGCTGTATCTGATGCATTTCAGAAAATCAGGGAATATCAACACTGACACGCTTTTGCAACAGTGTCAAACAGTTTTTTTTTAATTGGGATTTTTGATCAACAACAAATTGTAAACTGTACTTGCTTGCAGATATCTGTTATATATAAATGAGTAGATCTCTATAAGGTAACCTTCGATGGTAGCTGAGGTCTCAGTGCAGGAGAGTATATTCCGCCTGCTTTTGCTCTCCACATGGATTGTGTTTCGCGGTGACATGAAAGTCTACTGAAACCAGGACACCTCCTGTACAAGTAAATGGAAATTAAAAGGATAACAGTCTTTCTAATGTGTAAACCACTCTGTAAAGTTGCACGTTTGCCCATGTAGATTTGTAAAACAGAATCAGGTCTGAGTAGAGCTCAGTTCCATAGACAACATGACTGCGCCTCCCCTCATTGTATGAATTTGAAGCCAAATTGCTCTTGGTATTTTCTGGATTTTCTCCACTTCCTAAAACCAGCATTTAGCACCATCAAGAGTCAATCATAGAAAACATGAACCCCCTAATAACTTCTAAAAATGTACCTGTACAGAAAAAAAGGACTTGAACACAAACCAGTCTTACAGTAACTACATGTCAAAACAAGGAGGGAGAAAAATGTATATTCCGTGTAATAAATTTCTAAAGTTTGTCCACAACTCCATTAAGTTTGCTGGAGGAGGTGTGATTTATGACCTATACTGCAGTCAGTCACCGGAGGGTGCTGTTCTCGCAGAGGCTTTACCCAGCGAGGATGTAGATGGCGTCCATTCTATATACAGTTTATGGTCTGGCCTGTGTCATGTCTGGATCAGATACAAAAACACCCAGATAAAGGAAACACCCGTGTGTTTTCTTTGCATGTTTGGAGATTGAAACCCTCGTACAGCCGTTTGTTTGTGTGTGAAATCATGACAAATATGGAGCTTTGTGGAACAAGAGTGTGTAAACTCAGAATTTAGAAAGACCCTGATTAAATACTCAAAACAAGAAAATCTGTTTTAAGTCTTTCATCGATGTCTTTTGTTAGTTTCTTGTATTTCATGTAGAAAAAAGAAAGAGTGATTCATGTCCACAGTCTGATTCTAATAAAACATTCATGGGAGAAAACACACTCCCAAGACCAGTGGTCCGTTTTCCCCTTATCCTTTTTGTCTTTTTCAACGTCAGCCGCCTTCTAGTTTAATTTTAATAAATTCGGAGGCTCTAACAGAACAAATAAACACAGCAGGATGTTGTTGAGCTCTGACTCTGAGGAATGTTTTCGTTTGTTTTGTCTTTTTTTTTTTTCTACAGTATCTCCACAACGAGAAGAAGCTGCTGCACGGGGACATGAAATCCTGTAATGTCGTCATCAAGGGTGATTTTGAGACTGTTAAGATCTGCGATGTTGGCGTGTCTCTGCAGCTGGACGAGAACATGAGAGGTAGTGATTGTAATCACAGTCAAAAAACCACATGATTTAGTAGCTTTAATGCTCTGGGTGAGGGGTAGATGGATTAAAATAAGTCTCCTACAGAGTTTTTTGTTTGGATCTTAACAAACAACAAACATGATTTCCTCTGCTCCTCAAAAATGATTAATCAGAAAAGTCTGGAAACAGTTATTTAATTTCAGAAACACATTTGAGGGGCAGGGTAGGGAAATTTTGTGCCCGAAGAACTTTATTTTGGAAGCAACTCAAGAGGCTCTCATACAGCAGGAAGGCCAGAGCAAAATCCCTCGTCACCTTTTTTTAATTTTTTTTTTTAATATATTAAATTGAAAAACAAAATTGACGCCAGCAACACTTTTGTGAAAGTTGGGACAGTGAAAACAACACAGGGAGAGTTGCACCCTGGAGGAACATTATTTCACCTGTTGAATTCATTATAGAGAGACGGCTCCTTGTATGTAAAGATGGCAAAAAGTTCAATAGTTTGTAAGAGACTGCGAGAGCAAAAAGTTAGGCAAATTCAAAATAATTCTCCTAGGCCTAAAAATTCAAAAAGAGTTCATCATTTACAGTACATAGTATTATTAAAAGATTCAAAGAGCCCGTCTGTGTGCAAAAAGGCTGAAGACCAACACTTGATGGATCTCTGGTGGCACTGGGATAAAAACACGACTGTAGTGGGAATAAACTGCATGGGCTCAAAAAGCCATTTTTCCCCTAACACAGCTGATTACTGCATCTGCAAATGTGAGTAAAAATTCTGTCAATCAAAGGGAGAAACTAGAGGTAAAAATCAACCAGAAGTGTTCGTAAATTCTCGGGCCCAGTGTATGTAAGATGGACTGAGGCAAAATAGAGAACCGACAGACTGTAAACTGACAAATCAGAATCTGACTCTTTTTTTTTTGTACCCGATTATAATTAACACAATAAAATGTTAAAATTCAAGACAAGATAGGGAAAAATAGCTAAAATAGAGGTAAAGAGATAAAGAAGAGGTGATATGACATGATGGCAAATGTGTAACTGCCATCGAGTTTTTTGGTTTAATTAGATTTGATACGTTGTTTTTGTGCCACTTTTAATCAAACAGATCAAAGTCTATTTTTATCAACATATTACACAACGTCTAAGCCTTTACGGTGGACAGGTTTTCCATGTTCTCAGGACTGAGTTAGAAAATCTGTGTCAATATGATGAGTGCACAGCTAATTCTGGTCCTTTCAGAGGATCTGTGTGTCAATAATAGAAACACTGTGTCCACATGGGACTGATTACACCATAGGGTAAAAGACCAGGCAGAGATCATTTCAGGGGAAAACAACTGTTTACAACAGTTGATTAACTTTGTTTGTGTTTCCAGACATGTAAAGCAGGTGGTTCCATTCAGACTGCAGGCCACAGTTACCTCAGATGTGACCCGCATCTGTTTTTTCTATACCCATGAGAACAATGAAAATCATGGAAAGTCAGATCTGTTACATGCTTTTATTTCACCCTTTATTTAGGATCTTTTTCAAAGATCTGGATCCTGCTTTCTTGTTTCATTGATAAAATGACATTCAAAAGTTTTCTGTCTCTCAAGTGTCAGACCCGGACGCGGAGTACATCGGCACAGAGCCGTGGAAACCGAAGGAAGCTCTGGAGGAGGAACACGGAGAGATCACTGACAAGGCGGACATGTTTGCCTTTGGTCTGACTCTGTGGGAGATGATGACGCTGAGCATGCCTCACCTGGAAATGCTGGGGGACGAAGATGATGACGAAGAGTGTGAAGGTGAGAATCCTAACTGAACCCACTATCTCTCTCGTGATTTGTATTTTAGAAGTATCGCCAACTGATGAACTTCTGTGTTTGTCCTTCAGACGACTCGTTGGAGGAGAGTTTTGATGAGGACGCCTACTACGAGCGGTTAGGGACGAGGCCGTTGCTGGATACGGAGGCTCTGGGCAGCTCGTACCGCAGGATGGTGGAGCTTTTCTATGTCTGCACAGAGGAAGACCCCAAGAAGAGACCCTCAGCCGCACAGGTGGTCCAGGCTTTGGAGAACAACGCCCCACTTAAGAAAACACCTGCTGAGGTGATCGTTATTGACTAATTTAATCAATTATGCATTATCTTCTTAGAGCTGACAGATATTTGATCAGTCGTGTTTACTGAAATATAGATACAGCCCTGACCCGCTGTTTCCTTTATCTACTCGACGTTATTACAGAAACACACTTACTGATGAAGCTGTTGGCTCTCACAACCATCTCCACTGTATTTATGTCTTTAATGTTGCAGCTCTTTGTATGTTTTCATTGTTTTTCCATGTTTGTTTGACTCCTATACTGTGACCGTTTTTACTCTTTACTCCTGAATCATGTAGAAAATGTCATGTGTTTTTTTGTGTTGCTGCACCGCTCTAAAATTTGATTTTTCCTCAAACTCATGAGATTTTGTGTCTTTTTTTGACCTTTTTAATGTTGTGCAGAAGACCTGTCAGTGTCTGACAATTATAGCTAAAATCATCGCTCTTTTATCATACTAAAACAACATTTGAATTTCAGTCTAAAATTCAAGAGTTTAAAATAGGAAAATAGATCAGTGTCATACTCCCATCTGCAGTAACTAAAGGTTGTTACACCACTTTGTGTCCAAGATTCTTATTCTTTGTACTCTGGTATTAATTAAACACCCACTCTAATGAAAATCATGTTTTTCTTGTCGTCTCTATGTTCATTTTGCATTTTTCTGATGCTACAGGATATAGCATGAGAAAAATAATTACAAAATTGCATTTCTGAGTACTTCTGCATCGCTGTGAATCTTTGGCAGACCTAAACATTAGGTTCAGATACAGCGAGATTTCTCACGTCACAAACCCAAGCTCCACCCCCGAAGCCCCACTTTGCAGGCCAGACTCTGAGAAGAAGAGAGGACGATTGTGGAACAAGCGTGTGCGTTAGCGGATTGCAATGCTCGCAAGAAAGCTAATTATGATATTAACTTTTAGCATGTCCCTAAAGACATTAGTGTCCAAGAGCTGAATAGCTCCTACGTTACCTGTCACTTCTACTACACAGGCAATGTTAGGCTACAAGCTTACTCATTGAGAGGTGTGCGGAGCAGCGCTGTCTCCACCCACAACTCAAAGGCGAATTGCTAATGAGCTACTGGAGCTCTGCAGAAGAAAGAATTTTGGCCAAAAACTTTATAATCACAATTTAAAGACCACTGAGAACACTTTAAGTAGTTAAAAAAAGGAAGTGATCAGAGTTGGACTTTAGAGGATCTATCTGGAGATTTTACAAGCAACCTAATAAATCAGAGTTTGTTGGGGCACCACTAGCCTAGCGACCGTTTCTTGCATTGTTCAATCTTTCTGCTGAGCTAAGTGAATGAGCTTTTCACTGCGTGGTCAGGTTTGTCATGAGTTGAGAGAAATATCAAGCTCCTGTTTTAACTCTGCATGAGACGGTCTCAACAAATCTGTCGTCTGGCTGGTTCTCTAGAAATAGGCAGAATTTATGGTAGAATTTGGGTTAAAACGCCATAAGAACTCCAAGGAACCAAATTTAGATTCACGAACAAAAGGAAGAAATGTGTTTATTCAACTTATTTACACAGTTCAATGCCTATAAACAACACTGGCATTCACCTTTCAACAGGTCAGTCTCTACAAACATATTTTCCTTCTTAAAATATCCAGAAAAGCTCAAACTGGAGGCTTAAAAAAAAAAACAGGAACATCTGCATGAAGGAACCAAGAAGGCTTCAGACTTCTGACGTTAAAAAATACAAAAAAACATACGATCCAGATGAGATGATCTAAACCTGAATATAAACATCTGGGAGGAAAACAGCAAATGTACATACACTGAACAGAGTATAAATACTGACTCATGAACTTTAAAACTCTACAGCTACCTCATCCTGAACACAAATCAAGAATGACACACCTGAGACCTTAACACACTTCTCCGCTCAAAAGTCAGGCCCAGTCAGCATGAAAAGTATGAACGGCTGCTCTTTTGCATATGAACGACAACTTGAGCTCTGCCATGTGAACATGTTACTGTGACGTGTCAGTAAAAACTGTCGTGCAGCTCTGATCAGTTCACAGACTTCACGCCAGGAAGTTGTAAACCAGGAAGGTGGGTGTGTTGCAGTACTTGGTGGCAAACAGTTTGCCATCAGGTGTGGGGTCAGAGAAGGCGATCTCTGTCTTCGTGAGGTGACCGCCGTATGTGAAGCTGCTCCTAAAATACATAAAATGCATTAAAACCAGGAAGACAGAGCAGATTTTTCCTCTATTTTTAAGTTAAGGCTATGATTTTTGGCCTATTTCAATGAAAACATATCAATGAAATGAGTCGACTCTGTACCTGACGGTGTCCAGCATGCGGGTTGCGACGCCCTGTCGCCTGGCCAGACTGAACACCCAGATCCGGCTTATCCCGCACAGAGCTTGTTCAGGGACACTGGAGCAGCACCAGGCTCTGTGTCGCTCCATGAAGTTGTCCTTCGTCATGTCTTTCAGTTTATCCGGTTGCTCCAGGACTCTGTATGCCTAAGAGGGATAAAACCAGGACCACAGCAGCAGAAATATGAGGTACATGTGAGGCGACATGTCTGTGGAGACGAGAGGAGACTACATCTGCCTTTCACACTTTCTACACACACACATTTCCAGTAGGGGTGGTAATCACGGATGACCCCAAGACATGACATTATCATCATACTTAGGCCACAATACTATAATATCACAATACTTAGGCCACGACATGATATAATCATGATACTTGGGCCACAATATTATAATATCACGATACTTGGGCCACAGTACGATATTATGATACTTAGGCCGCGATACAATATTATCATGATACTTGGGCCTAGATACAATATTATCAGATACCTGGGTCACGATACAATTTTATCATGATACTTAGGCCACGATACAATATTATTGCGATTTTTAACATTCTGCAATACAGCAATATTGCGATACAATATATTGTGATTTATGCATTTTTTTCAAATGTTTAACTAACTTAGCATTTGGGGTTCCTTTACATTTGCTTTGTTTACGCTGTATTTTATTTTCATGTAGCACATCTTGCAAACCTTATATTTGTTGTACTAACTTTCTCCTGCTCTATGATGTCACCTCTGCCAACCTCACTGGACAAACAGTTTATTTGTATTTTTCCATTTTCATAGATTTGACTTTATATTAGCAATTAATTTGAAAAATCGACACTTGGTAAATGAGACAATACGATATATCACCAGATAAAATATTGTGGTATTATGCAATATCGATTTTTTTCTCCCAGCTCTACCTGATGTATGGGCTCAGCCACCAGACAGCCCACCACCATGCGCTCTGTGTTGACAAACAGGTAGGTCTTGGCTTGTGTGGGTCTACTCAGAGTCACCTGCTGGAAACCCAACTCACTGTCTGCCACTCTCCTCACATCCTCAGCCTAAAAACAAACAAAAAGAGACATACATTTATCATCAGGAGGAGAGCAGGGGAGGAAAATGACCTGATTTCTACTAACTAAAATCACGACATGGGCTGAGGAACGAGCTAAAGCTGCAGACCCGTACCTTTTTGACAGCATATTTGGGGTCATCTGGCATTACGAGGAGGATTTTTCCGTCCCAGAACTCGGCCACCACTCTCTCTTTCTTCCAGCCCTAGAAACACAACACAGAGAGGATGATGCAGTTCCAAGCCAAATACTCTGAGCAAACTAACTTCCCGGTGAAACAAACTCTGCCAGCAGCCTTTACAGCAGATCTCTAGAAAACACGGGAGGGTTTCAAATCAAAACAAACAGACTCATTATTTCAGAAGCAAAAGGAAACAGATGGAGGGGACAGCAAACATAGACTAAAGCACAAAACATGAGTGCTGTTCAGGACAGAGTTTGAGTTATGTTAAAAATGTCAGATAACATTTTTTATAATTCCTCTACATGTAATTCTACATTCCTCTATTCTAGACACACTGTTAAGAGGGATGTAATGGAGGATGTTTTACCACAAATTTGATGGAGTCCAGGAAGCTTTGGTGGAACTGAATGTGTTGAAAGTTGTCCTCTGGGTTGTCCGCGCTGTACACCATCCCACAAGAGCTGCAGGTTGTCGCTCCAAACTGTTTCTGACCTGCATCCTGAAAAAAAAAACGTTGAAATACTACATCGGTACAGCTCTAATCTTCAACCATTTAGTGACATGTCAGTAAAACTGAGAATAAAAACATTGACGTACAATGATGAGCTGGTCTTCACCCTGCTTCTCCTTCCTCCTGCGGACAGGTCGCTCTCTAACTGAAGATGTTGTCTGCAGGGAAGCTGCAGTTCCAGAGGGGGTGCTACAGGACACTGGAGCCCGCAGACTCCTATGAGATGATGAGGAGTGGGTTTGTCAGGAATGAACACAAAAGGCAGCAAAATGTACATTTTGTTGCTTCTGCTCTTGTATTTGCTGTGTTCAATCAATGCCTGTGAAGGATGCTTAAATTCGTGCCTGACCCCAGAAGAATAGAAGACTGAAGGAGGGCCAAGTCTTGTGGATTTTAAGGGTAATTCCTGTATTTTTCAGGTAGATTTATCCTCACTTTTTTCTCAGTGGCTGATTATGCCAGAATTTTACAACTCTGGTGTTTCATATTCTGGGAGCATGTGGCTGGTAACCTGTTTTATGTCACACAGAAACCTCGAGAAGTGTCATGTATAAACTATTGTGTTAACAACTGCAAGACTGCCTCACCTCTTTGAGCTCGAGCCAAAGATGGGATAAACTGATGCAGATTCTGAGGAGAGAACAAAATACAGTTTTCTTGTAACTTAAGTTGGATTTATTTTTTTTTAATGATAAACTTGAGAAATATGATTTTAAAAAAGTTCCTGAAGCCTCTGGATTTTGAAGTTGGACAGTACCAGGAGGAACATGAACAACATGAACAGTGTGTGTACCTTTGGGGGGGCTGGCATCACCATTCTCTGGAGTGATTTCACTCAGGTCCAGCACTGGCTCAGAGCTCTCAGCCACCTGGAGGAAGTAGAGATCAATTTGATGAATTCAACAACACTTAAGGGCAAACACTTTTAAAGGTAGTCTATGGTACTGAAACGTGTTTTTAATATATACAGGAGGGGAGAAAATGCTGCACAACCTTTCTGAACTTGTTTGTTTTCTACCTGAGTGCTGGAGGGAGAGTCTCTGGATGTGGGGAGTGGCATCTGGGTCAAAACAACGGACAGTTCCCTGAGCTTAAGTTTCCCTGTCTGCGATTTGAAGCTGCAGGAAAAGTCAAAGGTTAAGAGCAACAAACACTGAATATATCTAAATATCATGTCTCATTTCTCATGTTTGTTTTGCACAAAGGGTGTGAAGATTTATTGTTATTTGTGTTGGTGCAGAGGAGTTGAAGTCACAAAAGCACCTGGATGGCTGCAGAGTTTCGGGCTGCTCGTCCATCCAGTCTGTTGGATCAAACTTCGACCTCTGCTTGGTGTTTTGGTGATTCTGGCCTATCTTAGTGGGCTGGACTTCAGTCTGCAGACAAAACAGAGAAAAAAAAGACATCTCAACAATAAATTAAAGAGTTAAATATCAGGAGGCTGCCTAAATGTCAAATCTGCGGGTGTTCAGAAAGCTATAAATCAAAGTAACTTGTCTCACTTCTTCTGGGTGCTTCTGCTGTTGGCTCACTGTCGCAGTCGGCTCCTGCTGCTTCGGTTTCTCACTCTTCATCTGTGGCGGGACAGCCTTGTTTCTTACAGGGACTACAGCCGGCCTGTTCGAGGACTTTGGTGCAGATTTCTTGTACATGGAAGTTGGTTTCTTCCCTGTACCGAAGAAAGCAGCCCCCACAAAGATCTTGGGTTTGGGCTTCAGGCTGCTGAAAGTGATGGTGATGGATTTCTTAGCCTCTGTGTGCTTGGTGCTGCTGGCTGGAGCAGAGGTGGAGGTGGTGATGGTGGCTGTTGTTGTTGCTGGTGGTTTAGCGGGGATACTGTTGAATGAATTGATGCAACAAGTGCAGAAAAATAAATAAAATTATAACCCAAAAAACACAGAGACAACGTAAAACTATCAAGTTCAGGAAACTACGACACAGTGTCGAGGATGGACTGCTTTCTAAAAGAAAACAAACCTGCTGCTAGGTTTAGGCAGCTTAATTGTCTTTGCAGATGTTGTGACGCTTTTGACGCCCATCTTCCCTGCTTTACTGGATCCTGCAGTGGTCTTTCTCTGCTCGCTCCCTCCTTTAACACCCTTCTTCCTTTTCTTCTTCTCCTGAGAAGGAGGAGAGGCAACTGGAGCAGGAGGATGAGGAGGAGGCGGCAGAGACTCCTTTATCGCCTTCCTCTCCAGCGGAGTGAGATAGACAGGTTTCTGTTTGCCGTAGAAGGAGCTGGTCACCACTGACCTTTTGAACGGAGATTTACGGGGTGACTTAGCAGGAGAACCTAAAAAGGAGAAACATGAAGATGAAGCTCATGTTTTAGTGCACTGAAGAGGGAGAAGAAAGACTTATGTGCATTAGGTCCCGGATCTGCCGATTCCTTACCTGCCGGTCTGCGTGGAGATTTCTGCGGTGAGGGACAGTTCTCCTTGTCTAGATGGCTGACTGGCCTCTTCCTGGGGGACCTCCTCTTCACAGGGGATATGCACTCACTCACCCCCTCCTTGGATGGTTGACTAGAGGAGGTAAATAAAAAGAAAGTCAAAATGAGAGCTCAGACAAAACAGGTGTAATTTTCTCCCGCTGTGACACAAAGATAAATCTGCACACCCTCTCAGAGCTACAAGAATTTAATCAACTCAGTATGTTTAACCTGCAGGTTTCTGAGAAGGGTGACTTTGTGAGGTCAAAGCACAGTGATATGAGCTTCTTGTAGCACTGACTATGAGTGCAGGCTCTTCTTCTACCAATACCAAGGGCTCATGTATCTGTGTGTTTTATTTTTAAATATCTCAAATAACTCACCTATCAGAGTCCACAGAGGGGAGCTTTCTCTTCCTGGTAGAAATGGGCATCATGTCATAGATTTCACCTACACAGTGAAACAGTAAAATTAGCTCATTAGGTCTTCAACTAAAGGAGTAAAAATGCAGCATTTAATGTCATAAAGACAGCTCTTGTGTACACTCAGTACTTTGTTGGGGCTCTTTAATCACAAATCACTTCCTTGAACAGCAATAAATATAAATGGATGTGCATGTAAGATGAAAAGATGCTTTACGGTCAGTCCTATACAAAGCTTTAAGATGAATGCTGATGTCTAGTGTGAGATAGAACAGAGTGGCTATGTCCATAACATGATCAATAAATGTTTGAAAACTAACATGTTAAAGGAAACTTAGCATTATAAAAGAAACTCTGATTTTTCACTTTTAGATCAAGCTTTAAGAAAACACCTCTACACATAGTTACATATGTTGAGCTCAGACTACCCCTTAAGTTCATGGTAACAAAGCAGCTTTAAGCAGCAAATTAGTGTCTCGTTGAAGTGGAAGATCACAGATAAACCAGCATGTCTGGATCAGATTTTAAGTTTGATCAAAGTATGACAGATTTTAAACAGAGGTTTGAGTATACTGAAGGTGCATTGCATTTGGTTGCATCTTAAGATGTCCTTTGTATTTAACTTTACACCTTAGAATCCTAATTTCTTAACATGTCTGTGTCCGAATACTACACATAATATCATGAACGACGCCTTAAACTGCGTAGTTTGTGTAAATGGAGGCTGTTATGTCAAGTAAAGAGTAGCTGAGAGGGATAATTGGCGGGATTGTTAGCTTGAACAAATGTGGCTGCTTCGATATAAACTTACTTCATTAACGTCTCACAGACTGATAACCCTGCTTTAATGTACATAAAAAGAATCTTACCTTGCTACATAAGACGATAAATCTTGTTATAAAGTTTGACTCTCTGTCTGCTCAGCTCTGTCTCCAGCCCGCGTTTCTCCTCTCTGTGTTTTGAAGAGCGCGCGCCAGCCTCTAAAAATTGCACAACCAGGTCAGACCCGGAAGCGAAATCTCTTTATTGTCTCTTTCAAGCTGCCGTAGTTATAGCCCGAAGAAACTTCTAGGTGTTCCCTTCAAAATAAAAGCTGCGTTCACGGAGAAGTCGTAAGGAACATTTATAGTGAAGGATAGACCACATAAACCCAGTATAAAGACGCATTTATGTCCAAATTATTGTTAATTAAGCCGTTATAGTTCTTTTTTAGTTATAGCCCGAAGAAACTTCTAGGTCTTCCCTTCAAAATAAAAGCTGTATTCACAAAGAAGTCATGTAAGGAACATTTACAGTGAAAAAATAGACCACACAAACACAGCATAAGACGCATTTTTTGTCCAAATGAATGTTGATTAAGCCGTTCTAGTTTTTTAACGTCTTTTTCAGTTTTGTTACATGGAAGCGGATTATGAAGAAGAACTCTCTGTAACTTGACTCAGCTAACAAACAACTTCCCGGGTCACCTTGTACATGCGAAAAGTGACAGCAGTACCGATTAGTTGGCACAAAGCTGATAGTTGTTCGTTGTTTTTGTAAAAAGCGTGTGACATTTGAGCCAAATTAACTCGAAATTCGTGTGTTTATCGTCCACTTTTAAGTTACGGAAAATGGTGTTTTACTTCACAAGTGCCGGTGAGTGATGCTACAGAGTTAGCCTCGATGCTAGCTCTTAGCCCCTTCATTTTAAAGCTTAATATCTCACTTAAAAGACTTTTATCTGTTATTTAACTTGTATTTGTCTACTGTTTTCTCTCTCAGTGGTGAACCCTCACCACACAATCTACATGGGAAAAGACAAGTATGAAAGTGAGTGTGTTGACGGGTCACAGAGACAAACTCTCCCTGTTGTCACTTAATCTGATGAACTAATCTTTGTCATTTAACGTTGAATAAACTCTTAATAGTTGTGTTTTTACACTTTCAGATGAGGATTTAATAAAGTATGGATGGCCTGAGGATATTTGGTGAGACTTTTATCTCTTCTTTTCTAACCTTCACTCAGGGAAAAGATGGTAAAATAACTAAGAATGTAATATTTTATCATGTCTTCTATTATAAATCATGTTTGTCAGGTAAACAGAAGTATGGTGCTGAAAATGAAAAATAGTCTGTTGTTATCCTTCTGACTGGTAGGATTCAGCTGTGGTGTTGCTGGAGGAAGAAATCTATATTCTAACTAGGGATGCAGGATATTGAATTTTTGTCAATATCTTGTATGTTAGTATTTTGAGCCCCATTTCAGTCAATGCCAATAACAATGTATCCATAACATGTTCCCACCAAGCTGAAAGGCTTATTGAGAGCAGTGTTCAAACTCTTTAGAGATTTTTCCTGATGTTTGGGATAATGCTTCTTGAAATGCACAGCTATCAATGATATGTTGATAATATTGTGCATTCTTAATATAATGTTGAAACAATATAACACTGCCAGATAACAGATACTTCTTACTATTCGACTCTCCACTTCATGAGTCCTCATGGTGGTGCTGATGACATTCATCCTTCATGTTACCTTTGAGGGGGCATTTTGAATTCTTGATTTAATCACAACAAACATTTTTTTAACTGTCTTTTATAAATGAGTAGAATCACGCTATCCTGGTGTAACTGCAATTTTGAGCCAAGTATCAGTGCATGAGTGACTCTGTGATCTCAAGCCTCAATTGAAATAGATAATGTACTTGCAAATATACTTGAAATATTAATCAGATAGTTTCCTGACCTTGTCCCTTTTTTCTATAATCAGGTTTCACGTGGACAAGCTGTCCTCTGCTCATGTTTATCTAAGACTACCAAAGGTAAGAAGTTCGCAGTAAACCTGGAACACTCACATTCGAGGACATCATCTTATCTTGAGTTTAGTTGTATTTTTAATTAGTATTTATTCAGATGAGTTTGCTTTCTATATATTTAAGTTTCCTTTATCTGTCGTGGATTTACATGTAACTGTGTAAAACAGCAGGGATGAGTCACAGTGATGCCCAGGTAGTTTAAGTTTTATAAACAAGAGGACACAGCAAACCTTTGCCTAATCGGCCTTTAGGGTGTGCTGTTGCATTGAGCAAGCATTTGACTGGTTTTTGGAATTCAAGTATTTAATACTGACTTTTTAACTCCAAAATCAATCAGACTTCATTTTTATAGCAGTTTTTTTTAATCAGAATCTATTACAAAGAGATTTAAATAAACAGAAAGTCAATAAAACATCCAAACCTCCTTATGTATGCAAAAGATTTAACATTGAAAAAATCAACAAAGAGTTACAGGATTAAAGGTCAAAATCAAACAAATGACACAATAAATAGGAAGAAAAATCACCTTTTTTAACATCTAATTCTAACATTGAACACACGTAGGGAATAAGAGTGTCAAACACTGTGCAAGCACTATTTTCAAATAAACTTTATTCACAGACTGTCAATTACAACAAGTCTTTAAAGCAGCAGTAACAAGGCACTGTTAACCAGAAGTAAAGAAGAAATATTGCTATACTGATGTAGAATAAAATAAAACAAATAACAAATAATTACCTTAATTCTACAACATCACAAAAAAATAACTGTCAGCAATTGGTACAACATTTTAGTGTCTCCAGGCTGGATTTTATGTGAGCTATGAAGACTGTAAAGTTTGGTTTCTGTTATTTGGTATTTTGCTGATAAAACATAAAGCAAAAGAGTAATGATATTCAAATAACTTAAAATGCTTTTAGGTAAATCTGATTGTTTAAACTGTGTGTGTGTGCGTTTCTGTTTCAGGGTCAGACAATAGATGATATTCCCCCAGAGGTGCTGATAGACTGTGCACAGCTGGTGAAAAACAACAGCATCCAGGGTAAAGATCTGCTAAAGAATAAACTTGAGATTTACTAATAAATCTCGTTTTAATGCTCAAGCATGCCGTCTCATGTCTCATTTCTCCTGTATCATTTTGCCAGGCTGTAAGATGAACAACATCAATGTGGTCTACACTCCCTGGGCCAACCTGAAGAAAACTGGAGACATGGATGTAGGACAGATTGGCTTTTATCGACAGAAAGAGGTCAGTAAAATGAGGTGTGTGCGCGCTACATCACCAATCTGTTCTCCTCACTGAAACACCTTTCACACTCTCATAGGTGAAGATTGTTGCGGTGGAGAAGAAGGTGAACGAGATCGTAAACCGCCTGGAGAAAACAAAAGTGGAACGCTTCCCAGACCTGGCGGCTGAGAAAGAGTCAAGGGACCGAGAGGAGAGGAACGAGAAGAAAGCTCAACTCCAGGAGCAGAAGAAGAAAGAGAAGGAGGAGCAGAAGAGGAAAAAGGAGATGGAGGACCTCAGGTGCGTCCAGAACACTGATTCTGTCTTAGAAAATGTAACCAAATAACCAGACTGCACTATTCTTGAACTTAAATTTCTGTGCTGTTTGAGGTCAATTCTGGATAATCCTCAATGTCAGTTTCCTCCATATCGATTAAGACAATTTTGAAAAGGAGCAATAGCTCTATTAAAAGTTGATTTCTCTACATTTCGGTTTCTCTTTTATTTTCCAGGAACTATACATCGCTGATGAAGTCTGAGAATATGAAAACCAATGAGGTGAGGACAAATTAAGACTCATACAGGGATGGTCAGAGTATTTTTGAGAAGAGGTCAGGGTTCGAATTATTTTGACAGTCAAGGATATGCATTAATTAAACACATAGCATAGATGTGCCACAGTTTATTTGTAGGTTTCAGCTCACAAGCCTTTTAAATTGACCTTGAAATTCTTCTTTCTAAAGTGTGTGCAAAGGGCGTCAGTATGTTCTCTATCTGATAACAGTAGCAGTGATGTTGTCTGTAATGTCCAACAATAACTCTGTCATTTCCAGGATGGTTACGATTCAGACGACTTCATGTAAGCGTTAAAAGCTGAGCAGCAAGCAAACCAGATCCTCCTCCACCCCTCAAACCTGCTGTCAGGATGCTCCCCTGCTGCTTTTGTTTGCTGCAACTCTGCACTGACTTTGAGGAAAAATAAAGACTAAAGGGTACCTTACTGCTTTTGGACACTTGGGGGCAGAAAGCAAGCCGATGAGGGACAGCACCGGCACCTATTCTACGTGCCAATCGGCTCAGACGCTGCATCCAGCTTCTACCAAGCTGACTGGCTTTCTCATGGCGGGATGACACTGTCGAATAAACACAGAGCAACGGGAGTGAATGCTGAGGATTCACCTGGGAGGAGACTCTCAGAAATTGTTTGATTGGGTTTTCACGTCTATGTTGGCTGAAAAAAAAATAGCATACAGGTGTTTTAATAACCCTGAATACCTTTGTGTTCTCTCCATGTTGTCATTTCTCTGCATGTCAGATTTTATTAAAAATGATTCAATGTATGAATTAAAATCACACTTCAAGTTGCTTCTGCTGACAAACCCTCATTTTTCTCTGGCAAAGCGCCCCAAAATCAGTCCAGGTCATTGTCATTCATTCATTCATACATAGTCCTAGAGATTGAGTTGGTCCTAAATTAAAGTGTTTTTCATTTGTTAGAATCATGATAATATGACTTTTTATTGACATACTCTTAAAGCCTACAGAATTTATCACTACTTCACCCTAAAAGGAAATAAAAGGTTGTGAAAAAGGGGTGTTAAAAAAAGCCCCCAGAGACAGTAATAAGTTAAAAAAAAAGGACTCTTGTATTAGAAGAGCTCTTTCATAGGTCTTTATTTGATTTGATCAAGAGAGGATTTCTTACTTAATATCCAAGGTGATAAAAAAAAAAAAATGTGTCTTTTTATGTTACCTTAAAACATCTTTTACAGTCCATTGAAAGCAAGTGAGTGTACTCTAAATGAAAAATGTTTTAAACAATTAAAAATGTGTTAACTGCAAATTTAACATGACATTGTTTAGTTTTGAATTGTAGCAGCTACCCTTCAAACAGGAATGGCAATGCAATTAGATAAAATAAAACCATCTCCCAGTGTGAATATTTATGTTAATTTTCTTTTATTAAATTTCACTTTTTGTTTTTCCTAAAAAACAGACCTGAAATGTGAAGGTTGTAAGGCAGTTAAGAGCGTGCTTTGCATACAGAAACACATTTTTAAAAGTTATCATGTTAAATGTTGAGAGATTTATTCTGATTTTGTTCATCCTCTTTTTCATTAAAGATATTTGTTCCTGCTGTTTAAAAATTAAAACTCATCTCTCCTGAAAATGGTAGCAGCAAAAGTTTTCAACACTCAAGTGCTAAATCCAAGCATTAGGCATCACATGATTGTGTTTTTAAAGATGAGGACTAATAGGGAACGGGTTTTTCGAAAGTGAATGTTTGTTCTGATCAGATAAAATGTAACTTTGTTGTCACAACTTGAATAATAAAAAAGACACTTTCTGCTTTCTTAGTTTTTTCCTGCATGCTGTGTTTTGTTTTATAGTGCTTTAGATTTTTGCGTTTTTATTAGTTCTTGACTTACATTTAAGGAAAAGTGAGGTTGTTTTCTTTGATTGAAAGTAACATGAAAGTTAAAGTTCATAATTTTAATAGAATCCTTTTGGGATTTTTTGGGGGAAGGTGCGGACCATGGATTCTATATACAGTCTATGGTGCGGACAGATTGCTTTGAGCTCTGTTATTCAAAATGAAAAAGCTGGAGGATGCGGGCATCGATCCCGCTACCTCTCGCATGCTAAGCGAGCGCTCTACCATTTGAGCTAATCCCCCGCACGTTATGAACGTCATGACTTCACAATATACAGCTAGATTAGTCGGATTCTGTACGTTGGAAAGGTGACTTCCGTGGACAATGCTCGCCTGGTCCCGTCTTTTGGGGTATACAATTAAGCATTCAATTTATCTACAGCTTAAAGAAATGATACAAGATAGACTGCGGTCTTTTTCGTAGGCATGACAGTAAAGACTTATACATTTAAAAACAAAAGAAACTTCTATATGGAGGATACACGGGATCACTGTCGACTGTATTAATACCGACTGTGGTCCTTTTGGTGGGCATTAGATAAGACATGAAAGAATTATAGGCATTAAAGACTTATTAATTTGAGGGTGAAAAATATCGATTTTGGAGGATGCGGGCATCGATCCCGCTACCTCTCGCATGCTAAGCGAGCGCTCTACCATTTGAGCTAATCCCCCATGATGCAGCATCCGTGACGTCACAATGCACAATTCATGGAAAGTGTACAAATCCAGAATTCTTCTTACTCCGGTGTTTAAGACACTCTTAATAATCCTTTACGAAATGTGAAGTTTTTATGTATCTATTTGTAACATCCATAGTTAAGGGCTGTTTTTCCAGGATTTCAAGGTTAAATTATTAGAAAGCCTTAAATGTCGAAGTAATTAACGGTAAAATAGTAAGATGAGCAGCGTTCGGTGTTATACCAAATTATGTTACCTATCAAAAATCGGATTTTTAGCTAGCTTGCTTGTAATGTTAACACTTTGCTGTTCGTCGCTTTATTTTTTCCCTTGAGTGACAAACATGCAATTTATTTCGAATGAACACACTAAACAAAGTCAAGTTTCCTTACCTTTTGCTCAGAAAAATAGCTGAGACGCGGATTACCAGTAGCCTTCCATTTGCCAAACTAATGTTGTGTACGTCCCCTGGCACTTGACTAACTCCTATTACCCAAATTCTACAAGGCAAAATTTACCTCCTTCGAGCCGGATTTGAACCAGCGACCTAAGGATGTCTTTGCATTCACACTACAGTCCTCCGCTCTACCAACTGAGCTATCGAAGGGGCTGGAAGTCGTTGTGGACCAAGTGATTCAGAAAACGGATTCTAGTTATCATAGGTCTTTGGATGCCAAAGGGTATTATTTATGCCGATTTAGAAAGATTTTTCAAGTTAATAAAAGCATGTAATTACTTCACTGTATGTGTGAATTAGTATAAAGTACCATCACATGAAAATAGGCTTCTTTTTACTCAAGTGAAAAGGTATTTTGGCTCAGAGCTGATGTGATATTTTTATTTTTTAAAGTTCAAAATTCGATATCTTTATGGCCTTTTTGATGCCTTATAATGGGCTTTGTCAAATAACAATGATCAACTTTAAGGTTTTTTTTAAAAAACAGGGAGACAAAGTGCTTTACAGATCTAGTTACTGCTCTAAAATATTGATATGATAGGAGTATATATCGACTATTTTTAGTAGCCATCTATAGAAAATCGACTGAATTTAATTGAAGTAAAGGCTTCAGTGGAAATTATAATGAAACACAAAGTTTCCGGTTTTCGTTGGGTTACCTATGAGACATAGGCCTACTAAGCTATAGTTTTCAAAAAGATGTCGTTTTGTACCGAAATAAGGAAGGTCTTTCTAAAGTAAACAGCATTTTAAATCTCCATGGTAACCTGTAACGATGTAAAAACTTTAAATCATTACAAGCCAAAGAGAGCGATCATTTCTGAAGATCAAATCTGAAGAGAACAGCACGAAAAACTTCAGTGGCTCACAAATTTACAACTTTTGACGGCTTCATAGAAAATAAAACCTCACCAGACGATTAAGGACTCCGAGAAACACCTCTAACCAACACCTGAACAAAGAGGACAACATCTACGACATGGAGACCGTAAGATTTCATGTAAATATTAGCATACAAACTTGTGTTACTGTCGACACTTTCGTGATGGTTATAAGCGATGCATCGACAAGGATTAAATGTGTGCATAGATATTTACAGTGTTTATGACTTTAATGTGACAGGCATTATCAAAACTAGAAAAATTGCATTTCCTTGCAGAAAATGCGTGGAAATGCTAAGTGCTGAAAGCTGAAAAAGCAATGCTAAACTGCTAAAAAAAATGGAGGAAGGTTTAAATGTGAACTTGGTTAAAGAGCTACAGAAAGAAAAGTAGAAGTTGGATGAAAGTGAAAATTGCTGAAGTACAAATAGTATGAATGTGCTTCATAAATTAAAATTGTATTCATGCAGAATAAGGCTAGAAAAACTGTCTGAAATTGCAAAAAAAATTGGATAAGGAAGAAAATTACCTTAAGACACAGAAAAGTAAGAAGCGGCATAAGTTTAAGTTGAAGTACTAGAAGACGTATGATAATAGGTAGTTGTACTAGTGATATTAGTAGTCATGTAAGCAGTAGAAGTAGTTTTAGAATAGAAGAAGTAGAAGTCAAAGCAGTAGAGCTCGTGGTAGAAGAGTAGAAGTAAAAAAAATATTAAGAGACGCAAGAGCAGTTGAGGTAGAAGTGAAGATATAAGTTAAAGTGATATAAGTAGTAATTGTAGTGGTAGAACTGGGATTGGTCAACTGTAAAATATGATTCAGTACAAGTAGATTACTAGCCCCACACACTTGTAGCTCTTTGCTGTTCATTGTTATTTACAGTTTGTTTTTGTCTCACTGCAGCACTGACGAGGTTTCTCAGAGAAGAGTGCCACAGAGTGAACTGAGAGTCGCCTGTCAGCAGGTCAACCTTGGGTGAGTACACGTGATTTTCTGGATTCATCACTTAAATCCAAGCAGCTACATTTTGATAAAAACAATCCTCAGTTTGTGTCTGGAGCTGTGATATTAAGATATGATTCCATTTGTTGTGTTTGTGTGTCAGATTTCCAAACCCAGCCCAGATATGTTACATGAACTCCAGCCTCCAGAGCTTGCTCACGCTCACACGGTTCGTGCGGGACATCAGGAGCCAGGAGGAGGTCTGGAGTCTGATCCCAGAGGCCCAGCTGATGAGGTGTAGTATCTGTAAACACACACACACACACACACACACACACACACACACACACACACACACACACACACACACACACACACAGTTAACGGTTTAAAATAAGTGTAAAAGATGACTAAAGTAGAGGGTTAGGTTGTTTTATGCCAGACTGCATGAGTAAGAGTGGTACATACAGCAGATAACAGCCAGCATAGCTGTCTGCGGGAGTTCCTACGTTAAAGCAAAGCTATGCACTGCAGATGGGTCACAAGAAGCAACTTACACCACTTTGAGTCAAAAATATACAATTTTTATTTTTGTTTTAGATTATTATATATCGCCTTCAAACACCTGAACTATCCTTGAATAATTTCACATGAAACATGCCAAGTACAAGGTTTACGTTGAGAAATGGTCTCTGATTTGTTAGTTTTGTTCACCAATGTTTCCTGGTTTGGTTCAGAAAAGATCATGGCTTGGATTAAAATTCAACTGTACATGCTCTCAAACAGCCTCAACAACAGAACGTGTTGTTGAAGCTACGAGTCAAACTTTTGACGTAAACTAAAAACTGAAATACAAGAAAGAAAAGGAATAATGCATCAAAATTAATATTGCTATTCAAAATTGACCCAAAGCTTTTTTGGTCCTCAGGATATGAGAAATATTAAGCTTTTGTCTTTTTTAAAATGAAAAATCTGGTTTATTGTGTTAATGAACTAGCATTTAATGATTAATTATTAATAATAGGTATTAATATACAGGACTGAAACTGAGGAAAAGATAAAAATAATAAATAATGAAAACTTGTGAAATATGTCAATGTCAGATAATTCAAATGAAGTATTGTAATTAAATGGGTTTTCAAATCTGACATATTAAAAAAAATTAACATACCCCAAATCATTTTAACTGGTGATCACAAAAATGTCCCAATCTGAGTTTGATTGGTTTTTTTAATGTTAGCTCATAGTGTAAAATGTTGGATAACAATATATTTTTTTCAAAACACACACAATGTGTATGGGTGCCGAGCTGTGAGTGTGAGGGCAAAAGAGTCTGTGTGCAGTGAGTGGTGTGTGCACAAAGTTGGGGAATGGTCTAGATAGGGAAAAGTGATTAACTTATGAGAAAGTGACAAATGATGTCTTATTAAATATATAATGATATGATATAAGAAATTCACATATAAGGGAAGAGATACTGTTGCCTTTGTAATGTTAAAAAACATATGAGCCCTGTTTTTTTCTTTGTACAGGGACGTTAATAGAATAAGTAACTGCTATGAGCCTCTCAGGATAAAGAGGACGTTTGTACACCTAATAGTAAGAAATGAGCCCCTTATTAGATGAGGAGGACTTTGGATGGTGATAACATCCTCGATTAAAATGGCAATTAAAGAAGTGTACACAAGCACATTTGTCTTCATACAGATACAGGAAAAAACAGAGTAAAAGATTGGAATGATTTGCTAACTGATGGGTTTGGTTTTCCTCTGTGTATGTGTGTGAATATTTAAAGTGAAGGGTCACTTGCTGATGATATACCATGGTAAAGGGGAATTGTGTATAATAAATTTTAGTGGTTAGATGATAGAAGAAATCTTTAAATAGTGGTAGTAAACGTTTTAAATTGTATTGAATGAAGTGATTGTAATGTACTAAGCATTTGATTTGTCTTTTGTCCTTAACACTGATGCATGAGAGAGGAGAGGAAAATGGAATGCATCTGACGCTGGAGCTCCCATGAGACAGAGAAGAAGATAACTGGCTGTGCTGCAAACAAGAGGGGGCATGCGGATGAGAGGCTCACCAGGTCCTGCTCCCATTTGACAGGCCAGTACGGTTTTATCTACAAACTCTTCTCCTATGTGTCTGCTGCTACTTAGTTGTACATACACACATTTATAGTGGGAACACATTTAGTTGGGTGTAAATATTTGTTAGTGCTAGACAATAAGAGCAGTAGTTTTGTTGGTAAAAAGAAAGGCTTGGCAATAGACTGACCAGTTGAAAGGGCTGATTAAGTACCGCAGTATTGTTGAATTAAAAGAGCATTTCCAAGAGGTCCAAATTTTGCTGAAACGTGTGGATGTGGTTTGTCATTGCTGCTTGGTAAAATCACACAAATTGATCAATGATGAAGCCAAAAGAAATAGCAATAGCTAAGTGTGCAGCACATAAAGGGGACATGTCAAGAGTAACTCAGGGCAACAGAGCAGCTGATGAGGCTGCAAAAGCTGTTACAGGGGCAGATAAAGAAGGCAAAGTTCTTCAGTTGATTCTGTTACTGACAAATCAAAATTATTTTTACTCCATTAGAGAGAAACACGTGTGTCTAAAAGTTGTTCTGTGTGTTTGCTCTCAAGCTAATGGCTGGTACAGTCTGGTTAGTGTCATCAGTCATTTAGGCAGCGAAGGGAACGCAGGTAAAAGATTCACTCAGTGAGGGTCAGATCAGCCAGTGCAGTCTTCTGTTAGGTCCTCAGATCCATAATAGATAGATAAATGTCAGTCAAAGGCTAGAGTCTTTAAAGTCTCAGGAATATCAAATTAACATTAGCCTTCAAACCAATGTCTTTGTAAGAAAGATAAAACATTATGAAGTCGTTGAATCGGTCTCATTCAGCAAAAGCTACAGCCCGCTCTTGGATCTTGGTAACATTTTCCATCATTTTACTTTCAAAGAACTGCTGAACTCCTAAAAATGTTTGAAGAAACTGGTTATAAACCAATTTTTATGATTTATAATCACATAATTTAACATGTAAGCTAAAGCACCAGAATTAGAATTAGAAGTATACTTTTATTTTTAGAAATGCAGCCAAATAAAAGTGAAAGTCGCGGGCACAAAAAAAACTACAGTAAAGTACAGACACTTCAAAATTATACTCAAGTACTATATTTAAGTAATGCTACGTACTTACTGTACAACACTGTTCTAGACTTTGCAATTCATTAAATCAAAAATTCAGAGAGCCTACTAACTGTTAAAGTTTATGAAATGACACAAAGCAGAACAACTTTTGATGGTGAGATCACTTGATTTACTCTTTGTGCTGTTGAAGAGAGGCTTCGTCTAAATTTGGGTAGAATAGAAAAGAAAAGAAGTTGTAGAGAAGAAAAAGATGTTCAAATAGAAGAAAAAGAGATGCCAAAAGTAGAATAGCAGAGACTAGTAATGGGAGTGTGCTAAATAACCGTGCAAGATTAATGAAGACAGGGCCCATATCTTCTTAACGGTAAGACATGTGTAAATTAGTGACTAATGTGAACGTCTAGCTCAAAAAGGATAGTCGAATTCGGGCGTGGAAAGAAAAAGTGAGGAGTAAAACCCGGAGCCCAGGGTAATTGGCAAATAAATGATGAAAAGAGATAAAAGGTAAAGAGATAAAGTGAAAAGAGAAAAAAGGCTGAGATGGCCCAGGAATAGAAAAGAGAAAAAGTTAAAGAGACAAAGTGAAAAAGAGAAAAAGGCTGAGATGGCCGAAACAAGAGAAAAAGTTAACTTAATGTTAGGGAAGTCGTGATTGGATATACAAACCGGTAAGGACAGTTTAAAGAAGAGAAAAGAAATGAAGTTAATATAAAGTTAGGGACGACGCGATTGGGCATACAAACCGGTAAGGACAGTTAGAAGAAAAAAAAAAAGGCCTGTATACTATAGTAAGGAAACATTGAGCTCTTTGAGGAGAGGTGTGTTGGAATTTGCGTGTGTGAGAGAAGCTTCAGGTGTGTGTGAGAGGAGTTTGTGTATGGGTGCCGAGCTGTGAGTGTGAGTGCAAAAGAGTCTGTGTGCAGTGAGTGGTGTGTGCACAAAGTTGGGGAATGGTCTAGCATAGGTATAAGTGATTAACTTATGATAAAGTGACAAATGATGTCTTATTAAATATATAATGATATGATATAAGAAATTAACATATAAGGGAAGAGATACTGTTGCCTTTGTAATGTTAAAAACATATGAGCCCTGTTTTTTTCTTTGTACAGGGACGTTGATAGAATAAGTAACTGCTATGAGCCTCTCAGGATAAAGAGGACGTTTGTACACCTAATAGTAAGAAATGAGCCCCTTATTAGATGAGGAGGACTTTGGATGGTGATAACATCCTCGATTAAAATGGCAATTAAAGAAGTGTACACAAGCACATTTGTCTTCATACTGATACAGGAAAAAACAGAGTAAAAGTTGGAATTATTTGCTAACTGATGAGTGTGGTTTTCCTCTGTGTGTGTGTGAATATTTAAAGTGAAGGGTCACTTGCTGATGATTATGTTTAGAGGGAAGTCCTAGTTAAAGATTAGGAGAATCCAGGGAGCTTTTTCTCCCCCTTTCTTTCTCTTCTTACAGGCCTGAGAACAGAAAGAAAGCTAAAAAATCTAGTTTAACTATCCTAGTTGTGTGAAAAATTAAATGATATACCATGGTAAAGGGGAACTGTGTATGATAAATTTGAATAGTTAGATAATAGAAAAAATCTTTAAATAGTTGTAGTAAGCGTTTTAAATTGTATTGAATGAAGTGATTGTAATGTACTAAGCATTTGATTTGTCTTTTGTCCTTAACACTGATGCATGAGAGAGGAGAGGAAAATGGAATGCATCTGACGCTGGAGCTCCCATGAGACAGAGAAGAAGATCATTGGCTGTGCTGCAAACAAGAGGGGGCTTTCGGATGAGAGGCTCACCAGGTCCTGCTCCCATTTGACAGGCCAGTACGGTTTTATCTACAAACTCTTCTCCTATGTGTCTGCTGCTACTTAGTTGTACATACACACATTTATAGTGGGAACACATTTAGTTGGGTGTAAATATTTGTTAGTGCTAGGCAATAAGAGCAGTAATTTTGTTGGTAAAAAAAAAGGCTTGGCAATAGACTGACCAGTTGAAAGGGCTGATTAAGTACCGTAGTATTGTTGAATTAAAAATACATTTCCAAGAGGTCTTAATTTTGCTGAAACGTGTGGATGTGGTTTGTCATTGCTGCTTGGTAAAATCACACAAATTGATCAATGATGAAGCCAAAAGAAATAGCAATAGCTAAGTGTGCAGCACATAAAGGGGACATGTCAAGAGTAACTCAGGGCAACAGAGCAGCTGATGAGGCTGCAAAAGCTGTTACAGGGGCAGATAAAGAAGGCAAAGTTCTTCTGGTCACTCATGAAGTAGACTTGGAAGATAAAATCACCCTCAAAGACATAGTCTCAATGCAAGAAGCGGCCTCTGAAATAGACAAACAGTTATGGCGTGACCGAGGTGCAACACAGGATACCACAGGATTGTGGAGGAATCATGAAGGGCTGATGGTGGCACCTCCAGACCTACTTGGATTAATGATTCAGGAGGCACTTGGGTTAGCACATGTTGCAAGGGGGAAGTAAAGAGAAAAATCACAAAGGAGTATGGTTGTTGGGCACCATATTTGCTTGAGCAAATTGATTATGTCATTAGCAAATGCACAATTTGTCTAAAGAACAATGTTCGTAAGGGAGTACTGGTTCCTCCTGGCTATGTCCCAACTCCAACTGGTCCTATGCGGGAACTGGTTGTGGATTTTGTTGACGTGATTAAACCAGTGGGAGGTAAAAGGTATATGCTAGTGGTAGTTGACAGATTTTTACGATGGCCCGAAGCTTGTCCAACCAAACAAAAGGATGCTCAGTCTGTTGCCAAGTTTTTGTGTAGGGAGGTCATAAGCAGATGGGTACTTCCAGATCGCATATCCTCAGATAATGGGAAGGAGTTTGTGGATAAAACGGTGCGGTTAATTTAACAAAAACATAGGGAAGTCGTGATTGGACATACAAACCGGTAAGGACAGTTAGAAGAAAAAAAAAAAAGGCCTATATACTATAGTAAGGAAACATTGAGCTCTGTGAGGAGAGGTGTGTTGGAATTTGCGTGTGTGAGAGAAGCTTCAGGTGTGTGTGAGAGGAGTGTGTGTATGGGTGCCGAGCTGTGAGTGTGAGTGCAAAAGAGTCTGTGTGCAGTGAGTGGTGTGTGCACAAAGTTGGGGAATGGTCTAGCATAGGTATAAGTGATTAACTTATGATAAAGTGACAAATGATGTCTTATTAAATATATAATGATATGATATAAGAAACTAACATATAAGGGAAGAGATACTGTTGCCTTTGTAATGTTAAAAACATATGAGCCCTGGTTTTTTCTTTGTACAGGGACGTTAATAGAATAAGTAACTGCTATGAGCCTCTCAGGATAAAGAGGACGTTTGTACACCTAATAGTAAGAAATGAGCCCCTTATTAGATGAGGAGGACTTTGGATGGTGATAACATCCTCGATTAAAATGGCAATTAAAGAAGTGTACACAAGCACATTTGTCTTCATACTGATACAAGAAAAAACAGAGTAAAAGATTGGAATGATTTGCTAACTGATGAGTGTGGTTTTCCTCTGTGTGTGTGTGAATATTTAAAGTGAAGGGTCACTTGCTGATGATTATGTTTAGAGGGAAGTCCTAGTTAAAGATTAGGAGAATCCAGGGAGCTTTTTCTCCCCCTTTCTTTCTCTTCTTACAGGCCTGAGAACAGAAAGAAAGCTAAAAAATCTAGTTTAACTATCCTAGTTGTGTGAAAATTTAAATGATATACCATGGTAAAGGGGAACTGTGTATAATAAATTTTAGTAGTTAGATAATAGAAGAAATCTTTAAATAGTGGTAGTAAACGTTTTAAATTGTATTGAATGAAGTGATTGTAATGTACTAAGCATTTGATTTGTCTTTTGTCCTTAACACTGATGCATGAGAGAGGAGAGGAAAATGGAATGCATCTGACGCTGGAGCTCCCATGAGACAGATAAGAAGATAACTGGCTGTGCTGCAAACAAGAGGGGGCTTTCGGATGAGAGGCTCACCAGGTCCTGCTCCCATTTGACAGGCCAGTACAGTTTTATCTACAAACTCTTCTCCTATGTGTCTGCTGCTACTTAGTTGTACATACACACATTTATAGTGGGAACACATTTAGTTGGGTGTAAATATTTGTTAGTGCTAGGCAATAAGAGTAGTAGTTTTGTTGGTAAAAAGAAAGGCTTGGCAATAGACTGACCAGTTGAAAGGGCTGATTAAGTACCGTAGTATTGTTGAATTAAAAGAGCATTTCCAAGAGGTCTAAATTTTGCTGAAACGTGTGGATGTGGTTTGTCATTGCTGCTTGGTAAAATCACACAAATTGATCAATGATGAAGCCAAAAGAAATAGCAATAGCTAAGTGTGCAGCACATAAAGGGGACATGTCAAGAGTAACTCAGGGCAACAGAGCAGCTGATGAGGCTGCAAAAGCTGTTACAGGGGCAGATAAAGAAGGCAAAGTTCTTCTGGTCACTCATGAAGTAGACTTGGAAGATAAAATCACCCTCAAAGACATAGTCTCAATGCAAGAAGCGGCCTCTGAAATAGATAAACAGTTATGGCGTTACTAAGGTGCGACACAGGATACCACAGGATTGTGGAGGAATCATGAAGGGCTGATGGTGGCACCTCCAGACCTACTTGGATTAATGATTCAGGAGGCACATGGGTTAGCACATGTTGCAAGGGGGGAAGTAAAGAGAAAAATCATAAAGGAGTATGGTTGTTGGGCACCATATTTGCTTGAGCAAATTGATTATGTCATTAGCAAATGCACAATTTGTCTAAAGAACAATGTTCGTAAGGGAGTACTGGTTCCTCCTGGTTATGTCCCAACTCCAACTGGTCCTATGCGTGAACTGGTTGTGGATTTTGTTGACATGATGAAACCAGTGGGAGGTAAAAGGTATATGCTAGTGGTAGTTGACAGATTTTTACGATGGCCCGAAGCTTGTCCAACCAAACGAAAGGATGCTCAGTCTGTTGCCAAGTTTTTGTGTAGGGAGGTCATAAGCAGATGGGTACTTCCAGATCGCATATCCTCAGATAATGGGAAGGAGTTTGTGGATAAAAAGGTGCGGTTAATTTTACAAAAGCATAGGGAAGTCGTGATTGGACATACAAACCGGTAAGGACAGTTTAAAGAAGAGAAAAGAAATTAAGTTAATATAAAGTTAGGGACGACGCGATTGGGCATACAAACCGGTAAGGACAGTTAGAAGAAAAAAAAAAAAGGCCTATATACTATAGTAAGGAAACATTGAGCTCTGTGAGGAGAGGTGTGTTGGAATTTGCGTGTGTGAGAGAAGCTTCAGGTGTGTGTGAGAGGAGTGTGTGTATGGGTGCCGAGCTGTGAGTGTGAGTGCAAAAGAGTCTGTGTGTAGTGAGTGGTGTGTGCACAAAGTTGGGGAATGGTCTAGCATAGGTATAAGTGATTAACTTATGATAAAGTGACAAATGATGTCTTATTAAATATATAATGATATGATATAAGAAATTAACATATAAGGGAAGAGATACTGTTGCCTTTGTAATGTTAAAAACATATGAGCCCTGGTTTTTTCTTTGTACAGGGACGTTAATAGAATAAGTAACTGCTATGAGCCTCTCAGGATAAAGAGGACGTTTGTACACCTAATAGTAAGAAATGAGCCCCTTATTAGATGAGGAGGACTTTGGATGGTGATAACATCCTCGATTAAAATGGCAATTAAAGAAGTGTACACAAGCACATTTGTCTTCATACAGATACAGGAAAAAACAGAGTAAAAGATTGGAATGATTTGCTAACTGATGGGTGTGGTTTTCCTCTAAAATGCCTAAAACGCCTAAAATGACTCGAGAGGAGGCCAAAGATGACGACCAACTCCGTGATGCAGAAGGAGATTGGATGAACAAGACAACATGGAGAAGTAAAGTAAGTAAAGTTTGATGAATGTGTTTGTTTCATTAAACTGTTGTATTTGTGTGCTGCTCTATTAACCTGCATTTTCTTCATCTTTCATCTCCTTATATTTATCTCTATACAATAGACACACGCAAGGATGAGAGTGAAGATGATGAGCAGCCTAAAGAAGAAGATAAGATGAGAACAGCAGCAAAGATGGTGAACATGGACAAGAGTTTCAGGGCATGAAGGTACACTGACTGCATCCTTTGTTCTTTTCTTTCAGATTGTAATCACTTCTTAAAGATTGGTCTCTACATACTTTGGTGGATATCTGTTAAAGGATATTGTATTTTAATATTTTTGTCTTTTCATTATAGTTTAACAAGTGTAAGAGTGGCCTCCTAACGCAGCAGTGATCCAGCTGGTGACTGAAAAGGACAGAAGAAACTCTGGAAGGAGAGCAGCCATGTTGACACGGAGGCTGCACCACATTTTGCACATGCAAATAAATTGTGACATTTTAGTTTAAACCATGTCTTAAGTTGTGTTTTCGAAAGATGAAAGTTCTTGAACCCTTTGCACACACTTACAGCCTGTCTCCTCACAGCATTTTAAATTATTTGTATTAGATACCATATCATATGTGCAGAGAAGAAGAAAAGAAGAGTTCAGAAAAACACAAGATTTGTAAAATATTAAGACTGATGAGGCTGTAAAACCAAGTTCTTAAATACAAACTGATTTATTCTCAAGTGGTTTGTTACAGCCGCTAGAGGACGCTTTATGTTTAGTGCTGAGTATGCTTTTAAACAGTCTTTATTATTATGTCAGCACTGTGGGTCAGGTCAGGTGAAAAGAAAAACTCGTCATAGTTCTCAGGTTTGTTAGGGGTAAAAAAAAAATGTGGCTGAAACCACAACAGGAGTTACTAAAAGAAAGAAAGAAAGAAAGAAAGAAAGAAAGAAAGAAGGGAGGACAGATGGCTGGAAGGAAGGGGGGTAAAAAAAAAAGCCCAAACACTTACAATCATTTTTACTCAAGCTCCTTGTGTTAGTAATCAGAAGACATGAATCCTGTCTCTTCTGCTGATTATTCAACACCTTTACTGGCCAAACTTCAAAACGATTTATAACCAAAGAAAGAAAAGAACTGGAAGAAAGAAGGAAGGACAGAAAGAAAAAAAATATGATCAACTTTACCTATCAAATACTGTAAACTAGATGTCTTCATCCTAGTTAAACATTTTGAGATTGAAAGGTAATTAATTGTTTGGTAAACTGCTTTGGCAGAATCAAGCACTACTCGTGATAATAAAAACAATTCAAACATGGATTAAGGGAGGAAGAAAGAAGAAAGAAATGTTTAAAAGAAAGGGAAAAAGAAGAGGGAGAAAAAGAAAAGAAGAAGGGAAGATAAAAAATGAAGCAACTTTGCCCTCATGATCATCGTTTTTATCAGAGCTATTTCTGAGTTACATGAATGATCTTGAGTCTGTGTCTTCTGCCACTCAGCGAAAACATAAAAAGAGAGAAAGAAAGACAGAAAGAAAGAAAGAAAGAAAGAAAGACCATTTAATCGTGTTTGATTTATTAACGGTATTGTGTGAAGGATAAAAAAGTCTTTTTTATGCAGCTGACATCCTTATTCACATATCTGTATGCAAGTGGAGTTATAAATCAGTTCTATGTCATGCTAACATCACTGTAGGATAAGATTCATTCTAATCTTATGTCATGAGTCTCAGTCTTATCTTAATGTACCATAAGCAGAGCACCTTTCAGCATTTAGAAAGTTAGAGTGGCACAGAAGAAACCTTCACACTAAGAAGGCAGAAAACCTGGAGCAGACCCAGACCCCTGCTAAAAAGCCATAAGATAGAGACAAAAACAAAGGAGAAATGGTTCAAAGTTCCTCAGCATCCCTTGGTCTACCAGAGAGTTATCTTGAACTCATAGAGTTAAGTCAATTGTTTTTCTGATTGGAGCAGCTGGTCACCAACCCAGACCCTCGTGTCCCGGTGTAGCGGCAGGCTGCCCTTCAACACATGCAGAAAAACTTTACTCAGCAGGTATGATTTATTGGAAATTATAAATGCTTAGTAGCGACTCATAAAAAGGGTTACTTATTGCTCTGCTAAAAATCAACGAGCCACCATGTGCCAGGTTTTTTCTATTGCGTAACCAGTAAGTGTATTATTCAATAAAAGGGTCAAACCTTATATGACAGCAAATGACTGTGCATTCAGAATCCTGGCATGTTTTTTCAGTCGTGTCTTCTCTGGTCTTTATCAGGGTGCCCAGATCCTGGTGTTTCCAGAAGATGGTCTACATGGGTTTAACTTCACTCGACAACCATCGTAGGTTATCTTGAAACAATTCCTGACCCCCAGCAGGAGAGCTGGAACCCCTGCACAGGGCCGGAGAAACACGACAACACTGAGGTGCACAGATACACACTCATGTTTCATGTCTATCTTGTTTTAAAGATACCCACGAGCAGCCAACACTGGTCTGTTATCATGGATTACATTTCAGAACGGTTGTTTTACAGGTTCTCCAGCGGTTGAGCTGTATGGCTCGTCGGAATAACATCTACATTGTAGCTAATATGCCTGACCGGCAGCCCTGCCCCCTGTTTACAGATCCCACCTCCTCCTGTCCATCTGATGGACGCTGGCAGTTCAACACCAATATTGCCTTTAGGTGAAGTTGAGATCTTAAAATAGAGACATCTGGCTAAACTCCAGCAAATGCATCAACACATGAATTCCTAATTTCATTATCTTCTAGGTCTGATGGCCTACTGGTGGCACGCTACCATAAATACAACCTTTTCCATGAGGAGTCCTTTGACACTCCACCACAGCCTGAGATCATCACATTTGATACTCCTTTTGCTGGAAAATTTGGCCTGCTGATATGCTTTGACATCCTATTTTACAAGCCCACTATAGCACTGGTGGAAAAGGCAAAACCACTCACAATTGTGTATTTAGCTCTATGTCCCTGTGCCGGATCTCTTTTTTAAAAGTAGACTCTCTTCCCGCTCCTTTTAGGGTGTTCATCAGCTGATCTTCCCTACAGCTTGGTTTAACACCCTCCCCCTGCTTGACTCTGTCCAGTACCATCGATCATTAAGCCGAAGCACCAATGTCACCCTGCTAGCAGCCAACCTCCGCCATGATAATAAGAACATGGCTGGGAGTGGTATCTACACACCTTTTTCATCCATCTACCATCACTCAAAGAGGGGAGACCCAGAGGAGGGCAAGCTGCTGGTGGCCAGGGTGCCGGTCTTAGACCCAGAGTGGTCGGGGCAGAGGGTGGCCACAGAGGAGGAGAAACTGAAGTCTGAGTCCACTTCATCCCCTGTTACAGACTCTGGATTCTGTCACAGTGAGAGCTGCTCTGATGCATCTTCAGTCCCTTCATCATCAGCCACATTCAAATCATTCATGATTGGTGACCTGTTCACATTTGTCCTCCTAAATGAAAAAGAGGGTAGGGTGAAGGTGTGCAATGGCTCCTTTTGCTGTCACCTGCAGTACAAGCGAATTTCACAGGGTGACAGTGAGGAGTTGTATGCATTTGGTGCGTTTGCTGGGCTGCACACTTTGGATGGAGAACTATCCCTGCAGGTATGAACTAAAGGGTTTATGGATATAGACACTGTCCTTTACAACATGTCTCACCTGTATCCTTCCTTCTGCAGGTGTGTGCACTCATCCGTTGTGCAGGGTCGGACCCAAGCTCCTGTGGACAGGGAGTAGAAGAAGCTGAGGCCAAAATGGACTTTGTGATGGAGGGGAAGTTTGGAACCAGATATGTGTACCCATCAGTTTTGACGAGTCAAATGGTTATAGAGGAAGTAAAGCATTTTGACAAATCTGCAGATGGAAGAGTGACTTTAAAACACTCAGACATGACTGCTGGACTGGTGACCGCCTGTCTGTATGGACGGATGTATCACCTGGACCACGAATAAAATGCTATTGAAAAGGTGTGCTGAAATATTGTATCTTAATAAAAAAAATAATGTACACAGTCGTAAAATAGTTTTATCTAGTGTAACAAATCAGCTGTGCTGATCACACACTACAGTGAATTGGAAATGAATTATTTGATTTTTTTTTTTTTTAAACTCAAAATAAATCTTTATGATCATTTGGTTTTCCTCTGTGTTTCAGTGGTATCAATCCTAAATATTGCTTGTTTCTTTGAAGATTTTATTTGACATTTTATTTTGTCCCTAGCTATGTTTGCAGTTTTCACCTGAATTTAGACACCCGTGTGCTAAAATTTTACATGGTGTGCGCTATATCCAGATCATAAAAACAAATAAGGCTGCTTTATGTCATTATTTTAGAGAAAAAGGGATATTATTTTTATTCTAATTATTCCTTTAAAGCTAAGACACCAATCTTTGAACACAGAAAAACTGGGAAGAATGTTTTCTTTTACAAATTGAAGTTCATCTTTTAATTCTAACATGATTGTTTTTGTTAACTATATAAAAAAAGAACTTTTTTTCCCCCGGAAATGTTTTAGTTAATTCTGAGATACAATTCTTGTTAATCCAGGAAACAAGAGCAGTTTTATCCTCAAATAAATGCAGTACGCCTCTGTGTTGAAGAACTCTACATTTCTGTCAAACATTAATCTCAGATATACCTCAAGGTAGGTTAAAAATTTTTTTTTTAAATAACTTTGAATGCATGAATCAGGTAAAAAGTTGAGATATTATGGCGTTTCCGGGTTAAAATTGTGTAATTTCCTGTGGTTTTAGTCAACATCAAAGCAGAGCTCTGGCGCCGTTCGACGGTGCGGTCTCTGAAATGGGACACAGCCACAGTGTAAGGTACTGTCAAAAATTTCGAGATGGACTGTTAATTTAGATTTCCTCCATCTCCTTTCAGCACTCCTGCAATTACGTTTGAGTTGTTTCAGACTTCCTGCAACCTTTTAGGTCCTGCTTCGAAAAATACAATGTAATAGTTTTCAACTTTTATTGAAACCACTACCTTTTATCACCGCGAGTTTCATTTCAAACTGTTCATTTCGAGGGAGAGGGACCATAATATTTTCACTGCTTTTTGAAAAAACATCCATTTCATTATGTTGACACTTCCTTTGATAGTGGGACTGAGTTTAATATGTTTTATTTCAACATTTTGTTGTTTTGTTAATGATTAGTATGGATTAAAACATAAAAAAGGACACATACGTACAAATTGAATTCTCATATGAGGCCGAGAGGAATACTGGACAAGATCAGCAATCCTTGGGGTAACACCCTCCTTCATTAGGCTGAAGGACGCAACAAACACAAACATGCAGGTACATGTCTTCACAGTCCCAGGTGACAATGTTGATACCATTCACACTGCCCTGACCAAAAATATTAATTACCCTTCCCTTTAGGCACACACCAGTTCACGTTTCCATTGACGTCTCTGACTCGTCCAGCAGCAGTCAACCTGTTGCTGTTTTTTATATTACACACAAAAGCATCAGGGAAATTGCCCTCTCTGGACAAACACTGACATTAGGAGGGGAAAAGGGTGTTCTATAAAACACACAGAAGTGTGATTGTATTTTTGCATGCAGGCAGTCAGGATAGTTGCTGTCAGACTATGTCGACTATGAAGTCCTTCATGTCTTGAGGAATGCCTTCGAGAAATAACTTGCGCTGTTGCATATTGGCAAGTAAACTTTCCTGCTTTCCTGCATTTTATCTCATTAAGAAACAGCTCACCTTGATGTACATGAATCAAAAACATGAATCTTGTTTTTCTGTTTAGGACAACCATGGAGGACACCACTGCACGACTGAACCTCCATACTCTCCACCAATCTACAAACTCATCTCCTCCATCTTCCTCTTTTCAGAACTCCTCTTCCAGTCCTCCTCCAGGTGACCTTCTCATCTCTCCTAATGTTGCCTACATGGCTGCTGAGCTTGTTATTGCCTTCCTCTCCATCATTGGAAATCTGCTGGTGTGCGCTGCAGTGGGCCTCAATCACAAGTTGCGCACAGTCACCAACTACTTCCTGGTGTCTCTTGCAGTGGCCGATATCTGCGTGGGCGCCATCGCCATCCCTTGTGCAATTCTGACAGACATTGGTTTACCACGCCACAACTTATACCTGTGTCTGCTCATGCTGAGTGTTTTGATCATGTTCACGCAGAGCTCCATCTTCAGCTTGTTAGCAGTGGCAGTGGAACGATATATTGCAATCTTCATGCCCTTCCGCTACCAGGTCCTGATGACACAATGCAATGCTGTGCTGGTGATCCTTGCCACATGGTTGTTGGCATTTCTCATCGGTGTTGTTCCTCTGATGGGCTGGCATAAGTCACCGCCTGATTCAGGTTACTGCTTCTTTGTCTTTGTGGTGGACATGACCTATATGGTCTATTTCAACTTTTTTGCTTGCGTGCTGACGCCTTTAGTGATCATGTTTCTAATATACGCACAGATTTTTGCGACAGTGAAGCGGCAGGTGAGGCGGATAGCATCTGAGCAAAGTGGCAGAGCAGAGGGACACTCAAGGATTCGTCGAGAGATGAAGACTGCTACTTCTCTATTCCTGGTTCTCTTCCTTTTCACCGTCTGCTGGATCCCGCTCCATGTCATCAACTGCTTCCTGCTGCTCTGCCCACGCTGCCCTGTGCCGTTTGAACTGCTGCTTACCGCCATTATCCTGTCGCACGCCAACTCTGCTGTCAACCCCTTTCTATATGCCTACACCATGACAGCTTTCAGGGACACCTTCAAGGCCATTTTCTTGTGCTGCAGAATGGTGGGAGACAGGGAGACTTCACATGTAGCCAGCAGTGAGGACAGAGGGGGAGCAAGTGTCCGACATGCTGACCAAGCTTGACTAGGATCTCTCAATTTGAAGTTAAATATCTGAAACTCTTTTCATACAACCTGTAGAAAGAAATTCAACTTGGAAACACTTTTACTTTGAGCAGAAATTCAATAAAAAAAAACATGTTTTCGCACCAGAAATATCCCAAATTACTGTGTGTTACAGTAAATACACAACAATGTGTTATGTACTTTGTATCAATCTGGCCTCTGCAATCGGGTTCAACTTACTGAGAAATGTTAACAAGTCTTAGCCGAGCATCTCAAATCTGAGTTAATGTAAATACTTTTTTAACGATCTGATGATATTCACAAGGAAATATATTTGAAACTTGTTTTTATATCCACTTCTGTCTATGGTTCAATGACTTTTACACCTTTCTGAGAGACAGATAATTATGAACAAGGCAAAAAATCTCAAAATATGAGATAAAAAATGTTAAAATCCATATTAATTTACTATGAAGGCCAGAGAAAAGCGATCTATCCATTTTTGTTACTCATGTATCAAGGCATTCACATATTTTATGTGACAGACTATTTTGTAATTTCACTTGATGATTCCTCAGACCTATTACAGTTTTCGGAATCAGTTGAATGCTGGGGTAGAAGTGAAGTTCTCTCTTTCTGTTGCTCTTCCACTTTTTTCTCCTCCCGGCAAAGACTGAAGGGCCAGACTAGCACCCTAGAGGGCCGAGCTATGGCTTAGTAATACAGAGGCAGTAACTACATGCTTGTAGTATGACGTTAAGCTGTAAGCAAAACAATGAAAAGCTTTTTTCTACTCCTTAAATTTTTGAAAATAGTCTGCTCATATTTAAAAAAAATGCAATTTCTGTTGTAGGCAGTTCAGAAAAGAGGACTTAAATGCAATGCATGAATAAATTGTATTTATCACAGCTGTTATACTGTCAAAAACCCAAACACTACAATTGATGCAGTGTGCCTACGCAGGGGAAATCCTACTTTTCTGTAAATATGCATAAATAGTTGTATTAAAACTATTGATTGGAGATTAACAGAGGGAATTAATTATATGGCCATTCATTAAAAAGTCACACTAAACCCAATGTTTTGTGTTTGTTTGAAAAAAAAAAAAAAAGATGAGCACTTCTCACAGATATAATGAATGATACTGCACTTAGATTTAGGGAAAATCAGCCGATAACTGGCTCGAAAGAAATAATGTTAGTTGGGAGCCAAAATTGAAATAAAGGGAAAATATTCATCTTCTTTTCTGTTTGTTTCTTTCTGCTTTCCCCCCACAACTGTCCTCAACCAGGGACAAGCAATTCTTTGCCCAAAGACTTCAGTTTGGTGGACTCTGCTGGTTCTGTGCCACTTTGGTCTGTGCTGTTATATCCTCCCGCAGAAAGTAGAGACGTCATGAAAAACCCTGGTACCCCTGTGTTTCCTCAGCTCCTGTAAGATAGTTTGACCTAAAACTACCAGAATTTTGTGTCAAAAAAAGGAGATGTTTTGAAAACACTTGTTCTTGTGATGTCAAAAACGCGCAGTGCATGAACCTTTTACTCAAAACTAACTAGATTGGTCATTTTTAGCAAAACTTGTCTGCAAAATCAATCACAACCAAGAAAACTGAATTACCCTTACCATGGATGAAAATATCAAAAGTATTATCAAAGATCATTTCTCATACTCATTTTTTATTCAACAGGCAAAAAGCACTTAAAGCAAACACAATTAAATGCAGTGACAAATTAGGCAGATTTACTGAATTTTCTTGGAAACAGGGAAGAAACAATACTTAGTTTGTTGCCAAAAACATGTGCCAGGTACAACTCAACGCTGAAACAGTTGTAAAATGCACCTTTCAGAATTTCTCCATCTAATGAGGTTCATTGTGATAAGGTTAATTGTTTATTCTAATAGAACTATTTTTGCATTTATTGTTTTTGCACAACTTGCAAACCATCAGCTTCTTAACGCAGAGACAGTTTTAGGTTTGAAATGTAACACAAAACCTGTCCATCTCGTACCAATATACGAAAATTCTAGACTGTTTTTTAAACAAGAATGTGGGCTGAAAAAACAATGACTTACTGCGCCACAGGTTGAACATAGCTTTATGTCTTATCTCTTACACATCTAGCTTCACTGACGCTGATCATTGAGGTAGTAGAGTTGAAAAAGTGGCAAAAAATCAAATATCTGATTTAAAACATAAGTGTCATTACTATAAACTCACATCACAATCATACCCCTTGCTTTCAAGTAAGTGTGCAAAACCAAGAGCTAAAGGTAAGACAAGGGCTTAGGGTCACAATTGGGATTAGCCCTTAGTGTTTCAATATCAATCAAACTGATTGGTCAGTAGACAAAGTTAAACTGAAACTAAACTGGCTGAGTTTCTCTGAACATAGCCTGTTGTGGAGAAAGTTAGGTAATCACTACAAGTTACCATGGTGATCTACCTTAGTAAGGAGTAAACAAAGATCTGTGTTGGTGTAATAAGGCTCATCCATGAGAAATGAGTTTCAGGCGGGGGGTTAGGTTTCAGACAGTTTTTTCCTCTGTGATATCGAGAGGTTCCTGATAGTTTGAAATGAGACAGCATACAGTCCACAGCTGATTAACTGAGCCTACCATAGAAAGAGGAACAGGCCCATCCCAAAGGCAGTATCTCTTCACCCTGTCTATGGCTCTCTCTCCTAAAGCCCTCAGACGAGCAATAGCTTGGGTCTTGCATGTGTCTTTAGTGCTGAGCTGAGGAGAATTCTCCACCGGTGAGATGAGAAGTGTTGCCCCCACTTCTGACAGCATCTTCTCAGTTGAGGAACACTTGTTGGCTATCACTCCGTCTCCAGGCTCGAGTAACTCTAAGATCTGTGATTTCTTTGTTATGACAGCATCTGAGAGGGAGCCATTGTACAGTTTGGACACAAATGTGATAAGGCCACATGGAGCGATGCCTATCATACTTTTATAAGTGATGTGTTTTTTGTACTTCTGGGGGGTCTCTGGCTGTAGACAGTGGGAGGGTGCTGGTTCGCAGTGGATCTCGGTGTAGTCAATTATCACTCTCACTTGAGGGCAGTGAAGCTTTACCTCCTCAGGCATTGTGGCCTGCACTTGCCCTCTTGTCATCCACATTGGTAGTGAGCCAAGAATGAGGTAGAGGTAGTTAGTCCATGTTAAGATGATATGGTTAACTGTGAACAAGCTAACATCAAAGATGGCTGACAATGTTTTTTCCCGCAGTCCAGCTGCAACCCGACAGAAAAACAAAAACAGCTCATCAATAAGTGGAAGCCTTTTTTCATAGCTAGATGACTCGAGGACTGTTTGCTGGGCCTTGGACCAGTACACAAGCCTTGATGCAGAGGGGTACACTGACTCCCAAAAGACAATGAAGACTTCCATTGAGCTGAATCTTGTGTAGTACTGAAAGTCACCATCAGTGCGGCAAACCTTGAAAATCAGTGGCTCTGGCTTCTGGACTGTCTGCTGGATTTCCGTTTCCAGAGTTAGAACTTGATGCTCCAAATCTTTTATTCCTTGTGTGGCACTGTCCAGTATATCTTAAAAGGGAGGAAAAGAGCACACCAGTCAAAAGGTATCCTTCATCCATCCATCCATCCATTCATCCATCCATCCACCCATCCATCATCCATCCATCCATCTTCACGAAGTCTTTATCACCTGATGCTATTTGTAGATGAGCGTGACAACAAATCTTGACCCCTCTAAGGCGCAGAGACTAATTAAGCTAAATGTACACATTTACACTTAACAAGATTTTTAGATGACCCTACACTGTGGGGTCATCTAAAAAATCATAAAATCAACTGAATATTTAAGGTTTTAATGCTCATGTTTTTTCCATAACAACTCTCCAGTACAGGATGCAATCTTTGTGTTCCTTTCTCTATCAGCAAGTTGACACATGCACTGTTACAGTGCTTAATAGCCTCGTCTCCTTCACAGGTAAATAAATTTAAATGATGTTGTTGCACTACTTACAGCTTGTCATCATCTTTATCTTCTGTTAAAATTAGATTTTTTCCCAAATGTTGAGTAAATGTTTCACCAAGGTTCTCTTTGACATGATAAGAATATCAATACTTTCAAATCTATTGATTGTAACAAAGCTACACTGTAGTGACATCTGTATTATAGTTTGATGTTAGTGGAGGTTTGTGGTCATCTACTAATTAAAGTATCTAGGCTTCCTCTGAAAAAAGTTTTCAATCCCCATCCACAATGTTTGCCTATTTCTCCTGGCTGGTGTGGATATCCAACATATTCTTTCCAAGAAATCCACGAGTCGCTCAAAGAAAAGAGGCATCTAAGCTCGACTCTTGGAGCAAGTGTAGACCACCATAGAACTGTAATAATATTGGACATTATAGGTTTTTAAATTTCAATACACTGCCTTAAATATTGAAACTCGATACCAATTTCAATGATGGAGGGAGAAATTGATATAATATTGGCTTCCTGTAAGATTTATCTGCAGCTTTTGTTGTTGACAGTATTTGTTGATATTCCTCCACCTATGATTGGGGACTGTTCTTTTTTTCTTTTTCAATTTACTCACATTCTATACAGTGGTCTCCTCATTTTTATAAAAGCTTCTATGTTAATTAATGACTTGAAGCGGGTGGATATGTTTGACTATGATTGTTTTGTCTTTTCTGGCACTCTTTGGAGGGGTAAAAACTTTAGACGACACTACTGTATTTTTTTCTGCTTAATAAAAACAACAACCTCTACTCTTTCAATAATACTTACCAGGAAAAGGACAGCCAGCGTAGTTATGATCTTTTGCCAGTGCATCTAAAGAGACCTCTATTTTGCTAACCACTGGCAAAACCATCAGCTGAGGGTCATCCAAGTTAGCAACACGAGGACGTTTTAGCACATGCTGGTACTCTGACTCCTGCAGTGATGAGCCTAGAGGAGTGGAATATGATGTTAAACTTGATTTTATCTGCAAATCAATGGCAGGCATTTTCAGTTACCATACAAAAAAAAAAAAAAAAACACTTTTCCAAATTACATCACCTATGCTTTGTGTGGCAACATACACTTTATTTCTTTGTATGCACAACCCTATTCCAAAAAAGTCTGAACACTGTGTAGAATGTTGTTAGATTAAATCGTGTTGGTTTACAAATTATTTGAGCCCTTTACTTGACTGAGGGTTATAAAAAAAACTAAATCAATAGAAGAAGTGAAAAAAAATTACAACTTATCATTATAGAAAAGAAGGTTATTTTAACTTTGACATTCACAACAAAACGTGGGTCTGGTCTTGAAAAAGAAACCCTGAAAAGTTGTGTAATACCTGCCTTGTAAAGATATAGTTTATAAAGCACTATTCTCACTTCTTATAACACTTTAAAAACATTTCTTTAAATGTTATCAATGCTTAATATCACTTACAGGATTGTTATAAAGGCTTATAGATGCATTTACAAGGGTTCATAAATGTTCTTATGGTGCTTTATAAGGGGGGGGGGGCTAATATTGGTGTTCATTTTCATAATTGTTGTCTTTTCACTACACATTTCATTAATTATGAGGATTAAATTATAAGCAAACCATTAACTTCTCTCTTTTTTTGACATTTTACACAGTGTCCAAACTTTTACAAAATAAGGGTTGTATCATTTGAAGCTGCACCCCCTAGTGAGGGCAAATGTGTGATAAACTCAACAGGGCTGCTTACCTCATTACTCTGCACAATAGTATTTATATCTTAAAATAAAAAAATGTAATATTTCATGTATAAGCAGGTTAAACAGGGCTATTCTTCACTTACCAAAGTCATTCCAGTGGAATCTAGATGGCACTGCCCCCTGTTTGACGCGGATTCGTCCACTGACTGATGTATAAATATCCCCTGGGTTGAAGTGTTGACTACACACAAAGGTGCTTCCACGGAGGACTCTGAAACTCAGCCCCTCCTCTCTCCTGATCGCCTTAATCCACTGTTCACGTACATCAATGTTGACGGGGAAATCGTGGAAACTCAAATAAGGACACTGTTGTGTGTTACTCGAACAAAAAGGAACACTGCAGTAGTATCTTCTTGACGACTCTGCCATTTTGCACCTCTTGTATGTACAGCTGTTTAAATAACCACAAATACAAGCAAGATGGTGAATAACATAAATACAATTACATATTTTTCAATATATGTGTCAGTTTAGATCACACTTTTTCAAGAGTTGGAAAACACAAGTGTTTACTGAAATCCACATGTTTCACCCTCAGACCTTTAACTTCAAACAACGTAAGCCTCATGTTACTTCTTCTGCAATTATCTTTTCCAACCACCTGAGACCCTTACACATGTTGTTTTTCATAGGAAAGATAAATGATAAAAAGCTTGTTTGTTTTTGAAGTTCAGTCGCAGATACAAAAGCTGAATAAAAGCAGAGCAAATGATACCTGCAAAACGAGCCTCCGATGTAAACATCTATAGGGAGTTGCGATATGAACACTAGATGCCTCACACACCTACCCACTATGCGTCAAGGTCGCCGCCATCTTGGAGCGGTTCTCGTCGACAGTTTTGCGGTCAGCACAAGTGTAGAAAACCTGTGGGTTACTTGACAACAGCGTTTGTTTACACTCACCACCATGCTTGCCAGCAGTCACCAGTACCGCTCCGAGAAGGCAGTGATCTTGTGACGTATGCGCCGCAATTGTCTTGCAATTGGGTCTCGGGCATCTAGAGTTATGATATCTATGGTCACGATAACCTGCTTGGAAGAATCGCGGAAGTTGACTGACGTCATTGTGAAAATGACCAATCGGTGCTCGCATGCACAGGGAGCGCGGGCCCACTTGTCCAATCCCAGACTCTGACCTCGCAATTGACGAATGACGTTCAACCCATAGGCAGAACAGTAAAGGTACCGTCTTAGTAATAAGCTTACTAGGCTCTGCGGATGGCACAGCATAATGTTATTAAACTCTTCCCCATTCCCCGTCTACATACCACGCAACGGTCTTCTACATAAATGTGTGTGTGAGATCCATATATATTTATGAGCACATCTGCAGGACCTCCCTAAGATACGCTTCACGCATGTTCATCAGATGTGCGGAAAAAAATGGACACCCGCGGTTGTAAGCTTGATAGAGGATTTTAACAGTGTACAAAACTTTATAAAAGGAAATTACGTGTTTTAATTGTAATTGTGACGTAATGAGATGACAATAAACTGCAAAATACTATTTCGTAAAATAACTAAATTTACATTTACACATTCTGTTTACAGGCTATTACACTTAATAATTGCTATAAATGTAACCAATGTGCGATAGAAATGGTCTTACCTGGCGGAGACACAGTCGTCAGCGCCAGAGCCAGCTAACCGCTGCAACCCAAACTCTTGCTGGACATGCGGCTCCTGTATCTCCTTTTTGGGGTCTTTGTTTTTGTTAGGCATGTCCTTTGCAGTAGATGCAGAAATATCCATTGCAGCTGGCTCGGGTGCTGAGCAGTAATCGTGGTCCATTAAGAAATCAATGTTATGTTTATGCTCGTCCTCGGGGTCTGGTTCACTTGGCTCTCCGGCTCTGACTGACACATTGCTACGCGCTTTTTGAACGTTGTATTCGTTCCACTGAAATAGTGTCGGCACAGCACATTTTACCAGCCTCATCCTACCCACTGGAGTAGTTGGCTGAACTAGATAATCAAATGAGAAGTGCCGGCTACAAACTTTTGTGTGAGAGGTAATCAAAAGTTTTTCCCTGCGAATGTTTACTAGCCATTGCCTCCTCAGGGCAGGAACTTTGGGAAAGCAATGAAAGCTGAGCACACCATTATATTTAGATGACGCCGTACAAAGTGGTACACAGCAGTGCTCAGCGTATTTACTCTTCTGTCTCTGGAAATGTGAGGACTTGCTCACCCTCATTTCAAAACAACCGCTGCGACATGTTTCAGGCTCCATAAGAAGCTACCGGAAATGATTGGGTGGTGTAATACGAAACAGGAAATACGTCACAGAGCTTAATGTATACGGTTTACTATCCTGCTTAAATCTGTCCTTAGTTTGTATTTACTACTGTTCTAATTTATAGAGTAGAGGGAAAAATTTACTGATAAAAATACAGCTGAAATGTGCTTGCGTTTCCATTTTTAGTTACAATGCACTTTATGATTTACACAACTGTATACATTAACTTAATCAACTGTGTATTCTGAGTTGTAAATCAGTTTTTGTATCTAGAGAAGTGCATTAATGTTTGATTTATAAAAAAAATCCTGCTGAAAACAAAAATAAGGCTGCATGAGTACTTTTCAGTTCTTAATCATGATCTGTGTAAAAGTCCTGAAGGAAATAAATCCTGAATGTCAAATTGACTTGAAAATCTTATAATGCAAAAAAAAAAAAAAAAAATCACAAAACCAAAAAATGTAAGATATTTTCAGAAGAGTCAACGTTTATTTTGAGGTAAGCCATAAAAACAAAGAAAAAGTATACCACAGACATTGGTTTTCTTTAACAGAATACTTAGCGTGAACACACAACTGACACGGTTACCTTTTCACCATCAGCAGGAAGACAGCTGTAGTGACAAACAAGAAATATATACATGTCAAAGCTTGTACAGTATGTCTGAGACCCAACTGTAAACAAAATGCTCCTCTTAGAGTCCGTTTCATGGGGGAACCCTCACAGGACCTAGTCTGTGCGTGCCTGCACATTAGTAGTTCAAAACTTAAAACTCCTATATTTGCAGTGATTTGCTTTAACTACAAGCTATTTAGAGATTGAAGATCCTCTTATGAGACAGAAAACGACTAACATTTCTAATCCAAACACTTTCTATGTGGGTTTGTCACCATGTTTCAACCATTTTACTGATCTGTGCTCTTTGTCTCTTGAGCAATTTTGCAGTAGCTATTTCAGTACCTAACATTTCTAAGAAAGGCTGCCAGCTAGTTAACCTGATGAAAAAGCGACAAAGTGATGTAAGATTTCCAATAACCGTTGTTTAGCATGGTAAAGCATCACTCCTTTGCCAAACATCTTCTGTTGCAGATAATGAAACTGAGGCGTTTGGAGGCAACTCTGATCCTCTTTTTCCACGACCCTCGGTTGAAAACTGTTTTCCTCATCACCACAGGGATGTTTGGTAGTTAAATTTGATCTTCAGGAGATACTTCATGTTGATCTGGGCTACATCATACACAATGTATCTGGAGAAGAAGTGGTTAAAGAAGACAGACACGAAATGGATAACACCAAGAACAGGCCTAATTAGGAATTCAAATTTTTTCAAGTGCAGAAATGAAATATAGAAACATATGATCTAAAGGACAGTATCAATATTTTTGTAGTAAAAATGTCCTGCCTTCTGAGCTTTGCAAAAGAGTATGCATTCTAGAAACAGTATGCTAAGTGCTTGATGTTTTTAACAGCCTGTGAAGTTATCAATTTTAAGACGAAACATATATGCTGCAGAGTCATCAGCATTAAAGGATACTCGTTGTATAGCAGACTCGTGTCATCTATGTTAGTGTGGACTCCTTTGCCCAGAGGCACTTGCACGCCTTCTAGATTGTATGTGGCACCAGGATCAGGAGCAGTCCTACCCAAACCTGAAAGGAAAGAAACATTGATGAACAAGAGAATAAACAAGTCTGATGCAGGACCCAAAAACAAACATCTACTCAGGGTCTACAGACATCAAAGTGGGCGGTCTGTTTATGATTTTAAAGCAGTATTCCATGTTCCTCCTGTCTTCGACAAACGATGTACATATGAGCTAACTCCTGAGCTAAACTGGTACTCCAATTCAACTTCTTTTTAAGTCCTCATTATAAAATCAGAGAACCTCTTCTCACCTTTAACACTGTGCTTGCCCTTGGGTAGTTTAGTAATGTGGGAGGCTTTCTTCAGTTCATGCCTACAGAAAAAAAGGTCAAACAAACATTATCTTCACTTATTTCTTGGGCACAAGTAAAGGTGGTTGAACTGTCTTTTGATATCAAAAACAAAAATTGTCACTCACATGTTGCCAAGAGCAACCTCAGCCAGCAGCAGGAGTCCGACAGGGTCTGACTGGGAGGTGTGACAGTAGTTTGCACTCTTGGACACCATGTCTGCAAAGTACACACCTTTGCCGAACATGTAACCAGTCTAGAAAAAGAGGTAAAACAGCAGTAGAATCACCAACAGATAAAAACAGATCTACAGAAATCACAGAAGATACAGTCTTTGAGAGATTGAAGGTCTTACAACTTAAATTCATCAAAACATTTATACTCACCACTGGGGCTTCTGGAGGAGCAATGCGGAGACCCTGAGACAAAATACCAGCGTAGTTAGTGGTACGAGAGCCGTGCCACAGCAGCTGGCGATTGTGTAGCTCTTCGAAGGGACGATAACGTTGATGCTCTCCCTCTCGAACAATTTTGAAGATCTAAAGGAGGAGAGAAACCATATGACCAGGTGAGAAGGCGATTCTTGCTCAGTACCGGGGACACGTGAGCTGTCTTATGATAACATTTTTAACAAAGAAGAGGACTCACTTCTTGCACTTCCAGTGTGTAAGTGTTGTGCGTAGCAGCGTGGGTGTTCTTAACATATTGCATAATGATCTTAGCCTCATCAGTAGTCTTGTCAACAACCTGTTGAAAAACAAATATAAAGCATTTTGGAGCGAAAAGGGAGAAATTATTCCATGGAAACACTATGGAAACACAGAGAGACACCCCATACCTCAATCTTGGTTTTGAGTTTCTCATAGTTGATGTCGATGGGGTCGTTGTCATTGTCCTGAGCCCCTCCTCTCAGCAGGCTGTATGCCACTTCAATATCCAGCAGGTTGTCCAACATCTGCACTTTAGCCTGAGCAGAAATGTTTGTAGATGTTGAAGACAATTCATTCAACAATAGAAAACTAGAAAATATGGTATAAGGTATTCTTACTTGAATATAGTCCAGGTTGCTGAGCAGTGGGGGTTTCTTCATGCCGAAGTCGTGAGGTATCAGAGTGTAGAAGCGGTTGGAGAGATCGAGAATCTGAGCCTCGGGTAAACAATCTGATACAGCCTGTGATAAAAGGGGAGTCAGAGTTATTCAGACACAGAGGAAAAGTGATGTGGCTAATATCTGATCCACCAACATGTTTAGAAGAGCTGTATCACTCTATGATTACCAAATTGAAAGGAAGAAAGTGATGGTGGAGAGTATGTTTATGTGAACTGCCAGAGTCTTTCAAGAAAGCCACTCATGAGTCAGGAGGAAGGATTGTAGGTGACTGACCTGCTGTACTTCAGTGAGAAGAGCATATGCGCTTTGGATCTGCCTTTTACTCAGCTTTCCAAGGGGCATCTTCTGGAGGTCAATCTGAGGAGAGGAGAGAGTTTAAGAGACTCACAGAGGAACTAAGTACACACACACACACACACACTGGTTATCATATAAATTCTAATTTGCCTCCAGTATGCATCAAATTGAAGGGCACAATGCACTCTCTTCACAGCAAACACAATATTTAGATCTGCATTCCAACTTTCATGGCAAGACCTACCTCCACACTTTAACATTGTGCTACATATGGAAATTACACATGGAGCACAACAAAAAAAAAAATGTTGATATTTTGAGATAAAAGTTATTTATTATAAGAATAAATGTGTGCTGATGTGCTTAAAGTCTGAGTATTCAGTTATTTTGGAAAATACATTATCGTGTGTAACACAACAAGATGCTTCAAGTTCCTCTTATTACTCCTGACAGCTGGCTGCTCTTTAGATCTTCCCCTTGCCCTTTGTATATTTGTGTGTTTGTTCTTGAAACTTAATCCTTATCTTAGGGGCCTTTCACATCCAAAATCCCCTTAGAAGGTTTGGGCCAGGGACCAAATGTTTACATTGTTGCATTTTGCATTTGGTCCGGTTAGCGTTCACATGGGACTTCAGCTAAACGAACCAAATGGTTAAAAAAAAGAGGGAAAATCACTGGCTGTCACCCGCTCATCTTCATTGTCCCACAACGCACAGAAAGTAGCAGACCAGAGAGAACAATAAGCGTCTTTCTTTACACGACTCACCAGAGGTGGCAGAGACGTTGTTCAAGGAGACGTCAAGCATTAACGCAAAGGAATGCCTCGAACAAATTGTCAGCATGTTTGTTGAACAGAAGAACACCCAGGTACTTAATATCACCCCACTATTGTATTAGTACACAAACCCTCTGCCAGTCATCCAGTTTAACAGACTGTCCGGTGTTTTGACCGGCTGTTCTCCGTCTGCTGCAGCCCCCGGCCGGACATAACTTCCCGGCTTTATTACAGTGTAAATGTGTTATTGGATCATATTGACATCTAAAAAGTCCGGCTGCATCAGCGCTGCGTTCACACCAGCCGCAGACTGGACCATGGTTCGTTTGGAAGGGGACAGAGTCCTGCATTTTCAAGAGGACCATAGTCCGTTTGTTTGATGAAGACCAGGGTTTGCTTGCGCGTTCATACCCCCCAGACCAAAGGAGTAAGGGGACCATGGTCCTTTTGGAACGAACCAAACAGTCCTGGAATGAATGCGCCTTAAGTCTTATGCTAATAAAGCGGCCCTTACACTCTGTCATAGGAAACGTCTAAACTGAAAAAGTGCAAGAAGGGTTTGAATTTTCTTCCACGCTGCACTGATTCCCTGGCAAAAAAAGAAAGGGTTTTTGGGGAGATACTGTTTTTGCATGTTGAATGAAAAAAGGTTAAGACTTTAAAGAAGCTAATTCTCCAATTAAAAATATAATTTCTCATTGTTGGCAACTCAAGGATAGATGTCATAATTCTGCTTTACCCTCCTATGCAAAAAAAAGGGCAAGCATACACACAGATTTCACACTCAGAGCAATGCAACTTTACTATTGGTCATTTAAATCCAGGGGTAACTACACAAAACCCACGGTTTTACTTTCAACTGCATCAAGGAGCGGACGTGTGTGGTGTATACACTGTACACTACACACTCAAGCCTAAAAATTCATGAAGAACAGCAGCCACTGTGCACACAGCTGCGCCTTACCTCAAACTCCACCATGGCTTTCTTCATGCTCTCGACATCAAAGATGGTCTTGATCAGCTCCTGGACAGGTTTGGCTAACTTCGACTTGGTGCCAGCAGTGGCTGTCAGTCTCTTCACTGCTTCCTCATCCTGTTAAGAAATGTTGGATAAAAAGTAAAACTTTGATGCAGAAAAAAATACGATAAACTTTCCCCTTTTGTGCTCGTATTTGTGTGTGCTTACCTGTCCATAGTCGATCTCCAGAGGGTAGAACTTATTGGGATATTTGGTGAAGTTGGTTGTACCCCACTCGTTGCCCGTCTTCTCTTTGTAAACACTCAGAAAGTTGTCCAGAGCTGAGTTCTTGTCGTGAAACTTGTCCAGCTTGTTGCCTCCAATGGTGGTGCCCACTCTACCCCATGACCTGAACACCCAGTACCTGCACAGAAATAACATGATTAAAAAAAGAACATTCTCACAGACCATTTTCACTACAAAGAAAGGAGATGAGATACTGCTGGTGCATTGATACCTACCGTTTCTGTACGTCATCCTCCAGCAGCTGCAGCTTGTAGTAGGAGTTCGTTCCTCTGACGATGTCCACAAGACCCAGTGTGGCGCTATACATCTTTCCACTCTGCTCCAGGACATGAGCACTATTCTCCAGACCTAAGGAAAAAGACACAAGCCAACATTGAAAGAGAAAAATCTAAGGCCAGGAAGGAGGAAGAGATGTTTTTTATACAAGGGGTCTAACAACTACCTGAATCAGGATCCACAGCAGCTCCCCCTTTGACCGTCAGTTTCATCTTCTTGCTTTTGCTGCCGCCTGTTTTAGCACAAATGTGAAAGTTTATAACTACTGCACACACACACACATAAAGCACAGGAGTCCATGCTTTAACACAAGACCCTGTTCTCAATTTTTTAGTAAAAGCAGAAAACCACCCTTTACCTTCCTCCTCCTTCACCTTTCCTGTGCTTTTAGTCGCCATTGCTCCAGACTTGGAGGCCGCAGACGGAGCCGGGGCCTCCACTTTGACCTCTGCACCCCAGGGTGAGATGGCATGCAGGGAGACCAGCTCCTGGAGGGCTTTACCGGACGACTTGATGTCTGTGAGGAAATCCTCAGAGACCACCCGCACTCCGGCATCCCTCGCTTCTTCCATTTTCTTGCACATCTTCTCCACCTCCTCTGTAATAATGGAACATGCAAAATAAAGAAACCATTGATGAGTTTATGGCTAATTAATCAACCCAATGACACAAAGATTTGATAGGTCACTCACTCTTGGTGCTGAGGCAGAGGGAGGCCTTACTGGCCGTGCCTGTGATCTTTCCTCCCAGCTCCTCTACGGCTGCCTTTAACTCATCTTTGTTCTTGACCAGCTTACCCACAGCCAAAAACTTCATCCCAGTGAGAGGTTTGTCTATGAGACAAAGTTGCAAATAAATACAAAAAAAACATAAAAATCACACTATGCTTTTGGAATGTTTTGTTTTTGGTACTAAAATCCCACTTGCTGCAGCAGTTTTATGTTGTCTTCTGTTTGTTGAAACTGTCTTTTTAGATGGTTAAATATTCAAGTAACTCTTGAGTTTTGATGTTTTCCTTCGGCCTCTTTCACTCACCTGCAGGTGCGCCTTCTGGCAGTCTCTCCAACGGTGGTCGGGATGCACTAGCCAGAGGTTCAGCTTTGGCTGCTGTAAGAGTTTGGGAGGGAGCTTCTTTCGGGTAAAATCTGTCCTGACGCTTAAACTTGAACTTTTTCAAGAAAGGGAGTTCATGGAATTCCTGAAACCATGGTGGTGCAATAAAAACAAAAAAGAGGACATTATATTTATAGTTTAGATACAGTTAAGTAAGTAAACAACACCAGCAGATATCTGAATTTTATACCTCATCTCAGTCACTAACTAGAAGAAAATCTGTTCATGAATCTGTTCTGAATCCTGCCCACAGGATACAGGATGTACTGCTATACCAGATATAAAGAACCACAGGGGGTCCAGAAATGAGGTGACCTACCTTGGGAATGACCCAGTCTCTGCGTACAGGTGTTGCGGTTTTGAAAACACACTTTGTCCATGCTGAGATGTCCCCTGTGCAGTAATAAGCGTCACCCTTGAACACCAGCTGACCCATGCACTCCTTGCAGGCCTCCAGGGCGCCAAAAGCCATTCCATCGGCCAGGCAGTCCACCACCTATGGGTATACCGACACATTTACTGCATCATGGTGCAACAACAGCATCGCCAAAAGTTTTTGTATTTGATCTACCTTTACATGTACTAGTTCAATTTTTGACAACTTTGCAGATCTTTGCAAGATGGGTTATTCACACTGATAGAAATAAACCATCAATGTAAATAGTCATAGTCATTTTATTGCTTTGATCTTACTTCGCTGGTAACAACATCAGATTTTCATATCGCGCTTTATCAGAGCCCCTCAAAGTGCTTTACATTGGATACATCATTCATTCGCTCACACAGTCACACATTGGTGATGGTAAACTACCTTAGTAGTCACAGCTGCCCTGGGGCAGACTGACGGAAACGTGGCTGCCATTTTGCGCCTACGGCCTCTCCGACCACCACCACACAACACTCACAATCATACACCAGTGGAGGACACACACTGGGAGCAAGGTGGGTTAAGTGTCTTGCCCAAGGACACAACGGACCGACTAGGGATAGGGGGGAATCGAACCGCCAACCTTCCAGTTATTGGACGACCACTCTACCCCCTGAGCTACTGCTGCCACATGGTCTACATTTCATTATCTGTAAGGCTAGTTATAAACAAATAGTTATAAACACTCATAAATGATCATAATGCTTTATAGAAACAATCATAACACATTATAAAGCATTTCATCATAATTTACAAGGTCAGGTATTATAATGTGTTATAACTGTTAAAAAATCACTGACAATGCCCACATAGATAATGCATCATACATATATTTATGATGTGTTACAATATGCTTTTAAACCTGCATAACTATCATTATAAACATTCATTAATTATCACAAGGCTTTATAACAATAATCACAACACATTATAATAGCTGAACTTGTAAGTCATGATAAAACGCTTTTAAAGTGTTATGATTATTGCTATAAAGCACTGATCATTTATGAGTGTTTATAACTATAGTTATACAGTGCTATAACATGATTATAACGCATTCTACATATAGTTATAATGCGTTATAGAGATAGGCGTCAAGTAAAGAGTTGCCAAAATTCCACGATCTACAGTGACAGATAATATGAAGAGATTCAAAGAATCAGAAGAAACCTGTGTACAAAAGCACAAGCTGGAAAAACAACAATACGGGACATTCCTCAGGCAGCACTATATTAAAAAACATGCTTGTCTTTTAAGTGGAAATCACTGTATAGGCTTTAAATGACTTCCAGAAACCATTATATCTGAACACATTTTGCCAGTGCAATTATAAATGTCTGTTTAAGCTGCACCAAGCAAAGAGGTTGCCATATATAAACATGATCTAGAAACCGCTCTGGGCTTTTTTATTGCTTGTAAATATGGAGCTTAAATGATTTGCAAAGAATCATTTAGTTTTAATTAACAGTTTACACCGGGTCTGGGTCCAGACTTCTTGGTAATTCAGGTTGTAAATCTCTTACCCAATTAACCAAGATGATATCATTTAAACAAGAGAGGTCAACATCTATGTTTACAGCAAAAGTCATAAAAAGACTGGGAGGACTGTTTTCATGGCTGTTCTTTGGGAATAAATCAAAGTAAATATTTACATTAGACTCTCCAGAGGGGACCTCCTGGCTGTTTGCGATCAGCAGCTCCTTCATATCGTTGATCGAACAAAACTTCTTCAGTTTGTCTTTAATTCCCCAGATCAGCTGGCTTTGGTTCTACAGAAACACAAAAGACAATTCAACTTGTTGAAAACATGTATTATCAAAAACAAGGTGAGATCAACTCTTAAATAAAGGGAAACGATACCTTTAACTGCTCCTCCAGCTTCTTCTTTTCATCTTCTTCCTCCTTCTTCTGTTTCTTTGACACTCCATCCACCTCATCAGCTTTACGCTTTCTGAAAAAAGTAGAACGAAGTTTGAAATCCACATTTGGTTTTCAAACTTTTGTTTTTCTTAATAATTCAGTGTTAATTAGACACGAGAAGAGGAAACCTTTCAATGAGCTTTTCAAATGAGGCCGAGAGGGAATTCCTCGGAAATGACACCTGCGCTCATTAGGCTGTTTTATTAGAGTCCCATCAGTTTGTGGACACAACAAACACTGCATGCACGGACATGTCTCCATGGTCCCAGGTGTGGACTTTGATATCACTCATTCTGTCCTGATAAGAAATAATTATTTTCCTTCCTATGAGACCCACACCAGTGCATGTTTCTGTTAATGACCCATCCAGCAGCAGCAGCAGCAGCTTTTTATTCTACACACTAAAGAATGAGAAAAACATCCGCTGGCTTGTCAATGTCTTCCTCTCCACCTAGTCTGGTATCTGGTGGTCTTCAACCGCAAGTTATCAATTGTCACCAACTTCAGCTTGTTAGCAGTGGCAGTGGAGCGATATATTGCAATCTTCATGCTCCTCCACTACCAGGTCCTGATGACACAGTGCAACGCTGTGCTGGTGATCCTTGCCACACAAAAACAATTTAAACTGTCCATCTTCATCTCACCCTCTAATTCTGATCAGATGTAGTCTCTTCATTAGTTCTCTTCACAGTATGTTTAAACCCTTTGGCTATGGAGTACCTAAAATTTTCATCACACAACTCATACAAACGAAAAACATCAACCTCTCTTCTTCCACTCACCCTTCAGTTTTGACTGCAGGGAGTCTCTTCTTCAGCTCCTCTTTGTCTTCTGCCCGCAGTGCATTGAAGCCCTTCAGCTGGGCGGCGCTGTACTCGGGTTTGAAGACGAGCTGCTCTCTGCGGCTGACGAAACATGCCGTGTGGTACCAGCGGTCGATCAGACCCAGCTGAGGCTTCTCAGGGTCGACAGTTTTCTTGGAAACACGGATCTGATCCTAAAAATGACCCCGGTGGATGACAGTCTCAGTAACAAGCATCGATCTTTATTCATATAGCTCCATTTCACAAGTGTTATCCAAAGACACTCGTAAAAACACATCTGATCAAACCTGGATGACAATTCAGGCACCATAAACAAACGGATAGTATTAACTAAACTTATTATTGTTGCTGTGTTACAATAACAGTCTCAGGAGGCTGCTTACCTTTTCAATTTTCTGCTCACAGCCTTTACATGTGCTGCGATTCGACTTTGCGTATTCAACTGCAAAGTCATTCAATGTCTTCTCTCCCTTAGCACCGCCCTTTTGTTCCCCTTTTCCTGAAAGTAAAAATCAAGAACTTGAATAAATTCTACAAAAAAACATAAGAAATGTGTAGATACTTTTATAAAACCAAGGGCATAGTTTAATTCAATTAAAAGTGCTGAATCGCCTGCACTATTCAAGGGATAAATTGTTCAAACTTTTTCCCACCGCAGATCCTGGTTGTCTGAGGTGCAGCTTTGTGCCTGCCACAACAGGACATATGTTTTGATCATGCACATCCCTCAATGACTACTGGAGACAGCTATTCGACATATTCACCAAAATTTGTGGTCAGACTAAAACACCTGACTATCACGCAGCCATTTTCAGCGTAACGTCTCCAGGCTGCAAAGTCTGGAGGTGCGAGCCGACTCATACTTTTTAGCTGGAAAGCAAGCTCAGCCCCTTCATTGCTACAATGGTTAAGGGATGTTCTATCTTTTCTACCTTTAGAGAAATTGAGATTTAAAATATGTAAAACCCACAGACACTTCACCCTTACCTAGAGTCCCTTTATAGAATTTGTAGAAGGTTTTCCCTCTCAATGATGCATCTAAAGTTGTATTGGATAGTTAAAACCATTTTATAACATCCTAAAAAGATTAATTTTCTGAACATATGAGAAGAGGTCACTGTCTGACTATTTTTGTTTTTGTATTTTTCTGTTTATTTTAGTTTTTCATTTTTGGAGGAGGTGGTCTATGTTTGGAAGTTGAATGTCTGTTAGTGAAAAACTGCAAAATAAAGTCTAAAATAAATAAATAAATAAATAAAGAAAAACATGGGCAGTCACCGCGTGTATCAAAAATGTGTCCAAATTTTTACAGTGTTTAGTTATGCTTTTCTTGATTTTTGATCGTTTTGTTTCCCTCTTATGTTATTTCCCCAATTAGATTTTTTAAGATGTCAGACTGAACCTTATTCCATGCTGTGTGTAAAAAATATGATGTTTTAACCAGGGAGGGAGAAAAGCTAGAGGTCTAGTCCTTACCTCCTGTTGCTCCACCACTTTCGATAGCCTTTTTGACCTTCTCTTGGTCCGCCCAGCGGAGGTCAGAAAACCCAGCTATGTCTCCAGTGGACTGGGCTGATGCTCGTTGCCAGAAGCAGGAGAAGTGGTGCCAGTGGGGAACCTTCCCATCAAACATGGGGGACTGATGGCAAAAGGATAAAAGAAATGGTGTTCAACTTGTATGGCATGTTTACAGAGGCTGCTGGTGGGTAACAATCCTTTAAGGTGAGGCCTTAAGGGTGAGGCTGTGGAAATCATATCCAACTATAAATATCTTGGCACTGTGATCAACAATAGGCTAAAATTCAAATGTAATACCGAAGTGCTGTGCAAGAACGGCCAGCAACGACTTTTTTGTTTAAGAAAGCTTGCCAAATTTCAAATCGATAAGTCCCTGATGTCATTGTTTTAATCTGCTTTTATTTAATTGCTCATATCCTTTTGTATTATTTGTTGGTATGGCAACGGCAACCTGGGGACCAGAGAGAAAAATGCCCTGGACAGGATCGTCAAGGTGGCAAGTAAGATTGCAGGCGTGCAGTTCACTAGCCTGAATCATATTTTTAACAAGCAGGTTCTTAAAAAAGCTGTGTCCATTCGATCTCATAGTGACCATCCTCTCAGCTCAGAATACAATCTGTTACCCTCTGGCCATTGACTGCGAGTTCCTACAACCACAAAAAACAGGTATAACAATTCCTTCATCCCAGGCTCCATCAGAGCCCTAAATGATTCCTCCAGGAGAAGATAACTGTTTCTGATAGAATATGGTGTATATTACTATTATTATTATTATGGATCAAACGTCATCTATGGGTCCTATGTAAGTAAGCAAACCGCACATTGCACTTTGTTTCTGCATTTTTATCTGATCTTTTTTTTAATCTTTTATCTCATTTTTATCTTCATGCAAAAGTACAGGTATGACTCTTTTTTTTCTCTCTTTTATCTCATTTTCTTATTTCGACTTTCTATCCTTTTAGCCTTTGTTTTACTAATAATCTTTTCTTATTTTACCTTTTAGGTCCTTTATTGATTTTAATGTTTCTTCCTGCTCATTTTTGTTATTCCATTTTATCATTAATATTACCATCATTATTATTTTATTATGATTGTATTATCATTATTAATATCCTCTTTTATACTTACTATCCTGTTTCCTGCTCTCTGCCCCTCTTTTCTATTTCATTTCTTCTTCCTACCTATTTTATGTTTTTATTTTGGTCCTCATGGTCTCATTTTATGTTGTAGGGTTCCTGTATTGTCTGGGTTTCTTATGAAAAATGAAACTGGCCTTCAATTCGGAGGCCTTGTCTTTAACTGACCTTTTGTTTTCATTTGTTTTTTATTTTCATGTGCTGCAACTGTTGTCAAAGCACTTTGTAAACTTCTGTTTTTAAAAGTGCTTTATAAATAAAGTTACTATTATTATTATTATTACGACTGACATATGCTTTTCTTTTTACCGTCTAAATCATCTTTAATACTTTTTACCTCCTGAACTGTTTTTTATGTCAATGTATTTTATTTTATTTATTTATTTTTATGATGTATGGCAGTGTTTTAAATGTCTGTGCCGGCTGCAACCCCATTTGCCCATTTTTGGGACATAATAAAGTTGAAGTGAAGTGAAGTGAATACCACAAGTATAAAAATACAAAGATCCTAATTCAATATTTTGTACTATGGTTGTGGTAAGCGAGACAATAAACAGATTTTAAAAAATTATTTTTCAGTATTTCACATGGACCAGTCAAAAGCTATTTTAGGAGTACGTATGGGTTTCTCATCAGGCCATAACACAACGCTGTTAGTGTGTTAGTTTAATGCTAAACTTTAGTTTCTCTTTGAATGACACGACAATGCTTTATAAGACACGCCCACACATTTAACAGTCAAAATAAGCACTCAAGTATTCAGCTTATGCCCACGCTACAGGCTTGTTCAGATCCACGGGCCTTCTGAGTGAGCAGTGATCAGACATCTGGAGCAGCTTCAAATGCCATGAGTGGGTGAAAAAAAATATTCAGCAGCCTAATAGTCGATCAACTCTCTGTGGGGCTCAGACCAGACACCACACTGTGATGGTGGCCATGCTTTCATTATTCATTCTTTTATTTATACATGCTTACAACGATTTTTTAAAATAATTTCATGAGTTAAGATGTGAAATTGAGAGTCAATAAGACCCACATTGTGATAATGGGATGCATTACTGAGAGAAAGCGGCTCTTTGTGACACAGACGTCAGCCATTTAAATGCTAACGGGGGCCTAATGCAACACAACTGAATGCGAATTATTAAAGTATATTCTTATTGTCATATAACTTGAAAAGATGCTCTATATAAGCCGAATAAAGTCCCACACCTCGCAGAAATTCCGCTATATTACAGAGCTTGCTATTGAGGTCTAGGAAGACGTCGCTGTGTTACCTGCACCATGATGGCCATCCTCAGCGAGTCTTTAGCGATGTTTTCTTTACATTTTTTGCACGAAGCGCGGCCGCTTTTGGCATATTCTGCCGTATAAAGCTTTTCCTCTTGAGAGTCCGCCATATCTTTTCGGTGAATCTGCAAAACGAAGAAGCAAAAGCAGTGAAGCGAACTTTCTCCAGATGAACAGGATTTTCAACAATCCCAGCTCACAAGCAGAGAGCCGATGCCCGCGTGCGTACACGGCTACACAGAGAGACGGCACAAGCGAAGACGTCTCACTCTGTCACTGTTTACTGAAACTATAAAATCTCAGCAGAAATCAGATAAGCTTTTTTGAAAGCGGTCGTTATTAAAAAATAATTGATTGTCTGAGATTTGGGTTGGAACCATCGAAGCTTTTTTTGTCAAACAATCAAAACATACAACAAAAACCTAAAATACAATGACAATAGATAGATTAATCACTATTAAAATACAGCATATTTACAACAAAAAGATAAGATTTGCTGAAATTAATGGGCAAAAAATAGAGTATAGTATAATAATAGAGTGTAGTAGTCGAAATAGCAGGATTTTTCCGTATTTGTTTGCTCTACTATTGCAAAATTTTGATTTGTTGTAAGATTTTAAAGCTTTCACTTGTCATATTTGGGACATACAATTCAAGTTGATTAAAATTTACTTAAAGATATTTTATACTGAAACTGAACGCGCCAATTGTTTGATTCTACAATAGTTTTTCGGCGTCTCTCTCGCTTCACCTTCAAGACAAAGTAAAAGGTTTTTTTCCATCTACCGAGTGAGTCATCAAATTTAATAGACGATCAAGGGTCCGGCTGGAGAATACCCGCGCTTGGCGCAGTCTGAACTAATCAACTGAAGAGAAATCGTTCGAACCGGTGCACGCAATTAATAATAATAATAATAATAATAATAATAATAATAATAATAATAATAATAATAATAATAATAATAATAATAATAATAATAGATAGATAGATAGATAGATAGATAGATAGATAGATAAGGGAAAGAGAGAACAACATAAAATCAATTGAGATTAGACTGTATAAAAAGATTTGAATTGCATTTGGAAGAGAAGAAAAATAAATAAATACATACAGTCATGCCCAAAATTATTCAAACCCCTGGCAAATTTTGACCTAAAGTTACTGTTATTCAACCAGCAAGTTTTTTATTAATTGGAAATGACACTGGCAACTCCCAGAAGATAATAAGATGATGTACAAGAGGCATCATTGTGGAAAGAAATATTTCAAAGCTTTAATTTACAGTTGAACAAAAAGTGGCATGTCCAAAATTATTCATACCCTTTGCAAACTGTCACAGTCTATGGAAGAATCCAAAGTTCCATACCATTACAAATAGTCCAAGCTGTTCTAAAGCATCCTAATTACCCTGATTCATTGGGAACAGCTGTTTTAATCAACTCAACAGGTTAAAAACAGCTCTCTGCAGTTGGGTTTTGGACAGTCATGACTAAGACAAAGGAGCTCACTGAGGACCTGCGGCTGCGCATTGCGGCTGCTCACAAGTCAGGAAAGGGCTTTAAGGCCATAGCCAAATGTTTTCAAGTTCCAGTGGCTACTGTGCAAAGTGTTACTAAAAAATCCAAGACATTCTGCACTGTGGAAAATCTCAGAGGACGTGGTCAGAAGCCTAAAGTGACATCTGTGCTGGCCAGGAGGATAGTGAGAGAGGTGAAAAAGAATCCAAGGATCACCGCCAAGGCCATCGTGGTGAATCTGGGCTCTGCTGGTGGCAACAGCTCAAGGAAGACAGTCCAACAGACACTGCACACTGCTGGGTTCCACGGACGCAGACCAAAGAGGATGCCACTTCTCCAGATAAGGCACATAAAAGCCTGCTTGGCCTTTGCAAAAGCTCATCTGGACAAAAAAGAAGACTTCTGGTCTTCTGTTTTTGTGGTCAGATGAAACAAAAATTGACTTGTTTGGCCACAATGATGTAGCCCTCATTTGGCGTAAAAATGGAGAAGTCTTCAACCCTAAGAACACAATCCCCACTGTCAAACATGGTGGTGGGAACCTAATACTTTGGGGGTGTTTTTCAGCCAGTGGACCGGGGAACCTAATCACAGTAAATGGCAGCATGAAAAAAGAACAATACATCAGCCAGAGTCCTGATTTGAATCCCAATAGAGAATCTGGAGGGAGCTTAAGATCAGGGTGATGGCGAGGAGGCCCTTCAACCTGAAAGAGTTGGAGCTCATCGCTAAAGATGAATGGGCGAAAATACCAGTGGTGACATGCAAAAAGCTGGTCAGCAATTATAGGAAGCGCTTGATTGCTGTAATAGCCAATAAAGGCTTTTCTATTGATTATTGAGAAGGGTATGAATAATTTTGGACATGCCACTTTTCGTCCAAATGTAAATAAAAGCTTTGAAATGTTTCTTTCCACAATGATGCCTCTTGTACATCATCTTATTATCTTCTGGGAGATGTCTGTGTCAATTCCAATTAATAAAAAACTTGCTGATTAAATAAAAGTAACTTAAAGTCAAAATTTGCCAGGGGTATGAATAATTTTGGGCTTGACTGTACATACATACATAAAATGAAATACTGCCACTGTACCATGTCATACATTCAAAAAGTAATAATACAGCTACCGTTTGATATACAGGCCTAATTTGTACTACAACTCTTACAGCTGTAGGACTAATAGCGAATTGAAATTTGTCTGGAAAAGAAATAAGAAAAAACGTTGCAAAACATTGCAAACACAACTCACATGTTGTCAGTGCTGATTTTATTAGCAGAAAAGCCAGACTATCAAATATTTTGTACAAATTATGAAAAACAAGAATACACACAAAATTATTTTTGTTCAATAACAGTTTCACGAAGCTGTCAGTCACTTAATCTCCAGAGTGCCAAATTAAAAAAGAAGAAACACAGAAGGACCAGAGGTACAGTCAAGATTCAAATATACAAATCTTAGTTTTTCATTTGTTTTCTGGCACACATCGATCACAGTTCACCGTATTTCTTTTCTGTGATGTACATATGTGTATTAGTTAATTTGCCCAATAACTTTACAAAGTCATCATCATGTCTCATAGAGAGGTATGTCAATCAGTCAAAGCAATGAACACACATTATTGTTTTCAAAAATGGTGACAAAATGCACCTGACCTAACTTAATTCTTATAATAACATCATAATATCACAGGAACGCCACCCTCTGTATCTCTTTGGCCGAAAGAGAATATTGAGACCTCAGCTTTAAGTCTGCTTGTGCATGGAAAAGTACACATGGTTATGAAACAGAGGTGACAGTTACGCTGCGCTGTGGAAAAGTGAATTGGTTCTGAGTGATCCACATGTTCAGAAAGAACACAATAAACAGTGACACTGACATGTAAGCTGCCAGGCGTGCCATCGCTGAGAAAGAAGGTACAATTTGACACCAAAATAAAATCTTTTTGTAAAAGATTTCACTTAGCTGAATGACGTTTATGAAGAAAGAAATATGGTGAGAAAACTGCCACTATAGCAAATATGTTGAACTCCTTTATCTCTCCAGTATCTCACTAAAATGATGTGCAGCTTGCAGTACAAAACATAAAAAAAAAAACATGTGAATATTTTAAGCAAACAGAGAGACAAAAATGGAGTCTGTGTTGTGTAGGCCTATGTTGGCCTATGTGAGGTTGAGCTGGTTGTATTGAGGTATTCTTGGTTCTGTGTTTTGGCTTAGGTCTGAGGATTTGCTAGAGGATTATCTCAGCAAAAAAAGGAAAAGGTCATGCTGGTGTGTTAGTTTTTGTATAAAATTAACGGAACACAGAGGTTTTACAGTGTAGATATGGCAATTAGATACAGAACTCAGTGTAGTGAAGTGCTTACTGTATAAAAAGTCAGCTGAACATTCTGGACACGGATGAGTTCCTGAGGTATGAATTTAGCACATCATAACCAGAAACCTTCTAGTTTTGATGACAAAATGCAGAAGGGGAACCATTAAGGGAAAAAACAGCCACACAGTATTTCTGTTAGTGCAGCAAAGCTACTTCTTGGAAAGTACAGAGTATGTGTCCTCCTCTACGTGTTATCATGTGACCTTAAATGTCCATGTCTTCAGCACTGCGGGGTGCAAGGAGTCAGGCTGAAACCCCCGTTGGTCTCTCTCAACTTCTCCTTGTTCCTAGCCTGAACCAGACTGAATACAATCCCTGCTAGTGTCATGCGTCCTCCTGCCCGCCCCCCTGTGCGGCCATCTGTCCCCACATTGGCCCTCTTGCTGCGCATGGTGCTGATGAAGTAGGTGCGGACTTTGCCCTGACGCTCGCTCACCTGTAACAAGAGCAGGAGTCAAAGAGGTGCTGTAATTCTTTTCCAAGATAAATTATTATCACTACTTTTCTCCATGCTTCATGCACCCAAGACCGCACTAACCAGTGCATTTATCATTTCTTTTAACCACCAGATGTCGCTGTTAGACCTTTTTGTTCAGTTCTTGTTGGCATCTACAACTGAGCAGTTCAGATGTTGTTTTCGCTGCGACTATGTCTGTTTAAAACTGTCTGTTCCTTTTGTTGTTGCCTCAAATGCTTAATTAAGAACAATTTACAACACAAGATGAATCATTGTAGGCTTACTAGGATACCGTACACTGGACGAAGGACAGATCAATGTTGTTTCTCAGGACAAATGTCCAGCATTTCTACTGTGATCTCTCAGAGAAAAGCCAATTAGTTCTAAAATTGAATATAAATCTTAAATGAAATTTTGTAGTTAAGCCTTTTTCTTAATCAAAAGTCATTATATAAGGCACAATTTACACCTGTGCTGATCTTACTGAAACAGGCCAAAATGTCTTCCGTAAAGGTACAGATGCAGCTAAACTTCAGACTGAGACTGGAGACAGAGGAGTGACCCAAATAAAATTATTTCCTCTTCTCATTCAATTTAAATAATAAAAGTTTAAAATAAAACAAATGAAGTATTTCAGGACTAATAAGGCTTTATAATACAGAAATATTGACTTTCTGGAAACTTATGCTCATCGATTAAATCAAAGACACACTATGACCACCATCACAAAGTCAACAAGCAGTATTCGTGTTCTTCCTTCGTTTGCTCACCCCTTTGACAAAGATTTCTCCTCGTAACTCTAAGACAAATCCCCACTCTGCCAGGATCTTGCGTGTGGCCTCGGGTACCTGGATACGCCCACTCACTCCTGTGCTGTCCATGCGGCTGGCCAGATTCACAGTTGAGCCCCAGATGTCGTACTGCGGCTTTGTAGCACCAATCACACCTGCCACTACGGGGCCATGGGCGATACCTGTTACAAAAAACACAGGAGATTACACCAACACAATAAAAATTATTTATATATAATATGAGATAAATGCTTAAAGAAAGATTCAGATTTTTCTCAACAGCCTTATTTGTATGTGTGCGTTTGTGTGTGTGTGTTAAAGGGCTTCCACTTACCCACACGCAGCTGAAAGTTTTTGGCAGACAGCCTGTTAATCTCTCTAAGGGTCTCTTGCATTGCCAAAGCAAACAAAACTAGCTCACTCAGGTGATTCCATTCATCCATAGATGCCTGAGAGGAAGAGACAGGAGCAAAGATTGATGAAAGATAGTAAAAGACGGGAGGGAAAGTGGAAGAGAGCAGGGCAAATGCAGTCAAAACACAGTAACAGCTGAATGTGCAGTATAGGATTTCCCACCTGTCTGTCTGGAGCTAAGCCAGAGGCAGCCATGTAGCAGCTCCCGATGGTCTTTATCTTCTCCACAAAGTGGAAGTATGACTCCTCCAACAACTGGGCAGGAGAAAGAGTTATGGATCAAAATCTGATATTTCTTTCAGATAGTACAGCAGGGGATAAAAGGGATAAAAACTACATATAACATCACAAAATCAGGTTTTTTGAAGAGGATGAATCAGTTTTCATCATTTCATCTTTTATTCAAACTCTATTATCTATAAAAGAGCAAAAAATAATAATAATAAGCCAGATCTAATGTAGGGAAAAGACTTTAATTTTCAGCCCACCTCATCAAAGCCAGCGATAATCTCATTCAGCAACCGGAGACAGTCCACGCCCTCATGATTGATCTCTTTCTGCTCGAAGTACTCATTAAATCCAGTGATGGAGGCAAACATAACACCAACTTCATCATAGGACTGAGAGTACAGCTCCTGAAATAAAAGGAACATAAAAACACTCTTTGTTTTACCAGTTTTACAACTATTTGAATGACTTTTTGCATGTGAATATGGGGCTAGCTGTTCTCAGAGTTTAGTAGTAGTCAGGTAACAGGTAAAAAATTGTATAAATGTGTGAAGGCTTTGGTAAATGACTATCTGAATGTCCAATTAAACCCCTTAAAACATGTGGTTGCGAGAGACCCCATAAAATGTTTTCAGCCCAAAAATTTTGAACTACATTTTCTAAATCATGATACAAGAACCAGTAACAAACCATATATATTCATTTTCCTGAAGGGCCAATTAGCTTTTTTTTTTTTTTTTCACAAAACTGAGCTTCACCTCATTCTGTATTTCTGTGTTTCACTAATAAAAACAATAAAAAGTCAAATATCTTGAGGAAATAAAGTGCAGTAAGATGTTGGCCAGATTCAAGGTCATGTTTCTTTTTACCTCATCGTTCTTGCTCCGGTCCAGAAAATGTTGAGCTACATGTTGAGGTAGGATATTGTGTAAGAGACACTCATTATGTTCCCGCAACTCCCTCATGTCTTCCACCTCCTGCTGGGCCTGCAGACGCCACAGGAAGTCCAGTCTGGCAGTGGCCTCCCACTGGAGAGTAAGAAACAGGTCACAGATGAATGCCACACATGGTCTTTGGTCTCAGGAATGCTGGTTCAATAAATTCTGTGGTCATGATATAAATTGATAACACTAAAATAAAAGTTAAATAAAGGGCTGTAAAATAAAAATAAAAATAAAACTTCTATACCTGCCGTCCACTGTAGAAGACAGCAACAATAAACATGACCATAAGAAGGATGGAAATTCCTTTTCTCCTGACATAGTGAGACCTGTGCAACAAAAAATGAGAGAAACAAAAAATGGCAAAAAAGCAACAATTTATAGCTAGAAAAACAGGCAAGTGCACCAGGATGCTCATATACTGGCAAACACCAGCAGCAAAATAGATAGATATAACCATACATGTACACTATGTGGCCATAGGAAGGGCTGGTACTGACCCATGCAACATATCATGACGCATGAGTAAGAGGAATGCTAGATGGATGAGGTAGGAGTAAACAGCCACAGCCAGCAGCAACACAGCGAGCTTCAGCAGAGAGTTCAGACGCAGGAAAACGGCACAGGTCACCATGGCAATCACTCCGCTTAATACGAACAACTGAGGAGAGAAGAATGATAGATTTTTCTTATTGCCTCTAAGGGTAAATGAACATATTTAAACAGGTCTGAATCCTTACCTCGGGGTGAGTGCAGAGGGTGAGGGGATGTGTAGCTGTGCTAGTTCTGTCTGTTAAATCAGCCTCTTTTGTGTCTGAGAGGATGCACCACACCTGGACACAACAAAATAAAAATCACCTACAATCCTACGTACAATCAACACGCTGAAAGAACAAGTAAAACAACTAATCAGACAAAATTCTTTCACAAATGTCAGAAAAAACTCTACAGCTTTCCAGCTCATTATTTCAAAGAGCACATTGAAGAAAATCTGCCAAAAAGGACTTCAATCCTGTGCTGTTTAGATGCTCACCACGTCAGTGGAAACTAAGCCAAAGTTGATGAAGATGGCAGTGAGGGTGAGGAGGTTGCGGGCACTGTTGTTTTCATGGATCCAGCAGCAGAATTGCTGCAGCGCCGCTGGAGCCCATTTGAACTCCTCAGCCAGGGCCACCAACAGCAGCAGCATGTAAGCAAGCAGGAAAACGGAAAACTGGAGGACGGCTGGAAACAGTCTGCAGAGGGAAAACAAACAGAGGAGGATAAAAAGAGTGAAAGGAAAAATATGCCCTGGAGGGAGTGTAAAATTAGGGTGAGGGGTCCTCTTAAAGCTGCTGTGAGAAAGTTTAGGTTTGTGTCTATTTTGGTGCCCCCAGTGGACAAAGCAGGAAATAACTATCTTTTTACCGATCTTGTCTTGTACATCTTGAGTAATGTCTCCTGATGAACAGTCTTATTCATCTTCATCCTAAATATCTAAGTAATGAGGATGAGCTACAGCATCAGTCCTGCAAACTTTGTAGTGACAGTAAAGCTAACGTGAAAAAAATTCAGGTAGGATATAATGATGCATTTAGAATCTTTCATATACAAACAAGATGATCCAGTGCAAGTGTTATGTTTGCTTCTGGTGATGTTCTATACATTCCATGCAGTCCTGAAAAATTTTATGAATACATTCATGTGTCAGTTCACTGATTTAGACAACAAAATCAAAAGAGAGCTCACTTAGTGGTGACACAAGGTATTTCTGTTGTTTTTAGAAACATTTGAACAAATATCTTTTTTGTGTTTTAATCACTGTCAATGTTTGAACTACAGATGTTTTTATCTTTGTTTTTGGCTGTCCCCATGTTATATTTACATATTTTCTATTTCATATACATTTTTTTCAATGCTGACATAGAACCATGAGTTTGCAATAAGTATCATTATCCCTGGACATGCAAATCACGTGGATCTCTGTTGCGGAAATTTATTTAAGAGGCGGTTGCAGCAATGTGGCATCAATTACCACCACCCCACCTCCTTCACCGAAGGCTATGGGCATATGAAATAGCTTTTAGAAATGATCAGTTCTTTCTCTGATGGTCTCTTTTACTTTTTTATGTCATACAGAGGAATCCCTTTTAATTTCAGTCTATTTCATCTCCATTTTAAAACTCACCACAGGAGCTTTAGAAAACAGTCTATTCTGCTGTACTATTACGTTTTCTTAGTAGTGAGTTGTTAATGTCAGATTTAATTTCAATTCAGGTTCTAAAATTATTTAATTGTTACCATTTGATGCTGTGTAAGAGAATTAGCTTACTGCTATTATACACCTGCAGTCAGTTACAGTTTTGGTCAGGTATTTCTTAAAGCTTGTTTTACCTACTTTACATTATCCCATTTAAATTAATACCCTGTAAAAAATAAACTAGGTCTAATAATAAACCTGTGTCTGGTGAAGCTGATGGTGTTGTACTACCTTGGTGCAGGGATGAGGGCCTGGGTAGCCATGAGGAAGAGGAGCATGATGAAGGAGCAGACGACATTGGAGTTGAACATTTCATCTCTCATCTGGGAGAACTGAGGCGACCAAACAACATAAAAAAGAAAATAAAACCACTCCAAATCACTTACTGTGGGCTGTGAAGTTTCCGTCAACTCTAAGATTGTGTGAACTTGTTTACCTTGCCCTCAATGTGCGTGTCTTTGAACACCAGAGTCAGAGGGGTGATGTGCTCCCTGTGCATACGGTCACTGCTCTGGACCTCAATGGCTTGTTGAATTCGTCTGTTGATCTCCTTGGAGGTAGACTGCCAAATGTTGGGCAGTGAACCATTTGTAAATGAGGCCAGGATCTACAATTAGTAAAAATGGTCTGAAATAGAACAAGTTTGTACAGCTGGACGCAATCTTTTGAGGTTAAAATGTCTCTTATATATTTTTAGAAGCATTCCACTTACACTGTTCATATCGATGGCGTGTCCAAATGGGAATTCTTGGTTCCAGGTTCTATTTGTTTTGAGGACTTTCCGGGGCTCAGCATGGTCAGCCTTGTCTTTTTCTGCCTGAGGACAGATGAGGTATGTGTCGATGTTGTGCTTATTCAGAAACTCATTCCTGTCACGCCCACGACCAGCTTCTGTCTTGTAGGTGCCTTCTAGACAGTCCAGGGTCGCCCTTGAGATATGGATACGTCTGAGTAAGAAAGAACAGAAGCAAAGAAAATGTGATGATTGATAACAAATAAATGCTCTAAGCCTGGCAGAGTGAGTAGGTAGGTAGACAAATACAGTAGCACCCTATAACTGGCTGAGCTATGCCCAAGAAAGCTTTAAGACTGCCAAGTATCTTCTGGTGTAGAAAACCAAAGGTTCGGTTTAAATGGTTTTAAATGGATTTCACTGTAAGAAAAAGATATTGTTGCTCTGTACCGAGTAAATGCACCGTATAGTAGGCTATAAATGAACCTGTCCTCCTTAGCCCTTATTCCAATTTGTCACAACAACTTTGTTTTAGGAAAATAAATTTGATTTCCTTTTTCTTTTCCTTTTCTTTTTAAATGTGCAACACAATACAGTGAAAATAGACATAACACTACAAGACAGTGGGATTTAACATCAACAGTTCAATGACCAGGACAAACAGATACGAGCGACACTTTTGGTGATCAGGCGTGTGTGTGTGTGTGTGTGTGTGTGTGTGTGTGTGTGTGTGTTATCACGATTATAGACATGATTACGACAGGGTAGGCTGTAACAATAACAAAGTAGTGAGTAAAAGGTGGAAGAATAACAAAAAACATAGATAAACACAATAATAATGATAATATTGAACATGCTAAATATTTAAGTCATAATAAATAATAATAATAGTAAATAGAAAAAATGTATATTACACAATATTGAATGATTGATTGATTGATTGATTGATTGATTGGCTCTCAGACGAAAAAAAAAAGGTTGGATGGAAACTAAGATGTTAGGAAATCATTGAAAGAGGACCACTTTCATAAATTTGATTTCTAAATTTATTTGACTGCGCATGAATAAGAATTATACGCCTCCAGCTACTTTTGTTGTGCAAAACAAAGCCAAAGTACAGCAAGGGGTACTGATAATGTATTTGAGAGCCATGCATTAGTGATCCAGCAGATGGAGCCAGGGTTGACATCACACTCCATCTTCTAATTATACATAGAATCTAATGTAGAGTTAGCGAATAAGAAGTCTTACGTCTTAGTATTTAAACATGATACTCTATGTTAAGATTACACTGCTGGTTCTGAGCAGCAGCAGAGACCACTCACCCTGGTATGCCCCCGGCTTCCAGCATGTTGGCAATGCCCACGTCCCAGGACCAGACATCAAACTGCCATTTCTGCAGACCCAGCACCCCACACAGCACAGAGCCTGAGTGGATCCCAATCCTCATGTCCATGTCAAAGTTCAGCTGCTGACGCACAAGTCTGGAGTTGGGGAGTAGTGAAATGAAAATGTTGGACTAGTATGTGACAGCTTCTATTATTGTTCCTCTTATTCAGTGAGATTTGATGGTTTGAGTCAGAAGTCAGGAAAACAACCGTATTTGTATTGTATTTTGCAGCCTTTGCGCTAGGGCTGGGCGATATGGCCACAAATCAATATCATGATATATTAAGCGGTTCACCTCGATAACAATGAATGGACGATAACTACTCCACAAGCTGCTCACCCCCTCCCACATTAACTTCGTCTACTTCAGACGCTACAACTTTTGAACCGTCCTCCATCTCCTCACCTGTCTTTCCCTCTTTGGTTAGACTGGATGGGGTGGAGCCACATCTCCAAGTAGGACAGCATCTTAAAGGGACATGAGACCATAGCCTACCTACACATATCCAAAACCAAATTCTATCTATTTATTTATTTGACACCAAAATTACGTCGGTTATTGTCAGAAATTTCGGTATAGGTAAATTTTCGGCTCATCGCCCAGCCCTACTTTGTACACACTCTTGATGCAAAGGTAGTGAAATAAATTCATCATTGTTTTGCATGGTAATTCTCTCCAGCCCTCTAATCAGTTCGAACTTACTTTATGGTACTGATCATAGCCAGGCCCAGCTCAACACAGTGGCGGGCATGTGCACGCTGTGGCTCCGGGACTCCTGACACACAGTAGTAACAGTCTCCCAGAATCTTTATCCGCATGCAGTTGTGCTCCTGTTATTTCAAAACACCATAGCAGAAAGACTTTGATCCTCTGGTGTACAGAATTGTATAGTATAATAGATATTTTTGCAAATCAAAAATCAAAATAGCTCAAAGGGGCTCCTATTTCCAACCTCTGCAAGCCGGTCAAAACGTCCAAAGAGCTCATTGAGTGTTCGGACTAAATCCTGAGCTGATAGGTTCATGGACAACAAGGTGAATCCCTTTATGTCTGCAAAAAGGATGCTACAAAAAAAGAGAGAGAATTCAAAACAACATGAGCTAAGCTGATTGTAAAGAGTTAACATTTGCAAAGGATGACATCAAGTCCCAAAAAATCCTGGGCAAGACAAATAAAGACAAATGCATCGAAAAGGTATCACTCAAGTCCTCAGATGTAAGCCCAGTGAACATTTATTCTCTAGCACAATGTAAATGTTTGTGTGTGTACCTGACATCTTTGTACTGGTGGATATAGATCTTGTGAAACTCGTGATGAATCATTTCATCTTCCATAGAGCTCATGTCAGCAATCATCTCCAAGGCAACAAAGCGAGGCAGGATTGACAGCACCAGGCGCTCCTATGTATGAAACGAATTTGGTTTCGTAATTTGGTTTATCCTCGTCCCCAGCTGTCTACTAAGGGTTTTTCACAGCAGCCATTTTACCTGTCTTTGGTTCTCTTGCTCTAGCTTGACGCGACCCTCAATGCAGCGCCGCGTCTCAAGGAAAACTTGCCTCTGGGCATAGTCTGTGAGGTAATGGATGAATAAGCCAGCTGTGTTCATACCGAGGTACAGCAGGCCTTTGGCAAACACCTGCATTCAACAGAAAACGTGTATTCAGACAATTCATTTCAACCAGGGTAGGCTAATTTGCAAAGGCTGGGAGTAGGATGATTAATAGGAAAAAAGTCTTCCTTAAATTAATTGTGAGGTAGATACTTGTATGATTTCTAAGACTTCTGATTTATGTAAAAATTGCAAGTATATTAGAGATCTGTTGCGATTATTCAACACAAAGCAGGGGCTAGTAATCTAATGGCTCAGTAAGAGTTCCAGGTTATCATCAAACTTTGCTCTTTATGCTCAATGTTGACACTGAAAAAATTATGACATGACGGTTTAAGATCTTACATTCATGTGGACTGATTCAAAGAAAAACTGATTTTAAAAAGTGTTGAAAAGGTTAGAGGCTCAAAAGAGCTTGGAATGTGAGTGTTTCACATTGATGAAATTTCTCCTTTTTGTTTAATTTCCATTGCATTGGTGTTAAATCATGATGTGATTTGAAACTAAACGCTTCTGTGTTCACTTAAACACCTGTTGAAAGCCACAGACTCACCGCAGTCTTTGTGGTGTCACTGACTGGTTTCAGTAGCAGAGCTACAAAGCTCAACGACGGTGGTCATCGGATTGGAAATGCTGACTCAACCTGATTTTAAATCGACCTACCATGAGAGCTGTGGCAGACTGTAAGCTTCTTAGTTCAAAGCTTCTGTGTTCTTGTCCATAAGTCCAATCAGCTGTGCTCCTAATTATTCAAAACTCATTACCTTAATATCTTCAAAACTATTGGCTTATACAAACATTCACCCCTTGTAAAACTTGTGTGGCTAGAAGCATGAGCGATTCAGGCAAATTTTTTTTTTTTTTAAGTTAAGTTTTTTTATGTGTATGAAATAGACTGAAGTTCTGATTGATGCCCTTTCATGATACCTGAAACCAAACAAGACTACCAAGGGAAAGACTCAATTTCAACACAACAAATTCGCAATGAATGATATATTTAACTGCTTATATTCAGCAAGATAAGTCACTGCTTACACTTTTAAAGGACAAGACAGGTACGGAGGCGCTAAAATTGACATGTTTATTCTTGTTGTAAAGATGAGCTTTTAGTAATGGATGTAAATGTGTTCTCTTGGGCTTATGGAGCCGGCCTCACACACAGAGAATTGCAGTTTTTGGCACTGCTACATTGGCTTTGTTTTTCAGAGAGGTTGTCTCTTGGGAAAATTGCAGAAGTTTTCTTCATGTACTATACTTGTACATGAAGCCGTCATGATGTATTTGTAATTTAATGAGTAATTTTTTTCAGTTAAATAAAGTGACATTTTTGGCACAGTAACCAAGCTGTAGTGACTTGTTTTCATGTCAGTACTGTCTATAGCAGGGGTGGGCAATCATGTGCCATGGAGGGCCGAGAGGCTGCAGGTTTTCTTTCCAACCCAAAACTCCACCAGGTGATTTCACTGATTAGTCCCTGCTCTCTGCTTGGAGGTAAGGTAATTAGTGAAATCACCTGGTGGAGTTTTGGGTTGGAAAGAAAACCTGCAGCCTCTCAGCCCTCCATGGCACATGATTGCCCACCCTTGGTCTGTAGAGTGTAAAGTCAATATTTTGATCAAGTTAGATGACCTGCCCACAGAGGTAAACCAGGTCTAACCACTTCTTGCAGTAAACATGAGCACAAATATTATGTGCTGCACTGTTTGTGTTTTGATAAATTTTGTGAATAAACTATTCTGTGGTGTTAAGCTAATAAATGCTTTACATTAAAGTGACACAGAAAGCTGAAGAGTCTTGCATTTTACGATGTTATATCAATATTACTGATACTTTGATTGAATGATCATTAATCATCAGGCATTTTAGAGACAACACTATCTTTCAAGAAGCAATCAGCATATTTTCTTACCTTTCTCAAAAGCACTGGGTCATTGTAGTTGCGCGCAATCTCCACCATTAAGTGAAGTATGGAGGTCAGGGAGCCAGCGCACATGGCCCACAGTAGAGGTAATGGCAGCAGTGTGTATGTGGCAAACAGTGTGAACAGAACATACCATGATGGGTCTTTTTCCAGTCCATAAACCAGACCTCCAAGCACCTGTGTGGTCTGTGACAACCAGCAAGCCAAGCCAGCAAATTGAAGCCATCTTGGCGTCATGGAGTCTTTGCGAGTCAACACTATGATACACAGAGCTATAGCCAGCACCATGAAGACTCCTGTCAGGTAGCCACGCAGGGTGTCGGTACCTGCTTCAGGAGACAGACCCAGGTAGAGTACTAGAACATTCAGCTTGGCCACTGCATCTATTACATTTGTGATGGCCAGAGAGTTGCGTCTTTGTTGGGAGTAGTGTTGCTGGTAGAGTCTCTCCAGGTCCCGTGACTTGAAGGTGTGCCTCAGGGTGGGTATGTAGACTCCATGAACTGTGCGGCCCCAGTGAACAAAGAAGTCGGCATCGCTGACGTACTCATTGAAAGACGTTCTGACACTGTTGTGTGTACTGGTGGAGCCACGGGACTGGGATGAGTGGACCCTGAATGAGGAGGCGCGACGTTTTGTGCCCCCACGTGAGGCCTTGTTACGGATCTGTTTGTTGATCTCCTCCATGTACGCGTCTGTCACAAAGATCTTACGTGCCGGCTCCACACCCACCTAACAAAAATGACAGACAAATTTGTGTGTTTGAACTCTTGGCATTTCTCTGGACCCAGTTCTCCGTGAGAACAAGGTCTAGTTTTACATCTTTTAGGAGGGAGCTGTGGTTTTTCAATGGGAAAATGAGGGCAAACTGATTATGACCATTTAGAAAGTAGGTTCATATTTTACATGACCAACAAAACATGAAGTGATTTCATCACTCAACTCTGTCTTTCAGTCACTGATTTATATACAGTATATGTTGAGCCCTTTACTGAGGGTTAGTTCTCCATGAACAGTTGCACACTGAGGAAGATAGAGGCTATTCTAAAGAACATGGAGCATCCACTTCATAAAACCTTGATGGACAAACATAACAACAGTGGTAGATGGTTCCTCTCTCTTTGCTGCAGGACAGAGAGATTCAGAAGGTCTTTTGTACCCAATGCCATCAGACTTTATAATTCTTTGATAAACAGATGACATGAGACTCCAGACAAATGAATTTCCCTTTGGGAGTAAACAAAGTTCTTGTATTGAGTATAGATAGATGTTTTTTCTAATCTTTAAAGACTTGGTCCATATCTGTGCTTGGGTTCAAGACTTATTTCCCTAAGAAGGCAATGAAGTGCATCGTACCATAAAGGCTTGTATTATACATATTGTATGGCATGGTGTAATAGAAAGCAGATATCAAATATTTTGATCTTTTTTTCTGTTACTGTTCCTAAAGTAGGAAGATGACAAAAACACAGAACAATTTGGGGCCACATCTTGAGCCCATATCAACCTGGTTTTAAAGGCTTATGGAGCCAGCCTCAAGTATGAACTCAGAGAATTGCAGTTTTCGGCACCTCTGCATTGGCTTCATATTTCAGGGAGATTGTCTCTTGGGAAAATTGCAGTAGTTTTCATCATGTACTATACTTGTACATGAAGCTGTCATGATGTAACCTTTTCAATTTAACAAGCAATTTTTTTAGGTAAAGTGACATTTTTGGCACAGTAACCAAGCTGTAGTGAGTTGCTCAAGTGTCAGTACTGTCTATTTACAGTGTAAAGTTGATAGTTTATATTTTGACCAAGAAGGATAGATAAAGGCACAGCACAGTTACAGTTGTAACCAAAGTTGTTAATGACACATCAGCCCTAAACAGAAGACAGCATGGTATACTTAATTCCAAAAAGGGTTTGATACTCTGGATTATTATATTGGTTCCAATAGCAATGCACGCTATAGAGAGAGGAGTTAAAATAGGAAGCTGATTATTTAATATTCAACGGTAACAAAAGGTGTCCAACAAGGTCAGATTTAAGGGCCATTTTTATTTACTGTTTAAACTGTCCCCAAGATGTCAAACTGTTACGCTTATTTGTATGCTGATGACACCATGACTCATCTTACAGCACGATATGTACAATATTCTTCTAACAACCTGCAAGATGTCCTTCATGAACTCAGTCTTTGTCTATTGCAGACAAGAAAGCTGATGCTAATCTCCAAAGTGAAAGTAATTAACCAAACATGTCAATTGTTTCTACCAGCTGATGGTAGAAAAATTGAAATCCAATATTCAAATTGGCCAACTTCAGTCAATTTATATTGGTTATTTGTATCAAACGAAACAGTTTGTCTGGTGTTTTGGAGGAAGCTTTTACGCCCTTATGTACACCCCTGCAGCCTCTACAGCCGTCAAAACTCAACTCTGTTGTTCTACTTTGAGATTTATTCCCCATAGGGCTTGTGACATGTATTATTTTATCCAAATCTCTAAAGCTGTCACAGGAATATAACCTCCATACCTAAGACAACTTTTTTATTACTCAGATTGTCTTTATCGGACATGCTCCTCACACCAGAAACAGTAACTTGGTAAGACTACATTTTACTAATCTAAACGCAGACAACAAACTTTTTCCGTCCAGTGGAATGGTTTCATTTTTAACTTCTTAACCTCTCTTTGTAAATGCTTTTCATACAACATATCTGCTACTTAATCTTGGGTTTATTACCTGGGCGCTCAGCTCCCGCTGGATCATGATGTGTTTTACAGCATTCTTCCACAGCATCTTTTTCCGTCGCAGCCCTGGGGACAGGGCCGCTGTCATGCAGGGCGGCTCACAGAGCTCCATCGGGGAGACCTGTGTTGTCTCGGCAAAGGTCACCATGGTGATGACCTCTGCTGACCTCATCTGCTGGGGTCAGATCAGGAGGAGGACGAAGCTCGGAGACATTGCTGGGGGCAAAATGAGGTGGAAAAATGTTGGTTAGTGATGAGTTGGACTTATTTCAGGAGATAATGTTAGTGAGTGTTATGAACTTTTTTCAGTCAAAACTAGGGGTGGGAATCACTAGTGACCCCATGATACTATATTATCACGATACTTGGACCACGATATGATACTATTGCAATTTTTGACGTTTTGCAATACAGTGAGTACTGCTATACAATATATTCCAATTTATATATTTTTTTTAATGTTTAGCTAACTTAGCATTTGTCTTTCCTTTATGTTTGTCTTATTTACACTGTATTTATTATCATGGAGCACATCTTGCAAACCAAATATATATTTGTTGGACTAACTTTCTCCTGCTCTCTAATGTCACCTCTGCCAACCTAACTGGACAAAAAGTTGATTTTATTTTTCCATTATCATAGATTTGACTTCATATTAACAATCAATTAGTAAAAATCAATACTTGGTAAATGTGGCAGTAGTAAACATGAGATAATGTTTGATAACAACTGGTAGATATCTTTTTTTTGTTGTGAAGGACCTTTGTCAAGAAAAATCCAGATAATATAGCAGTGATGTTATGCTACTTATCTTAGTTTAAACTCATGTTAATAACATGGTGCTGGGGGTGTACTGGTGAACAACAAATGAATACTACATCCAAGAAATTTAAGTTTAAGTATTATTGGAGTATCTTTAAAAGCAGAAACAAGAAATGAAGGTTACTTATTCCCTACTTTCATCATTAACTTTGCCTCCCACTAGCCTCAAAACTGCGTACGTGAATAGGATGATGTTGAAATCTGATGCTTAAGGTTTTTTTTTTAATTAATAACTAATTTTGATCAAAATGCCTTTGTCTTGTAAACATTGGAGTCCTTTAATTCTGCTTGTAAAATATGTTTTTTGTGTCGTATTGTTTTTTGTTTTGCTAACCAAAATCGTCTGTACGTGACAGGGCCATTCACCCTCTAACAATATTATTAATATTTTCATATTTTTGCATCAACCTTTCAACTTCCATAATGTTTCAAACTACTGCAAAGTATACGCATTTTAAAGGAATAATTCTTAAACAACATTCATATTAGAAATTATAACAGATATGGATGGGACTGGTTGCCCTGCATACATTCAGCACGTTGGACAGAGCCACCTGCTAAGCTCCACGTGCTGTCACTGTGTGTGCCAGAGGGAAGGCAGCTTTCCAACAAATTATCTGGGGGACAGATTTAGACTTGAGCTGGTTAATGCGTTAAACTCCTCCAGGTCCTTCTGGCTATTGGTGCTGTAGACCAGCCCACTCACAGCCCCGAGTCACCAGTCTCATTCTGGCTAATATAATACGTCTCCACTGGGCACAGACTGTAAAACTAAGCTCTTCCTATCAGGTGCTTCACACTGGACTGGAGACAGCCTGTCAGAGTAAAGAATAGACAAATACATTGACATCGCAAAAAAGAGGAAAATCAGAGAAGAAAAGGCCATCAGCAGTGAAAGTAGTGTTAACATTAACCAAATACAACAGTATACTTCTGCTTGTGGTCTTCATCAAGATCAACTACAAGCATACTAGTCTGCTCAACAAGCAGTATGTGAAAACTGACCTGTATTGTCTCACATATTTTGTATCCTCTTCTCATGTCCAGCATGTGCCGTAGGACACACTCAGCTAGCCCCTCGTTATCCAGTTTTTCCATTGAACTGGAATCATATGCAAATCTGAGAATTGAGGCATAATCCATGAAAAGGGGAACCCATACTTGAAGTAGTCCCCCTGCTGTGGTAAAATATATAAAAATAAAGAGCGAAGGGTGGTAGAGATCCCAGCCAAGAGGCGTACAGTACTTCTGACTGGATTGTAGGTCATCACCACCTGTGCAGTTTCAAAATAAATTCAACTTCAGCTGTGAAGGAGCAGAGCTGTAGGAGTGAGGAGTGCAAAGAGGATTAGTTAGTCAGCAGCCACTCTCACTGGCTCACACAGCTGAGATCACTAACACAATAGTGAGACAAAAGCAATGCTATCAAATATTGGCAAACTGACCAAGTCTCAGGAGCAAGGCTGGATGAAATGCTTCACCCAAAGTTCACAGAACAACCAGTTAAAAAATTACAGTAAATAGTAATCAGTAATACATTTACACAGTAAATACATTTATTAAATGGTAAATGATACAAATTGCATGGTAAAAAACAGGTACTGCACACTAAATCCTGTAAAAGTGATGTGTATTCCACTGCAAAAAATGTATATTGTGCAATAAATAAGTGATATTGCACAGTAAAAATGTCGGTGGCACAGTAAATAATGAATATTACTTTGTGGAAAATGTATGTTGCATAGACAACAGCGTACAAAACACGATAGACTATATTTATGGACAGAAACAATGTCAATAATGTGCATCATACAGTAAATAATAGATGTTGCATAGTAGATGATGTCTGTGAAAAAATGTAAATTGCACAGTGAAGTATGTGAAATAATTGCAGAAAATGGCAAATGATTAAAGCAGATTGTGTGGATGCAGATAAAAAACAACAGTGTACATAATCTGTTCTGCACTGTCAATAACTTATATTACTTGTATAATAACATATATTGCATTGAGGATAATATACATTGCATAGAAACTAGCACATACTGCACTGCAGATAATGTGTAAGGTGCATATTGCATAAACAATAATGTATTTCATAAACATAAAAAACAAATTCTGCATTCTTTGTATTGCATTTTTATTTAATAATTTACACTGAAGGGTAAATAATGAATATTACACAGCAAACAGCTCACATTTCTGTGTAGGTAGTGTAAACTGCATGGTAAATAATCTATATTGCATGATGTATGATTGATATTGTCCAGCCACTATTGCAAGCAGTTTTGTTTATTTTTACAGTAAATACAAAATATTTAATTGTGGGTCATGAGTATTGCACAAAACAAACAAACAAACAAACAAACAAACAAAAAGAACACTGCATTGTATGATTTTGTTTATTTTTGGGTAAATTACTTCTATTGGTGAGTAGATAACATACTGTATATTGCATTGTGGTTAATGTATTGCATGATAAACATTTTTTAGCAAAGATGTTCATGCATATTCCATAGAATGATAATGTATATTGCACTACAAATGATTAGTATTACACTGTGAATTATGTTTATTGCTCAGATAAATATTATTCCTCAAAAAAAAAAAAAAAAGACTATCCTGCTGTTTAAAATTGCAAAGCTATGTCAGAGTGTCCTTAGGTTTAGGCTTCTTTAGGTTAGGCAAAGAATTAGACAGTGAAATTGTAGGAATTTTTAAGGACAAAAAATGTGTTAATTATCACAGATAAAATTTGCCCAAGTCTTAATGATGAAAAACACTTCCTAGTCTGAAAGTGTCAGCAGGTCTGCACTTTTAGGTTATAAGCTTACTTAGGGTTATGAGACATGCTTTGCTAATTGTGTTCAGGCAGAGCACAAGTCCTTAAAGCTGATCTAATGAGTTCCCATCTGTCCAACCGTGACTATGGCTCAAACCTTTCTTGCTGATTAGTGAGTATCTAAAAATAGAGCCCAGGTCTAAGGCAGTTAGATCTTCTATTACTGCCACTACATCAGTATAACTCTCCGACTCTTGGCATCTAATAAATCACATTTGAGAACATTTAATGAGATATCACTGTTCAAAGCAATAGGAGAGAATAAGTAAATAATTGTAACTAATCCTCACAGCCTTTTGGTTCATTATAAACAAATGACGTTAATGCTAATGTCAATAAACAAACGTCTGCTGGTCATATGCAATTAATTTTATTAAGTGTCTCTGTTCAAAAGGTGAACAGTTATCCACCTGAGGGATAAGTTAGGATGAATTACTTTGCTGTGGTCTGAACCCAGAAGCTAATTAGTTTTAAGGCACACTGCTTTGGTAGGTCACTAATCAGCTGATGCTTGTAGGCGCTTGAGCCAAAACCAGCCACAGAAGTGACCTAGTGGTCTTCGTGCTCATCAAACATTTAACGTATGGCAGACGCAGAGATCTATTTGTGTCTATAGTGTGTGTAGACTGCAGTGAGACAGCGAATGCATGCCAGCTTTTGTTGGCAGTTGATTAAAGCTGTTTAAAGTGAACACATGCACAGGTCAGTAAGGGCCAAGTGTGAGAAAGATGCTAATCATCAATAATTTTGTGCTAAAACGCTTAATCCTACCATTTTTTAATAACCAGCACACAAACTCAGAAAAAAAAGGATGTGTTCAGAAGATTTTCAAAACATCTTAAGATGTTGTAGCATCTTAAACAAGGATAATATTTGAGTTTTTGTGAAGTATTTTGACCCGGTGTATCGTGTGTCCAAGACCTCACAGCAGACCTATTGACATCATCAGCTTAACATAGCTAAGATGGTCTAATCCTACAAAAAAGGGCCCACTCTATCAGCCATCTGATACAGGCTGAACAGAAAACAAGACTCCAGCACGAGGCATCAGAGGTAGACATAAATAGTCCCATAAAAGACTGGGATTTACTGGCTTAATGTGGGCAAGAGACCCCTGGGAGTTAAAAGCTTTAGCAGGTTAATTGTTACACTTAGTGGCATCAACTTGAAAGTGAAAATGAGACATAAGTGACATGGCAGTTAAAGAAATTATCATTTTTCCCCTAAATGTACGTTTGAATATTTTGTTGCTATCAAAGCCTTTAGGTTTATTATCCTAGAGACTTGCTCACAGTTCTGCCTTACAGTCACATTGTCTCTTCTACCAGAGTTTCCCAACTCACTGCTGCCATCAGCTGGTGGAAACAAGGCTTGGCAAACACATGACACCTCGTCCACACGTGGGCTACTGAGTACTTTAGTAAAAGCATTACACAGTACATTAGCCTAGTGATAAATTTCCAAAACATTAATATGGCTTTATAGTATTAAAGTGTTATGTTTTTAATCTGTCTAAAGATTATATTGGATACAGAATAGATACAGCTTAATTTATCCTTTTGGGAAGGTTCCCTCAAGGAAATGAAAATAAATGGATTATAAATGTACATCTGGAAATAACAACACAAACAAGGATCTAGACAAGAAAGAAAAAAAAATAAGTAGGGGAGAGTGGGGTAAGATGAGCCATTTTTCATATTTCGGATCACTACATCAGGGCAATCATAGTTTTGTCTCTAACTAGTGTATCTGCATATATTTCAAGATGTTTAACATCCCTGCAAACCAACAGAATGAGTGTAAACATAACTGTCTTGATGATATAGCATGCCAAAAAAAGTGGTATCCTATGGTCAACTAACCCCGTGTACGAGGTAAGTTGACCATAGGAACAACAGTGTATTTTTATCTATTATATGCTATTAAACAGGTACAATAATTATTTTTATTATTACTGCATACAACTGCTAAAAAGCTGTTTTGTAAAAAGCCATTTTAACGTGAGAATGCCTTTAAGTGATTCAGAACATTCACAGCTGTATTTTTGAAAAGAAAAAGTAACACATTTCACCAATCTGAACTGAAACTCTGATCCTCTCATCAGACTTCTTTACTTTTTCACTTGAGCCACTGGCTTAACGTACCCCTGGCCAAATGGCTCAATTTACCCCAGAATTACTATTATGACTTAGTTAGTCCTCTAAGCTAAAATGGTGGACTTTTATGCTAGGTTTTTGAGCTCATGTTGTAGTTCATAGATACCACAATTGATGTATAAAACAAATTTAAAATGATCTTTTTTGGTCAGGACACAATTCTACACTAAAGTTACTTTCAAGAGTGAAAAATTTATTTATTTATTTTTTAGAAATAAATGTCTAACTGACTCCATGAATTGATGCCCATCTCCTAAATATTTCGTCACATGATCAATTTTTTTTTACCATTTCCAAGCAACAGGGGCAGGCTCAACTTACCCTTTGGCTCAACTTACCCCACTCTCCCCTAAGTGCTGCAAACAGATTCAAGTCGGATTGGACACATCCTTTAAGAGGTAGTGCGAACGGAGTAAAGGAGCAGTTTGGGTTTTTTTTTCACAGCAACACTGCAAGATCTTTGGAAACTAAAGTCTTAAGTATGACACATAATCTTAAAAAGTCCTGTTCGTTTATTACCATCTTGCTTATTTCACACAATGGTTGTCAATCAATAATAATCAATGGGAAATTCAGTAATGATGTTAGTAACAGAGACATCCATTGATTTCTTATGTGCACTTAACCTTTTTTCTACTCAACCATAAAAACCATTTAACCATTTTATGATCAAACATTTGCGTTTCAGTGTTCCCCTGTATATCTTACCTGGATTTGTTCAGCAAACATAATGCGGGTGTAAATCCATTACCGGGCGCCTGGACTCCATGTGCTCAGACATGACTAAAGCGTCTTCTGTCCAGTGTGGTTAGCTGTCAGATTTTCTGCTGGTGGCTGTAGGAACAACAACACTGAAAACACTAAGTACATGTGTGTTGGTCTATCAGAGGCGAACTTTGATCAAACTAACAGCCGCGAAAAGACTCTCATTCGTTCATTTAAAGGATATTTCTATTTAACGGGTTTTCCATCATGTTCACTTCGTGGTAAGTAAAAATGGGCGTTGACTACACTTTCATAGAGAGCACAGCCACTGATTTGTCGTTAAACAAACAGAAAGCTAGCTCACATTAGCACACTGTACTCAGCACCGGCAAGTGTTAATTCTGAAAAAGAACTAAGAAAGATTTGTTTTATCTTAAACTCCTAAGTGTATTTCTTTATCATATCGAAGTCAACCGAAAAGTTTTACGCCTCCAAAGCTAACACGAGAAGAAAAAGTTCATTGAAAACCTGTGGCAGCTAACATAGCTTCATATCAATTCACTTGCTACTCAGGACTTAAAATTTCTGTACGTATGAGAGTAATATGCTGTAACTTTATGTCATTTGGTTGACACTTACCACGTTACCCTTAAGACCGATTTATGACATATTTTCAATCAGGTTCAACGTGATTAAAAACCACAAATGTCCATTGGCTCGTTGGCTAATTTAGCATACTAACTTCCGCAGGCCCAACCCGATCCAGCGGTTTTCCTGATTCTCGAAGCCGCGGCACAGACTCATTATCAGGCACTCACCCGTCTTCCCGCCCGTTTGAGCCTGGAGGAACACCGCCACCTGGTGACAAGCACCTAACATGACAGGTAGGCAAAAACCAAACGGTTGTGCACCTGTTAATAACCCCGAGGACAAAGTTAAGACACTGGGAAATTTGAAACCACGAAAAATACATCAAAGTGGACTTCTGGAGCTGAAATTGTTTTGTATTCTGGCTTATCCGTATTCATAGTAACTCCTTAACTTTGAACGTGTAATATCAGTGTAACAGATGCACGTGTTTAAGTGTGTGATGTGCCTCTGAAGTGTTTTTGGCGTGAATTTGCGTTAAAAGTACTTACCAGACGTTTTTCCTGTGTTGGTATCTGCTGATGGCCACATTCTTTGAACCTCAAGCCCACTGACTGAATGTCTGTCCCATGGTGCCCCTCTCTCCCTGCCTCTCTCTACCCTCCTCTCTTTGGGTGGATAGTGAGGTCCATTGTGCTAGTGAGATGTTTATTAATGAGAGAGGCACAGACAGAGGGCAGAACTGCTATTGAAGGAATTATTGCTAATCTCTTGTTTAATGCCATCATTTGTGCTCATTCTAAGGTACAGTTATAGCCCCAAGATAGGTGCATGTTGGTCCTCTGTGAGAAGTCTGTGGATTTCTGAGTTTGTCTAAGTGTTTGACTTCCTCTTGGAATGTTGGGATGCTTACTTTTGGAAGTTTGTGAGAGAATTTTGAGAAACAAGCCAGAGGTCAAGTCTGCAGTCTGCAGTATTGGATACATATTTTTGTCTTCTATTGCAAGTTTTTTTTTTTTTGTGCGGTTGAAAACAGTATTTTGCTGTTGAGAGTTTGTTTGCCTGCCATGCCCTTGCCTGCGCCTGATGTCCCGGCCTCTCAGAGGCTGGCACTGGACTATCGTACCCTTCTGGACCATCGTGTTGGCAAGGGTAAGTGGCAACAACCTCTCTTCTGTTCTCGCAGTTGCCCTTTGCTCTTGTTTCTAAATTGCACATACAAAGAAAAAAATCTCACTACAGGTATGCTTTCTTCCCTACAAAAATATGGATCTTATCAGTTGGTGTTTTTGACTCACCCTGGGCTGCTTTTGTAAAAGAGACTCTATTATTCCTCATCAAAAGGACTTGGGCTGTGATTGTTACTTGACGCAGTTTGCTGCAGAATAGAGTTGATCGAGGTGACATGTCTTTAAGGACATTACATTGTTATATGCTGCTCTTTTTTGTTGACTGAGTCTTATGATCTTGCATTAGCAAAAGCCCTTTGATCAATTTGTCCATCTATCATGTGCATGTAGCTTCAGAGGGAGTATTGCCGACTACGCCAACAATCAGACTTCCTGGCATGAAAGAGTGAGAAACACAATGCATGATTGTTGATTGTTCAAAGTGATATCACACAGGGCCGCTGTTATTAAACTCAAAGAAAATACATGAATTCACGATGCTCAGGACTTTCTGCAAGAGGAGTTATATAAATACATCTACTCCAAGCAGCTGTGAAATTCAGCTAATTATAGCCTCATGCATTAAAAGTATGCAGCTCAAGGAGGAAAGATAAATGTCTGAATATGTGATTACAAGCATAAAGTGCTTGTAGTTGAAAATTTGTGAAAATTCGGAATAAAATTGCAATTATAAGCGGCTGACTCATCATGCAGTTTACATGTGTTAACCACAAATCTCTAGGTAGTCAATTTACTGAGCATCATGTTTTTGTCTTACATTTGTCACAGTCTTAGCTGAGTGGCTGCATCGCTAAAAGCATCAATGATTTAAAGTGATGTTGACATCCAGGACATAAACTCTGCCATCTGGTAAAAACAAGCCAGCATTAGGGGAAGATGTACTGAGAGTTTGCAGAATATTACCTCTTTAGTTTTGCATTTTTTTCATTGTTACAAATGTCAGCACCAGTACCATCAAATATTTTCTGCAATTTATCAGCATAAAAAAAGAAAGGAAAAAAAAAAAGCTTGAATATTTTATAAGGGATCCAGTCGGCGGTCTTGTGGTGGACAGTGCAAACAGAATGATTTCTTACCCTGATAATACAGGGGGGAAAGATGAGAATTTTTGTACTGGACTCAGAAATACAAGCAAATATAGAAGAAAGTTGCATAAGCATGGAAGGAAAAGCCGTCTGTAAGTAAAGCAGCAGGCATGAGAAGATTAATGATGGAGAGGAGGGAGAGAGTGATGCTGGCAGGGGGTGGAGAGAGAGGGAGAAGGGGAGATTGCGTGGGTGGGAGGTCTTCTCCCTTTCTATCCCAGTGGTGCACATTTCTGTCTCTTTCTCCCTTTGCTTCTTTTCTCCACAACTGAGAGAAACGATTAGAAGTGAGGCGGGTGTTGTTTGTGTGCACGGCTGCCTGCATGTGAAAGCTGCACTGCTCCCCTGAGAAGGAGCGCTGTTGCAGAAGACGAAGGGAAAATCCAAGGTCATCACGGCACGCTTCTCTCTGACGTTTCCCCTTCCTTTCTCAGCCCCTTTTTTTGCGCTCGTGTGTACATGCCTGTTAATGTGTGTGTGTCTGCACAGCAGTGAGCGTGTGTGTAATTCATCGCATCAAGCTAGGCTCTGCACCAATCAGGGTGCGCATTTTAGCTCCAAGCACACGTGCAGGCATCCATGCCAGAGTGAGTGGTGCATCTGTGTGTGAGTGTGTGTGTGTGTGTTGAGTGTGTTTTCAGTGCTCCTCAGCACAGCAGTGTGTCTGCATGAGCGGCTGGAGCTGCATTTAGGAAACAGAAGCGTCTGTAGTGAGGGACTCCAACGCCAGGAGCGATGTACGGTAAGAATAACAGTCACTCTTGTTTGTGCATTTGTGTGTGTATTTAGGCTGTGTAAGCATGCTAGTTATGTGAAGCATGTAACGTTCAGCCAGTTTTCCTGCATTCTGTAAACGCATTTGCTCTCAGCTCTTGTGTCAGAGACTCCTGCTGTCACTAGAGTGTTGTTCCTCCTAAAGGCACATCATGAGAACTTGGACTCTTACAAGGATATCTCTCTGTTCAATTTGATCTGCTAACAAAACGGAGCCGCTTGGTGGAGGATGTTTTTCTTTGGTAATTGATACTCTTATGGTCTAACACTTTGTAAACAGGTTGTTTCCTCTTGTTTAATTTGATATGTCAATACTGAAGAGCTGTCTGCACTTGTCACACATGTAGCTAACTGTCACGGGTGTAGCGAAGCTTATTGTTCAGATATCTAAACTTACTTTGAAAGGATGTTTGGCGTGCTTTATAAACATGTTGGTATTTCCTGTAACGGTGTTGGACGATGAAAAACACTCATGCTTTCATTGTCCTCTGTTCCTGTGACATTACTGGGACATGTTGATATATGATTCATTGATCAGTGCTAATTAAAAACCTAGCTATCTTTGCTTTGGGTTTGGGCTGTTGATGGAAAAATCTTTGGTGTGAGGGCTGATGTGTGTCAATACAGAGGCTTCCCGCTAGAAAATAAAGCTTGGCTCAACTTCCTCTTGAGGTTTCGGTAAGGAATTGGAGCTCTGGGCTTGAGTGCTTCATAACTCAGTTTCAGATTCGTGGTGTGCTGTGTTGGCCTGTCCTAAGAGTCTCTCAACACCTGGGTCTGTCCACTACTATGCTGACCACATGAAGCCAACAACTACACTAGATCGGATGTGTGCTTTGAATTTAAGATGTTACGTTGATAGATGGCTGAAAAAGTGTTTCTACAAGCTGTGATTGCGGTGTGTGTTTGTGAGTGAATTAGCTCAGGATACATTCTGATAGATAGGGCTCTTCATTGAAGAGAGAAGTGGGAGATAGATTGAAGACGTGCTTGTGTATATGGAACAAATTTGAACAGTTGTCACTATCCACAGGCCGCTGTGATGAAAATGTACATTTCTTCCTCTTTGTCACGCATTCCCTAATGCTATAAGCCTCTTCTCCATCATCCTCTCTTCTTCTCCTCCTCTTGTAGCTCAGTGAACAGCAGCTTCTATGAATATTGGTCGGCTGTTGAATCAGCCCTCCTCATAATTTATTATTTGCTCACACTCACCATGCCTTTTGTCATCCCCCCATGTTTGTATACCCTTCTGTGTGTGCTTGCATTTAAATGTGTGAATCAACTGTTTGAAGATGTTTCATCCCTCTTTGTTTGCTGATGTACACATAAATAGCAGGACTTGTCTACCCCCCCTCCCTTATGTAATGACACCCCTGAAGGACAACATGCTTTGTAACCACCATGAGAAGTGTTAAGTATTCAGTGCAGGTTTATCAGCACGTGTGTTTGCCTTTGTGTTTGTATGTTTGTGAACCCATGACCCCAGGTGAAGGTGAGGTCCTAATGTGTAATGACAGTTATGTCTGTAGACCACACCACACAAATCGACACTCACACTCATTCACATACAGATCCAGAGTGTATGTAATATTCTCCTTGCGGGGTGACAGGACTATATTTACTCTCTCTTGTCAGCCACGTGACTGTGGAGACAAGAGAGCAGCTTTTTGGATAGCAGGTGCAGATATGGCACTGCAAGATGCAGAGGACTACTTCTCACACATTTGTTGTTCTGTGTATATGTGTGTGTGTGTGTGTGTGTGTGTGTGTGTGTGTGTGTGTGTGTGTGTGTGTGTGTGTGTGTGTGTGTGTGTGTTTGTGTTTGTAATTAGTTAGACTTTTTCATTATATTATATAACATCTCATGTCTCTGCAGGACTTATTAATTTGTTTGGTTTGTTTTATGCTGTTGTCCAGTGCTAACCGAGGACTCCTATTAACACATGAGCATTTTGTGCAAGTGCGTGAAAACGTTTTTGACACTTAAATTTTAAAACATGTCTTTTAGGTTATGTTATCCCACTCATTTCGCTCACTTCAGTTTGCAGTATTTTCTTCCCCTCTTTGTTATTTCGCTCCGTGAACATGTAAATGTGAAGATGACATTAGGGGAGGGAGAATAGAGGGTGTGATCTGTCAATTGGGACTGTAATCGACCAAAGAAATTCTTGGTCGACTAAAAAAACCTGAATTTTTCGACCAAAGATCGACTAATCGGGGGAGTATTTTTCCGACTCTGACAGAAAACCCTTCTGCTACGGGGTACGACGCGGCTCGGAGGATCGCGGCTCGCCGGGGTGAAAATATACTGATATCAGCACAAGAAGGCAATTACACACGATGAAAGTTGAAAAGCTCGAAATAAAAACAAATATTCGACAAACCACCGGACGATGATTTAAGTGGACGTGCCTCAATATTCCTGTCTCCAGCCGGTCTCCAGCCGGTTGGGTGAATCCAAAATGGTGAAAACAAAGGGGGTGTTCGGAGACAGTTTGCTATCTGTGAAACGGGGGTGCTCTGAAGACACCCCCATTAGCTCTTGGTACGTTCCTCCTGATTAAATTAACCATAGACTGTAAATTGATGCGGAATTTTAGTCGACCCAGCACGTATCGACCAAGAAGTCGACCAGTCGACTAGGACTTTAGAGCCCTACTGTCAAAATATCAGACTGCTGTTACAAGGATGATGAAAGAGCATTTTTATTCAGGCTTTTGGCATTTAGTTTTGTAGTGTGTTGTTAAGCGCTTTGGGTATTTTGAAAGGCGCTATACAAATGTAAGATATTATTATTATTATTATTATTATTATTATTATTATTATTATTATTATTATTATTAAGGATTATGAAAGAGCATTTTGAGAAGCTGAGTTGTTTCTTAAGGTATGCACAAAGGTCACATATTTAGATAAATCCATGTAGGCAAGTAGGTGTAAGGTAACAACATTCAAACACTGAAACAACAGAAATCACAGAAGCCAAAGTTCCCTAACTCTAGTGTCCCCTGCCTCAAAGAGCTGCCTGCCTCCTCTTTAATGTCTACCAACAACCTGTAATTTGGTGTTCTCTGTTTTACGCTCATCTGTGAGTGCGCAAGCATACTGTGGGGGTTTATACATGTAGCTGTGGATGTGCTTGCTGTTCAGCCCCTTAATGTGTTGCCAGTTCGCCACATGCAGAGTGGGTGGAAGTCGTGAGACCCCCTATGTGTGCTTTTTCAACGCTGTCATCTGAATTCTTCTCGTACACCCACCTGGTGTCTCTCTGTTAGTTTTTTCACACTAACCCAAGATCCTCAATAGCAGAGACGCAGAGACACAAAACAGCTCTCTTATTGTTGAGGCAGCTGGAGGGACTTCCAACAGAAACATGCTATCACAACATATTTTGAAGTCTCATGCACACTGAAGGTAGAATAAGCCCTTTGACTTTAAAATATTGTAGGTTTTTAGTACCTCTCAAGTCTTTCCTAAAGTAGCACTCTTTCCTGTGTTGTGTTACTCCTCTTTCCAAAATATCTCTTCTGGTGACAGAGAGGACAGGACAGATTTGAGCTGGACAGAAAATGGAATAAGTAGCTTTAATCTGTGACTCACTCTGCATCACACAGTCCACCTCCCCCATCACACTTCCATCTCTGTCTCTTTTTCTTCTGCCGCCTGTGTCCCAATCACTTTTTTGTCCTCCACCCTTTTTCCTCTCCACACATGGGACCCGCTGCTGCATTTTCATTAATTCATTGGCGACTCCTACTCGCAGGGCCTGGGGCCAATACAGCAAGGTGGTGGAGGGAGGTTGTGTGGTGGAAGGAGGAAGGGGCGGATGGATGAAGAGAGGAAGGGTGAAGAAGAGATGCAGAGGTCTCATTAGTATTTGAAGTGATGGAGGGGTGGCACTATGTATAGACACACAGCTCTCAGAGATAAGCCGGGGCTCCAGCAGAGCTGCTGCAGATTTGAACAGCCTGGAAACAGACGGGTCTTTAAGTGGTTTAAACACTAAAGATGCCTTTCACTAAAAGGCTTTTCAAAGACATCCCGCATGGGCTCACTGCCCTTCTCCCAGGTGTAGCTCAATGATAGCATACAAAAAGGCTGTTGAATCAACCCAGAAGAGTGAGGTTGTTCAATACTCCTTCTTTGCACTTGTTTAAGAGTCCTTGGGTCGGAAAATGAGCCCCAAGAGCTTGCCTGACAGTGTATTGCATTTCATTGCCTTGGCGTAAAGACACCAGAAATACCTAAATAGTTTTTAAAGCCACATTGTCATCTATTCAGAGTACCTGCATAGAAAAGAGAATATGGTCTTTACTAACATTATGCATTTTCAAACCGGACATTTTTTGCGGCAACAAAAAAGGAGGGATGAGTGAGACAGAGTCAATGTAAACTGTGGAGCTGGTGGGGTGGGACAGCGCTGTGTGTGTGTAAAGCTCACGCTGTATATTTACAGGCCGTGGCTCTTGTGTTTCTGCAATGCCAGAACACATTTTTAAAATCTCTACGACTCTCACTTTATTTAAAAAAAAACAAAAAAACAATACCTAAACATAGTGAGCATAACATAATTGTATTCAAGAATATTTAGGTCTACATATAAGATATAAAAAGGTTTAAGATTATTGAAATCAAGCAACCAGGTTGCATTGCTGTTTATAGAAATAAAAATCTAGGGCTTTTCCACAAACAGATTTAAATAAAAGTATCGTTTTGTTTCATGCCTCTTATTTCATAAGGGTTCAATATGCTTTCAGCTATGTCTAGATTTTTTTTCAAGGTGACATGATGCACTTACGTTGCCACGTTAGAAGGAGAAGTAAGCGCAGTTTTGGTTTTGCGGAGCGGAAAAAATGAATAAGAGAGGGGCTTTTATTCTGCAGAGCTCCAGTAGCTCATTAGCACTTTGCCTCAGCGATAATTGCACTTTAACTAAAAACATGTTTTATCCGATTAATCGATGGAATATTCATTAGAATACTTGATTACTAAAATATTTGATAGCTGCAGCCCTATAAAAATCCAATGTTTTGTGTTTCAGAAAGTAACTATGAGGTGCAGATAGCCGAGCAGTTTAGGTGATACCCATGAATGCAGGCTGCCCAGGTTCGATTCCCCCCTGTGATGTCTTTCTTGCACGTCATTCCCCTCGCTCTCCCTTACATCCGGCTCTATTCATTGTCCTCCATCCATCAATGCCCAAAAGCCCCCCAAAACTCTTAAAGAAAAGAAAGTTATTTCCACAAACAGATTTTTAAAAAAGTATCGTTTTGTTTCATGCCTCTTATTTCATAAGGGTTCAATATGCTTTCAGCTATGTCTAGTATGTTTCCTCTGAGGGCCCACTTTATGCCAAGGAGAGCTCTGGAAAGGAATTGCTCACCGGCATGCTCCTTGTGAACAATAAACATTCAAGGTTTATTAATCATTTGCAATTGTGCCGTAAATAGTTTTGTTGAAAACAAATTCAGTCTTTGAAAAAAAAAAAAAAAGTTTTATTTTTATTTTTAACAAAACTGCATAAGAAACTTCTGCTTCCACAACTTATCCTTCATCTTCTGAAAGTTGATTGAATTTTTTAAAGTTTTGGACAGATATTGTTCTGGTTTTTAGTAGATGTGAAAATAACTACTTAATCATGAGAGATGTTGAATGATGAACTGATCATGGAAATTTTAAGATGCAGTCTTGTTTGGGATCTTGTGGTAGAAGACTTGTTTTTCCCTTTCTCTGTAGTGGCCTTTCTTGTATGATTGTATAGTTACCATTAGGGCTGGGCGATAAACCCAAAATTTACCAATACTGAAATTTACGACAATAACCAACGTCATATTTTGTCAAAATATTCGGTGTCGAAAAAATAAAAGTTGGTAGGCTATGGTCTCATGTCCCTTTAAGACGCAACTCGGAGACGTGACTCCACCCCATCCAGTCCGTACCAAAGAGGGAAAGAAAGGTGAGGAGATGGAGGACGGTTCAAAAGTTGGAGTAGCTGGAGCAGCGGCTGAAGTAGACAAAGTCGATGTGGGAGGGGGTGAGCAGCTTGTGGAGTAGTTATCGTCCATTTATCGTTATCGAGGTGAACTGATTGATTTGAGGCCATATCGCCCAGCCCTAGTTACCATGCCTTTAATCATGTGGGAGCCAAGTGCATGCATGTGAAACTTGTTTAAGAGTCTAGCAAAGCGGTGTTGGTACCCATCTCTTTTTTTGAATCAGACATGAGGCAGCTGATTGCTTGGGAACATGAAGTTTGTAATTAGATTTTGGGACATGTAATACATCTTGACAGCTGGTTTGGGTATTCCAGCTCTCTGTGGGATGTTTGGTGTCTCACAGTGTGAACTGTGCTAATCACTCATCTTCTTGCTGCTTGTGTTGGTTTGTGAAAGAGTTCGTTCATATTTGTGGCCACCCAAACAACACCTATCTTTTTGAATGCACCAGAGTCAAGGGAGAATCTACAGTATGCTGGATATCGTATATGAGAGGCGGTGAAAGGCAGTTTAGCAGGCAGCAAAAAAAAAAGAAAAAAAGCTGCAATCTGTATAACAGTGGACTGAAATGATAATTAATGAAACATTTTTCCTCAGGATAATGGAGGGAAGGAAAAATGACATTAGGAGGGAGGAAAGGGAAGAAAGCTGTTCTTTTGGAGATGGCGCTGCTTTTGTGTACTGTTTGTTTGAGTGTCATGCCATTGCATTCTTCACTGAACCTGAGTGCACAGCTGATGGCATGTTGACCCACTTAATCCACGAGCTTTTGTACCCCCTAAATGCACCAGAGTCAAGGGAGCTTGTTTTGACTGAGCAGGAAGAAGATAATTGTTACGCTGACCTGTATAATGGGTTAAAAGATTAATTCGTGATTCTGGGGGGTTATCCCTTCTTTTCCCATTTTTCCGTCTAATTCTTCCAAGTTCCTCTTATGACTCACCACTGCTGAAATCCTTGAACCAATCAGAATCCAGCTCTCTCCCTCTCTCTCTCTCTCTTTCTCTCTCTCTCTGGTGCCCAGTCTACTCAAAGCAAAGTCAGAAAAATCACTGTCAGTGTGCTGCGGCTTTATCTCCTCAAGGCTATCCTGCTTGTAATGACAGAGACAATGTGTCTGCATATTAATCACTCGATCTGGGTTGTTTTGACTGCAATGGTCATGTGACAGTATATATTTGTATATGTCCTCCACAGACATATCCGCACAGATACACCTTTTCTAAGTCAAGCTTGTCTTTTTGTAACCAGTGGTTTGGGGCAATTGAGTATCAATGCTGGTGATTTTCATTCAGCTTTTGGCAACTTTTTTCTGCTGCTCTTTATTTGAGGCAGCTTTGTGTGTGCCTGCTATGATACAATGAAGGATTTTTATTGTGCTTGTCTTTTGTTTTAATTGAAGGCAGCCCACGAGGACATTTCCTGCCTTTAGATATATTACCCAGTTGCTTTTACCTGTCACAGCCAGCTAAATTTCCAAGTGCCCAATAAAATTAACAATGTGTTTAATGATTTTTACGTGTTCTTCGACTTAAATCATGCCCAGAGTTCGGTCTGACAAGGCTCTTGTCAATACCTGCTCAGCCACTAATATTTTATGTGTCAATGAGCGGTTTGTTAAAATGCTGTTACAACTAGACAGTCTTTCTTTGCTACTACTTTAACCTCGATTATCGCTCAGACAGTATTTGCTGAGAAAGTGGTAAAGAGAGAGGGATGTAGAAACAATAAAAATAGAGCAATGACAAACATCAAATGATATTAACTCACAGCTACAATGCCAATAAAAAGATGGAAATATACCTGATATTTACAACTACAGTATATTCAAAGATAATACATGTGTGACTGTTAGTAAGAGATGTAATAGTCACAGCATAGATATGTATTCAAGGCATAGACTGTATATACTATGGACAACTTGGTTCTGCCTAAAGTTTGTCCACAGCTCCATAGGGATTGCTGGAGGAGGTGGGATTTATGACCTATACTGCAGCCCGTCACCAGAGGGTGCTGTTCTCGCGGTGGCTTTACCCAGCGAGGAGGCAGACGGCGTCTATTCTATATACAGTCCATGATTTAAAGTGTTAGGAGCTATGATAATAAAATACCGGTTTGAGTCTTACTGTGGATCATACGTGTTCAAATGAAGGAATCAGTGCAAAAATCTTCATCAAGTGCTATAAACATGTCCTGAGTATGAAGATATCAGGTGGGGGATGCCACAAGTCCTTGTCTGTTTCAGTCCATCTTATTACCAGGGAAAATGAACAAATGTTGTTATACATAACATTTACAAAGCACCTGTACATGCAGCAGACATAATGAGAACTGGATAAGCAGATCACATTTTCAAAACTAATAAAAGTAATAACAAAATAAAAGTAATGATCAACACTATAACAGTAACAATACTACTACTACTACTACTAATAATAATAATAATAATAATAATGAACACATTCTGTGACCACTTTGACCAGTATCTCTATATTAGACATTTCTGTAACAGTTGTTATTTGTTAGTGGAGTTTCAAATTTTTTTATTGAATAAACTTGTAATTCTATTTTCTATGTATACTGTGTGCATCATCAGACCAAGACACATTTACCATCTCTGCATTCCTCGTACTAACTCTGACATTTTCATTTCTTACTGCTATTTTTACATTAAAATGTTTTTTTTTTTCATGTGCACAGAATCACTCGCAACAACAAGAAACGCAAAATGTTGTGTCTTGCTTTGGTATGGACATATTTTATTGACCAGTTTTCATGTTTCTGTTTTGTTTCTCTCTCTCTCCTGTCATCTGTAGGGGTTTGTGGTTGTTGCGGGGCACTCAGGCCCCGGTACAAGAGGCTGGTGGACAACATCTTCCCAGAAGACCCAGAGGTGAGAAACTTGACACCCTGTTTCCTGTCTGAATTTGAAAGCTGTTATTGCTAATGCATTAGTTCGATAAAGGGTGAGGCTGTTGTGATAGAGAAATGAGGTATGGTCTCGATAAAAAACGAGTGCACTCATTATAAAAACTCTGAAAAAGGGGAAAACCATAAGCTGGACACCCTCCATTTGTGGTCCATGTAAATGTAACTATGAGCACTCTATGTGCCAAAAACCAGAGCCGGGCAGTGAGAGTAAAACTCTGAAAACATGTTTTCTTTCTTCATATTCAAGCTAATGGTATCGATCCACAGAACTCCTCTTTGCTTCTGTTTTTAATGAGATCTGCTTCAGATGATTCACAAAGAGAATGAATTTGGGCTGAGGACATTGAGCTCAAACTTGTGTCTCTGTGATGCTGCAGTAACCCACTTTACCTGTCAGATCTATGGCCAGTATTGCAAAAGGTAGGACAAACTAGTACACATAGACCTCATTTCCACGCTTAGGGTGTGCGTTTGTGTTGGAGCAACTGCTTGTTGTGCTCTCAGAAACGGTTTCTATGTTTGGCTTCAAGCCTCTCTGGACGAAACTGTAACCGAGGATGTCCCAGAAGCTGAGGAGTGATGAAGCCACCTGATACCCTTTACTCTGAATAGTGTGTTCTTGGCGGGAGTGTGTGTGAATGTGTACATTCAGTGTGTCGCAGAGCTGTTCTCAGGCAAGTGGTGCGTCAGTGCTTAACCATATACTTGCCTCCACATACCTCCACAGGAGTTTCACTTTAAGTTAATCAGCAGGGAATAAACTTATAAAAATCCTCATGTTTTTCTTCACCCCAGAGAAGCCAACTCTGTGGGTCTATAGTGCTACAAGGTTATTTACCTAAATGAACGAAAAACACAAATTAGCTTTTTATTGGAGGAGTGTTGTTGTGTAGTCAGCTGCCATATTCTGTTTGAGGGATCCATAATGGATTCTGGCCACAAGATGTTTTAGAGCAGCAGGCTAGAGCAGCAGGCTAGAGCAGCAGGCCAGAGCAGCGCTGCCAGCCTGTGCTGACTGCTGACATAACCCAATAAAAGAAGAATAAGCTGTTTTCAAACAGCAGACACAGCAGCAATTTCTAACCTTAAATGTTATAGTAAAACAGAAACTGAATCATCTGGAACTGAATATGAAAATGAATATCATGTTAATTAACCCGAGTGCAGCTGGAAATATCAAAATATCTGTTAAATTAGAGAGTTGAAGCTATGGTCAGGGACACAGGCAGACTTCAAAACTAACTTAAACAAGGTGACCAGTATTGCTGCTTGCAGTAAAAGAGATGTGAAGCTGTTATTGAAAACACAGATAGACCCAAGCATTTGAAGTTTGATTTCAAAGTTACAGACCCTGTGTTAGCCAAAATTAAATGCCATTAAAGGTCTGTCTGTTCTGCCTCTAGCTGTTCTCCAGCCACTGTTGAAATGTAACTGTTGGTTTAAAGACCCACTCCGATGAAAATCATGTTTTTCTTGTTGTCTACATGTTTATATGGGATTTTTCTGATGCCACAGGAAATATCATAAGAAAAGTAAGTGCAAAATTGCATTTCTGAGTTTTTCTACATTCAATTCACTGTGAACCTCTCACAGACCCAAACAGCAGGTTCAGATACAGTGAGATTTCCTACGCATGAAATCCAAGCTCTGCCCCTGGAGCCCCTCTATGCAAGCCAGGCTCCGAGAAGTAGAGAGGATGATCGTGGAACAAGCGGTGCATTAGCAGATTGCAATACTTGTAAGAAAGCTAATTACGAAAATAACTTTCATGATGTCTCCAAAGACATTTGTTTCTGAGAGCTGAATAGCTCCTATGTTACCTACTACTTCTGCTCCACTGCCAATTTTAGGCTACAAGCTAGCATGAAGAAGAGTGTGCAGAGCAGGTCTGTCACCGCCCACGACTCAGAGGCAAATTGCTAATGATCTACTGGAGGTTTGCAGAAGTCCTTCAAATTGACACAGGTAACAAGATTTTGGCTAAAAACTTCATAATCACAATTTGAAGACCACTAAGAACACTTTAAGTGGTTAAAAAATAAATGATCAGAAAGGGACTTGAACCAAGAGGTTGAATATTGCTATGAGGAACTTTACAATTTCTGCCCTTCCAGTTGAAATAAGTATGAAAGACAAAAACTACAAATAACTCTAGATGAGCAAAAAGACGAGAGGAAGATGCACTTTTTATTTAGAAAAGGTAATGATAACAGCCTTGTGAGGGCTGAAGCCGATACAATACCAATTATGTCAAAAGGCCATTAACCGAGCAGTGAATTAGTCAGTCACTATTGCCAACTGTAGGCATCATGCAGCTGTGCACATATAAACATCCAAGTGTTCCCTCGCTAGGGTAAACTGAGTAAGTCTAAAATGAACAACAATACAGAGCACAAGAAAAAAGTAGATTCTATCAGACATTTCTACCTGTAAGATGTTTTGACTGTCAGGACTGAAGGAATCCTCTCATGATTCCAACCAAAGTTATCTGACAAACTGTAAGACAGATCATATCGAAGACTGTATCTCAGATAGTACTTGTATAAAGGTTATCAGCACTTCCGTGTATTAGTTGCCATTGACCCAAAACTTTTAAAAGAGTGAAACTCTCTGTAACATTTACCCTAAAAAATAATCCGTCTCATGAAATAGATAAAAGGTTTCAGTGTTGCTTTGTTGCTCCAACATCAAGGCCGGTCGTGTCTAAAATTGGACTGTTTTGACTGGTTATATTTGGAAAGCTGGTGTGATTTTTGAGGCTGGATCTCTTTGTAAATAATGAATGATCCTTTCCTGAGTATCACAGTTGATATTTTTAGAGTCATTCTGTCCTGTGAAGCTATGTGCAGGGTTCACAGAGTTCATTCTGCCTGTCCTCAACTCTCCACCACCTTACTGTCCAACCAAAAAGTTAACAGTGTTGGCCCTGTCGGAATGCTTTCTGGACCCCAGTGGACTTGATATGTCTTAAGCTCCCACTCGACCTCTGACGTGCTTGAAATAGGTTAAAGGGGGAAAGTTGGAGACTAAGACTTAGTGATCTAGTTAAAGTCTTTAGTTTGCGTTTTGAGTGACACACGGCACTGCACACACTCTTGCTTTACTTTCAAACTGCAGTGCTTTGAAAAAGGTAACATAAACTGTCAGACTCTGTTCACTTTTTCAGTTAAAATGCAAACCAGGCTTTTCCTAGCTGAGGCAAACAGTCTTGTCGTCAGTCCTGTCCAGCTGCATCTCTGTTCAGCAAAGGCACCCGCCTCATGTGCATCCATCAGACACTGACTGATTTTCATATTTGTATACCTCCTCCAAAGCATGTGAATGATACCCTAAAACTTTTGTATTGTCTCTCTTGTTTTTCTTTCTTTTTATGCCAACCTGTCACCCTCTAAGGATGGTCTGGTGAAGGCCAACATGGAGAAGCTGACATTCTATGCCCTGTCAGCTCCAGAGAAGCTTGACCGTATCGGAGCCTACCTGTCTGAGAGACTCTCAAGGGACGTGGCCAGACACAGATACGGGTGAGCATCACTGGTCTTTCAATCAAAAATAGTCTCAGGAGGAAACGGTCAGGCTGTCTCTGTCTCGGCGAGCTCTGTTTTCACACTTTACTGTATTATTTATTCTCTGTCTGTAGGTGACTTCAAAGTGTTAAGTGAGACTGAATTTAATAAATGAAATGGCAAAAATCCCTCAGACTCTTAGCAGTTACAAAAATAGGAAAGAGCGGTCTCTCATCATATACATATACAGGGTTTCCTCCAGGATTTTTTGAAACCATGAGCGAGGTTTACCCCCCAACCCAGAGAAGCAAAAAAACAAAAAACACCACCACAACTTACAACTTTTATACAAAAAAGTATACACATTTAGCCTTATCTTGTGGTACAGTTTGCAGCCAGGCTGAGAGCACTTCATTGAACACATTTAAATATGACACTTGCCATGGTGCTCATGAATATCACTTCTAATCATCTGAACATGAGGACATGAAGTCATGATAAATCAAGAACATTAAACCTCTCTGTTATCCTCCATCACCTGATTCTCTTCCTCTGGTTTCTTCCTCTTTCTCTGAAAATATTCTGATATGGGCTCACCTTGAAAATGTGACCAAGAATGAGTCATTACAGAAAAACCCGACATCGTTCTGTATCTCCAAATGTAACTGTAACATCATCTGAAAAAACATGTGAAGGCCCAACTTTGTATCATAAACAGTAGAGTGGGACAGGAACTTGAGACTCCATTTTTAGTTTTTCAAAATAAAGTTATTTGAAGTGCAGTGTCACATTTCATTAGTACAATTCCACACTCTTATTATGGTCTGTAAATGTGCGTGAATATAGACTTTATGTTTATATGGATATACGATATAATTTACATTGAAACATCTGAAAAAAGATCATAATTCTGAAGGCATGGCAGCTTTTATTTTGGCACCACAACCATTTACATAGAGGCGGAAACCCTGATAAATCTTCATAGATGTTTCTGAAAGTGTCTTTGTATATAATAAATATGTGTTTAATTATAATATATGTGTGTTTATGTATAATATATGTGTGTTCATATACAATATATGTGTGTTTATATATAATATATTTGTGTTTAATAATAATATGTGTTTATATATAATATATTTGTGTTCATATATAATATGTGTTTATATATAATATATGTGTGTTTATATAAAATATTTGTGTTTATTTATAATACAGGTGTGTTTATATATGATACATGTGTGTTTATATATAATATAGGTGTGTTTATATATAATATATGTGTGTTTATATAAAATATGTGTGTTTATTTATAATACAGGTGTGTTTAAATATAATATAGGTGTGTTTATATATAATATAGGTGTGTTTATATATACTGTATTTGCCACATGCTAATCAGATAAGAAACCCACTAAAATGTGCTGTTTAAGCATCAGTGTTTATTATCTTCTGTATAATCAGGTTTCGTAGACTTCGTGTCTAAAGCAGCCATCAGATAGGAGTGAGAGGCTGGTTAGTCAGGTTGTTGGGTGATGTTTCTGTACACCCTGTACTTACTTTGTAAGGCCCAGAAGTTGTTGTCTTACATGACTCATGCCTGGGCTGCTCTGTGAGGATTCACACCAATGCAAACAGCCTGCACAGATTACATTTACACTTGCCAGGGTCTTGCTTCAAATCTGCTCAGGAACTGAGTCTCCAGAGTTTTTCGGTCAGATTCTATCATGATTTGATCTTCTGTTGCCTCGTTCAGCTTGACAGTTAACATAAAAGAACAAATTCTCAGTGTCTATGTTTGATATCCAGATGCATATTTGCCAACAGGATTAATGGTGCTATCCAGATGTCCCTGTGTCCCCCCTCCTCCTCATTAGGTATGTGTGCATAGCCATGGAAGCCCTGGACCAGCTGCTGATGGCCTGCCACTGTCAGAGCATCAACCTGTTTGTGGAGAGTTTCCTCAAGATGGTGCGCAAGCTGCTGGAGTCAGACAAACCCAATCTGCAGATCTTAGGGACCAATTCTGTGAGTTAAAAGGATTATATGATTTCTTTTTCAAGAGCTGATGAAAAATGTTCTGTTTTTCTTCTTTCAAACTACTCCACAAAAGCCTCCATGTCCTAAGACAAGTGCTCTTGGTCTTCTTTTAGGATATGCATTTATTCAACTCTTAACTTTGATGTTCTGAGAAAAAAAGAAATTGAAAGATGCGTTCTATAAAACTACTGAAATGTGGTTACTTTTAACTGTCGTAAAAATGTGGTCATAGTTCAAGTAGTTGGATTTATTCAGCATTAACAAATTTTCTGTTTTACGAAATTACAAATTTACAAACAAAATGTACTCATATTTAATTCTTTATTGAAGTTATTCCACTGGTTCACTCTTTTCACAGATACACACTTCTTTCTCAAATGTTGGCCTTGCCTTTTTTTTTGTTCTTTTTTTACTTTTCCTCTTGCTTTGTACTGACTTTCACAGTTTTCAAATAACCACAGTAAATAAGTTAGTTGTGCTTTGTTGATTTGATTTTGATTTCTTCAGCTGAATCATAAAGAGAACGCAGATACATAAATGATAAAACAGTTGGATAGCAGTTGTCACGTTGATCTATAATTTAGAATATATCTGTACTGCTTTATTTATGGCAGTTTTTGAAAAATTAAAAGTTTCAATAAGCTAAAATGGACTCCGCACTAGGATTTTTGCAAACAAAGTATAAAAATAACTGAGATACTTTTTTTCTATTTTAGATACATTTTGCTAAATTTTCTCATCCAAAGACCTTTGGTCACTAATGTGTCTCTAATGTTTCGAAGCTTTTCTGCTGCATGTCCATTTGAGTGGATTTAGAGGTATTATCCAATCAAAATTTGACTGGTCACGTCTACTTTTCTGATGCGATGGCACACAGTAAAATATGTTAACCTTGAGATGAACACTTGGTTTAGTATTTGAGGAAAATTCCGAGCCAGAGTATTGGACAGAGGGGGTGGGAGAGAGATGAGTATCAGCTGATACGGGGAGCAGGTTTAAGCAGCAGGTCAGGATAGGACGTACAAAGGAAATCAGATTAGCTGCACACCAAACTCTCTGCAGTCATCTACTCAGATTGACATGACACGCCAACCTTGCACTCATAATCTTCATGCTATCAATCTCCCTCGCGCACTCTAATGCATTTAGGACAAATACAAGAGCATACGCTTAAGCAGTCACACACACATCTGTGCTGAGTCATTAGACATGCATCACAGTGTCACACATCAGTCCAGTCGAGGATTTGTGTAGTGTGTGCTAATTTAAAGCTTTGCAGAAAGAGTCATTGTACTTAAACACTGTTATTACATTCAAGTGGGATGAATTTCTCTGTAATGGAAACCCCCAAACTTCTCATGCATATGACTATTTATATTTTTTTAGTTTATGCTGTATTTTTCTGCTAAAGTTCCGGAAAAGGAACTTTCCTTCTTCGGGGGAACTGTTTGTCTCATCTAAGGCAGATCAGTTTCGAGGAGAGGAGAAGGGAGCGGATTAGAGAGTTTATCACCACATGACTCAAGCTTGGCCAGGCTGCCTCACACTACTTTTCACTGACCTTAACCTGTCTCTGCAGCAGAGCCCTTTCTAATACACACCAGCACAGCAGTGAATGAGCTGGTGTTACTGTCAGCTTCTCGTTATTTATATTGATGTATTGTGAAAGGAGAAGACTAAAAGGCAGGGGGTTTAGTGTCTCTTGATACAGTCAGTTGCAACAAAAGGCCTTTATAAAATCAGCTCTTATGGCCTCTGGTTTTAGACTCATTCTTAAAGCTTTCAGTCAGATCGAGAGTACGAATCAGTAGAGGAAGTGTTGAAACTCTGATACCTTAAAGGCATATTCCAGTGTCAATTTAAGTTATGGTCAAACACACTGTAACACAGAGTTACACACCCTCTAGAGAGATAAATGTTGTCAACTGCTTACTTCTCTAGTTGTACCAACTTTTGTAACGATTGCAGGATAGCAATACACAGCGGTCTATGGCTCCATGCGCAAACCTCAACTCAAAAGCTACTCTATAGCCACAAATAATGCTCAGAACAGCAACTAACTTCATCAACAGTACATATGGGGTCCCAGCCATAGTTCTAGCCACCAAACATCTTTTTAAATTTGCCTAATTTCTTTAGCAAAGAAACCAAACACAACTCGCCTACTCTCTTCCAGCAGCCGCATGTTTGTGGGGGAGCCCTGACGAGTTGATCACCAAATGCAGCGGAAAATTTATGATCATTACTTCATGGAAATGCAATCAGACCGAGATGCTAAGGCAGAAGAACTACTGCGTCTGCAGTGCACATACAAGATACATAAGAACTCTGATTGTATTTCCAAGAAGTAATGATCATATTTGTTCTTCCTTGAGCTGCGAAACTCCGCTGCACTCGGTGATGGACTCGTCAAGGCTCCCGCACAAACAAGCGGCTGCTGGAAGAGAGCGAGTGAGTTGTGTTTGGTCTCTTTGCTAAAGAAACCAGGCAAAGCTAAAAGGTTTTTTGATGGCTAGTGCTATGGCTGGTACCCTGTATGTACAGTTGATGAAGTTAGGCGCTGTTCTGAGCATTATTTGTGGCTATAGAGTGGCTCTTTGGTTGAGGTTTGCGCGTGGAGACGTAGACTTTTGTGTATTGCATAAGCGGTCGTTGCCGAAGTTGGTATAACTAGAGAAGCAAGCAGTGGGGTAAATTTATCTCTCAAGGGGTAGTCTAACTCGGTGTTACGGTGTGTTTGAACATAACTTAATTTTACGCCGGAATACCCCTTTAAATCTGTCTGGTGTACCTTAGTAGCATTTCTACTGGGCAGCTTCCAGATATCAGCTTCTGCAGCAATTTACTGTGCAGCTTCACAAGAGCAGTTATGGCTTCACTTCATTTAATTCACTCAAGAGTGCTTTATTAATCACAGCCCCACTCCAAATACTCACTGTGCACACAGGAAATAGATTCACAACAGGCGGCTTTAGATGTTTAAATGCTTCTTTTTATTCTCTCGCTATGGGTTGCTGCACAAATCCAGCCTGCTTTCTTTGAACGAGGAACTTATGTAGTTTAATCACCATCTGTCTAGCTGAATATTCAAAATATAATTACCACAACAGGTAGAACTCTTTCTGTCAGGATTCTAAACAAGTGCAGGTCATAATTTATTAAATGGAGAGTGTTGTGAAGCTAAATGTCAGCATGTTGAAATGGTGACATTTTGAGGCTCAGTGGGAGAGCTTCCCTCTGCCCTGTGACTGTCACTTCTAATGAGATGTTATGTCACTGTTTGACTTTAATTTAGGAGATATACACTGTAGGGATCCGGGGTTATTTCATTAAAGAGTGTTTAATCAAATAAGAATAAACTTTTAATAACTTGGCCTCACTAATTAAAATGAATCTCTGGAGTTTTTGAGTCTCAGCCTGACATGAAAATGACTTTTAATTTTCCTCCTGTCCCTTCCTTCCTTCCTTTCTCCCTCTCTTCTTTCTTTCTCCATCCTCAGTTTGTGAAATTTGCCAACATAGAGGAGGATACGCCATCGTACCACCGCAGCTATGACTTCTTTGTGTCACGCTTCAGTGAGATGTGCCACTCGAGCTATGAGGACCCTGACATCCGCACCAAGTAAGTGGACAGATGCTTGATTTTTTTTATTTTTAGTAACTGCTGCTTTAATCAACTTTCAGGAGTCTGTTTTGGACTCCTGCCGACCCCTGACAGTCTTTTCTTGTCCTACCAAATTTAGCCCTCCTAAAAGTGATCTTGTTGTCTTGTGCTGAAATTAGACTAAACAATATCTTTGAGTGTTAAAGATAGCTTTGCCGAACCTCAGGCTGACAGCCAAACAATGAAGAGAACAGGATTAAAAAAGATACTAATATAACTTCCTAAATATAACCGTCCATTTATAGATTCACTCAAAGGATGTCTGTGTTTCTTCAAGGATTCGGATGGCAGGTATCAAGGGTCTGCAGGGCGTAGTGAGGAAGACTGTGAATGATGAGCTGCAAGCCAACATCTGGGATCCTCAGCACATGGACAAGATCGTCCCCTCACTGCTTTTTAACCTGCAAAGTGGAGAGCGAACAGAGAGGTGAGTAGTGAAAAAGAAATGCCTGCTGAACATCAGACCTGTTATGGTAGTTTTTTTATTAACGCCTATTTAACTGATGTTGGATTTATGTCCTCTGCATGATAATCTCAGTTGTTTTTGAGATGACTTCATCCTTTGTTTTGCATAAACTTTCTTCTCTTATTTTTAATGGTTATCTGACTTATGAGACCATCTGAAATATAACACTCTAAGGTGGATGTTGTAGAATATTATGAAGCATATGACCAACCTCACATTTTGTGTATAGATTAAGAAAATTGAGCTCTCAGACTGTTAAAAATTTCTTTCAAAGTTCTCATCAAAACTTTATCCATTTTTCCGTTTGGTTGTCACATATATTTGCCATCGTCACCTACAGTATATGCCAGCGTCTAGCTAAACAACAACTCGAGCTGTGATGTTGTTTGTGTAAAGAATGAACTTGTGATTTCCTGGAGAGCATTTACTGACACTCAGGTGTCAGGAATTTTGAACCCAATAAATTGTCGGTGAAAAGTGCTGCCAGTCAGGTGTTACATACTCTGTGCAAACAGAGTCCATTTCTGACGTTTGAGATCCATGAGTCTGATCACAGCGAGACTCGCTGCCCCCAGCCAGTCGGGCAAATTTAAAGCATGGCAGAAATTTTGCTGACAACATGTACTGACACAGTGAAAGCAGGGCCATGAGTGATTTCCCCAGATTCAGGGCTTTTTTTTTCATGATTGCGTCTGAGAAAAATGGCAGGGAGAGTTTGTTGTGTTGAGTGTGAGTGGAGTGGGGCTACGTCAGGACCTTATTTCAAAATCATGGTCTCCACCCACTATGACTTTCATGATAAATTTAAGGTAGGTTTATCACCTTTCTGACAGGCCAGCCTAAAACTGACAAAGAAGTAGCTTCTCAATAGTCAGCTTTGAAGTGGTGCTGTTGAATTTGATTGCATTACATTGCACAGATGTTCATAATGGAATGGCAGATCAATGTAGAACCATATATTATAGATACAGATTTAAAAGAAGTTTTATTGCAGTGTGATTTTTTTTTTTTTAGGGAAACTTTTGATTATTGTCAAAGCTCTGTTCTGGTATAAGTCATCCCATGTGAGTACTCAGGCTGTGCTTGACAGTATAGTGTGGCATTTACTAGGGGTGGGAGAAAAAATCGATACAGCATAGTATCACAGTATTTTGTCTGGTGATGTATCGTATCGTCTCATTTACCAAGTATTGATTTTTCAAATTAATTCCTAATATGAAGTCAAATCTATGATAATAAAAAAATAAAATCAACTGTTTGTTCAGTGAGGTTGGCAGAGGTGACATCATAGAGCAGGAGAAGGTTAGTGCTACAAATATAGCAGCACCTGGGGAGGGACATTAGGAATGCAAGCAGGGCACAAATGAGATGGACATGACACTAAAGATTTGCAAGATGTGCCACAAGAAAATAAAATACTGTCTGAATAAAACAAACAAAGGAAAGACAAATGCTTAATTAGCTAAGCAGTTGAAAAAAATTGTTTAAATTGCAATATATTGTATTGCAATACTCACTGTACTGCAAAATGTTAAAAATCGCAATAATATCGTATTGTAGCCCAAGTATCGTGATAATATTGTATCGTGGCCCATGTATCGTGATAATTTCGTATCGTGGCTCATGTATCATGATATAATGGTATTGTGGCCCAAGTATCGCAATAATATTGTATCATGGCCCAAGTATCGTGATAATATCATATCGTGGCCCAAGTATCGTGATAATATCGCATCTTGGCACAAGTATTGTGATAATATCGTATCGTGGCTCAAGTATCGCAATAATACAGTATCGTGGCCCAAGTATCGTGATAATATCGTATCATGGCTCAAGTAACGTGGGGACACTGCTGAATCCCACCCCTAGCATTTACGCACAGTGTATTCCTGGCCTTACTATCCAGAGCATGATCAACAAACTAACTGTGAGGCTGTCCTTGTTGCCCCTGCTGTTTTCCTGGGGTGTCACTCAAAATGATAAAGGTTCAAATACCAAATATATTAGTCCACATATCGGTCAGCTGTTGCTTTTTTATTTAAGATCAAATGACCTACAGACTTGCATAAAAAAAAAAATCCTGTCTACAGTTTAATTTCAGCTTCACTTTGACCACATAGCCTTCACACTACAGGTCAAAAGACAGTGCCAAAAGTGCATGTGGACTGTGAAAGTTGATGACCTTAAATGTGTCTGTTTTGACTCTGCCACATTGGTTCTACAGTAGCCAACCACCTTCTTTTCATCCTGTATGAGGTCATATTTGTCCTGGCATGTGTGTCGTTTATCATCACTATCATCAGCCCCATGAGAAGGCACTGACAGCTCTGCAGTAGTTAGGGCATCTGTTGGTCCACCTGCAGCACCAAGGACAAAAAAACACTAGAAGAAACAGGAAATTTGAGTGTTCGACATGGATGGATAATAAGAGCATTGTAAGCACTGATGGCTAGCAGTTTTCAGTGGGAGAGAGAGAGAGAGATGCAGAGTCTGAAGCCTCCCCCCTCTTTGGCAGATTTCCATGTACTGACATTCGCTTTGACGTCAATGCTGAGATCTGAAGGTTAAGGGGGGAAAGTGGGACAGCAGTGATACGAACACTAAGATCAGGTGGAGAGAGTAGATAATAGAGCGAAGAATGATTTGAAATGTGGAGGTGATTATAAATGAGAGAGAGACAGATGGACAGAGATAGACAGACACACTCAAGCAGAGGGACACATTTACCTCTCAGCTTCCCGTCACTGTTTGTGCATGTGTGTATGTGATGCCCCTGCTGCGTGTCCTCCATTCCTCCCCTGCACTGAGTGTAGCCAGACATTACCAGCCTATGAAACCCACAGCAGTCAGTGCAGCCCACAGCAGTCAGTGCAGAGTCTAATTAAACCCACAGATGGTGCATTTTTCTCAACATTAATCCCCATGCACAAGTATGAGTTCGTTCAAAGATCAGCTTCAGGCACTGACTAATTTATGGAAAGTTTATTTCTGGGGATACTGAAATCTGACGTGTTGCAGAGAACAATCATGAGCATGATTGATTGGTCTAAATGTGATGTGAAGGTGCTTCCAAAGGCTACAGATTCTCGAGGCAACCTCCCTGCAGGCATTGCCTCAGCAGAAAAAAATTGAAAGGAAATGATTCTCACCTTAAGTATTCTCCTTTGCACTTTCTCTACTGACTTACAAACAGCCGAGCTGTCTGATGAGGTAGACGTGAGGTCAGCCTGCTGTAGGCAAATGGTCTCTGAGAGGACAGTAATGCTTTCAAATCCTCATGCAAAACAGTTCCCCCTGATTTTCCGACTCATTAGACAAAATCTGCAGAGGATGGCAGTTTGGGTGACCTTAAAGTGAAGTCTTCTTTGCATGCTTTTAAAAGCACTTTTTAGTTGGACACAGGTCGGTGAGAATTGCAGTATAAATGTTCAACCTTTGATCAGCAGGAATTTCAATCTCAACCAAGGTTGAATTTTTGATGCACGAAATGAAATTGACTGAAGAGAGGGATTCTATGATTGTGAGCCATGAACTCTATTTTTTTTTTTCTATGTTAGAATTTTGGGGTGTTGATGGTTCATTGGTACAAAACCATTTTGGAAATCGCTGAAGTTTAAGAAGCTTTCTGGGTTCCTACACAGTTGGAATTTCTATACTGTTCCATATCCTAATTTAGGGCTGGGCGATATGGCCTCAAATCAATATTGCGATATATTGAGCAGTTAACCTTGATAACGATAAATGGACGATAACTACTCCACAAGCTGCTCACCCCCTCTCACATTAACTTTGTCTACGACGGAGTCACGTCACTGTCCCTTTAAGACAGTGTCTTAAGACAGTGTCTTAAAGGGACATGAGACCATAGCCTACCTACAAACATCTAAAACCAACTTTTATTTATTTATTTATTTGAAACAGAATATAACAATATGGGCAAGATGACGTCAGTTATTGTCATAAATTTTGGTATCGGTAAATTTTCGGTTTATCGTCCAGCCCTCCCCTAATTTTTTTGAACTATTTTTGGAAATACCTACTTTTCTCTTTTAGACAACAGTACTTTAGAACTGTGGTTATAGTGTGGAAACAAATATTTTTCCATACTCTATTTTTCATTTTCAACACTTTATAAGACCTGGAAATTGATCAAATTTATTTTCATACTTACCATACTAGTGTAGGAACCCTGTTAAGATGTGAAACAGGCTGCTTCACCTTCCATCATTATTTGTGAGGGCAACTGCACAAGATCCAAACACCTGAACTTGAGGCATAACAGACTGCTGTCACTATGCCATTGTACTTTTAAACTGAACCCCACAACAGAATAATGTTGGTGTCCAAGTGTGTGATTTTATGCAGCATTGGCACCATGTATAAAATCACAACACATGCTGCATACAGTATACACTTAAAAATACACCTACTGATTACACTGTGGCTCTTTCACCTCTGTTACTGCTATAGACTGTACAAATATGGATGGAGTCTCTGTGACATCACCTTCTGGTTTCTGAACATACGTTTTTCAGCCCAGTGGTGGTGAGGGCCTTGTTGGAAATGCTGACTCAACCGAACCCATAATCAACCAAAACACAGCTTGAAGGCTGGCGTTAAAGGGATATTCCGGGAAATTAAGTTACATATAGGGTCCCATCCATAGTACTAGCCACCAAACATCTTTTTAGCTTTGCCTGGTTTGTTTAGCAAAGAGACTAAGCACAGCTCACCTACTCTCCTCCAGCAGCCGCTTGTTTACGGGGGTGCCCTGAGGAGTCGATCACCGAGTGCAGCGGCTCATTTCCAAGAAGTAAAAATCATCATGATAACCATTTTGCACTGCAGACACGATAGTTCTTCTGCCTTAGCGTCTCGGTCTGATTGCATTTCTATGAAGTAATGGTCATAAGTGTTCTTCCTTGAGCTGCGAAACTCCGCTGCACTCAGTGATTGACTCGTGAGGGCTCTTCCTTCACGTTTTACCATTACACCGGTTACCGTTACATCCCTACTCTTCTACGGTGTCTTTTCCACAATAATGTCAGACATTGGATCAAAGCATCAAGCTGAGCCTTTTAAGGCAAAGCAAGCACTTTTTATGCAACTCTAACTGACTGTAAGTTGTGTCTATTAGTCTCTTTTTTTATTTAGCTTGAAATAAAGAACCATGTCTAAAGATACACAAATTAGCCTTTCAGTTTCTGCTGCCGAAGTCTAAGCGGTTTATTAATCCTGTATCGAATTTTTCTGCCTTTTTTTGGATTTGTCTAAAGTCAGAAAATGAGCCACAGACAGGAAGGCAGCTATATTTCCTTTACCGCCGCAGCAGCAGACAAGATGAAAGTGTTAGGCTGTTAATAAATAATGTCATCATTGGTGGACCACCCGAGGCCAGTCATGACCAAGATAGAGTTGTGGCGGAGGTTTTAAGTATGCATGAGAACAAAGGACGGTAAGACCTGGTGTCATTTATCACACACTCTTGCACACTTGTACAAACTTGAGCACAAACGCATCTCTGAAAGTCAGAGCAGAAGTGCATATCCCACAGATTTGTACATGTTTAAAAGCCCATCTCTGTCATCCAGTCTTAACCACAGACACTGCAGTCATGGAAGTTATCAAGAGAGGGACAAATGCAATAACAAAACAGTCTGCAGAGTGTTTTTGTGTTGAAAATTGAGTCATTTTAAGATGTTATTGAATCCTTATAAACTCTCCGATTCTTCATTCTCTCCCTCTCTTTTTTGTCTCTCCTCCTCCTAACTCTCCCTCCCCCTCCTTTCTCCCTCCCTCTTCTCGCTTCCTCCTGCTCTCTTCCTCCTCTGCCTCTTTTTCTGCTTCCTCACCTGCATCGCTCCCGACCAGCCGCTCCCCGTCTCCACTGCAGGCGTCGGAAAAAGAGAAGGAAAGCCCGGTGGAGCTGACGGAGCGCTGCTTCAGGGAGCTGCTAGGACGAGCTGCCTATGGAAACATCAAGAACGCAGTCACACCCGTGCTGATGTGAGACCGCCTTTAAAAAAAACTCCTCTATGCATGAGATCAAACCTTTTTTTTCTATATTGTGTTTTAACTTCCAGGTAGGATGCATATTAGTGCAGTGTTGCAGCATTTTTATCAGTGTTCTAATCAGTCTGACAAATGAAACAAGGTCAGTGCAAGGTTGTGTTACTGTTGTTGTTGCAAAGATCTGAGTGCGTGATTGAAGGACAGTAATCTTAAATAGTATTTTTCAATTTTCTTTCGCTGCAAGGTTGTAATGTATTTTCAGTTCGAGTTCCCCCTTTCAGACAGACTCCCTGCTTTTCTTAAAACCTTTTAAGGTCATCATCCTTCTACTTCTGGTATTTCTGAGGACAATCCTCTGCAGTAAACGTCCTCCTTCTAGTTTGTAGAATTTCTGTACATCTTCCTCTCTCTCACTCAATCATTCAGTCAATCTCAACTGTTGTTTTTTTCTGTCAGCCTCTGTTTGCGCCAATGTGTCTGCCTCTCCGAGCTGCAGACACTAACACTCCTTTTTTAATGGCTTATTATTATTATATGCCTGTCATATATACACACACTCACTGTTTGCACAACTTGGCTTTTCTGCATCGTAACGAGCGCATACGGCCATTCCTACTTTTTCGGCTCTCGGCTCGAATAAATGACATTTTCAATATGAGTTCAGCAGAATAGGGGACCAAGATCTCCTGATGACACAGTATATTATAAATACATTTTTCATATGCGGGCAGAAACTCATTTTTATAATAATGCGCTGTTTCTGAAAGCCTCATTGATCATTTTAAAGGTATCAATAATACAAAACCAGAAAGTAGGGTGTTCTATCATGACTCCCCAAAAAATGCAAAGGAGAATTGAAATTGACAACATTTGAGAGTCTTGCAGCTCTGTAAATGTGTGTATTGATTTGTCTTCTCCACAATCCCTGTGAGTTTAAACTCTGGTATTTTCCTCTGCAGTGTTGCTTTAGATGCAGTTATTTTTATGTGTGTTTTTTTGTTACATATTTAATCCATTGATCTCAGGTTTCCTCTTATTAGTCCTCTCAGTTAACCTTACTTGTCATCGCCGGTGAGACTGGCTCTTCTGTTTCATTCTTTAAATATCAATCTCACTGATCCCTCACTCCTTGCAGTGAAACTCTGCCCTCGGCTATTTTGCGGTTTTATTGCACAAATTTTACATCTTACAGCAACATACATAGTGAAATGCTTAAATGACTCCTCGTTTTTAACATATTGATTGTGTTTTCATAGCAGCATATTTTAATTCATGTACGGTGTGTATTCAGACTTATTGTTCAGACAATGCTTCAGTGTTTTTTATGAACTATTTTTCCTAAAAGTGCAAAAATCCACATGCAGTGTTGACGTCTCCTTCTTTTAGCACTTCAGATTTGCCTCCTGTCTCTTTCTGCTTCTCATCACCACTGCATTATTACATCTTCTGTATCCTCCTCATCTCTCTCTCCCCGTCTCTATTCCCTCAGGCACTTAGATAACCACTCTCTATGGGAGGGGAAGACCTTTGCAGTGCGTTGCTTCAAAATCATTATGTACTCCATTCAGGTGAGTGATACAGCACCAACAAATCAGCCCAGACCTCTACTTCACCAGATTTTTCTCTCTCTGCTTTTCACTTCAGCAGCCAAACACCCAGACGCAAGAGCAACGTCAAGTGATTTGCAGTGTTTAAATGTTTGAAAGTGTTTTTCCATGATCTGGTGTGGAAATGCAGAAACATGCTACAGAATTTATGCAGATTTCACTCATCATTTACTTTGAGGATTCCTTTTTGGCATCATCCTTTTCTCTCAAAGCTGAGATTTATTTTTTACCTGAATAAAAATGGCGAGTCATCGGTTTAAAGGTTGCCTCCAGTTTTCCTTTCATGTCAACGCACTTACTTTCTCTTCCTTTCTGAAATCTGGTTTGAGTCATTTTTCTTCTTCTTTTCATCTCCTGTGTTCAGTCCCAACACTCTCACCTGGTAATCCAGCAGCTTCTCGGCCACTTGGATGCGAACAGCAAGAATTCAGCCACGGTGCGAGCTGGCATAGTGGAAGTGTTGCTGGAGGCAGCCGCCATCGCTGCCAGCGGCTCTGTAGGTGAGCAGAATGGCAAACACACACACACACACATACACAGACTGGCTTGTGTGATAGTGGAATCAGACACATGTGACATCAGATTTTTGAGTGAAATCGTCTGATGATAATTTGTATGCAGGGCCCACAGTGCTGGAGGTGTTCAACACTCTGCTGCGGCAGCTCCGTCTGAGCGTCGACTACGAGCTAACCGGCTCCTATGACGGCAGCACCAACATCGGCACCAAGATCATCAAAGCTCATGAGGAGAGGCAGCTGCAGGAGGCCGTCATCAGGACCATCGGTGAGTCTGTGGGCAGTGTGTGTTTGTTTGTGTGTACAACTGGATGAGTTTGTGTGCTGTTCTTTTCTGAATCTCACTTGTATCTGTGATGGAGGTGTGTGCGCACATGTGGGTGTTTTTCATTTACAGATCCGTATTAATATCGCTCCTCTCCATCCCACGCCCATTTCTCTGTTTCTCTCGCTTTCAGGTTCATTCGCCAACACTCTTCCAACATACCAGAGGTCAGAGGTCATGCTCTTTATCATGGGCAAGATCCCTGTCCCTGGAGTGCACCCAGCTCTGCTCTCCACAGGCTCTGGGTAAGCTGCTCATAAATCTGCTCAACACATAATTTGAAACTTAAAATGAACACAATCTGAAAACAGCCCACTGCCCTCTCAAAACTCCACACCTCCTGTGCAAAATGTAGCTCAGTGCTCCAAAACCATGTCCTCTCTCCTCTGAACTTATTCCTTCCACCAAAACAATACACACTGCTATTATATGCTCATGTCTAAAGATTATTGATCAAATACTGGAGTAAAAGGAATATTCCGGCATAAATTTAAGTTAAGGTCAAACACACCGTAACACTGAGTTAGACACCCCCTTGAGAGATGAATGTTGTCCACTGCTTCTCGAGTTATACCAACTTTAGCAAAAACTGCACAATAGCAATACACAGCGGTCTACGTCCCTATAGCCACAAATAATGCTCAGAACAGCACCTAACTTCATGAACAGTACATATAGGGTCCCAGCCATAGTACTAGCCACCAAACATCTTTTTAGCTTTGGCTTATCTCTTTAGCAAAGAGACTAAACACAACTCACCTGCTCTTCTCCAGCAGCCGCTTGTTTGTGGGGGGGGGGCCCTGACGAGTCGATCACCAAGTGCAGCAGATCATTTCCTTAAAGTAATAATCATCATAATAATCATTTTGCACTGCGTGGTAGTTCTTCTGCCTTAACGTCCCGGTCTGATTGCATTTCCATGAAGTAATAATCATAAATGTTCTTCCTTGAGCTGCGAAACTCCGCTGCACTCGGTGATCGACTCGTCAGGGGACTCTCAAATTCAACTCTAAAAGATACTGGTTCAAATTCAATGCGGAGATTTATCCATGTGATATGGGTTCAGAGATTTGCAAAACCGTAACATAGTATGATACTTGAGTGAGACCAATGAAATTTTGCTCAGAGTCGAGCAGTTTGGAGTTTTGTTGTTGATAATTTTAGAATCTATACATTTGAAAAAAAAAAAAAGTTATTTAATTTGTGTCTTTTTTTGATTTCTCCTTCAGGCCTGAGGGCACCAGGATGATCCAGGTTATGTTGCTCAAATCACTGGTCCAGGTAAGAGTTAAACCTGTTCTTCTTTCCATACTTTTGAAGCAGGAGTTCCAGCTGTAGTTAAAATATTCTCCTAAATGCACAAATATGCCAGTGCTCTTTCGAATGACCTGCATGACTCCAGACTTATCTTTCTGTGATCTCCAGAACTTTGATGGTGAAAGAAAACTTGCTTTGTTAAACATAGTAAGCTTATAAAAGGGCACATCCGTGTGGACAGTATGGCTGTAAGAGGCAGATCAGAAGGATATTGTCAAAGAGTCCAAAAGAATGTCAAATGCTAGAGTTTCTGAAAGTCTTTGCTGACTCTACTCTGTCTATCAGATTTTTTTTTTGTTTCTCAGATATGAAAATAACCGAGCAGTGTTAAAATTTAAAAGCATCTGATCTTTCCTCTCTTAGGTGACAGCAGGTTACCAGACCACCAACATGCTGACAGCGCTGCCCAGTTCGTTCCTGGAGCCGCTCCTGTCCCTCTCTCTTACAGAGGATCCAGAGGTCAGACTGCTGGTGCTCCAGATCCTAATCAGTCTTATTGACAGGCATGAAAACACTCCCAAGTTCTCCAACATCAGGTGAGTGGCCGTGTGTTTAGGGGCATGTCAGTTTAGGTGGAAGCTTGTCTTTAACATGAACTTCATTGAGAGTATATGTTGATCTCCTCATGGCTTCTCTACCTAGCATCATCTCAGACATCTCCGTGCTCAAGCTCAAAGTTGACAAATGCTCCAGGCAGGACAACCTGTTCATGAAAAAGGTGAAACTTTTACATTTATACACGTCCAAAAGGTACACTTATTAGAATGTAGGGCTGCAGATATTGAATATTTTAGTAATTGAGTCTTCTACTGAATATTCCATCGATTAATCGAGTAATCGGATAAAACATAATTTTTCCTAGTTAAACGTCCCGTAAAGAACTTTCAACTATATTTGAAAAAAATCTCTCGTTCACCAGTAACAGCGAATGAGCCCATCTGTGTGAAGAAAAGCTATTTCTAAATAGTGAAAATGGGGAAAACGGGAGCCAGTGGTCGAGTCGGGACCACAAATGAAACCATTTATGGCACTCAAACCAGAGACGACACACGTTTTCTTCTCTTTATCATGCACTAAAATTGCGCATATTACTGTATCATTTTTATATCATTTTTTGTAATCGAGGTACTCCAGGAATCATTTCAGCCCTAGAGAGTTGTGTTTTACATTTACTACATTTAAGATGATCTCTAAATGTGGAGGTAGTAATAAAAAGGTAATCTTCTTCTTACAATGTCTCTCAGCTGAAACAAGAAGGAATGAAGCAATTTGCTAACATGATCAGATTTCTGCTGAGTATTCAATAAAATGATGAACAATTTTGAGAAGAGTGGAGAATGTCATTTATGGAGAGTTTGTCACCAGTAAAAAGAGGCTGTTTTGTTCAAATCAAACAGAAGACATTTTAGGAGCTTCTACCAGGTCTTCATTGTGGCCAAACAGTTCTCCAGAGTGACGAGGCCGCTGTAGTCACCAAGGTTCAAAAAGACATGCAAGTGTCAATGTCTTGGCATAACAGTGAAACCGAGTACAATCAAAAGAATTCATGATCTGATCCAGGTGAAGTTTCTCTAAGGTCAAAAGTATGAGACAGAAAATTGACTCCTGAGGCACCCCATAGAGTTTAGGGGAGCATTAAATGGGTTTAAACTATACTTGACTAAACAAACTAGTTAAAAAAGTCTTGTCTATTTGTCTTCTCACTCACAATCCTCCTCTTTTTCCTTTTTATCAAGCATGGCCAGCAACTGTACCGACACATTTACCAGGGCTGTAAGGAGCAAAGCAGCGGCCGACGGCACTACGAGACCCTCTTCACTCTGCTGGCTCTTCTCAGCGTGGAGCTTGCCAATGAAGAGGTGGTGGTGGACCTCATTCGCCTGACACTTGCACTGCAGGTAAAGATGTTGTGTGCCAATGTCTTCATGCAGACACTCAAAGTGGATTTGTATTTGAACACTGAATGAAAATCTTGCAATGAATAAAAAGTGAGACTTCAGTTTATTGAAGTGCACAGCCCACTTTTCAGCAAAGGTTTTATTTGAGAGGTTTTTGGTTCTTAAACGAGGCCACACTCCAACCAAGAGATCCCTGTCATTGTCATTCTCTCTCTTAGGACTTGGCGCTCACCACAGATGAGGCTCTGCCCGTTTATAACCGCTGTGCTGTTCACGCTCTCGCCGCCGCCTACCTCAATCTTATCTGCCAGCTCACCACCGTGCCAGCTTTCTGCCAGCACATCCATGAGGTCTGGAAGTGAGCTCCTCTTTGAATACAGTCATGTCATTTGTGTGCGTCTGAATACTAAGAGCCTCTTTATTAAGCTTCCCCCTCTGACCTGCAGGTGATCGAGGTGAGACAGAAAGAGAGTCCCTACCTTTTGCCTGAGGATGTCTTTGTTGACACTCCAAAGTGAGTACTGGCCATGTTTCATCCTCCTTATTCTGAAACTATGTGATTATTACATTTTATGTTCAAGGTTGGACTGGGCGATTTGGCAAAAAATAAATGATCATGATATATTTTGTCATCTCGATTATTATCATGATTTTTTTGTTTTGTTTTTAAACTGCCAGTTTTAAAGCATCTGTACTAAAAACTAAAGAAACTAAAGATTAGTTCAACATTTTATTAATATGCAAATTAAATAAAGTAAATTGAATAAGATAAACATAGAAAAATATAAAAATCATTTTAACTTAACAGTTGTATGTAGATAAATACTAAATAATACAGTGAACTAGTTTACAGTCCTGAGTGTTTTTGCAGGTATGCAAGACCCAAAATAACTAAATGGCTTCTTGAAACGATTAAAAAGATCTGTTGTGTTGCCGATTTTGGAGGGCACCATCGCTGACATACCTTGCACATCGGGTTAATGTCGTGGCTGACATCTATTTTGCTGCCTTCAGCTTTTTCCGTTTACCTTTCTGGCAACTTACAGAAGTGAGCAGGAAAAGCTCGACACTGATTGGCTGTTCTGACGCACATTTCCGCTATATTTGATCGAGTAAATATGCTCAGGGCTGAACATTGTGATCAAACTGAAATTTATCACGATCATTAATCATGATCATATAATCGCCCAGTCCTAGCCCACTGAGCATTTTTTGGTCTAATAGACGTCTAAATGTAGCCTAGATGACTGGTCTAAAAAGTTTTTTAGACGTCTAAATTTAGGCCAAGTTTAGACCAGCCAGCTAACAGAGATCTAACTGTATATTGCTCAATAGTTATCATAACTATTTTGGTTAAGTACTTGGAGTTCAGTTTTGCAACTCACATTTGCTCTTTGAAATAAATAGTTATCAAATAATTGGTTAAAGTGCAATAACTAAATTCCGTCTAAAAATACACAGAATCTAGATGGTTGAAATTAGGTCTAATAAAAAAAAAAACTAGATGTCTAACAGCCATCTTTTGCTCAGTGGGAGTTCAAGGTTTTCCTCTTTACCGTAATTTTAAAATCTGCTCTCTTTCCCCTCTCAGGCTGCCCTCTTCACTAGAGAAGGTAGAAGGGGATGTTCTGTTCCTTCAGTCAAAGATCACTGAGGTCCTTGGAGGCAGTGGTTATAACACAGAGAGACTGGCTACATCTTACGTCCCACAGTATCCTGGTAAAGAGCTTACACAGTATATCTTTGGTGTTATGTAACGTTACCTCCACAAATTTTAAAACTGTATGGAAAAAACTGGGGGATTCTTCAAGTGAGTAATGTCTGCTGTCTAAGTCAATATTGATAATGTTCATTGAGTTGCTGGCGTGTTGCAGCTTTGTCTGGGTGCTTTATTGATCTTTGTTGGGAGCAGGGGCTTGAAATACTCCCCTGGATCTGGTGGGGATTTAGTGTTTGGTTAAATGACACTTCATCAGGGGCAGACTTTTGAGCCAAGATCACTGATTTTAAAGGAAAATCCCTCTCAAACTCCAGCAACCAAGTCTCCACATTTCCTTTTACACATTGATTTTTGGAAGCTAAAACACTGATAGATGTTTGTCCAGGAGAATGAGTGATGAGCTCTATATTTGCAGATGTGGAGCAACTGAACAAGAGGAGGAGCATTGGAGAGACCATCTCCCTGCAGGTGGAGGTGGAGTCCCGAAACAGTCCAGAGAAAGAGGAGGTAAAGAAGTAAAAGCAGTCATAACCACTTGAAACATTTAAAGGAGTTTTTTTAAATTGTATACAGAGTTGTTTTTTTTAAAGTATCCATTATTGTTTTTCATCTTTTTTGCAGCGGACCCCAGCAGAAGAGATCACATTTGAAACCCTGAAAAATGCCATAGGTATATTTATATTTATTTTCCTAACTTAAATGTATATGGAGCATCTTTTCCAACCTTTTCTTTTTTTTTTTGAGCCACTACTGTGTTTGAAGGCAAAGAAAAAAAACTGACATTTATTTTTGCTTCTCTCATAAGCTGCATGAGTTTAACACAATAAGCAACCAAGCTACAGGAAAAACATGAAGTGGTGCTCTGAATACAAATGGAAATATTACCCTGTTTTGTCTCCCTCTAGTGGACAGTGTGGGTATGGAGGAGCAGGAGAGGGAGCGAAGGAGACAGGTGGTAGAGAAGTTCCAGAAGGCCCCCTTCGAGGAGATAGCTGCCCACTGCGGTGCCAGGGTACACAAATTATATTTTCTTTTAGCTGTTTTTTTTTCTGACCTTTTAGTTACTCATTCAAGCTCTGCATTGTTGTTAATATGATGTGTTTTTTTTCTCTTAAGGCGACACTGCTGCAGAGCAAACTCAATCAGATCTTTGAGATCACAATCAGGTAAAAGATGTTGGTGATTCAAAAGTGGAATAATTCTGAATAAAAAAGGTGATTTAGGTCAGTGAAAGTGACTGTTTCCTCTTTTATTTTCAGACCCCCACCCAGCCCGTCTGGAACCATTTCATCAGGTTACGGCCAAAACCAGAGTCGATCTGTTCCCATTTATGAGATGAAGTTTCCCGACCTCTGTGTGTACTAGAGCTGAAAATCCACTGCAAAACTGTTGAACATTTCAGGATAGAGAAAGGGTTTTGGGATGAGAAGGGCTTCTGATTCTCACTGTAACTGCATCGTGATCATAGATTAAAACCGACAAACTAACCCTGGATGAAATGAAAAAATCTTGATCCTCTAAATGCCACAAAAACAAACTGGATCATTTCAAACAACGTAGGAGTAAAACTAAAGATTCTCTAACTACTTCCCTTATTATAAGTTAGTAGAAACTCCACAGGTTAAATGTTACCAAGAACTGTGAGGACAACATTTATTGGCAAAACTAATGCTCAATATGTTGCATGGGCTATAACTGGAACTTTTTAGTAGCTCCTAAAATTTCTTTCTTTTGGTTTCTCGCAGGTTGCCATACTACCCTTAATCACACAGCAAGATTAACCAGTTATACTTATTCATTATATACACAAGCTTTTTTAAATTTTTGTTAGTTGTTTGACTGGGAGGAGTGTGTATGAACTAGGTGCATTTCATGAACTTGATTTTGTGTAAATTTAAATGCGATGTTGGTGGATCCATACAACAAGAATACTCTCCTTTTCCATCCTCCATGTAACTCCGCTCTAGAATACTCTTCTTCTTCTGCGTTTTAATGCTGTTTTTGTTTTGCCTTTTTTTAGCATTCGCCAAAAGTGCTTTTTTGTTTTACGACAGGCAGTTTTTAACTGTACCTCTTCATAATTTATCGCTTTTAAGTCGCAATTTCGGAAAGCGGTTTACCGTCAATCTGTGTGCTATCCTCCCAAAGTGAGTGTGCCTTACAGGTGACTCAAGTTAAAAGAAAACACACACTGGTCCACAGTCACGTACCGTCATGTTGACTAGAAACACTAGAAGATGATTGATCCTTTATTTTTCTCCTTTCCATATAAATGTGTATATACAGAGAAATATATAAATCTTTAAGCCGATGTACAGCATAGGAGAAGTTCGTGTGTGTATATTATGTATATTGATTCTGATTTTAGACTGCCACTGCACTGATTGTGTCCATGAGCAAGAGAAGAAGCTTCTCGGTTAGTTCTACAGATGTTAAATTCAAATAACAAGCAACACACTGAAATCAAAAAGATGTATTCTCAACTGTCAGAACAGCGAACAGCAGAGGCCAGTAATAAACACTAGTGAAGCTGAAAGCATCCTGCTCAAGTATGGAGGAGCTCATTTTCATAGAAGACCGTTTCTTCCACAACATTTTTGACAACACCACAATCATAACCTGGTATATGTTGCCATAACACACCCAGTACTGCTGCAACAACTTTGCACTCTTATTATACCACACTGCTTCTGCAGCAGTCTCCAAGCAGTGCATCTTTCTCATTCAGCAAGGTTTGAGTAAGTCTAAAAGCCATTTCGTGTGCATGTGCGCACACACACACACATACACAGGTAAAGACACTAAGTATAATGGCAATAATTTGGCACTAGCCTAGTGAATATGGCCCAACTGTTGGTAGCAGATGCTTCTGTGTGTTTGAAATTGTATCTCCTGTGCTGTGATGGTTGTGTTTTTGTAAAGTTGTGAGAAACAGCCTCTCCTGTTCTGCTTCTGTGCTTTGATGAAATAACTGCATTTGGCGCAAAATATGTTACAACCATCCTGTTTAATGTAAAAATGCCGTCTGGTTTGTCTCTGATCGTCATGTGTTACAGTCCAGTTGTTTTATTTCGACTTTTTCATTTTCAATACTATTTCCTGTATACATATTTATGTCCACACATGCCCGTGTGTATTTGATTGTCTGTTCATGTTTATGTGCTCAGTGTCAGTGCAGGTGTGCGTATGACTGAGTATATTTGTCCATGTGTCTGTTTGAACATTTGAAACATCATTATTCATGACCAAACTCCAAACACAGTTTACAGTTTATTACGACCACACCCATCAAGAGTGAGCTATCTAAAGCAACGTGCAGCTGTCTGAACTTTCCAGTGACACCTTGTGTGTAAAATCGTCTCTTTCGGCATCTTGCGACTTTGCAGTGAAGACCTGTAAATTTACAAGTGTGCTCGTTGTCATTGCATATTGTAATGTAATATTAACTGACGGTAATCCAATCTTACTTTTGTCATTACATGTCTGGTTAATAGATCTGTTTACAAAGTAGTGCTGTAGGTCAAATCTATTCATTCTGTGAACTTTGCACTTTAAAAACTGGATTACCTAGTGACAAAGGCAGCTTTTACTTGGAGAAAATGCCTTATGAGTAACATACCTGAAATTGCATGCTTGTGATGTTGTGTTGTACAATAAATTTATCTGTAAACGGAAGCAGTCTCATTTGTGTCTAACTGCATACTGTTGTAGATTATACTTGAATGCAATCATTTTTTTTTAAGTATTTGAAATTAAAAAGAATATTGCGGTCCTTCTAAGCTGCACAAGATGTTTATGAGATGGTAAAGATGGTTTGTTGTGTGAAGAGAAGCTAACACTGAAGGGCAAAAGCTCTTATTTCAGGCCCTGTCCTCACAGTTTAAAAGTACAAATTAAATTATATTCTATTCCTTGTGATATTTAAAAATCAAAGATAATCTGGTGCACAGATATAATTAATTTGTCATTAGCGGGTTGTTTATTACAAGGTTTCTAGGCTAGTATGGAAACAAATTTGATCAATTTCCTGGTCCTAAAAAGTATTGAAATTGAAATATAAGGTATGTAAAAGGAAATATTTGTTTCCAGACTATTACCACAGTTCTAAAATACTGTTTTCTAAAATAGAAAAGTAGGTATTTCCAAAAATAATTCTAAAAAGTAGGGTATGGAAAAGTATGGACATTCCAACTGTGTAGTAACCCTGGTATTACCACATCCAAGCCACTAATGTCTATCTCTAGGATAGCATTGCAACATCTCAGAAATGTAGCCTGTATTACAAAGCGATTGGAGCACAGCATGATGAACTGCAAATGCTCAACAGCAAATCCATATAACCATAAAAATGCTTAAAGTTTAGGGTGTTTTTGATCATACCACATATTTTCAAGTAAAAACAAATTTATGGTTTTGGCAGATATTTTTGCAGAGATCATGACAAACAGACTCATCATGGCATGAGCAACAGAGGGCGCTAAAGTCATACAAAACAGTCCCAGAGTAGTGCTCATATGAGAATACATTAACAGTCTTGCACAGTCACAATTATAAATTTCCACCAAATAATGACATTTGATGACAAATGGGGCAAAGTTAATTGTGAGTGGAAACATTACCACTACTGTATCCACACAGGCTGATAAATTGTGTACTATTATCTTTCCTTCTATCCTCTGTTTTAAGAGCACCAGTGGTTCAATGGATGTTGACCCTGATTATATAACTATAAAGAAGTGCTAGTCACCAGGTTTACATGCATCACCCCACTAACAACAAACTGTGGAACTTACATTTTTGTGTAATATGTTTGACAAATTGCAAGAAAATCAGTTCATTATCAGAGTCTAGCAAGATAATTTTTTCTTTGAACTTACATTTATCTAAAAACAAAGATACCTCTCATTTTATAAACTGGATTGGTATTTTCCCACAAATCCTGTATTCAATCCAATTACTGTCCTGTAATTGAATTCTCTCTTTGTTTTTCTTCTTCAAAAGAGATCATATCTACTAAGCATTCATTCCCCTTTGACGTAATGCTGAGCTTTTGTTGTGCTCAAGGCTGTGGGTGAGTAAATGATGACTCTGATGAATCAATTGCTTTCTTTTTTCGAGGTTTATCAGCACAAACAGAAAATGGATGGTGAAAAGTTGCAAGTTAGCAACAAATGTGACAACTTTTTCAGATAACAGCCGACCTAGCTAATAAGAAAAGTTCAAGAAAGTACAGGTTTCAAAGCTAAAAAAAACAAAAACAGTTGTGTCACAATACAATCGTAACAACTTTTTGCTGTTTGGAAAAAGTCTTGGAAACTAGCAAGGAACTTAGTGATTCCATAATGCTAGCTAGGAGTTGCTTGAATGCTAACGTTAGCGGTTCAAACCTAACAAAAAACTGATAGAATATTGTGTCGCACTTTTAAATGCTGCCAAACATTCTTCCAGATATTATCTACTGTTTTGTAATTTGCTGTTATAAGAGTTACCCTTCGCAAAAAGTAGTATACTTAAAGTTCATTTTATTAAGTATGCTTGAGTATAAGTGAATAAGTATATGTATATCAAGTATATTACCAACCATGTACTTTTAGTGTACTACAAAGTATAGTAATTTAATACTTCTTCAGACTAAATTGGACCATTTTAAGTTTATGAACGTGTACTTTAAATGTACTCTCTAAGTTCATTTTAAGACCAGCATTGCCAAACCCTTATGAAAGGGACTAGAATATAATCACTAAAGTCAAGTCAAATGTTTTCTGTCTTTGTGTATAATTTTAAGGCACATAAAGATAATGCAACTGAGCACACACACTATTTACTGCAAGCGTTTACACATGAGCATTTTATGATATTAATATATTTATTAAATGTTGAACACAAGTCAATGACTTGACTTTATTTTGTACTTGGATCAGGATATACACATTTTTAGTATAGTTTTTGCAGAAAGAAATAAAATGTATACAAAAGTACAAATAAATGTTTCAGTATTAAAGTGTAAGTGTCTTAGTGTTGATGTACTTGGTCTGGGACTTTTGTGTACACTTTTCAGTGCGAGCTAAGTATTCTTCACTAGACCCTTCTAAAGTATATAAAATATAGTTTATAAAAAGCCAACTTCAAGTATACTTCCATAGTGTTAGTAAAACATAAGTATACTCATAGTACACTTGGAGGAACTACTTTTTGCTAAGGGTAATGATTGTCAGATACCTTTTATTTCAGCCTCGGAGTCCCCAGCCCTCGCGTGTTGTCACAGGATAATGGTTCTTGTGACTTGGACGACTAAGCTTTTAAATCAGGCAAAAGACACACAGCAGTCAGTGGGTGCATCATTGTTTTTATTCAGCAAAACGGCCTTGTTTTTTTTTTAATGTTCGGTTCATGTCCCATTGAGACATCTCGATAAAAACATTGAGCTACATGCTAATGAAATTGACACATTTTCTGATGTTAAAAGTACAACCTGTGTGAGCTAACATGCAACAGCAATTAGACTCTTTACACAACCCAGCCCTACCCTTCATCTTCACCCCCCTTTTATTCCGTTATCCTCTGTACATCCTTGTCAAAAATGTTCCTCAAGGCCTTGGTCAGCTGCCTCTGAGGTTTCCTCTCCAATGTCTTCATAGAGCTGCCGTTACGTTTAGGTACAGGTGGGCTGCCCCATCTGAAGTGACTCATTCGGTAAGTCCCATCATTTCTGTGCTGGGCGCTCACCTGAGCCTGAGGGACCACCCTTGCATTTAATAATACCTGGTGTAGTTGACTTTCACCATTAGGACCTCCCATTTCTTCCTCATTTATGCTCAGCTGCCTGCGTGCCTGAAAGGGGATCCTCCTCTCAAAAGAGCTTCCTCCCTCCAGAGAAGATGCAAAAACCTTCACAGGCCTACGCTTTCGGCCTGTGGGCTTGCCCCAGCGAAAATGCTCCATTGAATAGGAGCGCCGCTGGTCCTTGTTGGGCTCCGATTCTGACTCTGAGATCTCATTTTCAGAGACCATTTTGGACAGAATGATGCTCATTAAAAGGTTTTCATCATCATTATTCTTTAGGTCTGATGTATCAAGCTCTGGGAATTCAGTCTTGATCACAGACAAGCAGAGGTGAATGCAGTCCTTTGGGAAATAAAAACAAACAGTAGGACAGGTCAGTCATGACATGTAAGTGAGCAATTTAATTTATTTTTCAATTAGATGACAAATAATATGAAGCTGATCTTGTTTAAATTATGTTCAGAATATTGATGTACAAAGGGTGACAATATCTGACATCTTTGTTACATCTCTCTTTGACAATGAGCCATCACTGCATGAGTAGCCCCAGTACCCACAAACAGTTGACTGCTACATATAGGAGTGGGTTTTAAAGGGGTGCTGGAAAATTTGTTCTTGTTCGCCCCATTTGACTCTCACAGAAATGTGAGGCTAAAATGTCAGGCTAAAAACATATAAAATGAGAGTTTGCTGATGCTGACAGCCTGTACCTACTCTGGAACCCAAATCATAGATGTTGGAGTTTTTATATCAGATGTAACAATGCTAAGGCCTTTATATCAAATGCAAACTATAGGTGTAATTATCAGTAATGATCATATTTTTACCAGTAATATATATATATATATTTTTTTTTTTAAGTTCTTGTGGGGAACTTTTTGACTGAGTTGACTATAGCACCACCTGATGTCAAATTACCAAGCCTTATCTTGCTGCTGATCCTGTCTAATTCTTGTGAAAGTTGTTACTCAGCAGAAAAATCTCCTCCTGTTGTCTTTGCGCATTGAAATGTATCAGTCACCATAGATATTTGCAGTTGGATAACGATCTAATATTTATGGTTCATCAGTGTACCAACCCCCTCATAGCAGTTACAAACATTTAAATTATATTGTCAATGTTGTCACCGCTGGTCTTATTTGCGTTTGTACATTACAGAGACACATCACTGTTCATTTCAGCCCCTATCAAAAAATAGGACTGGTGTTTGGTGTGTCATATAAGCATCTTCTGCTGGAGCCCTTGCAAACTTGAGGACTGTGCCTGTCTGCAGTATCGTCTCTCTGTGGTAGGGTAACTTATAAAAGCTGCTAAAAAACATGAAATGAGTTCATATTTCTGGATAATAGTGCTGTCAATTGATGTGGTATATTCAAGGGAATCTCCAGGTTTAATACCAAACATTTCTATGGCATTATTTTCCTTGTAGAGTGATCTAAGCCCACCATGTTGTTATGTTTTACTGGCCAACATGCAACATTAGTACAAGATACATGTGTTTTTTGATTTTTAATTGATCATGGCTAGTCTTCTGTATCGTATCTCTTTACAACTGTCGGAGTTCACACTCATGGAAGTGTTTTTAGATGCTGTGGCAAGCTAGTCAGAAGGTCAGTGCCTGGTTCATTACATGATGCAGGAGATGGTATTCAATCAATGCACAGACATAAATTATACCAACCAAATTAAACCGGTTTCATTGAAATTTGTTGACTAAAACTGTATTTTAAAGAATTCATGGCAAATCTAGTTTAGAAAAAAAAAAATTAATGTCTGAATCTTCTGTTAATCTTTTAAGTATTAAGTCACAACATGAGTGTAAAAACTTAAGAGAACAGTTAAACATGACTCTGAGTTCAGTCATCTAATTTTAAAAATGTTGCCAGTCCAGCATTATATATGAAACCCACTGTTTATTTCCCTTTTCAGTGTATCACTCATTCTTTCTTGATTGATGGCTGTACAGATAAATTGAAAATAATTAAAAAATTAAAAATTTAAAAATTAAAATGACTAAATCAATGTTGATGTCAATGCTTGTTTTCCAGACTGACAATCAAATGTCACATATGCTTTATTTAACTTATGGAAAATCAAAGTAGAAGATCTGCTGAAAACTGAACTTTTTTTCTTTTTAAGTTCAGGCTTAAACCACTCGTTTGCCATGTTTTGATTTACACTTAAAGCTGTTTCAACATATTTTCTAAAAATAAATTTTAATGAAACTATCTCATCTCCTGTTTTAACTGATAAATTTATGTTTGCAAAGTGACAAAATGTTTCCTTGTTTTCCTTTCAGTCTCTTCTCAGTTATTAAAACTGAATCACTAAGGGCAATAAAGTTACTGATTGCCTTGTGCTGTGACAGCAATTAGGAAAGAGAGATAGAGAGAATAGAAAAGTCATTTGGACTCACCATAATGTCCCTCTTGTTGCTCAGGTTGTTGCAGACGGAGCCATCCAAGCACAATGAGCCAAACCCGGGGACACACACGCATGCCATCAGCACCAAGAAGAGCCAGCACACACACACCATCTTCAGCCTGATGAGGATGGAAAAAAAAAACCACAAGTTCGCTAAATTTCACTTTAAAAGGGAGTGCAGGCTGAAAAGAAACTCAATTGTTCTCTTAACCATATTCAACCAGGAGAAAATTAGCACTTCTGTGACGGAGTACAGTAGGTGTCTCTCATTACACTTGCATAACGCATCCTCCCTTTTCTTATATAACTTGTGTATCAACACTACCGTTGAGAGAGTTGTTGGATCTGCAACTGTGTGTGTCATGGATGAATAATAACAATAAACTCTAATGCTTCCTCGACATTTCCCTCCCAACATTACATGTGTTAAAGCCGATGGTCTCCTTTCATCAGATCCATTCTTCTTACTTTAAAAGAAGTACGTCAAAATAAAGCTAGATGATATGACTCTTCCAGAAAAGTTCACTAAGGTATGAACTCGATATGGAGACTGTGTTTTTTGTACGTGATGAGTGGAAATGATAAGAAGTAGGTGAAAAGTTCAGGAATGTACCATGTACTCAGTGAAAGTTTTGTGGAAAACAGGTCAGGGATTTTATGAATTTCTTGCCCCAGGTGAAGAGCTTCTCTGATCTTTATCTGGCAGGATTCACTGATAAAAATAAAAATTAAATAGTTACATAAAAATATGGTCTTGCAGTGTGACTTTCCTGAGCAGCATGGACTGTAAAGTGAGCTCACATCTTCATAATACAATTATATTCTTCAGCGAATGGTTGTCAGATTATTTTAAAAAGTCAATGTGAGTTTATCTGCTCAGATTGAACTATCAGTTTATTCACTGGTCTACAATAGCTGTTAAAATGATGTTAAGAGCATATTAATTTAGAGTAGAGCTGGAAAAGGATCAGCTTCTAATATCATGATGAACTGTATCATATTAAAGGTAAATCACAATTATTCATGTCTATCTTGTCTTGAAAAAGCCTTTAGTATCATGATTAAAAACGGGTTTGAAGTCCTTATTTAAAATGCCAAATTTTTCTTGTCAGTGTTTGTAAGGACGCCTAGCCCAGGTTCACACTTGAAAGAATGGAAGGTCCACACGAATGGTCAGTTTGACAAGATTTACTGGTTGCAGATCTGGGTTTCAGCTTCAGCATGCCACAAGTGTAACAAAGAGTGGTCTAAGACCATTCGAGTATACAGTACAGGCCAAAAGTTTGGACACACCTTCTCATTCAATGTCTTTTCTTTATTTTTTTATATGACTATTTACATTGTAGATTATCACTGAAGGCATTAAAACTATGAATGAACACATGTAGAATTTTGTACTTATAAAAAAAGTGTGAAATAACCGAAAACACGTTTTATATTCTAGTTACTTTAAAATAGCCACCCTTTGCTCTTGATGACAGAAGTACCTTGTCAGGGTTACTTCAGGCACTCCTGTGAAGTAAAAACCATTTCAGGTGACTACCTCATGAAGCTCAGTGAGAGAACAGCAAAAGTTTGCAGCGCTATCAAAAAACCAAAGGGTGGCTACTTTGAGAAATCTAAAATATAATACATGTTTTCAGTTATTTCACACTTTTTTCTTAAGCACATGATTCCACATGTGTTCATTCATAGTTTTGAGAATCTACAATTTAAATAGTAATGAAAACAAAGAAAATGCATTGAATGAGAAGGTGTGTCCAAACTTTTGGCCTGTACTGTATATAGCGGTTCACAACCCTAAACATACTGTTGGTATTTAGTTGACCCTAAGAGAAATCCATGTACGGTAAAAACAAAGGACAACATATTTTAAAAAGCCTTAGGTCAACATGTGGAAGGTCCCAAGACGGAAATATCATGGCAAACATATTTTGGGGACCGACATGATGTAAACACTGTGTACAGGCTTCCTTGGTGTCGGAGGCCCCCGGCTCCAGCAATCTAACACCAAAGTGCCTGGAGTATTTGAGTGACACAGCTCCAACACTCTACAGGCTAATATGACTGGCTGAAGAAACTCATCCTAACAGTGTTTTGGTCTGGAAATCAAATAAATGCAGTCAGTCGCCATCCTTTTAGCAATCGCTGTAGATAACTTTCACAGGTCTGTGGTGGTTTGCATACTCTGAAGGTGTGCTCTATCAGCTTTAGCTTCCGTTAACCTCAGTTTGATTCTTTTCTTTACTTATTTTCATTATTCTTTATTATTTCTTTATTAAAATTAAAAGGAAACGTAGTCATTGTATAGCCATTAAAATGATCATACATTCATAAACACTTCTTCATGACTAAATCGGCAGGAGCAGAGTTTATAAGCCAAAAGAAATAACAAGTCTGATTAGCAGCACCTGCATGCTCAGCTCCTACGTATATGTCAGCTCAAACTTGAGTACTTTGGTGATATCTTAATTCCATTTGAGGTAGATGAATTTTATTTTTTAAGTGAGCTGTTTGGAATTTTTTTTAAAAGCACAGTGCTGTTCACTTTTTTTATCATGGTGGTGGCAGGAGGAAACAGGAAGATATTCCAAAAAGGACAAAATAGCATTAAAAAAAATCACGAATTTCAAAACTCATCAGCTTTACAGCTAATGTAAAAACTCTGATAGCTTTTTTTAAAAGTCATGATACTTTACTTTTTTTTCTTGTCACTGATGTTTTTCTAAGAACTGTCTCTAAATAGTTAATTTTGGTGCCCCCGGTGGACTAAGTTTCGTCATTGTGTGTCACTGTTTCTGAGCAAAATGTCATCCTTCCGTCTTTAACTGTCAAACGCATCACAACATGTCTAAAAGGCTCTTTTTGACAGTATGCTGTTAATAGCCATGTGTAACACCTACTCGGTGTCATAGTTGAAAATAAGGCCTTAAAAAAACTGTGATGAAATATTCAAATTTCTCTCTGTCACTTGTGCTCTTGTAGGTTACGTGGATATCAAAGTTGGAGTCATTATTTCCTCAGACCCTTTGGTGGCATCCTTAAATCGACTTGTGTTCTATTATTATCTCTTTGTGACATATTTTTAATTCTTCATCCGTCATTCTTCTCTGGAGCCAAATTACCTGTCATTCTTTGGGGATTCATTAGATAAGAGTCATCACTCTGACTTGTGTCAGCCTCATCGCCAACTATTGCTCCCTCGCTTAGAGCTGAGATGTATTTACTCAACCTAAAATAAGATTAAACTAGGATATGAGATTGAAACCACTCCTGAAAACACGAGCAGGTAATTATTCAAAAACAGGAGAAAGTACATGGTAGGTAAACACTGACTGCATTTGTCCACTGAGGATCTCTGTGTTTCCCCAAGTTAGAATTTTGTTGTCAAGAAGTGATCAGACAAAACAGCCATTGTGAGACGTTACATAGACAAGGTTTGTGCTGCACCAAGCATGAGATTAGATTGTGGCTATCTGTGGGTGGGTGGAAAAATGCAGATTTATGACTACTGTCTTTGTCAAAACAAAGTGATTTTGTTCGTTGATTTTGGTAGACACTAACTGCTTTTGAAGAGGCTGCTCGAGGTCGGTGCTGCTGTGGCATTCAAACATTTACCCCATCAGTCTGTTCAAAGTTCTTCCATTATCGTATTGGAGTTACAATATTATAGTCCTGTAACATGCTTTTGCGGTAGCACCAGGTAAGAGAAAGAGAAAAGCACCATTTTGAGTTTACTATGGAAATATATGTTTTTCAGTAATTTGCCCATACTGCATTTTTTTTCTTAAACAAGACAAATGACAAACAACGTAGATTTGAAAATGTCCAATCTAACATAGCAACATGTTGAACATTTTCAAGGTCACATGATGTCAGAGAGGAGACAATGGACTTCCTCTCCTCCTCTACGTCCTCTTTTTAAAACATTTACACTGGTATGTACAGCCGAGAATACAAGTGTCAGTAAGGTCATGCAACTTGAGAGGTAGCTTTGTGCAGTAAGCGGTGAGTAGATGTTCACTTAGTCCAAGGACATTGACTCATTCATACAGGTACCACACAGTTTAGAGTCTCTATATTTCTTTTACAGCAAAGACAATGTACAAAGTGAGTCTTTTAATGGATGACTCAGTGAATAACCTTTTTTTATGATACATCTCCACTGAGTTCACATCTTAAATACCGTCCCTGTACCCTTTTTAAAAACATTTTCCATCTTTGCACATCTAATTTCCAACAGAGTTTGCTTTCTTTCCTTTGTTGGAAAATTGCGCCTCGGTTATTTCTCCCTGCCTCCCTCATTATTCTAAGGAGTGACTCCTTGGTGGGCCATTGTCTTTGAAACTCTGGCAGAGGCTTGTTTCCACTCTTCCTCCTTCAGTATGACTCACTCAGCTGCTCTCCACAGACGCTCTCTGATTAGAAATGCCTGAAAGCTGCCATCAAAATAGACGGAAACCTCATGTGATACGAGATATTTACAGGGACTCTAAGTTAGATAAGGTACATGATAACAGATGGGGATTCAAGTTTCGACAGAGACAACCGTGCACATTTTTCAAGAAGCTGAAGTGATGATGTGAAAAAGAATCCATCTAAAAGGAAAATTTAGATCTGATTTTGTCAGAAAATGTTATGAAATCCTAAAACAATCAGTTATCAATGCAAAAGAGCCCATTCATGCAAAAAAATATGAGAATCCAACAACAACCAGAAACAAATCTCATGCATTAGTCCACATCCAACTTGAGGAAATTTGTTTTTACCTTCTGTAAATGTTTCTTCTCCTTTACTCTCCTACTAATGTGAGCCCTCCGTTATCCACGGATCCTCTGCACAGTGATCCGTCTCTTCCTCCTCTTCTGCCTTGTCTCTGCTCCTCAGTGAAAATGCTCGGCAGCAAAAAGGTTTTCTCTGTTGCTTCTTTGGCTGAGGAGAAGCTCTTTTTATACACACGTGAAGCTTGAAGCCGGGAGTTTCAAGGCCTCAGGGTGTGATTAAGGTAAGGGGTCTTGAGCTCTTCTCTGGACGGGAGGTGTTTGTGTATGCTTGTTTGTGTGTCCACCCACACAGATATTAATCAATGGCGCAGAGCTCACGTCACTGGAC